TCATACTCTTATGCTTGGGTAGAGACGTTCTCCAAGCATTTGCTTTTGCTCCTGTGGAGGAGCGGCGGCAAGGATGGTCGCAGTGAGTGGCTGTTCGGCATCATTGGTCTGAGGACGCTCAGGCTCGGCTGCGATTTGAGCCTCGGCTGGAGTCGGCAGTGGGTTTCGAACACCGGGCTTGTAAATGATGCTCTGGTTGGGTCGGGAACCCGACCGGGCGGGGAAGTTGTTCGCGGGAAACCTTGCAATGGGCGTAATTCCTCGAACTCCGTTCTGAGGTCGGGGGCCACCAGGCATTTGACCGCGAACAATTGGGCCGTACTGCGAAGGCTATTAAATACAATTTATATTTTATCAACAAATGAAAAAACATCAATTTTAGATATACAAGACGAAGTATTACCTGTGACCATCTGGGAGTAGGCCTGATCGACATGCGGAAGGGGTGTTGTTGAATTGGAGGAGGCATGTAAAGATTGCCATACTGCGGCTGGTTCGTAGGGAAGGCCTGAAGACGCATGCCTGTGGTAACACGCTGCATATATTGTTGTTGGAGATGAGCCTTTCGTTCGTCCTTGCGCTGGGCCAAAGCAACATAAAGGGGTTTTGAGGCGATGATACGGCCATTCATCTCTGTGACTGCCTTGGTGGCCTCTTCCGCGCTTGTAAAGCAAACAAATCCGAAACCCTTTGATCTCACACCCTCTTTGCCTTCTTCGCTTCCTTCAGCGGTGGCCGCTGGTTTTCCTCGTCCCTCGACGTCGGCATCTGTCATGATCTTTGCGGAGGTGATGTTTCCGTAAGGGGCGAAATGCTCTCTCAGGATATCATCAGTGATAGAGTCATCGAGGTTTTTGACGTAAAGGTTGACGCCTTGGTATCGCTGGTTGCGCTCTTGCTTCAACTTCTCGAATTTGACTTTGAGTTCAGCCTGACGCTCTGCCTTTTTCTGTGCTCGTCCGACGTACAGTTTTTTGCCGTCGAATTCTTTATCATGCAGATTCTCTACTGCTTTCTCGGCGGAATCGTGTGTCTCAAACGAAACGAAGCCGAATTGTTTAGATTTACCATTTTCATCAGTTGCAAGTGCAACTGACATCACTGCTCCGTGTTCGGAAAAGACCTGCGTTAGCTTTTCATCGTCCCACTCTAGCAAGATAGGTTAAGAAGGGGTTCTTTAAAGAGCAGTCAAACCTGCAGGGAGATTTTTGATGAACACATTGGTAAACTGCTTGGCTCGATCGCCGTACTCTCGGACTCTTTCGCCGCGTGATTTAAATCGACCGACGAAGACTTTCTTGTCGTTCATAAGCATACCGTTTAGCTTCTCAATAGCTTTAACGGCCGCTTCTTCAGTTTCGAAGTGAACGAAGCCATATCCCTTCGACTCGCCAGTGAGAGTTGTGTTCACCTAAATTTGTGTTTATGTTCCGTGATGCAAAAAGAGAAGCAAGGTAAACTCGTCTTCACTGTGAATTCACGCAAAAGTCTCTGTTGGGCCGTCTTAAAACACGAGCATTGATTTTTTTCACACTCGAGCGGAACGAATAAAAGCCCGTATAAATACCGATATCTGTCTTCAGTACCTTGCAAGAGAGAATATTTCCGAAGGCAGAAAAGGTATCGTACAACATCTTGTTATCGATGGTTTTGTCCAAGTTTTTGATGAAAATATTGCCAACTCCAGATTTACGTAGAGCGGGATCTCGTTGACTCCACATAATTCGGATGGCCTTGCCTTTCAGCTCATCAAAGTTCATTGTGTCGATAGCGCGTTCTGCGTCTTCGGGTCGCTGGAAATTTACATACGCGTAGCCGAGCGATCGGCGTGTGATCATGTCGCGGCAAACGCGAATAGAAAGAACAGGACCAGCCTAAAAAAGTCTAGCAAACGTTTTTCTGAAGCGTAAGTAAAACCTGTGAAAATTTGTCGTAAAGCATTGCCTCTGTAGCCTCAGGATGGAGATCTCCTACGTACAGACTCGCCATGGGATAAGACGGTGCAACTGTCGTCATTTTCTTTTGTCTTACAGCGACAACTTCCCTGAATATAAACAGTTTGAGCTAAGATAGAAAAATAAAATTTAATATCGGTATGGAAATATAAAGAACTTTTACAGCTGCAGATTGAATAAAGCAGATATCGAAATAGGAATATAATAAAAAAGGGAGAGAATATGCGAATGTGAGTGAATGAAGGGGCATTTAAAATGCCTCATTTTTAATCAGTAAGTCTCTTAGGCTGGTTCATCTTTCGAACGACTTCATTGATGTACTTTTGATCGATGCCAACTAAAAGTGAAATCAAGGAAGAGTACGATCAATGCTGGTTACCTTTGCGGAGTTCTGCTAATTTCTTTTCCACGACTTCATTGAGTTTATCTTGGTATTCTTTTTGCTCCTTTTCTGCTTCGATGGCTTCCCTGAAAAAGGCTCGTCGATCGTCGATTCTATTTTGTTCTCGTTCTTTGATTTGTTGACGTAATTGCTGTGAATGGACTTGAAGGACTTGATGTTTCTTCTGCTTTTCATCTTCCTCTTTCGCAATCTGAGCTTCCTGCGCGTGTAAGACACGCTCGAATTCAGCACGCTCCCTATGAGCTTGAACTGCTTGGAAGTGGAGCTTGTCTTTAATCTGAGAGGTTCGAGCAGCACGCATCTCAGCATCAATGCGCGCCTTCTTCTCAGCTTCAGCTTTCTCTTTTCGTCTCCAAGCACGCTCTTGCTCTTCTTGATTCCTCTTCGCTCGTAGAGCGTCTTGAGCAGCACTGAATAATAAAGAATAAATAATCTTTTTCTTAACTCACCGATGATCTTGCGCTCGTTCTTGCAAGCCACGAAGACGCTGAGTTTCCTTTTCTTTAGCTGCCTTGGCGGCGAGCTGCTCAGCTTCGAGTTCGGCTTCACGTTCAGCCTTAAGTCTATTGTACTCGACGACTTTCGCGTCTTGAATGCGCTCCTGTTCGATTCTTCGCTCTTTTGACAGTTGCGCCTGACGATTGATCTCATTTATTTCATGAAGGAGTTCTTCTTGCTATAAGACAGTATGCTAACAGTCATATTCTTGCCTTCTCTTACCTTATGCTTCCGTTTTTCGAGTTCTCTGATATCATCGTCCTGGAGTTGTTTCATGTACTGGACAAGAGCCTGAGCCTCGGCGTTTTTCCGTTCCGCATCGAGAAGACGCGTCTCAGTGTTTAGCTTGATCTGCTCTAGAATTTGGCGAGCGCCCTCCCGTCGCTGCAGATGTTTCTGTTTTTCGAGTCGCTCGGCTTCTTTGATACCATTCAATCGATGAACTTCCATCATGATGTCAAGGCGCTTATTTTCCTCATCCATTTCATTTTTGATTTCCTCGACTTCGTCTATTTGCGCGTCTCTGATGAAAAAATAAGCAAATCAACAAAGAAAACCAGAAAACCTGATCGCATGGCATTTGGCATTTAGAATGAGCTCGTTCAACTTCTTAACCGTGTCCTCCTGCTCCATTCTCAAGGCGTTTGCTTGTTCTAGAAGGTGCTCATTTTCTTTTTTCGTCTCTAACTCGAGGTCGTTGAGCTAGAAAAACTCTGATTTCTCTGAAACAAATCAATTGAAACCTGGTGTTGATTAGCTCTATCCATGTCAAGTTCTTTGAAGTGTGCCTTTCTTTCTGCGGCAGCCTCAGAAACTTCCTCTAGAAAAAAGGCTACAAAAAATGAAGAGGATTAATCATACCGCGCTCTTGCTGGCGCACAGCGGCCTCCTTTTCAATGTCAGACTGAGAACGAACACGAGAAGACTGTTTAATTCGCTGAAAGTGCCCTCGTGGGATGACCATTGATTTACCAGAAGGGTCTTCTCGCGGTACTGGAATTGTCCGAATCAGATCCTTAGTGATGATCGTGACTGTCTCCTTTGGCTTATTTTTTGGCTTCGCTCCATGTTCTCGATTTTTGCGCAGGATTTCCTGGGTCTGTTTAACGGCTCACACCAAATCACTACGAGTCTCAGTTAATATCACGCAGGTTTTCTATCCCGCATTTAGGTAGTTTGAGCCGTTCATTTGAGCTGAACAATGTCTCGTCAACCTGTGAGGTTCGCGACTTGACCCGGTACTTGCCAGACATGCGACCACTTTTGACTGACTCGCTGGGCATTCTATAATGTCCATGTTTATTCGCTCCGTAATGAAATCAACAACGACAATTTTCCGTCTGGCACTGTATTTGCAGATCCAGTCAAAGGGGTTTGAACAGGGAAAGAGTTATTTAAGATCTTGGTCTTTCCTTCTTGCCCTTGAAGAGAGCGAGGAGGGAGACGTTGGCGACCTTGACAACCTTGAATCGGACACCGGGGATATCACCGACGGCGTGACCGGATCGACCGAAACCAGCGACAAGAACCTGAACAAAAGATACAAAGTCAAAAATTAACAAAAGACGGTAACCTCGTCGTTCTCTTCGATGTAGTTCAAGCAACCGTCATTGGGGACGAAGGCAGTGATCTTCTTTCCGTTCTTGATAAGCTGAACTCGGACGCACTTTCGGATGGCGGAGTTTGGCTGTTTGGCCTCGACACCGATCTTGTCAAGGACGATTCCCTTGGCGTGGGAAGAGCCTCCGAAGGGGTTGGCCTTCAAGGCAGTTCCGAGGTTGGCCTGAATGTATGCGTCACTTATTATAAGATTTGCGTAGACTATCACCTTTTTGTAACCAAGATCGGCCCAACGCTGCTCACGTCTTCGGTTTCGCATCTTTCGAGCGGTTCGGATACCACGTGGCTTTCCCATTGCTGGGTTATTTTTGAGTTAGATTTCTGAAAATGAGTCAGATTAGGTGTTTTCTCTATAACGTTTAATGATAGCGTCTGTGTTGAAGTGAGGCCCCGCTAAGGGCTTCGCGGTGGATGGGCTCGACAACTAGAGAATTGAACTTGCACATGTCAGTAGTGAGTTAATGGTAGATTCGATTTTCTAAACAAGCAAGGCAGTGCTTAGCACCCTTCGTCGTTATCTAAGAACAGCCTTATTGCTGTTTGCATTCGGGGTTTCCTTCTGCAGCTTCGCCCTGGGGAAGAGTTAATTAAACATTTCAATAAAGAAGCTCACGTCTGGGGCGTAGTCAGCATCCTCATCCTCTCCTTCACCATCAAGATCGTCAAAATCGTCTTCTCGTTCAGCGGCCTGCGCTTCCCCAGTAAAGTATAAAACTGCACGGGTGACGATTCGGTCCTAAAGATTAAAATTATTCCCAAGTCATTATTTTATTTTCACTCAGACTCAACGTCGTAGAGAAGATGACTAACCTTAATGCAAGAACCGACTTGGAAGTCACTGTCAAGGAGATTTTCGGTGTCCGAGTCGAGCTCCTCGTTATCCTTGACCTCGGGTGGGGAGAAGAAGTTAAAGAACGAATCGTTCAGGACTTTCTTCTCGACGGTTCGGACTAGATTGTATGAGTAAACACTCGAGGGGAATGCTTCCAGAGCTTACCTGTACCGCGACCCTTGTGTTTTTGGCGCTTTTTGACAATCTTCTCGGTGACATTCTTACCAGGCTTCCAGTCAATCTTGCATCCCTGGCAAGAAATTATCTCGGGACCCTCGTATCCGAGCGGGTTATCCTCATCAATCATATTTTGAAGCTTGTAGGTCTTCGTCAAGACTTTGTTTTCAAAAAAGTCGTTCTCCGCGAACTCGAATTCGAGGGTGAAGGCCATTTGATCGCAGGAATCGGTCAATTTGGAGCGGATGTCAATCAGCTGCTCGAGAATTGGCTCGTCATGTTCTTCGATGATCTGGTCGATTGGAGGCGTAGACTTGAGGATGGTGAACCAGAACTCGGGAATGCCAGCGACTTTCTTCGCTTCGGCAGCTTCCTGTTCCTTAGTCTCCATCACCTCTTGGACAACGTCATCTTCATCATCACTGTAATCCCATTTCGATTCCTCGTCAGTTGGCTCTTTCTGTCCGATGATAATCTGCTTTCTCTAAGAAATCAGTCAAGAGACTCATCTCATTTCGATGACTTACGGTGTCAATGACGGAAGAGAGCTTCTCTTGGTATTTGAGTTCAAGCTGGTGGTACTCCTTGTTGAACTCAACCTCGATCTCAAGCTGCTGCTTCTGGAGAACCTTGAGCGCTTTGACTCGTCGTTTGACTTCGGCGGGCAAAGAGCGAATGTATTCGCTGTTCAAACCAGCAAGACCATCGAGCTTCGACTACAATAGCATTTAGGAATTGAATGATTCTGCGCGGTAATACCTGAAGAGCAGCAAGGAGTTCTGGGTTTTGCATGAGCTGAGCCGAGATCGACTTTCCGGATTCGTTGTCAGCAGACATTATTCGACAGAATATCTTAAGAAGTGGCGGGTAATTTCAGCAGCAGTTTACTTCCTCAGTATATTATACAAGGGCAGTAATTGTTTAGATGCTTGATGGGTAAAGCATAACTCGGACTCGGTGGCCCATAGCCTTGGGTGGGAGGTTCTTGGCGAACTTCGCTCGAACGGATCCGGAGTTACCGTGGGATCTGAAATCGGTGGTTAAAAAGGAGACATTCTCTGATGGTGCTTACCGGCAGATCTTGCCCCAGATGACTCGAGTTCGGTCAGCGGCGGCACCAGGAGCGGTGCATCGGGTCTTGACCTTGGCCTTGTAGACGTAAGCGACTCTAAACCCAACCTGATAAGCCTTTCCCTTCTACAAAGGGTGACATGGGATGGACGCACTCCCAGTCAGATTGAAGGAACCGTAGCAAGGATTTCAAAAATTATCTTTGCTATGGCTAAGGTGAGGACGTAAAAAATGCGTTCCATTATGTCCTTTGGTTTTAGATGTCAGCAAAGATGCTGAAGTAAAATTAAGCACTGATGAAGCTCTTACTAAAGCGATAGTTACCGTTTGCCGAGGTAGAAGGCGGTGTCTTCTTTGTTGTTGACACCCTCGAGCTTGATGAGAGCAGTCTTCTCGTGCTGGTTTCGGAGACCTCGAGTGTAACCGGTGAAGATACCCTTAGCGTAAAGACGGCCCATGTTGAGGAGTTAAGATTTTGGTCGGATTTCTGAACAGAGGCGAGTTGAGAAGGATTGAACGCGTCGCGCACACAACAACCAGTGTTCAGTTTATAACAATAAATGAACTTCGTTCAGTCTGATGCTGATACCAAATTGACAAACACTCTTACAATCAACAGCCGCTCGAAATAGACTTGATGCAGCTTCGGGGAATCAAAATATACAAATAAATACGGTGAGGCTAAGTATTTGCCAGTTTGGGCTCAATAAATAAATTAATTTAAGTGAAGTTGAAGACTGACGGCAACTAAACGGTAAGTCTCCTCTTTCTTAGTCGAGCTGTTCTTCTTCGATCTGGTCCCCTTGAGAGGGTAGGACCCCCTTCGCGATCCTCATCGCCTACAATTCGTAAGTGAAAAATTCAATCGCCAAATATTTCCATGCCTGTTGGACTTGGTCGTCCGAGGCGCCAGCTTCTTTGGCAATCATTTTCATTTCTCTTTCCATTTCAGCCTTCTCGATTCTTTTGATCTGTTCCCGCTGCTTTGACGAAACTAAAATCAGTTTAAACAAATAAATAACCGATAATAATTAGATTATTCGTGAGCGTACCAGCGAAAAAGATCCCATTTGCAACGTTCATTGTCTCTAACACCTTTCGGTGCTGCTTTTATCAGCATTTCCAAAAAAGTACAACCAAGAAAAACTAGCTTCGTAAAGGTGAAATATCTCTCAAGGGAAAATAGCGCTAAAACGGCGCGCTAACATTTGTCTCACGTGGGGAAAGGCGCATAAAAAACTTAAGCCGTTTGGCCAATCAGTGCGGCGAGTGTGCGTTCCCATCGTTGCTCCTCTGTTGTTTCTGATGACCCCTTTTTCTACTCGGAGAACCGATTTTGTAGGGGATAAGAAGGAATTTCCAGCAAAAATCTTTCTCGCAGTAGTGGGCGGCTCATGTGACGCCTACGTGAAAACGGGCGTAGGCGACTCTGCGCGACGACGGTCAATGAACGTAGTATTTTCCGAAAAAGAGGAAATCCTACTTCGAGTTTACATATGTTGTAAATGATAAGGGCAATCTAAAGGGGAATGAATGGTTGAATGATTCTTATAATTTTAAGAAATAGAAAGTAATATAAGCGTTATAAAAGCTGAGCCTAGAATCTACTTATAAATTTGGCTGAATAAAATTGGAAACACTTTCCGGAGGTACCGCGGGAGAGGGCAAATTGGCTTTGACATTTTCCTTGTTTTTCATCGCATTCATGGTCTTCTGAAGTGACACGGCCTGCTGCGTTAAATGCTTCAAAAATTCCGTCGATTCCTTGGTCTTCTCGTGCTCGTCGCCAAGAATAGTCCTGTATGTCTTGCATGCCTCTTTCTCGTGCGAGATCGCTTCCCGATAGTTGCTCTTGAAACTAAGGACACGCGCAATCAGATGATGACCCAAAGCTTGCTTCACAACCTAGGGACCAATGGATTAGAGATTCTTTCTGAATTTATGAAACGCACATTTTGTGGCTGGTGTATTTCGTAGATACTGAGGGCGTTTTTAAAGAAGCCCTCGGCGGCATCGAACTGCGCGGCCCAATAAAGTACCAAGCCGATATTCGTGTCGATGGTTGCCATTTCGGGATGGCCTTCGCCGTGAATGAGTTTCAAGAGGTAGCGAGCGCGGTAAAGAAGTTTCAGTGAGGCAGGTACTTGGTTGGTAGCGAAGCAGTAGTGGGCAAGTGTAATGTACTCTTGAATGGTGGAAGGAGAGTCCAGTCCGTGACATCGCTCGGATAGCAAGCACGCCTGAATTGTACTTTTGCGCGGGGTTCTCTTCCTTGATTTCAGAAACATGATAGTGCAATGATTGTACTCATCTATTGTTCACAAATTTTGCATTTACCTTGTGCTGCTTTTCAATAGCTTCGGTATGGTTGCCCTGAATGTAGTCCAAGCGAGCCAACAGTCTGTAACTCGAGATCACATCAGCGTGGACATTTCCATAGACAGAAGTGAAAAGTCCGAGAGCTTCTTGGATCATGATTTGACCGTCCTTCATGTATCCCTTGGAAATGCACTGCTGACCTTTTTGGAAGAGAGCATTTCCATCAGCTGCCTTCGGGTTCAAATGTTTCACGATCGGAAACATAGACATGATATCCTAATACATTTTAGAATACAATATATTCGCAAGACTTACCTCGTCTGTAAAGGGCTGCTTCGTTTTACTCGCAAGGTCGTAGTTACGAAGATGAATCTGAATTCCGTTCTTCAAGCAGACATCCCGCAAGAGCGATGCTTTTTGAATCTTGTAACTGCTGCAGATTTGGTCGATCGACTTGCAATCAATGCTAACGTGGAAGTAGGAGCGAGCGCGCTTCTCAACGTCTCGCCAAATTCCTTCGGGGGTGACTCTCATCCATTCGTTCGTAAGTCGCTGCCATCCGATGGAGGTAGAGGATTCATTCTGCTTTGCAGCGGGCTTCTTTCCTTTCTTCTTTTTCTTGTTTGACTTAAATTGTGTATTCACTAGATTGCAAGATGTTTTTACGATACCTTTTCGGGATTTCCGTTTATGTCATCAAAGATCTGAGGTATTTGGACGGTGCAGGAAGCGAATAAGCAGTTGAGAAGATGCGCAACAGCCTGTCCGGTGACAGACTGGTCGGTCTTTTGAAGATAGCTTCGGAAGATCCACTTAATGGCACGAGAAATCATCTCCGCGTTAACAGTGTTGATCACGTGCTCGAGGTTCGCATCTTCTTCCGCGAGAAGGGCTTTTTGAATAACTCCGAGGTATCGAACGCCGATACCCTTGATTTAATAAATCAACTTCTTATGTATTGCATATTTTACCTTCGAATGCAAATTTTCGACCATTGACACACAATCAAGGCAAGAGTCCTGTCCTTCTTTGCATTCACGAATGAAGGCTGGAATCTGCTCATTGACCAAGAAGGCAGCGACATCTACAACTAACTGCTTTTGACGTCGAATTTCAGCGTCATCGGCGATGACGTTTACGGTGGGCGAGAAAATGTCAGGATTAAATCTTATGTCGAGCTCATCGGTGGAAATTGATCCGACGGCACTGGCAGCTTCTTTGATAGACTGGGTGTTTTTAGCCTGGGAAGAAGTTAATGACATTTAAAAGGAATGGATTGACATACCATTAGTTTTACTTTTTTCTCCTCCTCGCCTAACTCTTGCATCGCGTCAAGTTCCTTCTTTGCTTCAGCAAAGTTCTTCATCGCAAGCTTCCAATACTGAAGGTATCTGTTCTCACAGAACGCCTCGACAAGTTCATGTCTATGAGCAGCGAGTTTATGCGTGTGTGTTCGTGGGAGATGAAGCTCCTTAAGATTTTCGGGGAAAAGAGAAATATCTTCCTTAGTTAGCGCGTCTCCCAAAAAGTTGACGTCTGGTGGCATCGTCCGGAGCAAGTCAAGAACGTAATTACGCTTGTCGTTGCCTTGAATTCCTTTCGTCTCCACACTGGTGTACATGGTTATTTCTTTGCCGTCAGAGTTCTTCGCCTTGTGGATCTGCTGTTTTGTGGTCTTCGCTACTTGTTCCAAAAGACCATCATAATCTTCATGAGAAACGATTGTCTTTCCGAAGTCAATCGAGCCGTATACAACAGACTGCTCTTGTTCGCGCTCCAAGATTCCTGGAATGATCGACTGAGGCAGGGTTTCAATTTAATGTGCCAAGGCTATCCCTTAATTTCTACATGGCTGTCCGAATCTAGTACTTTGACACCTTTTTGGAATCGTCTTGACAAGATCTGTCGATTTATTGAGCGAAAATTTTAAAAAAATTGATGGCTTCGGACTTACATGGACTTGAAAAATGCACTAGAAAACACAAAAACCGATAAAAACTCGGAAATGACTTTGAAATCTAAAAATCGGCCTCGATAAAACAAAAGATCTTTTTATGAGGATTCTTAAAAGGTATGATAGTACTAGGCTGGCACCTATAGTTTTCCCGCAAAACGAGAAGCAAATCTGGCACATTAAATTGAAACCGGACCTGAGCGGTAACGCGGAAGCCCTTGTAGTCGACAATCACAGTACCCAGGGTGTGGAGACCTTTGACATCTGCTTGGTTGTAAACTTGAACCCCCTTCAGGTCGAGAAGAGGAGCCACGAAAGCTGCCGCATCACCTCCGAAATTACCATAGTGCTCCCTGACGTCAAAGCCAAGCGAGAAAAATATGTTGCTCCAAATAAACATCTGACTGCGAGGTTCATCTCCAGGATTGATCGCCAAGACACCCCCGTCAACAACAAGCATAGCGCCTCGAGTCGCCGCAGAAACGAAATCTGAGTGGACTTTAAAGAAGGCACGATCTCGAAGAAGTCGCTCGTGAATTGTGCTTGTTGGAAGCTCTCGAACAGCTTGAAGCTCTTCATTCCATTCTCGTGTCTGTCCTGGAATGTGTTCTTCCGTGCTTCGAGCAGTGTACGCATCCTCGGCTCGTACGCAATCCACCTGATGCTCTTCCTTAGGAGCGAGCCAAGAGAAGAGTTGGAAATTTGTGGGAAGACGTTCGAATGGGTGCAGAGAGCATCGTTTTTTATTGGTTAGTGCCCACCCTTTTTGAAAGCAGGAGAGAGCTGTGAAAGCAAGTCCACCAAAGAATGAGATAGATACGGAACAGTAGCTGGAGTAGGGTCGAACTCGTCAATAGTAGATTTATTAACGTAGAATCCGCGAGGGGAGGCAGTTACTTCAAACGCTCGGCCTTCGTTTGTTTTGATTGAAAGATAGAGAAGATCACCGCGAAGTCTCCGTGGGTTGGGAGGAGGATTCCACATGGACATGGCCAGACGAGACAGACAATTAGCCTCCGCCGAGCGCGCAGGAAAGAGAGGTTCGAATACTGGCTCAGCGGACTGCTGGGCATGCCTGGGAGCGAGGAATTCACTCTCATTCTTTGGATTAATTTCACCTTCTGTTATTGTATTCAAGTAGCTCATGGAAGCTCCGTTGAGACCGTTCATAGCGTCGACCCAGTCGAGAGACTTGGTCAAGTCGCGAACATGGCGAACATGAAGGCGAGCTTCTCGAATCGTGTAAGGCTCTTCGACAACTTTGAGGAGTACGTTGTCGGTAAGACCTTCAATGGAGCGAAGTTCAGCAAAGTGATCGAGTGGAACTCCGTTAAACTGAAGACTGAAGCACGTTCTCTGGCAACAATCTTCCCGATCGGTGATGTAGCCGCGAAGATCATTCACCAGTTCTCCGAGACTCAACTGAAGCTCGAAAACCTTAGAGCCAGGAACATCGATTTTGACTGTCACATTCGCATCAGCGATTTTCTCCTCGGCGATAATATCGTCATGTGATGGCTCAGGAGCAAGCTCAGGAAGTTTAGTTTCCTGTGCTACGGCTACAGCAGCCATTCTTTAAAGAAACGATGCTACGTCTTTTATATCAAAAATATATTTCTTCACAATACAAAAATAGAAAAGGTAAAATGGGATGAACGATGACAGATTATCAGAGTGCAGTCTCTTTGAAGCTTTCTTCGCAGCTCCGTCGGATGAAGCGAAACACCTGAAAGCAAAATTAAGGAGAGGTGTTTATCAGCTCGATTAGTACCTGATGTCGATAACTCTTTGGAAAGATGTATTTGAGACCTGGCGTTGCTAATTCTCCCCCTGGATACTGCGGAAACTTGGAAAGAACAAGTTTATATTCAGAACCAGCTGGTCGACTGTAGATCATTGATCTAGCTGCGGACACTTGGTGATCCTCGACCAAAAACAACTATAGTAATTTTATAACAACGAAAAAATGTTTCCGTATGACTTGCCTCTGGCCAATTAGGAAGCATCGAGGCGAGGCTCTTCAGTGTCTTCGATAGTTCTATGGGAGCGAAGATGCTTCTTACAAAATTGAACAGCTGACGAAAAAAGGAAAAATCGTTGTCTCCAAGCAGGGAGCAGTTGCTCTAAAAAACAAACTAGATAAGGATTCAAAATATCAAACCCTACATTGGCTTCTGGACCAAGGTCGAAAGACTCAACCACGACTCCCGCAACATAATCTGCAAGGCTTTTACTCGCCATTTTTGAGTAAGCAAAGACTCCTTCCTTGCCAACGCAGTGAAAGAAAATGGGCTCATTGAGGATCTGGTTCTCATTCAGAATAGCCCAAATGTCGCTTCCCATCTGCGTCAATGCTATTTCCGATTTCTTGTCATCAGTCGTATCGAGGATGTTTTCTTCGAGAGAATAGGGTAAGATGATGCACGAACAGCCTAGACAATGGAAATTAGAGAAGAGAATAGCTGATTTTGTTACCTATGCTTTTGTAAACGTCCGCTAAATCTCGGATGTATTTTTTTAGCGCTTTTGAGTCACGCGTATTCGCCAAGAAAAGCACAGTTGGGTGGAAGTAGTTGTTTTCTTTTTGGTAGAAGTACGGATCACACCCCACGTCCTGATACTCGATGTTGTAGTCGATCATACAACTTCTAAAAGCAAAGTTTGTAATAACCTTACAAAAATGAACAGACGACTTTTTTCGCTGTTATTTATGACTAAAGGATCACGACGCGAGACAGATCAACTTCAGTAAGAAGCAGTAATAAGCAGAAAGATCTAAAGAGCGACAGCGGGCTCCTGGGTCGGGAGGAGGCCGAATCGTTTCTTGATCGTCACTCGTTCTCGTGAGAATTTGTCGTCTGAAACGAAGTGTTTACTATTTGAAACGGTACTGTCGACTTACCAGGGCTGAATCGAGCAGGATGAGCGGACTGGGTTGGTTTTCCATCGGGAGAGACGGGTTTGAGAGTGTAGACTCGCTTTCCTTCGTCGTTCAAGTAAAATTTGAGAAACATTCTGAAATCGTTTAAAATTAATTCAATCGAATCAGGTTAAGTAAGCCTGAGGGATAGCACCCGAAGGTGCAAGCCCGCGAGCTTACGATAATAACCTTGTTTGTGGCGGTACGGTAAAGGCAGTTATAGATATATAAATTAAAATATTGTTTAAATTGAACTTCTCCATTAGAAGAGCTTCTTCGAGGTAGATTTACTGCTTACACCTCGTCCAGGGGCGATCGTCTTCGATCGCGAAATTCTGTCTCGGCTTCGCGTGTGCCTAAAAGTCATATTGACAACTCTGTAAAAATATGAGGCAATCTCTGTGTGAGAGAAACTGGATAAAACTCATTGTTTCTGTCACACAGAGAAAAAACATGCAATAAATGTCGATGGCAGTATTTTTGATAAGTGGTTGTTGATAAAGGGCGTTGATAAATTTTTACCGATAAGGGGTGTCTGGAGATCCCCCAAAAGGAATGGGCTTGATCTTGACTTGGGTCTCACTATTTTATAACGAATGTTAAAAATTGTCGATTTAAGTTAAAAAGGGTCTCTTACCCAGCTGGTCCAACAGGGCAATTCGTGTGGTACGCCCGTACCGCGCTAAAAAATGATTAGTTCTTTAATATTAGTATTAGAAATTACCGTCGTCTTTCTCTCGCTTTTCTCTCTGCACGTTCGCGTATTTTTTCGTGTCTATGCGAATCCCTCTGCTCGATTCTATGATTTGCATCTAGCTCAGCGACGTACATTGGCGCCCGTCCTTCGTTCGAGGCGACGTAGATGCCCGCTGGAACTTCTTCAATGGGGTAATCCCTCCAGAATCCTTTGAAACCCCCTTTAAGCACTCGAGTAAAGGGGAAGGCGAGCATGGGCCACTTGTGGACCTAAAAGCTCATTTTTAGGAAAAGAAAGAATAACGTGAAGAAGAAGATTGCGTCACTCAACAATGACGTCATCTAGCTGTTATGCAATAAAGAAACTTACAGCACGATCGTGTCCACGGAACCACTCCCTTTCTTTGGGTCCTCGCTTCTGTGAGAATTCACAGTGAAAAACGATGACTGTGTTTTGGCCATCGATTTTCGAGTCGTCAAATGTGTGTTTGAGCAGGACTTGTTTCCAGTCAGCTTCCCCACCGTAGTTGGAGTTGATTGCTCCTAAATTGTTGGAATTCGAGAAAAGCGTTCAAGAAAGTACCTTTGAAATGACCAGCTTTATGTTCGTAGCCGTATCGGCAATCGAGAACGAGCATATTTTTGAATGGCTGATCTGAGAAATCGCCACGAATGAGCTTGTAAAATTCTGCAGGCTCGATGAATGTTTTCTCGACTTCTTTTTGAAATCGAAATGAAATTTCTTGAACTTCTTGAAAGGTGGCTCTCCCTCGCTGGGAATAGAAAGCCATTCGCAGTTGAGGCGGCGTTTTGAAGAAAGTGATCTTCTGAGGTCATAAACCTTGACGACTTCGACGCTGGTAATCGATGGCATCTTGACATCTTCATCGTCAATAATCGTTGAAGACTCGGTTGCCCTTTCCTCGACGGTTTCGGGGCATTCGTTCTTTTCCTCTTCTTCCTCTTCGTCGCCTGTGGCAAGTTCTTCTTCGGAAGTAATTCCAGTGTCGCCTGGAGACTGAAGGAAGGAGGAATCTTGTGAAGACGGCGAGAACCCTTGAAAAGGCACCGATTTGCTCGTTGGAGTTAGAAAAAGCGAATCTGCAGGTGGTCGAGAAACATGAGCAGCGTCACGAGCGTGCTCGAATTCTTCTGGCGCCGGGAAGACATTTGAGGTAGAGGGTTCATCGATCGTCGTCTCGCTAGAATTTTCCTTCTCCGAGGAATCCATGTGACCAGAAGAGCGAGTCGGACCAGGGAAAACCAAAGGGCTCTTCAAGGAGGAGAAAGACTCTCCTTCTCCGACGGAAGATTGCGAAAAGCGAAAGTCGGACGAGTTGGAATCGTCGCTGAACATATGATGCTCAAAATCGAATCCAGAGCAAGTATCGCCTTGGTCGGGGATAGGTCTGAAATGTTGATACAAGATTCGGGATAATGGAAAAGTCTTTACTCATATTCCGAACATTCGGACAGCTTTTGCCGTCGTCCAACGATACATTCTTCTTCTTTCTCGCCTTCGTCAAAACAGTCTTTTTCGAGCTTGTTAGAAATATCTTCCAAGGGTTGCCGACTTCGATCTAAGGTTTCCCGCATCAATCAGAATTCTAAAAATAAAAGAAAATTGTTGGTATTTATCATTAGCATTCAGTGGAACTTTTAGAATGAGCTGGAGTTGAAGATACGGAATTAATGAAAGAGAGAATTTCTGAATAAAGGTAGGCCGGAGCGCGCGTCCCCCAGATAAAGTCCAGATGGTCCCACCCGTCTAGGAGGTGCTCTTCCACGACATTTGGTAGCTGCGATGAAGCCCAGTTCACGTCCTCTACGTCTGACAAGTTATCATCAGATCTGAAACGCCAATCAGTTTTTCTCGGGCAAAAGAACTTACGCGTAGTAGAGAATAACGGGCACATGGACTTCCGTCAAGTCAAAAACTGGTGGCGACTCGGAGAGGTAGTTGTTGATATTGGCGGCTTTGTGATCATACTTTTGCATCCTCTGTGATTTTATCAACTGGCAGAAATGGATAAGATTTTGAAGTGAAGTGCCAGAAGGTGTGTGTGCTAAAAACATGTTCTAGAAAATTCAAAGTCGTTAAGTTTACCTGTATAAACTGGAAGGTATTTTCTGAAGTAGTGAGATGGATTGAAGCCAGTGATGAGTCCCATGAAGCTATTGGCTTGATCTTCAATCGTTATAAGGGGCGTCTTTCGCAGCATTTTGTGCATTTGAGTATTGAGCCAGCGACCGATCTTTGTGTTGGGCAAGACTTCTTGGCCTCCTATCAGGCTCTGTCCCGTTTCTGCAATGTCTGCTAAACCAGCTAAGTGTTTGATTGGACTCGTCAAGTGTTTCAGTCTTGTAATCGGAGCAAGAGCAAAGAATGATCTAAGCCGGGATTATTTTGGGGTTAAGAGTAAATTTGAGTACCTGATCTTCCGACGTTCTTCTCTTGGAGCTTCGGACAAGTATGCGAACATGATGAGCGTCCCCTGACTGTGCCCAACGTAGAAAAGATTCGGGTGATTAGATGTTTTCAGGACTGCATCGACCGTGGCAGGCACATCATATTTGGCTCTCAAATGGATCGACTAATCTCACTTTTTAATAGTTTCGTATTAATGCAATCCTCTAGTAGATTTCTTGCTCTCAATTGGCAATAGACTATTGCCAATAGTGACGACCAAGAAATTATCTTCCTCAGCCGCACAGAAAAGTATTCCGCAGGAATACACCTACTATAAGCACAAAGAACGCGAACTAACCCATGCCTTTTTCTTGCCAACTCCAGCGCCAGAATTCTTGATCATTGTGCTTGAGCGAGACATGGTTCCTACTGTACTTGTTCCCGCGCGAATTCGCCAAGTAAACATCGAGGCCATCTTTCGCCAGTATAAATGCTAAATATTCCTTCGATGCGGTGAAGGATTAATTATTTTACCGAGAGAATCATGAGGGCCATTGGAGACCCAATGAGAAGCGCAGCCGAGTAGTCCGTGCTGGAGCAGAACTGGCTCTCTGACTGTTTTATTCGTCATGTGATCGAGGTCGCGGACGCGAAAGACTTGTAGGATGAAGCCATCAATGGTCGTCACGGTTAGTTCTTCGCAGCTGAGGCCTAGGATTGAAATCTTTGGAAGACAAAAGCGATTCTTGTCTACGAGTTCAGCACCTTTCAGGCCCTGTTGCTTTGAACAAATCAGTAAATCTCAACCCTAAACTGAATCCGTTGTAGCGAACAATGTCAGGCACGTCCAATGTTGCTTCTAGCGGGATATCGTTTTCCATCCCTGTAAAAATTATGTCTGTGGATAAATTAATATCAAGCTAAGTTCTGAAGAATACAAATTGTACCTTAGAATCACAAATACCTGGATCAGAAGCCGATACGAGAAATAATTATTAAATAAATATTAGCTCAGGGATTATGAACAATTGACATCAGTTGCATAGCATTTCGTTTCGCCCATAAATGGTAGTAGCGCGAGAATGGGCCTTGCTCTTGGATCTTTGGCTCGCCGCGACCGCCCACTCACATTCTGCGACGGACCAAACCACTCACCGCGTTCAAAGAGAGCCTGTCTGTCGACCACAGTCTGAAAAGCGTCTTACTCATCCAACGTTAAAAAACTCGAATAATAACGATAGGATAAATCAGAAAACCGCACTCTAGAACAGTCGATCTTGTAATGGAGGACTCACTGCGCGAAACTGTCTACTCAGGTTCGGTTCAGTATTTTCCGTATTTTTCGTTTTTTAAATTCCAATCTAATTCTTAAAAATCGGCGTAGCTCCACTTACCTGTTGCCATTGATGTTTGTCAACTTGCCCCTGCGCGTCGCTTATATAGCTAAAAATTTTTAACAAAAGAAAACAATTCTAGAGCCGAATGTTAACAATGTAAAATCTCTTCGATTTTGAAAATTTGGCATCATTAAATTTTAACAATTAAATAAGTTAAAGTTTGTCTTGGAAATCGTTTTTAATAAAAAAAAAAAATTAAACCTCAAATGCAGAATATGTGGAGGCCTGGAAAATTCATGAGAAATCGTCGCCGGAGGAAAAGCCGTTCGAAAATCAATATGCTGCTTTGAAAAAATTGGAGAAGATTCATGCTAGCTTGGAGGAAGAACTCTCCGACGAGGGAATCATCATGAAAGCGTCGCTGGAGCACTTCATCGGAAAGATCCATTACACGAGTGAAGACAGACCCAGTGCGGTCCAGTCTCTGCAAAAGAGTCTTCGCACGCTAGAAGCCAACCTCTTTGACAACCGGGTGAGTACGGTCCTCGACGACTATAGAAAGATTATTTTCTAGGCGTTGGCTATTTTCATGAAGGCGACGAATGATCTGGCGATAATCTATTGCGAGAGAGAAGAGTACTCGAGTTCGTATGCGCTATTGAAACAAGGAGAGAAAGTTTACGAAGAAATCGGCGAGAAATCGATTCCTCTGAGCAGCATCTGGGACAGCTGGGAAATACTCAAGCCTGGCAATGAGCGAAACACAGCAGACGGTAGAAAAGACGCCTTCGAAGAGGTCTACACGCACACTCTCTTCTACCTATCACAAACCTGCCAAAATTTAGGCAAAGTTGGCGAATCGTCGGACTACTGCGGAAGATGCCTCCATCGTCAGCTGAGGACAATTAGCTCGAAAGGTCGGCGTTCAAATCCAAGACTGCGTGCCGAAATTAAATTGCGGCGCTATCACGAGCTCACTTCTTTTACATATTTGATGTTCAGTATTGATTGCACTTACTTTCGAGGCAGTGCTGTTAAGGAAAGATTTACTTGCAGTGAAGGTTGAATTGAACGCAGAGACAAGAGGATTTCCAGCAGTTTTCGCTCCACGCAGCATGTCTTGGTCAATACTATCTGACGACGGACGACTACCTGTCGGCGAAAACGTGTCTTCTCGCCGCAAACAGAATCTTCGCGCAAGTTGATACTGTATCAAGCGATGATGGCGAGTTCGGCCGGAAAATTGAGGAAACTCGTAATGACATTAAAAGATGCTGGATAAAATACTGCGTCGCTTTTTTGGAATGGTCATCTAAGAAACTGGCAATGAGAAGTGTAGCAGCTGAGCTAGAAGCCATAGAAGATGCGCAACCGCAGCAGTCAGCGATAAAGTTTGATTTGGAGAGGTTTAGCAAATATGAGGTATTGACAAAACAACATTTAATTTTTTCAGAAATATTTTCACAGTCTATTCGGACAGCTCTATTATCAATTTATCAATAATTTGCGCGATCATTCTCTGTTCTTCTGGGGATAGATCCCCAAGCGATCATTTTATTGATTTTCGAATCAGCCAATTTTCAGGACGAATGCCAGAATATACCTTCCAAGGCAGTCCATGTCCTGCCCGAAGCGAACAAGATACACAAGCTTACTCAGAAGCTGTGCGAGAAGTCACTGGAATTTTTCAAATTCGACGGTTACGTTATGGATCACGTAGAGATATCGCAGGATCTTTCAAAGTCGTGGAAGAATCTAGCGGAATTCGACACCAATTTCGAAAGAAGATGCAAAATGCACAAACGGCGAATTGACTTGCTTACACCTTTGGTGGCTGGACTCAATCCTCAATACTATTTGCAAGTCGTCCGTCAGCTTCAGTACGAAATCGGCGAAGTCTACTCCGAAATGACGGAGCTCAAGATGGCCATCGCAAACAACGATGAAGTTCCAACAGTTCACCAAATCAAGAAAATCAATGTTCTTGCAAACTCGGGGATCAAGTTCTTCACAGGATTCATCGACTCGTGTCGCGAAGCAGATAAAAAATTACCGAAGCGATTCGAGAAGATTCTTGTTCGTCCTGTTTTGATGGCGCACTTTCATGTTGCTAGACTTTACGGGTGCGTTCCATAATCTTCACAGTGAGTAAGACATGAAATCATTCAGAAAAATGATTTCGCCAGTGATGAGCGATCGCGTCGATTGGACCAAGAAAAGTTGGCAAGCATATAAAACGATTTTGATGTTCTGCGAGCAAGATCCTTCAGCGAAAGACGAAATTCCGGATGAATATGACCTCGTGATTGAAATGGACGCATTGATGCCACAAAAACTTCAGCAGCTTAATTAAAAGTTTCAGTCAGAGACATTCCTTCAGAGTCACAAATGCTTCAATTTGCAATCCCGCTCAGGCTTCGAAAAAATGAGTCTCCGCGTTGTCTCTTCTCGATAACTGAGACAGCGTGAGTGTCTCCATGAGGATGAATCACCGATAAAGAGGCAGCTCGGAGACTCATTTTTCGAACCCTGATCCCGCTTTATTTATTATAACCTTCATTCACCATTTGTAATTAAATAAGTGCTTAGAATTGGTCTTTTAGAATGTTGTTACACATCGCAATATTGCTCGCAATATTGCCAGAGACAAACTCTCGTCGAGGAGGAGGTAGCCGGGGAAGTGGCCGCACAAGCAGCCGCACAAGCAGTCGATACAACAAACCCACTTCATATAACAGACAGTCAACAAGTTATTCGAACAAAAACTATGGTGGTACGTCAAATCCTACATATTATAATAATAAGCAAAATCATGGCACGTCGTATACAAAGCCTAGAGATTCGTACAGTGGATCTAACTCATACAAAAATAAGTATGGAAACTCTGGATACGGCGGCGTACCTTTAGCAGGTGACTATGGGGTTAGCGCGCTGTGAAAGCATTTTATTAATTTAATAAAATCGTGTGCGGTAACGCCTGGTAGTATCCTTGATAACCATTGTGGATTTAAGGACAATCGGGCAGCTGGAACAGTCGACAAACTTACAAAGGTCCGACGTCTTATGCAGGTATGATTAATTATGAGAGTCTTTATAAACACTATCAGGTGGTACCTCGTGGAGTAGAACCAGCCCTCCCGTCAGTTCCAGCACGCTTAAGTCCTACAAAAACCCCAATTACTACGGTCTTCAGCAATCCGCAAAGAAGAAATCTATGTTTAGCAAGGTCAAAACCCCTTTGATGGTTGCAGGAGGTGCGTACTTGGGATACAAGCTTGGCAAAGGCATCGGTCAGCTCTCCATGCTGAGGTAGGATTACGACTATCCTACATCCATTAAATTGCGAACCTAGTAATCCTTACTCTTTGATGTCTCCTATGTATGGCGGTTATGGATACGGACCTTACTATAACTATGGGGGTTATCAACATAGCTACTGGCACTCGCAGCCAACGATGTACCGGGAATATGCTTATAACAAGTACCCAGATCTAAAGACGGACTCATGCTACGAGTGCTCTTCTATCGGCGGGAGCAACCCCATTTGCGACGATATGGACGATAAATACGGCGCCTCCTCTACAAACGCGTACGTAACTTCTTTTCATTCTTCTCTTATCTGTTTTCTAGTTTCCGAACGAAGTGCCCACAAGAAGGCTCCGTCTGTGTCGTTACTGTTGGACGAGTGTTTCCTGTAGTGAGCGAGGCAATGCCAGCAATTGACCCAAACAACACTGATCCGAATACGTTGAAGAAGTGGGAAGGCAAATCATTCACTCGGCGTGCATGCGTTCCGCCCAACCGCCAGAACGTGTGCGACGCGTACTGCCCAACTCCAATTCCTGGCTCTGATGTGTGAGTATTTCGTCCTTTATTTTAGTTCAATGTCCTATACTCCGCAATTTAGGAAATACGCCGACGAGTGTGATATTTACATGTGTAACATGTGCGATACTGAGTCTTGCAACTCTTGGGGTCTCCTCTCCATGCCCGACAAAAATAACATAGAGACCGGTCGCGATTCGCAAGCAGCTTTCCAAGCGACAATCCCTCTTATGCTCGTTCTTCTCATGCTTTTCAATTGAAGCTTTAAAATTTTTAAACTTATTAATATTCGCAATTTTATATCCAATATTGATATAGAATAAGCTAAAAATGCCCTTAAAAGTTATAACACTTATTGAAAAATGCTCTCATCTCGCCTGCGATCCTTACTTTCTCAAATACCTGAACAGTCTCGTTGTATCCTTGTAGCCAAGATTAATGCACCACATCTTCAACATTTACCTTTTTTCCGTATTAACTTAAAACTTCTCGAAATATCCCGTAAAGATTTTGTTCCATCTCAAATGCTTGCCTTGAACTCTTTCATTTCGAAACTGAAATCAATGAATAAAAAGTTTCCAGAATGTCAAGACCTTATTGTCAAAAATATGCCTGCATTATTCAAGAGTAAGCTGCACACTCTTCCTCATTCTTGTAACGGTCTTTTATCTACATTTTAGTTGCATGGAGCGCTACAGGCATGATCAGAAAAAATGTCAAAACGCAATAGGGAAATGGTTAAAGCAAAGCAGGTCTAGGAAATTTATAAATGTGTGCAAAACTAGATAACATGGTCATTTAACCTATATAGATGACCTGGCAAAATGCTGCGATAAGCTTATTTCTATGAAGAAGACATCAGTTTCCTGCCAAGGATCGTTTCCGACTTCGTACAAGAGACCATCTGATAGTTCTTCTTAACTTTTGACAGTGGTATTTGTTACGGACTTAGGCAAATTTGAGTTTTTAAGAATGGATGAGGATAATTACCCGGCTAGTGATGTAGTGCCGATTTATGACACGGGTAGTGGAACTTTCAGCGCAGAGCAAAATACCAAGGTGGGCTTCGCACTTACCCGGGCACTCAGATTACGTCGTTTCACCTGAAAAATACCAATTTACAATCACGAGAGCTCGTGAACTGATTCGACTGGCTGTAAATTGTCTGGAGTTGTCTCATCCAGAACAGGATTGTCCGGGTAAATGCGAAAACCACATAAGCAGATTTTGATGAGCTCATTGGAAGAGAAAAATAGGAGCCGTAATCGAACGAACTCGCCGTCAGATCTAGTGGCAACAGATGACAGTCCACTGGACCAGCTGCTGAAAACTCCTGCCACAACTGCTTTACCTGCTTTGCCGAGTTCTGCTCCTATGGATATTTTAGGAATAGGCCGAATTACATTATACTCGTAAATATGATTCTTTTCATTTTTATTAATTTGGTGTTAACGTAATGTACCCTTTATGCAGGCAATGATGATGAGGATCTCCAAAAAGCACTCCAAATGTCTCTTCAAGATGGACAAAATAACGAATTGAGCGCAGAGGAAAAAGACTTTCAAAGGGCGATTGCCGAATCTATGCAGACTCACGAAGCCCATCAAAACCCAGAAAAGCGCTCGCTAGAGTCTGATCGAGCTCCGCAGTTGGCAAATCCCGAAAGAGATCCAGACATGCCTGCTGGAATGCGTAATGTTGGGAGTAGCTGCTGGTTTAATTGCGTTCTCCAGGTAGTTAAATTCAAAGTTTCACAGCGTGAAGGGTCATGTTTCAGATAATGTACAACATTCCGAGCCTTCGGGAAGCAATATCTCACTACAACTCCTCATCCCCGTCGGAAGAGTTCTTTGCCTTACAAAAAACGTTAGCCTTACTTCATTTGTCGAAGTACTCTTGGGTGGACCCGATTGACGAAGTCCTTCTTTATCGTAAGATGATGCCGATGTCATCGCAACAGGATGCTGCTGAATTTCTTGGGAAATGCATCGAAATTTGCGAGAAAGAGTTCAAGAACGGCAACGAAAATGAGGACATAAGCGCGTTGACTTCAATTTATTCGGGGACACTCACTGTCACAGGCAAAGATAGTAAGGATCAGGTAATTATATACATTATTCTGTTGGCTCAGCGGACGGTTCCTCGTCCTACAAAATAATTGATTCACCTCGAGCTTGATAATACCTCTGGAGAATTTTCTTCCTGGCCATCTTCAGGATTTTCTTCTTCTACTTGTGTCTCATCCTTAGCTGGTTTAACTTTGATCGGTGTAACTGGGGTTACTTCTTGAGTTTCAGTAGCCAGAGAACCTTGTGTCACAGGCGCAACTGGAGCAGCTATTTGCTGCGGAACTCCCATCATCGCCTGCGTCAGTGGTGCAGCCGCTACTGGAGCACCACTTAGCTGAGCTAATTGCTAGTTACACATTCATAGACGGGCTATACCTTCGCTAGCTCTTGATCATAGTAGGCTTTGTAGTAATTATATTCTTGCATGAAGTAGGTCTTGTAGTCTTCCTCGAGTTTTTGTCTTAATAGATATTTATTCCCATGAATATGAGTCAACTTCATGGGAATAAATATGACATGGTTAATTCATATGAATACTTCCATATGAGAAGTTAGTTTAATATCGCACCTTGATGCATCATCAGTTGCCTGAGAAACTGCCGTCAAGTAATTCTGATCAGTTTGCATTCTCATGCTTGGCTCCATGGCAGCAAGTTGTGTTTCCGCTTGTTTCTTGAATTGAAGGTATTCAGAAGACATTCCACTCGGAGCGTCAGGCAGCGTCGGTATCTGGTTCGCCGCAGCTGCACCATTTACTTCCACCCTTCGAAATTCATAAATAGTTTTCTTGGATCACAAGGATTGCGACGAGTGCGACTTATTGTGGGGCACTGTCGCATTTACAGTATAGGCTATACTTTTTGCTTACCCTGCACCAACTTGATCGGAAACCTCTCCTAGACCTTCTCCTTCCGCTTCCTCTTCCTCGCCTTCGAGGAGTGCCGCAGAAATATTAGCAATTTCTTGACGGGCCTCTGCCACATCGGCCTTTACAAAATGAAGCTCTTCTCTCACTTGTTGTATGAACTCTTTCATGATTTCACAGAGCTCTTTTTGTCTATCTTCAGAATTTTTATCTAACATGATGGCGGCAGTATAGATGCATCCGTTTGTCGACATGTTTTGCTGTTTCTACAAAATAATCATTCCAACTTTTTTATGCTTTTCCTTAAATCCCAAACCTTTATATTCTGCTCAAATGGTTTGAATGCATCTTTGTCCTCATACGGGGTGGGAAGCTCCAGCTCTAATATGTCCTTTTTTCACGGTTTTTCACATTTTTGAAAAATGATTTTTCTATAATATCGTTGATATTATTGATAGTTTCACATAAATAAAACAAAAAATCTGAGTTTATAGAGGTTAGAAATTTCTCTCTTTCGAACCGCTTCTGATGTGCTTGAATTGGATCACACTGTATTTTGGTGATAGGATCGCGATCCGGTTTCTTGTATCGAGACCTCCATCCGAGTAGATTCTCTGGGGGCTGTATGTGCTCTTTCCACTTATGGAGACGTTCCTCTGATAAAACTTCGTGTTCTCTTTGCGGATCCATTTCCATTTCAAACTCATCTTCGCACTCAGGCAACTCGAGCTCTTCATTTTCCGCCATCTTTGTGGAGACTGATAAATTGGAAAAAACGCTTTATATGGTACTATGTACTTCTGAAAGATTGACTAAAGATTGAATCATTTAAATCATGTCCGCACTGCAGAATTAATAGAGTCTTCCGTTTAGTCATTTTCGAGCAACGAGGATTTTGGTCCACATTTTAATATTCATGTTCACCAAAAGGGGAACCTAGGTACGTGCTGTATATTTTATAAGGTTACAACTTGCCCTTTAGAAAACGCCTTGAATGGAATTGAAATCAACAAGGAGACGTGGATCAAGACTCTTCCCCAGGTGCTTTTCCTAAACTTAAACCGCTTCGAGTACAACCGGCAACTACAAGTCCCTCAAAAATCGAATGAACGACTTGAGTTTAAAGAAGAAATTTTCATGGATAGGTACTTGAGCTGCAACCAAGACAGGGTAATGATTTATTTATCGTATGTCTAAGAAGCAGGAGAGGCTAGACTGCGGCTGAATAAGTGATCATCGTGATTCGCGAGAGGCGACTGACAATTCCAAAAGAAGAAATAGATATTTTCGAACAATTTTAAAACTATCTTTAATTACCCTTACAAGACTTGGCTAGAAAACTCCACAACGAACATCAGTCTATCGAGGAAAAACTTCTCACGATAAGTAATTCAAAAGCAGCTCTCACAAAAAGAGGAGATATGAATGTCAACCGTACGCTGCAAACTGTGATCGACATGTGTGCTGCGACGGAAAGCTCAGAAACGTTGCCCGCTGATATCAGTCTCTCTGATATGAAGGCTACCAAGGCTGTGCTCACCAAATGGAACGACTTTATTAAATCGGAAAATCAGAAGCTTTCTGAAACAGCCACTGAATTGCGCTCTCAAAGAAGAAATCTTTACACGAAAAGTTCGTTGCAGCAAGAGAGATTCTTTTTATCGGGTGTGATTGTTCACCAGGGACAAGCAGGCGCTGGTCATTACTGGGTTTACATTCTAAAAGGCGAATCATGGTGGCGGATCAACGATAATGATGTTAAGAAAGTTGAGTTTTTCGACATCGAGAAAGAAAGCTTTGGTGGTGCCTCCGGTAGCTCGTCAGCCTATATATTGGTTTACCAGAAAGATGGGGGTACTGTTATCACTGACGAGCTAGCCCCTGCCCTTGACAGTGCTGTGAAGCATCATGACGAACAGCAGGCTCAGCGAGCTAGTGAAGCTAATCGGAAGTCGCCGCCAGTGCCAGATTGGTCTGAGCCAGTTGATGATCCATACAGTGTTAATGTTATGCACCACGTTCCCGCCTTCAGCAATACGGAAGCGTCGCCACTTGATATTCCAGCGTTGGAAGTTGCGACAGAAGAAAGTGACATGGATGTCGACGAAGTCAATGTTGTCTCAAGCAACCTCACCTCTACAGAGCTAGAGTACAGGTAACTGTAGAAGAACTGTTTGAAATTATCTTCATTATTAAGCCAGCAGTTTGACGCTTGGCTCCAAGGCAACTGCAGAAATGAGAAAACGAGATTTTATAAGAATCATTTTATCGATTCTTTGACATATGATCTACAAACGAAACGGCAACTAAAGTTTGCGGCATTTTTGGACGAAAATGGCAAAACAGAATTTCTTCGAAGTTTCTGGAATGAAGTCAAGAATAAGGTTTTGAATGGCCTTTTAACCTCTTACAAACTTTTAATTTAGGAGCTTATTGAGCAATATAGAAATATTTCTAAGCTCCATGCTCTCCATGCCTGCACGTTTGAAGATATGGTTCAAGGTACTTGAGCGGCCATATTCCAAATTCATTAAAACTGATAGCCCTTTTCGCCTGGGACAATGGCAGGTGGAATACTATGGATGACGTTATACGGGCGCTTCAATATGCTGAGACGGCTATATTTGATCAAATATGGTTTACCGAGTTAAACGACATTGGCTGCGATGAGATTGAGCATTCATATTTCTATGATGCACTGAGTCGTATACTCTTTGATGCCACTAACGTAAGATTAATTGAAAAATGCGTATTTGAAGGAAATTTAGAAAATAATGGATGCTTTGTCTTCTGCGGCTAACCCAATTGCTCATTTGAAGGAACTAAATGGCTACCTGAATCTATTTTTGTATTTGAGCAAAAGCATTAACTCGTTCACGGAATATAGGAACTGGTTTTATCATCAATCTGCAGCGTGTATTCATGAACTCTAGTTTACACTCCAAAAACCAAAAAATAGAGATGACACGATAAACAACGTAAAGCAGAGAGTAGACTTCGTGCGTGGCAAGTGGCTAGAATTTCAGGAACAAACTTTCAATACCGAACTGGACAACGCCAAAGGACCAATGGAAGATTTTATCGGCCGTCTGTTCCTCGAGGACTGCCAAGAAATTTATTATAATCTACGAAGCCGCGAGGATGAAAGCTCGTGGAAACTGAAAGAGGATCCAAATCTGACAATGCAAAATTACAGTTCACTGAAGCAACAGAAGTTTGATTAAATGTACACAGCCAAAAATATTTATTGCCATTAAAACAAAATACTGCTCAATGACATCCTGTTCAAAATTTCGCTACCAATGCAGGCTACATGTAACCTACCTGTATATTCCTGTATGATAATGAAAATATTTATATAAATAAAAAGATAAAGATGTTCAAAAATATGTTGACTGAAAGATTATTGAGCGCCGGTGACTAGAGTTCACTCAGTTACTTGCGCTTACTTTGATTCCTTCCTTGCTGGAAATAATGAACTCGCAGGATCTGCCTTTATTTGTTACAAATAAGATTGTAAAAAGTGAGAGTTATTTTCTTATCACGATCAAGAAGAAAATTCTAGTGACAGAGCACTTGGGCCAGCCTGAGTAGTATTGTCCTAGTCGTAATCCTTTCAATTAAATTATTCGCAGAGAACAAAAGGCACACTTTGCACAGATTTCCACGCGTCAAAAATTCTAAGCCTTTGAATTTAAGCATTCTCGTCTTGTTGTCCTTTTGAGATTTCGCTCTCTCACTGTTCGCTGCCGCAAATTTACCATTTCTGAAATCACAACCGGTAGCGAATTAGTTAAATGACTCGCCGCCTGAATCAGAGATCATCGTAAAAAGCAGGCAAAGCCTTTCATGACAATTTTACCATTTGTCCGTTATACTTTACCGACTGGCGCCGCCACAAAAATATGAAATAGAGAAATTTACAACTGCGGGTGGAATAATAAGTGAAACGAAAGCTACCATGCTGGTGATTCTAGCATCAATATTTGGCTTATTATCAGCGAGAGAAGTACCTGTCGAGCTTATCGCCCAGCCAGTCGTCAGCAGTCGTGATGGAAGCATTCAGTGTTTTTTTGATTTGGAATTATCAGATAGGCTCAAAGGTTTAACTTGGAAGTAAGTTCGGGGCTCGATTATTTACGTTTACTATAATACATTGGCATGATGTTCTATTCTTTCATAAAAGAAAACGCGAATATCAGAATCACCTCTTTTACTACTTGAAATTCTAGGCGTTCTTTCCAAGATGAGGAGGATGAAATTATCATGGTGCTGGACGGAGAAGGTCAAACCCGACACGCATTAGACGGCAGATTTTCTAGCTTTTTGAAAAATGCGACGAGCATCGATAGTAAAAATAGGTAATTACAAAAAGGTCAACTGACACTCAAGTTCAGGCATACGGTTTCGATAAAGGAATTATCCATTGTTACCGGACGCACTCCCCAAGATTGTCGAAAAGACATTGTAGATCCAAGAATCGTTACAAATCCTACACAAAGCTGTTTATTCAGTAAATAAACTTGCTGAAAATTGCCTACAAAAAGCCAAGAGTGTCAAAAATTTTACGAGATAATTTAGAGACCCGGCATTACGATGATAGTTCTGTGATTAAAATAGGCTTATGAGATTTTTTTTCATAATCCCCACATACTTAAATAATTAACCTTAGACAAAGTATTTTTTATCAATTGAAGATATCATTCTAAAAGCGTATAAAGCTAATATATTTTAATATTCAGATTTGAATCGTTATTGAGAATAAATGAGGTTTCAACCAGTGATGACCAGTTCGACTACAATTGTGAAATTACTTTTATGGACTCAGTAAAGGGTGCTTTCCATCAGTCTGATTCTGAAACAGGTGCAAGGTTGAAAGTCCTTCGCCCTCCCTCTACGCCCTATTTGACGATTGATAGCAGCTCAGGTTTGGAAATAAATTTTGCTCGTAAAAGCGTCTAATCCGTTTTTGAAGACGAGGCGGTATTTAAATGCGAAGTCGAGGATCTCGGATACCCAAACGATGCCTCCGTCGAAATACTTCACAACGGGACGTTACTTACAAGCCAGCAGAACGCAATTATCGAGGCCGATCTCAAACTTAGTCCCAAAGACGCACGTACCATTGTTGAGTGCCGAACAAGTCACGAAAGTTTCGATCTTGGACTAGCGCAACAAACGACTGACGAGTTCGAGCTCGTCGCTCCGCAATTGAGTGGGCCGAATGCACCATTTTCGCTCTATTTGACGAAAAAGGCTTTGTCTCAGATCCCTGCTAAAAAAGTGAACACCAACTCTGCACTTGGTTCCGGAACAGGCCTTTCTGTCAAAATTCAGGACAAGTGAGCATTTTTTCGTGATAACAGAAAGTTAACGGATGAGTTTAGGTCAGCAAAATACTGCCATGTTTCTGTGGAAATGGATACTGACGCGCTTCCAGTTCCAGCCTTGCTAGTTTTCACAGGAAAAAACCAAACGTCAAACATGACTCCATCGAGTGGCAATCGTATGACCATCACGCTCGACAAAAATGCCGAATCTACAACTGTTGTGGCTATGAGCCCCCTTGGAAGTGTCGGCTTTACCTTCGACAACTCGGTCCACGCAGAATGTAGGTACTGCGAATCTCGACCAATTTAATTTTGCGCGTTAGGTTTTCCTTCGCTTCCTGCTCAAACAGTGAAGAAGTCCGGCAGCTCGTCATTCAACGGGGCGATTATCGCCATATTCGTTATAGTGATTCTTGTCAGTGTTCTAATTGGATTAGGTTTGTAGTCGTTTTTTTTAAATTCGTTTCGTTTGCTTTATAATTACTCACGCTGGTTCTAGTGTTTTTGAAAAGACGGCGGGACATGGAAAAGGGTAACGGTGATAATGAAAACGCAAACGCGACGATGCGGTCTGTTGAATCGCAGGACTTCGAAGCTTACCAACCGGAGCAAAATGATACAAAAAGAAGCCAGTCTAATCGAGAATCAGGTTTATTTTTCAAGAAATTATAATCCTTATTAATCTGATCTCGTAGTTTATTTCAGTAAAGGTTTCGGATCTCATTAAGATCATCTTCATTACTAAATAGTTGTAAGAAAACGTAAAAAATAGAACGAACCTTTGAGGGCCTTTCGGGCATAATCAATTATGGCAAATATATTTCAATTATAATTATTGCATGATCTTGTTAACTTTTCATTTTAGCATTAATTTTCGTCATAACTTTTCTTTAACTTGGTACAATCGATGAAGCACTTAATCAGCAGTCGTACGAGTTGTATTCTGAGTTATTGTTTTCAGGAGCAACATATTTACTACGGCAATGTTTATGCGGAAATAATTAGCGAAACGCTCATGGCGTTGTTTTTATTATAAATTAAGCAGATGTTAATTTGAATTTAATCAAATAGCTTTTGTTCTAATCTAGCGCGCCGTTAGAACTTGATAAATACATTAAAACTATTATGAAAGAATAAATATTCAGAGACTTCTCGTTTCGTTCAACCAAACACAAGCCTTGCTCTCTCAGACGATGATGCAGACATCTAGTTTTAATCAATCTTATATTCTCGCCTGTAATAAATTATCGAATTTAAAATCTCAATTTTAGGTGTTTTCTATGATGCCGAAGCTGAAGAACAGTCATTTATAGCTTCTGAAAACGAAGCTAGATTAGGTGAAGAGTCGCCTTTGCGTAAACAAATCTACAGCTAGAGTTCTTCAAAGTCCTTTAAATTATGTCAGTGTAGAAAAGTGAAATCCTGTATTTCATCAAGAGAAACTAATTTTTCTACCGATTGTTGAATTCTTTTGAAAGATCACTCGGCCGTTTTATGAACTTCGAAAAGCCTCGAAGTGGCCCTTTGGAAGATAGACTAGCCCAGGAAGCGATTCAAATTAATTCATAAATCTGCCAAAAAGATTTATAAAAACCTCTGTTTTCGATGGTAAAAAATATCGCCTTGAAAGCTCTACAACAAAAACACTAATTGAAGAAAATCAATATCAGTGCTAAAATCGCCAACTACCATTTTCGAAAATATAAAATTAACAAATCATTTATGAAATAGAAAACCTTTATTGTTTGTTCAATACAGCAATATTTTGTATATCACGATTTGGAGAAGCTCCCTCGGGCTTTTTAAAAAAGTTTATACAGTGAGTGAAAATATTTATGTACAAGAATAAGAATCGGAGCATCTTCTTGAGACGGTAGTATTTATAAGGTCATGTAGTTGTGTGGATCACCAGCTACGCTTTCAACAACATCACCATCGCAAGTTCCAGTGGAAACAATGTTGAAGATCTCGCCAAGAGCGGAGCTTAAAAAACGGTACTCGAATGAAATGAGCCGGAGAATAGTGCTAGTTTCGTAATAGACTGCTGTTAATTTACCTCGTTCGGCAGCAGTCTTTGTTATTGGCGTAGCCTCTTCGTTCGGGGTAAATACCGCAGCATTTTTCCTTGAGAGGAGATTGCACTCCATTACCTCGCTCGGGACAAGTGTAAGATCCGCCTCCAGAAACGGTTCTGAAGCTCTCATCGATGCAGTAAGTTTTCCCTTCGTCGATTGGGTTTCCGTTGTTCTAAGGAATAAGGGTTTAGATAAGCCAACTTATCGCGCGCTTCTCCTTATCGCACAGTTTTGGTATCAATGTTACGCTACAGTTCTCTGATCTAATCGAGATTATGGCAAACCTGGCACTGGTCTTCGTTGTAAGCAATTTTAGCAGCAAAGGCGGCGTCACACTGGCAAATGTGCTCTCCATCAGATTGAGCGCCTCCTGAGCAGTCAATACTTCTCTTTCCATCACTATCAGTTGTAAAGGTTGCCGAATACGAAAGCTCAGAGTATTTTTTTCCGTAGTCGATGTTAACGCAGGCATAACATCTATTATTTTAAAGATATTTCATTCAATTCACTCATTTTTTGTACCTGTAAAGATCAGTGCACGCCTTGTCGTTCCAATCTACATTAGCTGAACCGGCGCCAAGGTCTTCAATGTTGGAAGTTCCCTTGGCCCAGCAGTAACAACCGTAACTAGTGTACTTCTGTTCAAGCGCTTGGAGAGTTGCGTCCATGTTCTGTGTTGCTGGATCGACACTGTCTGCACCTTCTCCTTGCATGTAAGCAATCATAGCGGCAATAGGAGCAAAGTTCGATGTGCCAGCCTTCACTCGAGTTAGAAAATAGAAAATCAGACTACTAAGTAGTCCAGCTCGTTTTTCATCCATGGGATAGATTGAAGTTTTAAATCTACACTCGTTCCTGTCTTCTGTACCTTCCAGCGGCGAGATGCTTCTCAACCCAGTCTCCAGCAATATTTCGTTCGACCTTGTGCTGGAAATTTTCTCGAAAGGTTGCATTGGCCAAAGAAATAAAGGCAAGAGAGAGCTTCTATAAAAAAAACGTTAACAAACAAAAATCTCTTTGAAACTTGGAATTACCATTTTGTGTTTGGGGTATTGACTGATTCACTGTTTTGAGGGATGACATGTTCTTCTTGCTTGCTGTTTTTATATCCCTTAGAATTTGATCCAGAGCGCCAAATTCTTACTGATAAGAAACCGAGAGCGCGACGTCTTGCGGCGCAATCTCTCGCCGCGCTCACAATTTTTCTGCTGCTTGTTTTCCCTCAACGTGAAATTTCAATCTCTTTTGTGCTTATCAGTACTTGTTGCTTTGGGTATTTTATATTACCATCTTGTATGGTTAATTTCATTGAAATGCAATAATAAACGCGCCAATTTTCGCCAAAGCATGTTTATTATGACGAGCAACATATTTTAACGCTACGGAACAGACCCATAATATTTAATAAAGTGAGGTAGTGACAACGGTCGTCCCAAAGAAAGATTACACTTCGTCAAAACAGTTCCTTGACGGGAAAGGTGTTCCACTGTATTTATATGTTCTCGAAAATTGTGTTTATTTGAAAAATTTTAGCCTTGCGGTTCACCAAAGCCATACTTTTTCTAGTCGGACAATGAGTAAATAGCTTAGCCAAAATAAGAAAGGTCTTCATGGGACTATCCGTTTTGGATATATATTTACTGATTAGGGAAGTTAGAACCAGTAGGATTTGCTAAACAAACTAGCTGGAAACGATCCCCGTTCACGTGCATTTCGCAAAAAGAATAAATGAACACAAGACGGATTTCATTCTTGATCCACTTTCTCAGTGCTAGAAACATTTGTCAAGGACCTCTAGTTATTTTTGATGCACATCAAAACATATCGAGCTGAGTTGTTCAAAATTCATAAAACGTGATCGATTGATAACCTGTTCATTTTATTTAAGATTCGAAAATTATTGTCGAGGTACTAGAAACTCTCTTTGGCTAAGAAAATGGCGAATTGGCTAATACGGAAGAATGGTCTTTTTGGGAACGTGCAGGACGCGGTCCAAAGTACCAAGGCGTGTTTTTGATATCCGCTGGTTCCTTCGGAATTTTTTACCCACTTTAGAAAGTCTTTTTTTAGCTGCTGGAATCTTTGGGGTAAAACGAGAAATAACCAAAGACGACAGATAATGGCTTTTCTTCGATGTTTGGATAGTTTTAGCTTATCGTGTATTTGGTTTGAATGTTGCTGGCTTTTATCGGATTTTTTAGGGTCGAATTTAGTCGAATAAAAAATTACTGCTTCGGTGACGATAAAACTTTTAACATATCCTTCGTGATAAAAAAAGAAGCAAAATAGACAGAAACGTGCGTCTTCTTTCTTTGGCCGGAACGAACTCAGTGGAAGAACAAGATAATGAGCTGGCCCAATTTCGGTATTTTTATTACTTTTTTACCTTGCACTTTAAATCGTAGTGCGGCTTCGACATTCCAGCCGCTTTGGGTTAGTCTTTTGATTTATGCTGAGAAAGAATTAAGTAAATCTATTTTGGCTTACAAACTTGCAAATTTCAGCCCATGAGAGTACTTCTACGAGAGACTGTTGAAGAAAGAACAAGTCTTGACCTTAATTTTTGAGCGCTTGAATTGCACTTTTACAAAAACGTTTCAAATTTCAAGAGCAGCTTTAAGAAAGAGCCGTCTAAGAAAGTGGCCTCACTCGAACTGTTACAGTAAAAAAATAGAGAAGCTGTTATCAGATTTTGCCACCGCGCATATGCGAGAGGTTGATCGCCTGCTCGTTCATAATTCTATTCGGCTGAGGTCTCTAAAGATATAACTCGACGTCAGGCAAATATCCGCCGGTCGGAAAAACAGAGGCCGCTCCACGTACTGCAGGTTAGTCTCAGCCCGATCATACAATATCACGCCAATAACCTTGCCAAAATACGCGTCAGGTTAAGATTTCTTTAGAGCGCCTCTGTAGCTCTAAAAATCTGCGTGATGCTATCATTTCTTTCGCTAACTCGATAGAAGGTTATTTTGATAAGTAAAGGTGAAAAAATTCATTCTCTCTTGTATTCAAATTTTTTGCCTTATTCATTATTTTGCTTCGTAGCTGCAACATAAATCCGCTATTTTTCAACGAACGGAACTACTTAATCGAGGCTTTTCACTTAATCGATCAAGGTCATTCTCGGGGCCCATTAACAATTAATCTTGATATCGCCTCCTTCGTCTGAGGCGAAAAAAGAGACCTTACTAGAGTGTATTTTTGTACTATCAACGTGTCCCGGATCGGTTTAGAATCAGGAAGCACTTTTGATTGTCTTATTTTGGTGGAGCCGATTTAGATATATCGCGGGCGGAGGCTACCACGTTTCCGCCGTATCATTGTGTACATGCAACAAACGTTCCTTTCTGTCGGACCATGCTCGCTATCTTCCGCCGAAAACTGAGATAGGATGAGCAGAAACCGCACGTCAAATGCATTGTTTACCGGCCTCTTGTTTATGATAGTTAGGGTTAAAAGTATGGTTAAGGTCAAGGTTAGCCTCAGGGGCGTCGACAAATTGTCGTTTGACTGCCAATTTATCACTCGATAACAGTTAGAAATGATGCTCGATTCCCAAGGATTTTTATTTCAAACAGTTTAGAAAAATTATATTCGGGTGCAGTAGATACGTGAAAATCACTTTTGCGGAGTAAAATTCTAACCCCCATATTTCTTGTGCTCATTAGATAGAGCAACTCCTAAGGAGTCGAATGGTATAGTTTTTAGGGTCTGAGTCATCACCTATGACGTCATAAGGGCCCCCTTTGAAAAATGGGCATGTCCCCCTGTATCTCCGAAAATTTTCAGAAATATATGGAGATTTTGGCATCGTTTGAAAGCCCAGCTCAAACTGGTTATGAGCACAAGGTGTGCAAGAAAAAATTTTGACGAAAAAAAATTTTTTTGGGACAAAAACTTTTCTCGAAAAAATTTTTTTCGGAATTTTTTATTGCGCACCTAATGCTCATAATCAGTTTGAGCTGGGCTTTCTAACGATATCAAAATCTCTTTATATTTCCGAGAATTTTCGGAGATACAGGGGGACATGACTTGACATTTTCAGGTACTTTAAGCACTAGAATTAGAGATATTCTGTGGCTTGGACACATAAAAATTGTACCAATCGACTCCTCAGAACCTGCGCTACAAGATCAGCACAAAAAATATTGGGGTCCCGATTTTGCTCCGCAGAAGTCATTTTCATCTATCAGTATAATTTCTAATGATCGATTTCCAAAAATATTCAACAATTATCTGGAACTAAAGGAATATTTTTGAAAGATTTCCGACAGTTAACAAAAAATAATCAGAGACATAAAACAAGAGAGTGTTATTGAGAGCAGCGGACATTTAACTCGGTAAGAATTACTTTATAAAATTTGATTTTATTCACGAGCGATGAGGGAACTTATGCGTCGCTCAGCATCGGCTTTTAAACAAGAAATTTGTTCCATGATTGTCCTTTGTCACTTTTTTTGGTTACTTATTTGGTAAATTAAACTACATCAAAGATCTCATAATACCCATCCAAAAGCCATTTCAATTATTCAGAGGATTACTAATTAGATTCGAGTTCCGTTTAGATTCTATGTCGTTGATGGAAACTCTATTGGGGTAAACACTAAGCTTCGCTCCTTCAGGAGAGTTAGTAATTAGTAGTAACCGGCTCCTTCTCGCTGACGCCTCTTCCGTGAATAAATCGGGAAGACGCCTGGGACTGGGCTCGTAAGATCGACGCGACAGCGACTCTTCACCTTCTTTCAAAATGGAATAGATCGACTTAGAATTGGGCTGTTGAAATCGTGTTCGGTAACTTGATTTTAATCTCTTATTAAAATACCGTTAGAAACTCTAAAGCCCCGCCTGGAGTTCGCCCAGAAATTGTTGGTAATCAAGCTCGCGTATTTCATCTTCAAACTGCCAAAGAAATTTATTTTTTAATCTGGAGCATCAAGTTTTACGTACCCCTTTATGTCAAAGTCTGAGATGCCATTCATCAAATTTCCAAGGTGCCCCGCTGAGGTTGCCCAAACTGCGCACTAATAATGTTATAACTTATGAATAAAGAAAATCAATCCGTTCAAGAATCAAGCAGACAGTAGCTTCACTTTAGGGCTGAAACTTATTGGTAAACATCGGTTGTTTAACGGGTTTAACTAGGATAAAGCCTCACGGACTTCCGATCAGAGCACTTTAATTCTCTTAAATTGAGGAAAAGTTTTTAAGGATGTCCGAATCATCATTCCAGTTTATGTAAAACTGAAACTAAATTTTAGGTTTCAGTAATATATTTTCTCCCAAAAATTTATTCAATTTGTCTTACATTCTAAAATGCCCATTTTGAGGAAAATTTCAGCTGACAGATTTGCGTAGGAACGTCCAGAAATGTTGTGAAAATGAAATTTATTTCAGAGAAACTTTAGGTCTAGTGACTAGAAGACGACTTCATAAAATTAATTTTGATCGGAGAAATAAGGTCGTAACTATGTTAAGATTTGGAGAAAATGGACATCTTCTTTTGCACGAAAAACTATACCTTGAACGAAGTCGCTGAAAATTTTAAGTTGATAGGGAAGACACTCGTGCTTAGTAATAAGATCAATCAAGTCGCGAAACCTTGAGTTTTAGATCATGGATTTAAGTGATTTGAATGGGTTTACTCTTCGTATCGCTCGGTAAACAAGGAGCGCTATTTACCTGTGCCACGATAAAGGGAAAAGCAAAGTGCATTCTTATCTCGATACTCGATGTGTTTAAGGGTGTCTTGATGTCGGCTAGAGAGCTTTATAGCTCGTCCGAGGGTGATTTGCGCCGTCGTGCGGTGATCACAAGCAGGATACGGCATTTATCTTGTAGTCGAATACATCATCGCGCCAAGGAGACTAATTTACTTGAGCTTAGTTATTATTACCTAATTAGTGAATCCTTAGCCGGATTCAGTTCCGGATGAGCCGATCACTTCCATCTGCCGCCGAGCGCCAGGAGAATGTAAATATGAGCAAACAACCTCAATTTTCTCTCATTTCTCGTCAATAATCCATCTATAAAAGTCATTCGATCCTCCTCACTGCAAATTGCATTAAATCTAGACGAACAAATTCCGATTGAGCGTGCTCCACTCGGACCCACCAAAATAAGCACTTTCTTGTTTAGTTCGAAACTAACTGTGGTCGAGCAGACGACGAAAACGTGACGTAGCCACAAATAACTCGCTAGGAAGAGAGAAGAAGGTGTTTATCCTATACAAAACGCAAAGCCACAATCTCAGATCGTCAAGGGGCTCAAAAAAGGTAATTTCGCGAGGCGAAAAATTTCATTTATATTGAATACATGTTCCTTGTAAAAAGACCCATTGCTCCTCGAATGTTTTGGGTAACCATTCCGGTTCGCATTATTGTTTCGTTTTCTTTAAATACCGGGCAGCGGAATGGCTATGCTGTTATCATCCTAAATATAACAGACATTTGCTATGAAAATATAAAATGCTTTTGAAATCGGAAAATTTGAGATATTTTTTCTTCTTCTTTGCTTAAAAGTTATCTTTTTCTTAAACGATCAATTCATATAGTGGAAAGACGTGGCCTGATGCAATTAAAATATCTCATTTCCCCTTGAGCAGTTCAAAATATAATTAGCTTATCTCTCCTTTTTTGTAAGTTAGCAAGTTTTGCGATCAATTGAAGCTTCCTTTAGCAATTAAGAAAACTAATCAGGACTCCCCTCGCTAAGATAGTTTTAGAAATGACAATGTAAAGTTCTTTAGCATCACTCTTATAAGCATAGAACAAAACAATAAGAAGAACCATGAGTATGCAAATCACAGATGATGCCGGAAATGCGGCACTGGTCCTAATCTAACTTTGTAGATAGAAATTAATCGAGAGGTTAAACAAGTTGATGTTCAATTTAGAATTTACTCTACTCTGGAAATTGAATTTGAGACTCTTAAATTGAGACGTGAGAAAAAAAGGGAATACTCTATTTTGCATCAATCAAGCTCACGAGTCGGTAGAAATTTTGTAAATTCAATGATCCATCCCTCGCTAAGTATTTGTATCTGAAACTGGTCAACTACTACCTGGACTAATCACGCACCGTGGATTGAATTTGATTTTTAATTAGTGTTTGACCTTCAGGTCAGATTTCGGTTTAAAAGCAGAAGAAGAATTTTGACTACAAACTGTAATCAGCTGAGCCAAACTGCAATTACTGTAGCTGCTTGTAAATCAGAAGAAAAAACAGACAGCTATTTACACATGTTTCAGATATATCTTTCCGTTTCATTCTTTTTTATCTTATTTTTTTATCGACATTTCGTTAACACATTTTTTAATTGCAGCGAATCGCAGAAGACAACGCGAAGAAAAATTGTAGGAATCTTCCAAGGGCGGCTGGAACAACGTAAACATTAGAGGCTCCGGTCCTCGTTGCGTTTGATGGAGCGGGAAATGTTTTTGACGATAACAGAACAACCAAGCGCTAGACTAAGCGCGCGAATGTTGATAACATAAAGAAATCCTTACTACCGCCATCTAGTTGGAAATCATATAAAAGCTTGAAAGCGATACCAAGTAGTCATCCTTTTCGTGAAGTTTTGAGCTAACTAACATGGTAAGCAAAGACAGAGAGAGAATCAATAGAAGAAAGTCATTTTTCTGTCGTCTCCGATGATAGAAACATTTGATTTCAAGAGAATAATTTGAAACAGGAAGTTAAACCGTGATTTTAAGAAACTTACTATCGCACTCTTCTCCGCCGCCAGTGCAACCTTCAAACAGACCTTCCAACACAGAGTCCAGCGAAGCGTGGCTGGTGATTGGGTCGATAACAACTTGGAGAGCGGACGATTCCGACGAGATGTTGTCGACAGCTTCAGACCGATCGCCGCCATGATTGCCTACTTGAAGGGTCTTGGGAGTGACGACCAAGATCCTTCTGCCCAAGGCTTGGAAGCAGAATTGCAACAAATTCAGGTATTCGCTCACGTGGCTAGCGGTTGTTAACATTGGAAAATTAAGGACACCTACACATCTTACGGTTGCTACTGCTGGGCGAATGGAGTCGATAACGTCGAAGATCTCGGATCCGGAAGCCGAAATGTCGATGCCACAGATTTTGCTTGCACTGAACTTTACAGGTAAATTTTTTATCGAAATTTAAAAGTAAACTTAATCCCGTTTAGATGCTACGCTTGTGTGAACATTGACTACGGAAGCGAGTACTCCGAGCTCTCCTACATGGCTTTCTTCGACACAGACTCCGAGGGAAACCGAGTGATCGACTGCTCAAGCAATGCTCAACAGAACGGTGATAGTTTGTGCTCATGTGATGCCAAATTTGCTCAACGAATCGTTCAAACTCAGAACCACTGTGATGTAAGCGAAAATGGAAATAAGACTTCAATATCAACGAAACGCTGAGCGTTCTCACCAACTGAAAACAATTTTAGAGCGGCGTCATGCTTTCCGACATGGGACTAAACAACTGCATGTCCGAAATGTACAGAACAATCAGCGGCGGTGGAAGCTACCAGTGCCCAGCCGGCTCCAACGGGCACCCTTCCAACGACAAATGCTGTGGCTTCTACCCCAACCGACAGCCCTACAACGAAAACAGAGAATGCTGTGCAACAAAGTAAGAGCTAGTAGTTTTTACAGTCAGTAACACTTTTATCCTAGTACTGTCGACGATCAGGGTTTCTTTACTACTCCAGACGTCAACATTGTTGCTGCTGACACTTGTGAAATGACGGGAGGTACAGTCGTCGTCTCCGCAGAGGGCGATCCCCATACCTACATTCCGTCTCAGTAAGAAGTGCGTCAACAACAGTATCCGCCCCTTTACATATATAATGCTGATGTCAGTGCATAACGTTACGACAAAATTACCAAAAAATGTTTTTTATCTCGACAATCTGTACATATTTCTTAATCTCTCTTTTTATACTTTTACAACCATTCGTTTCTGTAAAAACCTTTCTACGATTTTGTATAAGCAAAACAAACTGTGTTATACAAATAAACCATCACCAAAGTTAAAATCCCGCGTTCTTTATTTAGTACCAAAAGTCAATTAGCAACACAAATGAAGAAAAAGTGAAAGAGGTCCTAATGGAACGACTCTTGTTATAAAAACAACTTGTTTTATTCGATTCGGAGCTACTCCTTGTTTAGGCTTATAATATTTAACCGAACATCACTAATGTATTGAAATCGATGGAATTGAATGGAGAAATAATCTTAATAATAATAATAATATCAATAGCATGTTCCTAAAAAGTTTCTTCGTAAATAGTGTCACATGATATTTTAAGTCGGCTCTTTTCTTATGCATTATCATAATTAAGTTACCAAGAAAAGAGTCGTTTGTTAGTCTAACAAGCTGAAGAAGGGTTATCAAGATAAAATTTCAGCAACAGCCGTTTGGAATCTTCATATTCGTGAATAAAGATTGGGGATTTTCCGACAAAAAGGGAATAAGATAATCCTTTTTACTTGTGTATGCTCTTTTTAGAACTCCTCAGAGCTTTCTTAGCTTCTAAAGAGGTTCCACGTTACGTTTAAGGTGGTCAACGCGGTCTGTGGGCACCCCAAATTCCTTCACGCGTGAAATTGTCATTTTCTTTCTTACAGATATAAGCCGGCAGCGGGCTCCATCAGTGCTAGAACAAGTATTTCAGTCAAAAACAATATCACAATTAATTTTTAAAAATGAAGTTTTTCTATATGATAATCGCAACTGCGTACGGCCAGGAAGGATCTGGCGCAAATCAAGAGGACGAGGAGGATCGGGTTAAAATTAAAAATTGAATGTAAACAGCGAACTCGCTTATCAAGAGGATTGATATATCTATGCATCTCGATGCATAATCAGCATTAGACAAAATGCTTAATTTAACCTCACTTGGAAGCCATCAGCAAAAACGCCAGTCGATTTGCAACCAGCTGATCCGGAGCTTCCTTCTTCGAGGACTACGTATCCTGCCGAGAATACCTCCAATTTTGTTATGAGTTTAAACGCTTTCTACATGAACGCATTAACAACGTGATCGCTTCAGATTTATTTACAGCTGCTAGTCTCGAATCATTTACAAAAATATCTTAATTCGGGGATAGCTCATGCGCTGCCTAAAGCACAAGAACCCTAAATCATATTAATTTATAAAGCAAGGTCAAAACTCTTCAAAGATTATTATGACTACTATAATTCTTTTTACCAAAACTACATAGCCAACTACGATTCCTCTTATTACGAGGAGGCGGATTTAGGTTTTATCCAGTCGCGAAGCTCTGGCACACTTTGCAGGGTAGGCTCTTTTTCAGATAGGTCGACGGCGCTTGGTTCGGCGCCTGTATCGTGTCCCGATCAGCAAGTCTGCCAGACGACGCTAGAATATCAACGAATCCGCGGCGGTTCTGCAAAACGCTACTATAGGATTCAATGCAAAGAAGAACTTCCATGCATGGTGAGTGAATCGTAAATAGCGAACACGTTTTGACCGTGTTCAGCTAATCGTGGGAAATCAACTGTTCCCTGAATTCAATTATAAATTTATTTATCAAGCAAACAATAGAGAGCGATTAAAAGGTTTCGAGTGCGGAAAATCTGTTTTTGACTGAGACAATTTAAACGGGCTGTTTTCGATTCATTGGTTTGATAAATAAAGAGGATAATTGTTCGGGCCATACACGGGTCGAAATAATTTAGTTAGGAATTAAGAAATAACGATAATAACGGAGTGCAATTAATCATTATTAAGAATCAACTACTTATTAGCTAAATCATCTGATAGTTTTGAATGATTAAGGCTGGATAACTGTGAAATAAATCTGAAATAAATACCGTAGTTAAAAAAAAGATGATAATATGCATCTTCACTTTCGCTGACAGAAAACTGACAGCTTTCCGAGCTCCAGTTTTCGACGATTACGATATTACCATAATTTGCATCGTAATTCATGTCTGATTCAAAAGGGCGCACCGGATGACGCGAACCCCTCTGCCTAAGAATTTGCATATTCACTCGGTTTGAAATTTCCGGAAATCGAATTCAACTGTTCATCAATTGAATGGATTGTCGGTAGACGATCGCCTGCTTGTCGACTAGTTACCTGTATTATAATTTTGACGGGGGAAATCAGCGGATAAATATTTTCGAGAGGTTATGCAATCAGTGCGGATTAAGGGCTGAGATCCATTTGAAATCCACGCGATTTCAATCCTTACGCGGACTTATGCGTCATTAATTTTTAGAAAGCGACCTTCTTAATTTATCAAATTCTGAACAAATCATTTAGTCAAACATGAAGTCGAATTTCAATAGATGTCGTGCTTACGCGACGAGACATTCCGTTCAATGTGTCCACTGCTGTTCTGGAAGTGGCTGCGCTTCGACCGTTCCTTACGAAGGCGCCGGCGTCGATTTCGCGGACTTTGCAGCTGACCCGATCGTGGTCTCAGTGCCGTAAAGTCCCACTCACGCTTACCAACTGTTTATAACCAATCGAACACTTTTTGTACTTTTAACCAGCATCACTCAAACTCTGCTAAACCTGAAATGTCAAAATCCTTTTCTGTGACAAATTTAGGGAGAGAAAGTGAATAAACATCTATATTACACGAAAATCACAAAATTTGGAAAAAATCAAGATTTTTGCGATCTTCTTTTTCTTCTCGTTCTTTTTCGGCGGCTTGAAGTTTTGCTCGTCGAAAGTGACGGCAATGTTGTTAATAAGCTTGATGTTTTTATTTTGCGAGGCGAGGTATCCACGGAAATCTTCTGTGAACGCAAGAGGACACTCCTCCTAAATATCATATTGATAATTATTTGTCTCATTGAACATGATAGTCGAAGAAAATTCTTAATCGAACCTAGTAAACCTGTGGTTCAAAAACATGCTCAGCGGACCTCAGGAGGTGCTCGAGCGACCACATTCAACATCTTCTCCTGCCTACTGTCTACCTGTCACTTCATGAGCTGAAGGGGTTTTCTAAGTACCTTGAGCTACCGCTATCAAAAGAAGGCTACGGACAATTAAAACTTCGTCACATTTTTCATGCTATAGCAAATACTGTGTTAAAATTGAATCCCCTAGATTGAATAGAAAATGATTGCTTGTCAATTCCGACTTACAATAATGAGTACGTGCAGGTTAGGAAAACGCTGTATGCCGTTTGCGGAGGAAATGTTCGTTTGACGCAAATCAACGTGCTCGACAAGTGGCATCCCTGGTAAGTCATCGAAGCTGTTGAAGTGGTTCTTGCTTAATAATATAGTGATGTTTAAGCTTTCGAATGAGGGGACATCAAATAAGCGTGACTTACCCAGCGTAAAATGCCCGGCATTTCGGAAACGTTACACTGCTACCGATCGAGTTTAGTGATTGCACTCGATTTGCATTGAGTCGCACAATTGAAGCGTCCTTGAACCTGAATAAGTTTTTACATGTATTTATCATCTTACAACACCGCAAATAGGCTTATCAAGGGCCATCATGTAGAAACATAACATTAGGAGATAGCAGAGAAGTCAGGAAACAATCCTTACAATTTGAGTGACAAAGTGTAATTCGACAAGATCTTGGCCACAGAAAAGTCAATTAAGATGGGCAACGTGGGTGAATTCCGGAGATTACGGATCAGAAAGCCTCAAGAGACATAAATTTCGACCTGGTGTGATAACCCTTTCGCATTTCGCAATTCAAATAATCATTCATTTCGGGCAATTTAAACCCTTCTATATTTTAAGCTGGGATTTTACTTCGCTGCAAATCCTTTGCGCTGAGAAAATCAGGACTTCATCAGAAAGTGTTTAGCTAAATTGCGCCACTTAGGGAAACGAGACTTCCTCTGGCCCTGGGGTCGGCAAGCCACCGATCGCTGGTGGGTGGTGGTGGGTGGGCCACTCATAAAGTTAAATTTCCAATGGTGGTGGTGGGTGGTGGTGGGTTCCCCAAAATGGTGATGGTGGGTGGGTGGTGGGTGGGTCGATGATTTTGAATAAAATTTTTCGGGGCCCGAAAATACAAAATAGATTACTTTTATCTCAAATTCTTTGATTATATTTATTCATGATATAGAAAATAAAGTAACTAAATATTAAATAGTTTTCAAATAATCTATTGCTCGTTTGAAGACTCTTGCACGAAGGATCGCTAAACATCTTTTGTACGTCAGATTCTCTCTTTGATGTCTTTTGAGACTTGATGTCTTACTGAAAGCTCTCTCCAGACAACTTGTTGTTTGAGATGTTCCAAGAATAACCTTAATTATTTTAATATTTAATACCAAAATATCTCTTACATTTATCGCCACTTGACTCAAAACCGGCAAACTGTATATTGCTGGCAACAATATGTTAAAATTATTCGCAGAATTTATTTAAAATTCTCTCTTTTAATAAATCCGTGACTTAAAATCCTCCCCATTCATTCGCTTACCGCCAAGGAGTTTTTAGATCTTGGCCAATAAGAGCGGAGAATTGGCTAGTGAGTAATAAACTTCGCTCAAGCGTCGCTCAAACCTCGCTCGAGCGGCGCTCAAACCTCGCTCCAACGTCGCTCAAACCTATAGATTACGGCCAAAAATCAAGGGTTGCAGAGGTAACAGCCGTCAAAAGCGCCTGCTGAGTCGTTATCACATCCAATTGTTTAGAAGAGTAGCAATTTCTGTTGGCCACCTTGTCTTGGATTGATATTGTCGGAACTTCTCGGCAGTTTTTGACGTGGTTTTCCCAATCACGTCTGTAGTACAAGCATTCTTTTTTTCGGACATTAAAAAACTAAATCTTTTCTTATTGGGGCCCCCAAAAGCGAAAATTAAAAAAATAAACGTACTGGTTTTGGTTTGTTGTGTCCACATTTAGATCTGCCACATTTTAAAAACCTGTGGATTTAGAATCGTCGAAAAATTCCAAAAATCCAGGATGATTCATCTGTCGACAGTACTCAACCACTGGAGGATGCGTGCATTTTGCCCAAACGCCATCATTGTTCCTTATTTTCTCTATGACTTTTGCTTCAACGTCAATTTTTGATTTTTAGGCGCTGACGCCATGTTTAACAAATTCTAGTGCTAATTGATGACAATAACAGTGATTCTGCTAATCTAGAACAATTTATTTTCAAAATGCTCTAATTAGTAAACAACTGTTCAAGAACAAAATTTTGACTTGGGGCTCCCAAAATTTTCGGCCAAAAACCCACCATTTCCCACCATTTTCGAATTTTGAAGAATTGTGATGGTGGGTGGTGGTGGGTGGGAAGCCCACCACCACCCACCCACCACCCACCCACCCACCACTTCCACCATTTTTTGCCGACCCCAGCTCTGGCCACATACATCGAGATTGTTGAAAACGAAATTTTGAGCATGTTATTTTGTGTCTTTCTCTAAGCCATTAAATGAGCGGGTTTAGTATCATGTCAAATGAGCGCATTATCGTATCTCGCTGGCTTTTAATTACCGCGAGATTTCCAAAATAAAACAAATTATATCAAAGATAAAAGAGAAACTAGCCGATATCAAGATGCAATGTGTTGCGATAAAAATGTGCGTACTCGATGATAAACACAACGTGCAGCTTGCCATGCAAATCATCTTCTGTAACTGATCATTTAAAAGTATTCACTTGTTTCCTACTACTCTCTTTTTGCTTCGATGATGCAGTACGAATTAAGTACACTAGGAAAAACTCGATATTATCGCTTCGCACGTTAATACGAAGCTTCCGTTTGGTGAGTGATCCTATCGAAAGAAGTTTACGAAAGTCCGAAATACTTTGGAACTTGACTCTTAGGGCCCTATTATCGTAATTGGAACTTGCAGCGCTGCAAGTTCATGCTTTTGTAAAGTCAATTGACACCCTTTGAATACTTCCTTCGAAGATGGTTCGAAATCCGAATCTTTTAAAAAGAAGCTCTTTCATTGTAATGACGATCCAGAAGACGAAACGTACCTTTGAAGAGCACTTTGCAGAGCGTCGCTTTGATAATTATGCTGAAGCTCTTGATAGGAAAAATTCGCCACAGCGGACTTTTCCCAGTCTTCTTGTCTAGCGATGCCAGAGGAATTTTTAAGGGGGATGTTGGAAGCCTAAATTGAAGATTACAGTTTTTGGAGTGAAGAAAAGACGCTACTTTTTTGTACTCAATCGGCGTTGCACGAACTCGCGGCGATCTGAGACTAGAACCCTGAAGAATCAATAGTTGATCATTGGAGAAGATGAACGTCAGTCGTACCTTGGTGTCAATTCCTTTTAAGTCCGTCCATTTAAGATACTTGTAGCGGGCCGATGGAAGCTGCATCGATCCCGTTAAATCTTCATTTATTCCCACTGGCGACTTTATAAGCACTTTTACGGGTTCGATTTCGAGTATTAGGTCCGTGTCAAGAGGAGAAAATAGAACCCTGTCTTTGTCCGTCTGGACTTTGGAAATATCTGTTTCGTAATTAAATTTTCTTCGACGCGTTCCGGCCATATTTGTTTCTCTTCAATTTTATGAAAAAATTGTAAAATGAACCGATAATTAAATTGAAATCTTCGTTCTGCAAATATCGAATTGTCCTTCAGAATTTTACATTTGCGTCTGAAGAATAGTGGTTGTCAAGGAAACTGCGAGAAACATTTCTTTTGCTTTGACGTCAAGGTAGCGCAAATGAATTTTATTTTCGATATTTCATTTAGAGGATAATTTGCGATTAATTTGCCGTTAATTTCAAGTTCGAGCTGTCTTCTGGAGTACAGTTCATGCGATGGAAGCTCAGTCACCTTAGTGTCTTCAGGTGGCCAACGCTAAATGAAAATAGAATGCCGCGTTAATGACATGACACCATACATTCCTAGCCTGCTCGAGAATTTCCAGAATTCTACGGCATCGGTGAATCGAGTTTTGTCAAACTCAAGTTTCTCGAGAAGCTGGATATTTTTTCAAAGGCTGAAGTAAAACTAGTGTCTCAGATTTTTCACATTCAACCTTTGTGGTTTCAGTTATCCGCAGCTGACAGAGTGTCTCCCAAGTTTCGAAGCAATAACCCTCGATTGCTCATTATCGGGCCTATTACAAAGAAACTACGGATCTTATCATCTAACTTGAGAAACCCTTATCGTGCGTGAGAGGAAGGAGTCCATGTTGAGCAATTTCGCTCCCGTCTCCGGATTTTCAGAAACAAAAAAGAACAAGGTGGAGCTCGCGCTGGAAATTCTTAATCCTCGAGTTTCTCGCGCTGGAGTTTATTGACCCAGTAAATAAAGATATAAATAAATAGAGACCGTTGACTTTCTTGTTATATTTAGACTCCTTCTATATTGAACCTACTAACACTTCACGAGTAAGTCGTAGGAGAATCAACGTCGAGGATTTCGTGCTTATCTAATCGACACTCACTCTTAACTTTCTTTTCGCCTAGAAAGGGATTAACTCACTCCGAGGATCTCGCTATCTCGCAAGAACGTGTTGAACGAGCTTCTACAGTAAAAACAGTAATAAAACAAAAAAACGGTTAGAGAGCCTAAATAAATCCACTAAAAATAATTTCAGACCTAAATTTTTAATCTCCTTTATATTCGCTTTAATATATACTTCACGTTTGCTTTGAAAGCATCTTTCTACATTGGAAGCGTAAGATATAATGAAATTTACAAGATAAAGCGAGCCCATATCGCATAAGATACCTAGGTTATCCTTCCAGGCCACTGGAATAAAACGATTACAGTCAAATTGGATGCCATTTGGAAAACATGTTAGAACATAAGCCTGTATAATAAAAATTCATTAATTCAACTTCATTAATTGAGTTGCGAGAGTCATTTCCATATTGAAGCTGAAAAATAAATTTATTTGCTCAAGGCACACTCAAGAAAAACATTCAAAAAGGGTTTTCTAGATTTTCATGGGTATTATCACCATTGTCGCCGACAGTTTTATGCCTGAGGAATAAACTCAGTATTGCCAAAGTTAAAATTACTCCAATCATGCTGCAGAGTATAATCAATATGTTGAGTCTTCTTTCGTCTGGCATTGTGTCCCTTGTAACGGTGCCTCCAGATTCTGTTGTTGGGGCATTATTTGTTTGGCTAGTTCGATCGTAAGAAAGCGTTGTGGCTATGTAATCAGTCGATAGTTTAGTGTATAGACTTTGCTGCGAATTGCTTGTCGATTCTTCCATCCGCTGTGTTGAGTCTTAACATTCGTATTTTTCGAGAAAACACAATTCGTCTAGTTACAATCATAATTGGCTTCGCTTGTGAATGCAATACCATTCGTCGTAATTTCTGGCTTTTGGATGATATCACAACTAGTTCTCTCTTCCTGTAGCACCATGCAGACGATAATCTCATAATAACTCTCACCGTCGTGATCAATGCGATCACAGCGAGTTTCTTTCCAATAACTTTCATGTGAGTAGTCGTTGTAGTCGTTATAACTGTAATCGATTCTGTATATGTTCACAAAGACTGCCGGAAAATCATCCTTAGACAGAGAAAACACGTTCCTGAGTTCTGCGCAATTTTTATCCGGAGAATTCGTAGCCTCGTCATGGAAGTGTGCTTCAACTTGGCAACTTTGATGAACGCCGTCAAAGAAGGGCTCCCAGAAGTAGCTCCCATTAGAAGATATGTCTGTGGGATAAGAATCGGCCACGTTAAGTGTACTCTCTCTTGTAATCTTAATCCCTCTTCCTTTGAACCCCGAGTAACAGTTTCACCTTCGTCGTGTTGAACGCGCCTTGAGAATATGGACCTAACCAGTCTCCAATTAGCTCTTCTTGCTCCTTGCTTGTATAAACTGACCGAGCGTTCTGAAATATTTGAAAACCGACTCGCTTTTCCTCCAAAGAGACTGATTTTTAAACGCTTGACTGGGCTGTAGCCACTTGAGAAACATAAGTCGCCATACTCATCGAACGTGAGCTTCTTATCACCAAAAGAATCGCCGGAAAAGAAGAACAGATCTGATTCGAACACTTCCCCGTCTGGCGGCAACCAATTTATACGCTAAATTTTACTAATTTTTACTACGTCAAGGACGTTTTTAACAAAAAATGATATTTCACCCAAAAAGCAAATGATACCTCATCAGCGATCTCGGCACTAATTCCAAGGCATTCCTCTAAGATAACAACTATTTTCAGAATATGCATGGCGTAAATGAATTCGGCGAAGTTTTTTCACAGAGTTTGAACAACGTCAAAATTCTTCCGATACTTGAAAGTATAACACCCGCCTTAATCTTGTTGACAAACCCAAGGAACCACGAAAAATTTCCGCATATTTGTACATTAAAAAAATAACCAGTATCGAGAGAAATTTCAATAAACTTTACACTATAAAGTCAAAGTATAAGTTTTATAATAGAAGGGACTACTATTTATCGTCTTATAATTTTGTATTTATTGCCAGAGAATATTGAGAGTAGGGAAAGTTAGAGTAAGAAGAGTATTTAAGAGTATGATGCCCTTAAATTTGATAATATCAATTGTTACAGAGAATGTGTTTGTCAAACAGTTTGACAGATTGTAACCGCTGAAGTGTGATTTGTGACTTATTCGTGGACTCTGATCATATCTTCGTCACAGAAGCTTGTTCGGCAGTGAGGACACTGTGCCTCCGTCTCGTGCCATCCATCCCAGCCTGGGCTCGGCAAACTGAGCTGTGTAAAAACCTGTCACAGGTCCTGTTTCCTGTTTTTGGGGAACCTGTCTGAGTACCTGTGTAAAATCGGGTAATAATTTGGGCCTGTCCTGTGTACCTGTGTAAAATTGGGGGATAAATTTTTCTTTTGCTGTCCCTGTTCCTGTTTCTGTCTTAAACAGGCCTGTGTTTCCCGCTCAGGTCCTGACCATAGACAGGTTCCTGTGTAACCAGGTCAGGAACTGCATAAGTCAGGGAAAATGTATAAAGAAATCAATAGCGAAAGACGTGAAAAAGAGTACAACAATCAAAATAACCGATAAATGCGCGTCTTTTTGTTTCTTTGTAATATTTTTTCTCAGAAATTTCCTGTTTTTTGTCCTGTATCAGGGCCTGTTTTCTGTTTTCTGACCCGCTCAGACCTGTTCAGGCAGGCCTTGACCTGTGTAACCTGTTTGATAAGCTGTGTGAAAAAACCTGTCTGAGTACCTGTCTAAAATCAGGATATTTTTGCTTCCTGACCTGTGTACCTGTGTAAAATATGGGACAGAATTTTTTTTTTCCTGTTCCTGTGTCTGTTCCTGACACAGTTTGCCGAGCCCAGATCCCAGGAGTCATCGTAACCTACGGCTTCTTCGAGAATCTGCTTCAAGCAGCCCCAACAGCTTACATGTCCGCAGTGCCTAAGAAGCCATTTACGGCTTTCGTAATCATCGCTGTATTTCTCAAAGCAAACTTGGCAAGTTGCTGCGCCTAAAACAATTTATTTTTTCTTATTGTTGTGAAAATTTTACCTGAGTTTTCTTCCTCTTCTTCTTTCTCATCGTCCTTCTTTGTGATTTCATGATACTCGTAGGACAGTTGCTTGTATCGCTTGGAGACGATGTCCATCTCTCGATCTTTCTCTTCGAGCTTTTTCTCCATGGCTTCCTGGACTTCTCTTTTCTTTCCGAGTTTCCTGTCGATTTCCTCAATTTCCTTCAAAGTCCTCTCGATACTCACTTTTTTAAGGCGCTGGAGATTCTCCATCTGGGCATTGCTCTTTTTTACTTCTTCACATTCACGCTTTGTTCGTTTCTTTTCTCGCTCGATATCTTCATGCAGCTTCGCGATGACATCAAGTTTCTTTTTCCGGGCTTAAATTTTAATAGATATTAGATTATGATAGATCACTACCTTTATCATTGTCTGTGAGCCACTTAGAAGCTTGCTCACAGCAAGATCCAAGGTAGAATTCGTGGAAGGATATTTTGTCGGAATTGCAGCTTCCGTCCGTAGAGAACGCTGGGCATTTGAACACAGCATCGGATTTGTCGAATGTTTTTCCTTGAAGAGCAGCATCGCCATGTTTCTTTTTCGCGCAGATTTGGCAAAGTCTCTCCTTGTTGATTTCGATCGTCTCTGCAGGAACTCTGGAGTTATTTTGTAAGAATATAATGTTTTTTTTAATCTTACCCATCGCATTCTGTGCCTTCGCATTTTCCAAATTTTCCGATAGATGTTACTGAATCGGGATGGACAGCTTCGAAGTCGTCTGGCCTTTGAATTTTGATCTTCTTTGGTGTTGATGAAGGTGTCGCAGTGCCGAAAGTATCCTCAAAAGATCGAGATCTGAGTTTCATTGTGATGTGTGCTGATTTGGAATAGGATTTGCCGATCTGAAGGCGTGTTTATGTATGGCCAGTGCAGCATTGCCCAGCATGGGTTCTATCAAAAGAGGGCGCCAGGCACATAGACTCTTGGAAGGTTGGACTCCAACCGCGCTAGTCTGTCTTGCAGATGGATTGATGATTATCTTTTTACCAAATGGTTCTCAAAAAGATCGTTGCTTTTTCAACCAAATGGTTATCTGTGAATGAAACCATTTCATTCCCAGAAGAAAAAATCCCTCTTCTTTGTATATTCAGAAAGACAATCTCGAACTTGATAGAAATTTGTATTTGTATAAACAGATCGCTATTAACATATTTATAAGTATAATACAAGATACAGGATGCGCGGATTTCATACATAAGGTTTTAAATGACTGTGTTTTGATGAACTTCGCGAGTCTAAAAATGGAGAACTGGGCAAAACGGTGGTAGCAGCGTTCGAATTTTTTAGCTTTTGAATTTTGCAATCAAAGTTTCGCGATGAAGGGTCGTTTTTCATTGATTTTGGCTGGCGAAAACGCTTGTACGGTTTCATCATCCGTTGAAAGTGACGTCGTAAACGGCGTTTTATTCGAACTAATAAGTGAACGAAGTTGTAGAGACTAAAAATGAAATCATGGAGGATTTTATTTAAAGATTTAAGGTCGGCAAGTATACAAGGAAAATTAAATCTTCATTAAACGTTTATTTAAAGTGCACCGTACTGTTCCTTGGTAATCACTTGTAGAAAACAATTTAGACCGAGAGACAAACCTAAGACCGAGAATCAGGCTCATAGATCCTCCCATATCGGAGAGCAATTCTGAGAGCTTGTAATCGGCTTCTTCTGTTCTGAGGATCCAATTCGGCTCATCGTTCAAACTGATCACAGTTGAGATCAGATCAATATCTTTGGTGAGATTCACTGTTTCTCGGACGAAGTTCAAGTGCTCCGAGTTCAACTCCACATGCTATGATAAAATGCAAAAGTGAAATTTTTCTGAACCTACATTCACATTTCCCTTTTCTATTGTTGTATATTGACATTTCGGATGACAGCGGATCGCTTTCAGCTCAGCTCTATGTTCTGTGTTCGTTTGCAGTGGCGCAATGCATGTGGCGTGCTGGAAAAATGAACAAGGGTCCGTGTCATTCATTTTGTCCTTCAATTCATCGCTCAAGTATCCTGGGTAACACTGGCATTTTCTCTTAAATTGAAGGTTTAAATTTGCCTCGGCCATTCAATATTGGAGTCAAGGAAGAGAATTTCGATTCAATCTCACCTTGTAGCCCTCAATTATCTTCTCATATTCGCAGGTGTTCCGTTTATAGTTTTCATCGAGGATACATTTCTTATAAGGGTGGCCCAAGTGCGTAATTTCGACATTTTGAAGAGTTGCGATAGTCGTTAGAGTAGGAATAAGCGGAAACGAAGCCTTTTCTTCTTGAAACATTGAACTCCGTTCCATAAAATAGACAGTCAATCCATTCATGTAACCATTCCAGCTACGAGTAAAGATTGATGAGAACGAAATACGGATTTAATCAATTGAGCCGTCTTTCAATAAATATTCCATGCACCTACCCGTATGTCGAGTCGCTTTTGTTGTACGCAATCGTAAAGCCGAGCTGCCTTAGTTTGCGGGTTTCATCTTTGACCCTTGGAACTGGGTCTTCTCCCCTCGCCTCGTTTATTTCACTCTGAGTTTTAACATAAAACTCTAAACAATATCCTAGAAAACAGAAGCAATTATAAGGAGATTTATTTAATCTAGCTAAACCTTTAGAAGTCTTCACAAGGCGCCAACTTTTTCGACAATCGTACGTTTCTATCCTGCAGATAACCATTTTATACGTCGGCCTAGAGTGTTTTTTTAATGTATCTTCTATTACTACACTGTCGAGCGATAAATATTTTATTTGAAGAAGACGTGCTTCCAATGTTATTTTCATGACTATGGACTTGTCAGTGAGAGGAGACATTAACCGTCTTGCGATTAGTCTCAGCCAAACAAGTCGCGATTCTTTACTTCTTGAGAAATCTTACTGATACAGTAGCAACAAACCTAGTTTTTTTGAAAAAATCCTCCAAGTTCACATCAACGTCTTTCCAATATTCACTGGATGAGTTTTTTAACAGGTCTTCGCTCATGTCTTAATCAATTTAGTTTATATGAATAAATTAAATCGGGCTTGATTTAGGTGGAAATCGATGTGCAACCACTTCGATCATTTTTGTCTTATCCGTTCGCTCTCACCTAGTCCGTATAAATTATGAATCCGCTTGGCATCGACTTTTGGATAATTCAAACGCAATCGTTCTTTTTGGTAGATTCTTATTCCTTCATTCTTTCGAAATTTAATTCTATCTTTATATCAACATACATATCTTGGGTTAGGGTTAATCTTAGAGTCAAAAAGAAGACAAGAACCTTTTCCTTTAGAATGCATTGAATTGTGACAGACGCGTATTTTCGGAAAGAAAGCAGGTGTCTTTTCATCCTCCTTTGTTATCATATGGGATCGATAAACGAAGTACTTGTTCAAATTCGTGAATATCATTCGACTATAAGAGACTCTTTTTTTGAGACAGCATTCCAGCATTACTTGTACAGACGTTTAAGCCTTTCCTGGTAAATAAAACTCCACCACACCAAAAGATAAGCCACATAATTTGATTCGAGTTCGGTTTCGAGTTTCTGAAGATTTTGTGATGATGCATCTTTCAACGATAAAAAGTTTACCGGAGCCACATTTTGAAAGATTTTTTCTCTGCTGCGTTTTCCTTAAGATTATTGAACATAAAAAGGAATTTTTTAATCAGATAACTTAATTCAATGAATTGAAAATTAATATACCTGTTCTTCAGCTGTCATTCGATTCGACGATCTCGAATCAGGCCGAGGACAGATCAGCCGACTGCAGTAATGATCTCAATAAATATAAATATCTCCCGAGCAAATTCATTTTTATAGTGACATAGAATATGATATTCTGAATGTCCATTGTATGTCGATTTTTGATCGTTTCTTGGAGAAGTCTGCTGATTTTGATCCTTTTTGAGTGGGGTCGATGTCCGACTACTCGTTGTTGTTCGCGTTTCAAAACAGAATTTTCAATTTAATCACAACTATAAAAATGGACTTTGGGGAGTTTCAGATTGAAAAATTCCTTCAAAAGTATTCGTTTCAAAACTTTCTGGAGATTGGAGATACTTTGAGGGTTGTGATTTTTCTGTTCTCAGCAAGTAAGTAGTTTTTATCAAAAGCCTTCCTTGTTATTTATTTTACTTCTGGCGGGCGTGTTCTCTGTTGGGAAAAATTGGGGAATGCGCGACCTTCCAGTTTCGGGTTTATCTTTCTTCGCTTGATTCTTAATCATTCTGACTTTGCTTCGGACGACCGCTTCGTCAAAAAACTGCAGCGATAGATTAGCGCTTTTCTCGTCCACAAGCATACTTTCTTGCTAAATATCACATAAATCGTAGTTTAGGCTCCATGCTTCCCATCAAAAGCATGCAACAAATGTCAGAGTTCAATTATATTCGAGGACGATTTCTCTCGATGACTAGTCCTGGCTGCAGATGAGAACGGATTGTGTTTTCGTTAATAATTCTGTGCGATTGCTCTTTGCATAATATCGTTTTATCTGACGGGTGGTTTTTGAGAATTCTCTCTACCACCATCAATGGTTCATAAGGAGGCGCCGCCGACTTAGCTAAATTGACCAGAAACATAGCTATAAACTATTATTTAAATAAATTATTCTCCCAGATAATAGTAGCTAAGTCATCACTCAACAGAAACAAATCCTTAAAAGGATCCTATGATTTAAACATTCGATGCACGATTAGCTTTACTTTACAATTAAACGGCTTGATTTAAACCTTAGGAATGGATGACTTCATTTCAAGTATCACTCAATGATCGTTGGATATCCTGAAGATGACGGAAGACTAGACTGCAAAAACATTTCCGTGATGGCTGGGCTTTTTCAAAGTTATCTCTGTCTATTAGCTAAAAAATCATTGAGATCGATTAAGGAGATTGAAATCATGAATCAGGATTTCTCTCCAGAAATTTTATGAAGGGGAGGGAGTCGCCATTCTTCTGCATGCAGACTAGTTTTTAAGGTTTCCCTCAGAAGACAAAATCAGTTATGATGTCTACCCGTGTTATGGGCAATACGGTTATGAACAACGACGATAAACAAAAACGAAGATTGATGCTGAGACGACGCTATTTATTTAGAGTGTACTGATACAGCAGGCAACTATATTTTTTCGTAGGGTCGAGAAGCTCTTTTTCTTCGTCATAAGCGGCGTAATATATTTTTGTATTGCTGCGTTTCGCCCGTTACTTTATTTTCCGTTTTGGAATCGTATTTTTTTGTGTTGGATGTCTTCAACACATTTCTTGTATATTTAGGCAAGTTTTAAATTAATCGAAAAATGCTTTCTATCTGGGAATATTAACAGAATGGGAAAAGTATCTTTATGTGTAGTTGGTGTTTCGAAGCTATTTACAAGTTTATTTTATCATATTACCTGGCTTCCGGCTGTGATTCCATATTTTAAATATTCAAATATTTCTATCATTTTATAATAATAGAAAATATAATCACAACCAGAAGAAAATTTCACTTTTCTGATAAACTTTCTCTCGCACATTTAAAATTAAGCGAGCGAAAATGGAATGCGATTTTATACGACTTTTGTCGCGAGAGTGCACTTAGGACGATAGAGCGTTGTCGTAGCATTGCTTGCCATTATACTGCACGTAGCAAGTTTGTGTCGCCGTGCACCCCCCGTTTTGGTACATACACTGATCTTCTTTCCAGTAATCGACCTGAAGTACTGTTAAATAGGATTGATCAGTATGAGCTTGCACCTGGCAGATATCGTATCCGACGTCTGGTACAACCGATGCGAGTCCTGTAAAGTCAGCAACTGAGAAAACATTCTCCTCGGACGGGAGTGAGGCGATTGAAGACAACGAGGACCCATTCACATTTTCACCAATACCTACCGCGACAACCCGATAAGCCTTGTCTAAAAATGGGTTAACGAAATGTTCACAATATTGGTCGGGAAATTATTATTGCGGAATGAAAAATATATTTACTATGAACATATTGAAGATCTTCGTAGAAATCGAGAGTGTTGAGATTGTCAGTCAGGACGACGAGAACAGATGGAATTTGGTCGTTCTTTCTCCACCCGTTAACAGCATTGAATCCCTCGTCGTGAATGGTCTTAAAGGCGCTGCCGATATTTGCACCATTGTCGGCAGGTTGCAAGATTCCTTGTTCGAGCGCGCTTCTCAACGTAGCAGAGTCAAAACTGGCAGAGTCAGATAGAGAAAACACCCTAGAACGAATTAAAATATTGAATAACGAAACGATCATACTGTGAGGCGCTATTAGCGTATTGGTAAACGCAAAATTGAAGATCTTCGCTTCCGAAATTTCCAATGTAACTGTGAGTATCGCGGACGAAGTTTCGCATCATTCGGATGCTCTTGTTATCTGTCGCGTTGTTAACTGGAAGCAAGAAGCATACGTCGACATAATTATCTTTGCACTGTTTCTCGTCGCAATCTTGAATTCTCGTTTAATACTCTTTCATGATTATTATTGATATTATTTATTTGCAAACAAAAATAACCTTGCGTATTGCAATATTCGACATCTTCAGCGAAGCCTTCACATCCGGGGGCATTCATGTCGCCAGTAGGATTTCTATATCGATTGCGCTGTCCACCACCGCAGGTCTCAGAACATTTATCCCATTCAGTCCACTCGGTCCACTCACATGTTGGCCCTTCTGTCGTCGTAGGTGCCTCCGTGGTCGTAGGTGCTGGCGGAAACTCAGTTACGAAACCGATGTCAAGCGAGGTTGTTTCTGCTTCACCGTCTGACGGACTCGTCACTGCCGGTGTCGTTGTTGTTGTCGTTGTGGCTGATGTTGTTGTCAATGAAACAGGCGTCGTTGTGTTCGTCGGTGGCGACTTGATTATTTAATTTAGGAAGCTTATTTCTTGTAAGCTAGATTTTACCTCTGTCGATGTCTTCCAAAAAGCCATGCCCTTGCAACCAGCGTATTCTTTACCATTGCAGTAGTTCCAAGTGCAACAACAACGGCAGACGGAGTTTTCTGGGTGCGTAAAAGGTTGACATTGTGTGTCCTTCCAAGCGGCTCGGGGATTCTGTATGTGATTGTTAACACAAGCATGCCTAAATCATTTATATTGATTGAAGAAATTGAAAATTTACTCACTTTTGTTTGCACCGCTGGGTGATTGACATGAATTTCCCACCTGGGCCCCAGGTTCTGATTTCTTGCTGACAGGAATTCTCATTTTCGTTGCACCTAGAAAAGTTTTCATTTTTTTATCGAGAGATTTCCCCGGGCAATTCAAAATATTGCCATGTGCAGTTACGTCGCATTGGCCGCTCCGTTTTTATCAAATACGATAAGTCTCGAAACGTGAAAAGTAATTTACTACAGTAGCTTCCGAAAATTTTTCTAGCTTTAAGATTTTCCGTCTTCATCGCTGTTTGTTTTCCGAACATGGCGTTTACTTACTCTCTTGGTTTTCTTTGTGCCTTGCATTCATCCATGTTTTTTGCATTGTCGCATTCATAGCATATCAGCGCGTCTAAAAATCGTAATTTAATTTCCAAAGAAATACAAATCTTCAATATTGTTTGTCAGTGATTGTCTATCACGTTACAAATTTCTGTTTCCTGACAGTTCCGATTGCGAAAGGCTCGATCTCAATGGCTGCGGCTAATTACAACCGCTAGATTTGCTTATTTTTACAACAATTATTCAGCTTATCAGAAGAGAAAATTGCTACTGATGGTCGTGTCTCTAAATATTTTCCGACTTTTGTCGACTTTGAAAAAGGCGAGTCTTAGCGTCGAATTGTTTATCAGTGCTCTTGAATCTGAGTCCCGATTATCTAATAGTTAAGCCCTAATTCAGATTGTCGCAATTGCCCTTTTAGAGTTTCTTCGAAAAGGAAAAGCCTTCTTCTTCTGATTAATTCGATAAATATATCTACCAATTTATGATAAGAAGTGCGCCTAGCCCAAGTCTTCTACATAAATTTCAACATGTCAGTTTTTTGATTTCTCATTTCACGCTCTTGGGATTGACTATCTCAGAAAGCCGAATTGTCAAGTCAAGGGCATGTTAGTTGAACACTTTCGAATGAGTAACTCATCAACTGTTAATTAAAAGAATTAGATAAATTAAAATAAAAGAATCAAAGGGCTTAGAGTGGAAACTCCGAAAAGGGAATTTCGTTTAGTTTAAAATTTGAAATTCCATTTGCACAATATCTGTCACGATAAGAAATTCTATTCGCATTTCATTTCAAGCGCTGGTTGATCCGTACGTGGATCGAGAAAAGGGGCCTTTTATTTTTGAATATTTCTAGGATTGTTCAGTTCCTTATGTTGATTAAATGAGTCGATAAGCGATGATTTCAAGAAAACATAATTATGGAGTTGCTGGAACGAGCTTTTGGCGAATGCTCTTTAATCGCACCGAGTGAGCCGATCCCTGGACTAGTGACTAAAATTAAAAGCTCGTGAAAAGGGTTTTCCGTCGTCTAGAGGAGTTATCCTCTGTGGAAAGCTCCACTTAGCTCATTTCATAAAAGGAGGCCGTTATTAGCCGGACCGCCACTTAGTGGCAATGCTTTTCGTCTCTAGTTCCAGACCAAATTGCCAATGCTATTTTCTATGGCCTATTCAGATGATTCACATGCTCTTTGCAAATAAAAATGAATTTCAAATATATTTTACTTACGTGTTATGCCGACGAGAGCGAGTGATAGAATCTTCATCTCTATGCCGCAATCAGCAGAACAGGCGAAAAATGTAAAAAAGTAAAGCTCTTGAAATCCAATCAAATAAATTGACAGATATTCCTTCGGTACTTCTTTTTCCGCGATTCCGTTTGCGACGTAGATATAGACGATTAAGCTGTGCTTTGATCCTTTTAGCTCTTCTTCTTTTTTCTCCAATTCTGTTGTTCGAAAGGTGTATTCCTTTGCGAGAAAAAAAACTAAAAATGAAGTAGAAGTACTCTCTGAATGGACTGTGAAATTTCTGTTGGCTTATTTCTCCCGTTGATGATTTTAGGGAGCGCGCGGAGCAGTGCGCGGCGCAGCGCCCCGCCGTGGTCTCTCCCTCTCTCTAGCGGCCTCCGACATCATTATTCTGGAGAAAGAAATCACTCTTCACACTAAGAGTGAGACGAAAGCTCTTTAGTTACTGACATGAAAGCCTCTACAGTTGGTGGTAACTCCTCGAGATTCAGCGTCTTTGTATTCTTGAATTATCAACATTTGAAAAAATTCGAAGAATCTGGGTTTTTAGCGCTTCATATTTGTGTGCATATCAGGAATTCAAAATCGTGACAGAAAATCAGATTACGGAAACAAACGTGTTCACTCTAAGATGGGGAATTTTGAATTTGAAATCGTACGTAAAACTCCGTTCAATTCGTAAAAACTAGAAATGATGAGTCCTCCTGTGATGATTAAAGAAACCTAATAGCTCAAAAAAATGAAACAAAATCTAATATGCTTGAAAATCCTTGCAAGAGGCCTTGAAAAAAGCACGTTCCTTCCGATTTTGATTTGAATCAAGTATGATGAATTACGTCTTGAAAATATATTCGCCCTTTGATTCAATCGAGAATCATCTTTGGAGAGAACAAATTTTACGTAGAGAAGGGCTCTCATTCGAGCCTATGATTCGAGCCATCCAGTATCTCTAGAATCTGGACTAGTGGTTAGGGTTAGAGACTGAAAACTCTTGACGGGGGGTCCGGCGTAGCCCCCTGGATTAGGCCTTGGGGTTAGAGACAGCTCGAATGATAAGTTATCATTGATAACCCCCTACTACCCAAATTTTATGATCAAAAAAGTGGAATGCTAGGATGATCCACGTAACGTGCTTCAAGTAAGTGCTTCAATTTTTTAATTTGCGTATTCAAAAGTGACCGGCCCAGGATACCTCTTTCGTCTCACTTTTGCACGGTGCTTTCTTGAAAAAACATCCGTAATATTTAAACTGAGAATATGTCAATTTCTATTTCGGGGTACTTAAAATATCTACCATGATAAATGACTCACTTTAGTTGCTGCGATTTGATAAGAAACGGCCTTGCTAATTCATGGCTGTAGAAGAAGATCGTGAATGCGTGGATATGGTGTGCGATAAAGTCAAGATTCTTGTGGTTGGCCTCTCCTGCTGCTCGAGGAGCTGGTTTAATTAGAAATTTCATCATCGCGCTTGCTCATTCGAATGAAAATACGCCTTGCTATACCAGAAAGGGAACACCTGCCACCAGTCCGGAATGTTTCCTTGCCACATGATTTATATCAAAAATCTACAAAAGCTAAGCGACCTTCTGCGAAGAATCGTGCGCTCTAAGAACACCAGTTTCTAGAACACCGATTGTTTTGATCTCACAATTCACTCTCAAGCAACCTCAACTTCTACCTACAACCCGTAAAAAGAAGACAAAAGACAAGAGAAGAGTAGAGTCGATTGATAAAGTTGTCAAAGACGGTCTACTCTTCTCGTATGTTGTATTGAAATTGATTTTATTCAGGTAAGCTGGCTGTTTGCCGCTCCGTTTCGGAGAATATGTGCGCTGTCCAACTGGTTCCCAGTTTGTGTCATGAATGCTTCCATACTTGGAATGAAATCATCTTCGATTCGCGTCGAACTAAACGTAACTTCAAGAAAGTATTACACTTTTACTAAGCTTACCTTTTTCCTGACATGTTCGGACTGTCAAGGTCATTTTCAGACTGACGCTGAAAAGTCAAAATATCCTTTTGAAAACAGATCCTCAACAACATTCTAGAAAATCTCCGAACTTATCACATGATCTGTTTTTATTTTACCTAAGCGGGGCTCGATCGAAGCTCTAGAAAATGCAAGTTCAAAATTGGAAAAGTAGCTGAATCAAGTTGAAGAACCCACCAAGCTGGCGAATTATCTCTTCACATATTCCGACGGGAGTAAATAGAATTTTAGAAATCAGCGAAATGGTAAATTGCCTGGTCAAGACTACCTTCCAATGCCCTTTAAAGTACTGTCAAGATCAATTGACAAAAAAATTTAATCCGTGCTCGTCGGAAAGATATCTCGTAAAATACAACATTCGCCGAAATTCATGAAATCGAAATATAAAAAGCGCGATCTTTGACACTGCTCGGTTTTGATGGAACGTGAGGAAGCGGCGACCTCGGCTGCCTTGAAAAAACAGAATCCTTCCGGCGCTGTGCCCTGGATCAGCCGTTTATTTTCTCGCTGCGTCTAAGGTTAACGAAGCCGCCTTTCTCGCTATTTTGAAACGTCCTGTTTCGAACACCAGTTGCTAGAAAATGACAGTGAAGTGATAGCGATAGCTATCGCCTTGTGAACCCTTGCATAATAAGTCCGCGATTCGGCTTGTCCGGTCTAAATTCCTCTTCTCTTATGAAAGCCAAAATTAAAAATAAAAATCGCCGAGCCTTCTTAAACAATTTTTTTAATTTTGCACGCTCGTTGATTTCTAAACAAAAAACTTCAGTGCCAAAAACATGCCACGTTACGAACTCTTTCTAAATCCCTTCTTTTCTTCGCAAATTTCAAAAGCAAAATTCTACATCCGGAAAATTGAACCACTAAAACCAGAGAGACAAAACGACTTTCTAGGGATCTAAGTAGTACCAAAAACGAAATGCGGTTGCATACGTCTTCGAATACGACTGTACTTGCGATCGGCGACCTCTTCTGAATAAAATTGGGCAGTCAAAGTTGACTCACGTTGGCTATGGAAGAGCAGGCGACCAACGTCAAATTCAACGGCGACCGCTGGAAATTCATAAATCAACACCCGAGCCACATAATGGCGGAGGTAGATCAGGCTTTTATCGATGAGCTAAGTTTGCAACGAGGGGTCTAGGTGCTCCGCGCTTTGTGTGGCAGCTGATCTATATCCAAAGTGTGATGTCTTGATGCGTGCTAAATCAGGCTCATCAAAGCGCGTGGTGACCAATCAGTATCAAATTTTCGAGGTTATCCCCGAGTTGATGGGATGCCCAAAAAGAGCAAAGCATGTGGCCGCTGCTTTTATTGAATTTAGTGAAGTTGCAAGCGGCCCCCAATGGAGAATTCCATCCCCGAGAAGAAACTGCAAAACTATGGACGCAAACTGTCTGCGAAGAAACACCCGAGAACTCAAAAAACGCGGAAGAGTAAATCAACACACACATTCTCATTTTAAAAATTGAAATTTCAGAATCAAAAGCTGCTGCAAACAACCGAAGGAAAGATTCAATTTCAAAGATTTTGTCTTTTTTTTGGAAATTTAAAGGTTGAGCCTTGATAGACGCGCAAGGGGACGTGGAACATCAAACTAACTTTGCGTCCGCTGATCATGTTCCCTGGCGAGGAATCGTACACATATCCCTACAGCCATCGTTATCTTAGTTCGTGTGTTTTCCGAACATGTGACATTTCCGAATTTTCATTTCGTCTAACAGCTATCTTATCTCTTCACTTCTTTGTTCACTAATCCCTCGTGTTTGCAGTCTTTCTGGTGGTTCGTTTCGGTACGAGGAGTACAGTCTCTAAAAAGTTTAATTAAAACCGGGTTCAAATGATTGAGTGACAAACTAGCGCAGGGCTCTGGAATTCGTTGATGCTTTTTCAATCTTCAGGAGGCTAAAGGTTGCGTTCAGAGGACGTTTTCACAGTCGCACAGAAGAGCTCCAATTCTATTTTCAAAGAAACAAAAAGAAAGAATCGCCGCAGAAAGAAACAAACTCCGAAATCTGCTACGCTAAAGGTTATTTGAAATTTAGTAACCTTTTCTTTGTCTGCTAGCCGTTTGGAAGCTTTTTCTAAAACATACTAGAACAGTTGACTATAAACGTGCATAGGACGTAACTTAAAGGGATCAAAAGCGGATAATCGGTTGCCCAGGAGTCGGGCCTCACCTCAGCCTATTTTCCACCAGTTTCTTCAGTTTTCTTAAGAAAAAAGCTAAACAAAAGTATTTTTTCTGAAGCTCACGTTTTCTCATTTCGTAATTATAAGTAAGCATGCGATAATTTTTTTCTCAAATTTGTATGAGTAAATTCGCGGCCTTAATTTGGCGAGCGAAGCTTATTCTTTTGGTGAAGCGTTTGCTAAAGCTGGGAGTTCATTTCACGAAAATCTTGATCCATTATTATCGAAATTGAATATTCAAAGCTAAGCTTGATTTTGAAATGAATGAGCAACTGGCAATCGAATGCCAAGACGATTTCTAAGGTTGAACGAAAACACGTAAAACGCGTTAGGTCGAGCTTGATGAATCTTCGTCAATTGAGTACACGTAACACTCATTTATCAACTTTTAGAACATTTACGAGCTGCACAGAACTAACTTCGAGGAAAGGTTCAACTAGCTGCTTACTCAGATTTAAAAATATCTTGGACGGGCGCATCGTGGCCCAAACTTCTATTTGCGGATAAACCAACTATTTTTAACGCGAATTAATCTGGGGGAAACATAACGTAATGAAAGGTGCCTAACGTGTTCGATATTCCAAGCTATAAAAATAAACCGACAAAAGAGAAGCCATCTGATCTCATCTGCTGCTGCCCAGCAAGGACCCCTTACTCATGTTATCAGCCGAATCAATCGATGGTAAGCCAACATTTTTGATATTTTTGATAAAATATGTTTCAGCGACATCTTCCCTGTTATTATTGGGCCAGTTTCATCGTACTCACTCAATCGAGTGATCCCTTTCACCTCCTTGTTTTTGGATTTGCGAATTATTAGAGCGACTAACATATCCTTAAATTATACACATGAGCGCGAAACAACGTGCGCTCTCCTGCAGGAGCTTCGGAAAATTTCTCGATTGAAGCAAAGCCTGACTATTAACCACTCGAGTCATTTCTCAAACTTGGCATGAGATAGATCGACTTCATTATTTGATATAATTTGCAAAGCCAGACTTAGTTTAACATCCTCACGATCAGCCCCGGTGGAATGTCTTCCCAACTTCGCAACGTAAGTGCAAGTGATCGTCTTTAAGACCGTCTTACTAATAGTAATAATCATTTGGGTAGAATGCGGATGTAATAGATGAAGACCGCGACATCGGACATTTGGTACGAGTAGGAGTCAGCGCTCAGAAATATGGGATCGCACTCTTTCACGTTACGCAGAAGTACAACTGGACGAAGAACTTTGTGCTAAACACATTGCAGGGGCCTGGAGTAAGTCACTTTCTCCGTTATCAGGCCATTCGAGAGTCGAGCTCAGCTGCCCATTTCAGTAAGCAACACTTTTCAGATCGACTACCGAGAGACTAACGAGGTGTCTGATTTCCTGGCTCAAGGAATTTACGACGGCATGGCCGACCAGTTTAGCTATACAAATCTTACCTTCAAACATATACGCTTTTACAACAGCCAGGCAATTGACGACGAGAAACACCGTCTTTACTGCGATCCTGCAAACTGCCCCCAGTCAGAAGAACAGTGCATGAAAAAGTGCTGCGAATCATTCGACTATAAGGATGAGCTCGATATCTTGCTATTTGTAATCATATTAAATGGTTCATAGCAATTTTAGAACAGCTTAGTAGAAAGTATATCGAACCCTTGAGAATAGAAGTACCTAGAAAGAATCAGAAGTGAAGGTCGTATTATCATCATCACAGGTCCGGGCTACTTCAGTATCCTTTCAAAAAGATTACTCAAAGCCTCGCCAAGAAAATGCGTTATTTTCTTGATCCACGTAGATGATTATTTTGAATTTATATGTGATTATGAGTTTTTCTAAAGCCCCTTTCTTAGCTGACTACGGACTTGAGAAATGTGACTATCTTGGCGATTTCTTCGAAGCTGCATGGCAGGCGTGGCTTTTCTCGATTTTTCCAGTACAGTCTGTAGTCGAGACTCTTGAGTCAAGAAACAAGGGTTTGTATTTTGTTTCGATGTTTCTCATCGAACAAATTGCACCAGATCGCCTCTGTAAGCATAAACTTGCTCATAATCATCAGTCATATACTCATTAATAATGAAGAAAGATTAATCAAGTCAAACTTACGGAAAGCCGCGAAAAGGAAGGATTCTGGGACGAGGATGGCCACTCCGAGTTTGTTTTCATCCTTATTGATTTCCAAGAGCTCGACATTGACAGACTCCAAGAAAAGCTGCCAGTAAGCCAGGCACGCAGTTTTCGTTTTGTGGAGTGTCGCAACTTTCGCTAATGTTTCTTCAGTAAATACAATGAACGTGATCGGACCGACGTTATCGCCGATCACTGATAATAATTATACCATCGCGCACTTCTTAGCATGAACATAGACTGTTGATTTCAGCACTAACTGCTTGTGTGGCATTTCTTGAACAGAGTTTTTGACTGTATTTTGGCGTGGCCTAACGCGAGGCGACTCCCTCGATTAACGAACATACCGCGCGGTTTAATTTCGACAAAAGGATTTCTTCTAGCTCGAGTCACCTATTCGAACGCTAGGAATGAGCCGCGAGGCCCGAAAGTGGTCACACATATTCCAGTCGATGGTTATTCTGCGGCCACAGAGACCCTCTGGGCCGAAATTTGACAAATTCGCGAAAGTAAGTATAGCCAAGCTAGAATTCTTACTCAGCCCATTATCATAACAAGGGAGCCCCTCGTAGTCTCCAAACAGTAAGGTTCTTTTGCTTATATTGCCTTGAAGACTTATCAAGATATTATTTTTCGGGACGTGGTGAAGCCACAGCGCGCTTGCTTATCAAAAGAAAGCTTTTAATCGAAAGAACTAAACCAGCGCGATTTGCATTTCGATCAGCTAAAGATCGCCACGTTTCCTAATACCTCACTTCCGCGCTTAGCTAATACTACATGCCAAAAGTAATACTGTAATCGGTTCAAAGAAACACGTTTTTTTAGGAATTGTGGGAATTTACCAAGAAACGCAAACACAAGATCGAGTCTCATGCGCGCTACTTCAACGACAGCCACACAATCGAAAAGCTCGAGGAGTTTAATGCTTTCGAGAGCTACTTCGACCCGCGAAGGAATCTCTATCTCGGATACACCTATGATTCCATTAAACTTTACGAGACTGTTCTCAAGCGCTTCTTCGACTCCAGTGATTCAACCATAGCTGACGTTTTCCTAAACACAAACGGTTTCATGGTGGCACCTAGGGGTAAGACTAGTCTTTTCGTGAATACTAGCTTTCGTAGCTTAATTAATTAATAATACAAAAACAATTAAGGTCTTGCTGCGGTCAAGCAATACATTCGCGGCAAGAAATTTCCTTCCGTCATGAGCGAGAGCGACTTCCGAATCGATGAACATGGAGGAATGTTGTCGTAAATATCGCGTCCCAAAGTCAACTTGCGCCTTCTTGCGCCTTGACAGTGCCAATTTTCGAATTTCGCATGAATTTCGTGCTCCAAAGAAAGACTACTTTCATTCAAATCTCGGTTTGATTAAGATGCACCTTATCGATATTAGAGGTGGTCTAGAATTTAGTTTTTCATGATGCAACGGAAAGCTGATAAGTGGCTTATTATCTTCAAGTAAAAATTCAGTTAATGACACAACTTCCTGAATCTTTTTACTAGTAGAGATCATTTTGCGAGAAGAAGCCAGTTCATTTTTTCGAAATTATTCTTAAATTTGACTATCAATCATAAACATGCATAAATGAGCACGGCCCGATCGGAGTATCGCAATATTCAAACATTTCAATATTCTTGAAAAGACAGAGACATCGACTTCGAGTTTCTGAGCTTCAATGGTGGCCATTTTGAGCGATCAGGCATTTTCATCGGCGAGATGAGCAAGTACGAGATCCAAAGGCATATTCGATTCAACACCAAAGACGGTCTGCCTCCTTTGGACACGCCGAAATGCGGTTTTCTGGGAGAGAAGTGCAAGAAACTCTGTAAGTCAGCGCCGTTTCCTGTAATTAGCTCCGATTGCATCAGAGCAGTTGTTTACTTTAAAAGAAACGAAAGGGTCTCTTTCCATTTTCGGGAAAGGAAGAGACTGGCCTCGTTGGAGACTCTCACGGTCCCGCGGTCACATTCCGGGTCCTCTGAGGCGTCTTTTTCAAACGTTCTCTTTTGACGTCACGTGATGCCACTATTTGTGCATTGAATCTCGCTAGACACCTTTTCCTCTTATGCATTCCAAGCATTTCTTATAAACAGAGTCGCTTACCAACATTCTCAGTAACCAAGACGCAACTCATGTTGATCGTTACTGGCTGCGTAATACTGGTGCTCCTGTTGACTGTTGCCTACATCACCCGACTGTATATTCACGAGAAGCAATTGTCCAACGAGTGGTGGCGCATTCATTGGCACGATCTCGAAATGGAGAACGAAATTAATGACTACGACAGGCAGCTCCAGAACAAGTCTTTCAAGGAAGGGTGACTTTTGATTACTCTCACTCTTGAGTTTACTTATACTGAACCGCAGCGTAAATCTTGCGTAATGCTAGAGTATGCGACACTGAATAGGCGCATAAATCTTGATTGCATGAGCTTGGCCGCTTATTCGGCTTTATTGCAATGCATGAGGGAAACCAGTATAAGGTTTAGGGTTGGGGGCAGCTCGAATGATTACCCCTACTAGCATTTAGATTTCGCAAGTGATGGAGCTTTTCATTCTTAATTATGACATAAGGGATTGTGGACTTTCTGGAAAATAAATGAAATGCACGTCGAGTTCCGCTGAGCTGCCAATTTGGGTGGCTGATAAAAGGTTTTGTCGGTTTTCATTGACCTCGGGGATAACGTCATCCCGCAACTCGCAACCTACCAGGTGTGTTTGGCTTACCGATCCCCTCGCTTGAAGGGTATAATACAGGCACTCCATTTACTAATTCTATTCCTCGTCTGTCCCACTTTAGCGTTTTGAGCTTCTGCCGGCTTGTCCTTGACGCTAGTCCTCAGTTATTGCTGTTTTTATACATAAAATGTCCTCAGGAGGCCATATTGGAAGTAGAAGTATCCTTGCTTATAATTACACGTAGCTTCGGAAAAACGCTGTCCAAACTTTCAAAGAGAGACTTCTAATCGTTTGTTAAAATAGTCTTAAAATGTGAAAACAAGATTTTTCTAGCGTGCGAATGATTCGAAAAGATTGAAAAATAATTTTAAAAACTTATGAAAATTGGCGTTTCTTTTTCCTTTCTGATAATCGTTGTGAAATTACAAAATTAAAACAGGTCCCAAAGTGGCGGAGTGTATTTTTACCGAGTCTGAGCAGCTTAATCGGCCAAAAATCATTTGCCAAGGTGTTTTTTATTGGGTCGCTTAGCCGCCGACTCAAGAAGGTTTTACTGGAGCTTTAAATTTGGTCCAAGAACGGACGTCATCCTTTTCAGCAAATGGACTTTTACGGTGGAGACGAAATTAGCCAACGATTTGGAAACTTTTACGCCTTCAGGGTTGGGTTCTTAATCCATCAAATTATTTAATGAGGATTGTATACTTCTAAACATAATCAACTTTTGAACTCAAATCTCAGCGGGTCAATGACAGGCCTCGGTAAGATTGCGTTCGCGGCCGGATACGCAAGACGAAATATTTCCTTCAGACTCGCGCTATCGACTGACCGATTACTTGCCAAGTTCCAAAGCTCAAACGCTGGTTTGTCGCTTCCGGGACAAAAACACAGCCGTCAAAATGCTCCCTTATCTTCAAAAGGTCGAGCTTTCTCGTCAGCAGCAGCTAGAATTCAAGGCGGTAAGTAAATGGAGTAAGAACCATTAGAAATATCAATTACTCTTCTGACAGCGCTTGTGAACGGCATTTTTAAGAGTGTTAATTTGGGGATACAACTCATTCTGGGCATTCTTTTTCTCAGCCAAATTTGAAGTTAGCTTTAAAAATTTCAACCAGAAGTAATTCTTCTAGGCGAAAGCGATGCTCTTTATTTAGAGGGACGTGAAGAAAGCAAAAGGCTTACATAATAAAGCCTCTGAGATACATAAAGTAGCCAGAAAATAGGCATCGAAGGTGCTGGATTCTCAACCGAGCTGCCAAATTGACACGAGCCCTTGCTCACTGACTCGTAATTAGCATATTCTCACAGCATGGGGCTCTAAACAGAGCGTCACTTGCCGGTTCCCACCGCCCATTTTCGCCTGAAAGTGACGAGCAGTTAGCGGCATTGCCCAGCAGATGAGTCCGGGCGGTTCCTTAAACCAGCTTCTTTCTTGCGTCAGCTTCTGGGGCGGACACTTTGTGTAGCGGTCTCTCAGCTGCTGGAAAACACGCACCGCTCCATGAGTACACTACCTAATTTCAGTTCAGATCAAAGACATCTACAGTGAACATCTCGTGCATTTTATCGGCGTCTGTATTGACTCCCCGAACGTGTGCATCCTCAGCGAGCATTGCAAGGAACGCCGGTTGCGCAATTCGAACTCACTTTTAACACTTAATACGAAACCGGTTATAGTGGGGCTCTTTGTACGATATTCTTGAATGTTCCGACTTTCGATTCGATCTTGTTTTCCAGCTCTCATTGATAGGGGACTTGGTTGCTGGAATGAGCTACCTGCATCAGAGCGAAATCGGCGTTCACGGCTATTTGAAGTCAAAAACTGTCTCGTAGACATCCGATTTTGTCTCAAAATTGGTGATTACGGACTTCCAAGGTGACAAGATTTTTCATCTTTTGAATCAAAAGTTTTGATTAATCAAATTAAAGTCTTCGAAACGCTAAGAAGTACTGGGATCATCCAGTTGATGCACAGAGTCTTCTATGGACAGCTCCGGAGATTCTGAGAAAGCTTGTTGGCGAAAACGACAAAAAATCACAATTTTATGGGACGCAAAAAGGAGACGTCTACAGTTTTGGCATAATTCTTCACGAAATCCTTTTCCGCAAAGGTAAGACAAACCAACGATATTCGAGCTAAATTTATCCAAGGCCCATTCTATTTGGAAGATGAAGAAGCCCAGCCAAGAACACTAGAATTGAGCCACATTCTAGCCCAAGTGGCGCAAGTGAAGAGCTGGCCTCAGCCTCATGGTGAGAATTAAACTAGATTACCTATTAACCTAAACGTATTCTAATCAGCTGATTCAGATTGTGAAGAGATTGAACCGCTCAGACCCAGCTTTATTCAAGAGATCGATATTGACGACGAGTTAAAAAATATTATCACACAATGCTGGGAAGAAGATGAAGAGGCTAGACCAACTTTTAGTCAGCTTAGCTAGGGATCTGATAAATAGAGTCATTTTTAGATAATAATTCAAACATTAATAGGATATTTGGTGAAGAAAAGAAACCAGTTTTGCTTTGACCCCTTTAAAGCTCACTCGTGAAAAAATATCGCTCAAAGAAGACTGGAAGTGCCTCCGGAAATCTAGTCACTGATTTGGTGGAACGTTTAGGGCAGTGGTCTTCAAACTTAGAAGCAATCGTAGAGGAAAGAACACAGGGCTATCTTCAGGAAAAGGAAAAAACAGAGAATCTTCTGAATGAGATTTTACCTCGGCCAGTTGCCACCAAGGTAAACTCCTTCGTTGCGAGAGAAGTTCTCTCGAGGAGCCATAACCGTTGAAAACTTATCAAGCTTAAATTTTTAGCTTATCAATGGCGAGCCCGTTCAACCCGAGGCATTTGGCTGTGTGACGATCTTCTTCTCTGGTAGAGACAACGTCGGCTCGGCGCTTATCGAATGTTATTCTGAATTCTAGATATCGTCGGCTTCACGGCGCTTGCCAGCGCGTCCAAACCGCACGAGGTCTGCCAAATGCTCAATGATCTATACACGCTCTTCGACGCCATTATTGACGGCTTCGATGTTTATAAGGAGAGGCTCCATCGAATTAATGTATCTTAAATATTGGAAATAGTGGAATAAACTAAGCTGGAATCAGAATAGTAAACGATACTCGGAAGGGTCAGCTTCCCCACAAGAGTTGTTGTTTTTTGCAATTAAGATGCTGATTCGCCTCGCGAAGATGTTTAGACTAGTCCGAAGAGGCTTGTTTTCATAGACGCCAGCTCTGTTGCCTTTTCCATCAGATGCAATCACCTAAGAGAGGCAAGATGAGCTCACGTTCGAAATGCCGATCCAAAAGAACATTTTTTGAGTAAACCGAGGATTAGATAGCCTTTTGCAGGCTATAAATAAGCAAAAGCGTTTTTGACATAAAATTGAGCCCATGAAAAGGTGGAGACCATTGGAGATGCGTACATGCTTGTGTCAGGTCTTCCAACGCGTAATGGAGATCACCACGTCGAGCAAATTTGTCTATGTGCTCTTGCGCTCTTACAGAATGTTCAAGGAAATTTTAAAATTCATCATCGACCACAAGAGCAACTAAAGGATGCGGTTCAGACACTCAGACCACTTTTCGAGAGTATTTCCAGCTGTAAAGTCCTCAAAAATCATAATGCTGCATGGTATAGTCTCAGCCGAGAAAAGCTCCGAATCGGCATTCATTCAGGCCCATGTGTAGCCGGCGTAGTTGGAAAGAAGATGCCACGCTACTGTCTCTTTGGTGATACGGTCAACACTTCTAACAGAATGGAATCGAGCGGCTTACGTAAAATAGTCAAGTTTATCTTTAACAATTTTTTCTAGCTTTGAAAATTCATCTCTCGCCCAAGTCCCATGATATACTAGAGAATTCATTCCCGTCGAAGTTTATTACTGAGCTGCGTGGCCCTGTTGAAATGAAAGGCAAAGGGAAGGTGACGACGTATTGGCTGCTGGGAACTGATTCTGGACCATTTGATGAACCGAAATGGGAAAATAAGCAGGATGGCGAGCAATTCGTCGATCATCCAAAGTTTGACTCAGGTTAAAAAATATCACCTTTAGTCTCACTAAACTAATCTCGCAAGAAGTACAAGATAAGTTTTCTGGCTCTTATTTAAAAGGAAGAGTTTCGATAAAACTCGCCCTATCAAGTTTCCGAGATAAACAGGAATACTACTTACCTCAATAAAGTAGGTAATTTAGCGATATCGATGACTCCTATCCCTCACCGAGCGGTGACAAATCTCATGCGCAACAGAATATCAAAGAGCGGCTCTCCTCAAGTCACCCGTTCTCCTCGGCTCAAAGACATAGTTTCACATTCCTTTTCTTAAACTCAAACATCTTCTGTACAAGGCCTCAATGATTAGGATATTTTCTGAGAAAAGATAAACCTGTATGCATAAAATAAATCAATCACGGATGCGGTATAACGAGATATGACGCTATAAACTTTGATAATTATCCAGCTTATGGTGACACTATGTATGTTGTAATCACGGTGCCGTTTTTACCCATTAAAAAACAGAGATATTGACAACATCGAAAGCAAGCTTCTTTTCTTTCAATTGAATTTATCTTTATATTTAATAATTTATTGTCTGTTTGAACAACTGTAATAATTTCTTTAAATTGCATATTTACAAGTATGAAAGTGGTTTAATGAGATAGGTAAACTTCCGATTTACGTACGAGGTCTTTGGCGAGTACCCACTGAGTATGAATTATCGGGCAAAGAGTATTTGGTGGTGGAGGTGGAGCGAAAGAAACAAACAAAAAATGGTGAAATAAGAGAGGTAAGATTTCGGAAAGTAACATGTCACTTGAAAATGAAGTCATCTGTCGTCCTGTTCTTGAAGAAACTGGTCTAGCACTTGTTGAATTATTGCGACCTTTTCGAGATCACCTTTCTTGCGAGCTCTCTCTACAAATAAATATCTTTGATAAGTTCTAAGAGGCACTTACCAATATCTTTGAGAAGGAACTCGATTTGCACATCCTTCTCGTCCTTTTCGACTTCGAAAATGTTCTCGATTCGGGGAGACATTTGAATCTTGTCGCTTTTCTCGGAAACGTTTGAGGAAGAGTCGTTTGCGAAGGGATTGAGCTCGTTGTCGTAATTGTCGTTTTCATCTTCGAAGGGATTCGCAGGAGGATCCTCGCTTTTGCGGCTAGGGATTCGGAAAGGATCCGTTCCGGAGCTTTTATGGCTGTTTACGTTTACTACATTGATACGATTTGCCGCAGGCTCAGGCGAAGCGGTCCGTATCGGGGAAGATGAGTGTGCTGGCGTCGACGGAACAGATGAGAAGGGGGAGTTGCGTGGGGAAGACTGAGACTCGTTTGTAAGTATTAAACTTTTAAAGTTTACCTTCGAAGAAGCGACACTAGAATTAGTTTTGGATGATAGATCGAGCTGGGCGCGTCTTGAAATCATTTCCAGCTTCGTATCGTGAAGAATGAGCGAAGTTACGCGCTGCAAGCCACGAACGAGTCGATCGTCGGCGTCGATAATGTTGCCAATTTGCTGACTCAACCGTTCCAACTTACGCATTTCCGTTTCAAGCTTGGAAACAAGTTCCTAAAAGTCTTATTAAATAATAATAATAATAATTTATAATAATTATAAATATTGCATTTGAAAACTAGTCTATGTGAAATTCGAACAGTTCGACTGATTATTAGTGATTAAAATTTTTAAAGAGGCTCCCCACCTTGAAGTAAATTGGCTCTCTGGTGTGATACTGCAATTCGCTTGTCAGCCTGCCAATTTCTGACTTGACTTTGGCCCACCTGGCATACACTTTGAAAATGATAGATTCGGATTCTTTGTGACTTGTCTTCGTGCCAATTTTAGCGATTTCTAGAAAGCAGAACTCGCAAACTCTAACCGCCGCGTTTGGATCCACAAGCTCTGAATTTAACTCAGCTGAGATCGCCTCCGCCAGCGCGTCGTAACGGAGCTGTTGGCAGCAATCTGTGCACACCAAAGCTCCACAGGTTCTACAGTGATGACGCCTAACACGCATTTGAGAATCGATCGTATAGCCCATAAAATACCTTGAAAGAAGAAGGGCAGATTGAATGCCGAAACTCAAGCCACAGTTCATACAAATTGGAACGTCGGAGTCAGGAACCCAAAATACGATTTTCTGTTCCTCGACGCGACGCTCAGCTTCAGGAATGTGTGCAATCGAAATCAAGTTTGAGAGCTTCGTCGACAAAGAACTTGGCCGAGATGAAACAGTACTTTAAAGAATAGATTGACTTGATCACCACTAACAAAATTACCTCTGCATTGAAGAACGCTTTCGATGAAATAAGCTAGTAAGGTCGTTTGATAAAACGGGCTCCTGCCGAGTCCAGAGCGAGGGATCGACGCCGCCAGTCCTTGTGAGCAGAGAATTGTCATCGAGAATTCGTTTTCGCTCTTCTTCTTCGCGTGTTACTGCTTTCGCCGAAAGTAGCTCCGAGTTTTCTCGCTTGAATAACTTCTTGATATTGTTCAGGGGCTTTTCCTTCACGTGGATTTTCTGGGACAGGAATTTTTAAAGTGAAGCGAAAAAAGTAAAAATTCTTTATGAGATAAAAATTCGATCCTGAAAATGCTGAACGAGGCCATCAACTGAACCCAAATCGATTCGACATTCTGGACAGATGAATCCAGCATCCATCTGAAACCATCAGTTTATGTGCTTTATGAGTATTTATTTGAATTCAGCAGGTTAGATTGACATGTAAATGAAAAAAAAGACTGTAATATCACAAGAACACGCGAGGTGGAAAAATATGTCGACGTGTTTAGCTGGATGGTTTGGGATCACCGTTCTCGGTTATTAGATCTTCCTCTTTAAGGTACTGGATGTACTGCTCCTCGGTCATCAAAGAAGAGACTTCTGAGTCATCTGAATACTTCGTCAATTTGGACAGAGAAAAGAAAAACTCACCGTTTACAATCATTTTCAAGATCCAGCCTTTTCCAAAGGGATCTCTGTTGATCAGTTGGGGCTTTCCTGAGTCCGGGCAAATGGCTTTTTGCGAGTTTTACAATAAAAAAGCTCTAATCATTAATGAAGAGCGTGCCCTGATGGTAGAACTAGTTCCCTTTGTTAACTTCGTGAACGGTGCCAGAAAGGGGCGCGTAAATTGTAGCTACTGATTTGACGGATTCGACCGTTCCGATTTCGTCTAGAAGCAAATTTTAGTTTCCTTGAAAAAGCTCAAAGCAACGAACCATCTTTAACAACCTCCTCATTAAGTCTATCGATCTCGACCATCACGAAGTCGCCATACGAGTCCTGCGCATAGTCAGAAAGACCTACTTTGAAGTGCGTCGCGTTCTTCGTTTCTTTTTGGACCCAGTAATGATCTCTCGTGTATAATATGGAAGTCAGTCTAAAGATGAAATTAATTTTAGCAAAAGGATAACAACTATCACCTGTACTGAGATTTCAAATGAGCGGAAGTTCTCAAGGCCGTCCGCAACATTTTCTTAAAACGCAAGATGAGGTCTTTGTTGTTTTAAATGCTTAGATAAATACAGAATAAAGGAAATTGAACACGATCTGCGGGCTCTGAAAAAAATCATAGTCGATTCAAATCAGCCACCGAAATACTACCGATAGATAACAAAACCTTTCATGAATGGGCAATCGAAAGAGTTTTCGGCATCTTTGGTGAGTTCGAGAATGTTGAAGTGTGTAAATGAAGATTTCAAAGAGGGTTCTGTAGTTAATTACGAGTCCCGTAACGAGTAAAAGAAAAGAAAGCCGTCTCGCGAAGTAGTCCAGATCCCATTAGAACGATTGAATATCTGCTGAATTGGCTCGCAGTCTGCTCCTGTCAGTTCATTGTGCATAGGTCGGAGAGGCTTTTCGTCAGGGTCGTCTATTTCCAGGTCTTCTTCATGTTCGACGATGCGAAAAAGCGCAACGCCTGTAGCACCAAAGCTGATGTAGAGATCCCCTTTGAAGATACCTTCTTGAGACTGAGCTAATTGCGCAGACATGGCGTAGACAGGATGAGGATAGAAGTACGATACCATGAAGCTAAATCCAACATTCCATTCCTCACTTTTATTCGGCTTTCGCCAAAACGTATAGATCCGTCCATCTCTACAACCTGCAATCAGGCGATCTGGCAACAACTCCATTGAGAGAACCGCTTAATCAGAATGAGCAAAAAGGACATTGAAAGACAAAACTACCGGATCGACAGAACATTCCTGCAACGAGTTTGCCAGTAGGAAGCGATATACATTGAACGTATCCTTCCTCTGTTCCGTAAAGAGCAAAAGTAGTTTTCTTCCAAAAGTATTTTTTCGCTTCTTCGGCGGAGAATTCTGTTTCCTCGTCGTGTTGGTAAACATATAAGCAGTTGATTGAACCTACCGAAATCGTAAAAATCCCATATTCTGTAAAGAAATTACCTCTTGGGACTAATTCACTTTCCCATTCAGAAACTTGTTCGCCACTGGAACATTCCCACAGGCGTATGGTTCCATCAGTAGAAGAGCTTACGAAGTTTCTGCCGGCCTCGATGAATTCGATTTGGGTGACGCTTTCGCTGTGTCCCTTGAATCTTCTTACGATCTGACCGTCTTTGAGTCCGGCGAGGCAGATCTCATTGTGCAAAGCGAAGATGATAACTTCGCCAGACGGAAAAAATCTACCCAGATGTGGCGTTGGCTCGATGGATAGAGAAAGCTTGATTTCCCTGCTCTTTATATCGATGACTTGAATTTTCGAGAGTCCATCGGGTCCTACGTCGGAGTCGCTCGCCAGCGCAAGACTCTGAAAACATGTTTTAATAACAAAGTCAAATTCTGCCGACCCCAATAAAAAGATCCAGCAACGCCGGTTTTAATTGGAAAGCAAGAGACCTTGGATTTGTTTCTTTAGACTAAAGGGGTAAATTGCTACTCTCGCGAAGGTTATCAGATGGTGAGAAAACGCGGAGCTGTCATCTCAAGCGTTTTCTATGATCTTGAAGAAGCAATTCGTTCCCCTTCGCAAAGTCTTATAATTTCTCGAACTTACCTCACCAGGAGACACGTCTAGGAATCGCGCTTTGAACTGCCCATTTCCAGCTTGCAACCTTTTATCGTGGTAAATAAACGTAGCCCCCAAGTTATCGTCGAGTTCAACAGTAAGCTCGCGTCCATCTTTCGACACGTTTTCAAACTCTTGAGAAAAGAGGGTGAGCGATTCAGCTCCTCCATGCGCCCGAACACTCCCGTGGATCGAGGCCGGATCTGCTTTATCTTCTCCATAGTAAGAGACCCAGAACTTCTTGCAGGTGTCATCTTCGAGAGCTGGAAGCCAGTCGTGTTGAATACAAAATCTCGGTGCCCAGGACCAGTCCGGAAGTTTCTTTCGAGTCATTCTGAATTCAAGTTTTTCAGATAAAGATTCTCCTCACAATATTCCTGTATAACAGTTATTATTTAAAGTCATTGTCATTTAATTCTAGCTGGTCTTCGTCTACTAGTTCTTCCTTCTTTTTATTAGCGGAGCCTACATTTATGTACATCAGGGGCTCTTTCAGAGTGACCCGATATTTGTAAGGTCGTGTGTTTTCAAACATAAACGGATATCTTTGACGGAAGAACTCGTCCACAGACAAATCTTTGCTGGGCGAGCTGTAGACTTTGAGAGCGGCGGCTAAGAGAGAAGAAGTCGAGTTCGAGTTCTTGTCGAAGAGTGGTTCAGACGAGGTGATTCGTCGCAACGTTGGATGGAAAAGGGCTACCTCCGTGCATCCTCGGACAATCATGTAGAGAAAAATGTAGTAAGATACAACAGCAGGAATAGCAAAATAACTCTGAAAAGAGACGACGCTAGCAGCGGCTAATGAAGCCACGCTGAACGATAATATTTGTGCTGGCTGTGGTCGTAGCTGATGGGAGAGGAAGAGTCCATCTCTGATGAAATCACGGGAACGGGGCTAAACCAGATCTTACTTTCTGAAAGGGCAATAATAAACTTACTTTGACGAACTGTATTTTGACATCGCCAACGGGATTGAAAAATATATTCTGGCAATCTTTTAAATATGCCTGTTTGGTTGTTATTCTACGGCGTATTCCGCAAGAGGAAAGTCGAAAGGCGAAAAAGTGCTGATGCCAGCGAGAGCGCTCATTCCAAGGTCAAACGTTGCCAGTGAATCCATCCAAAGAAACGAGGAGTCGCGCATCCACGCACCACCCCCAATATCGGATTCAAGAGTCATCGCTGCCTGGCGCATCGTATAGCCTCCGATAACGAAGAGCGGAATAGGATACAAATTAGGTGCAATAATCTTTCCCGTTGTTAGTGGACCTTTGTACGCGCTTCGAAGCGTTTTTCGTCGTACTTTTTCGTCTATTGCCAGCGGGGCTGAATAAATCGTCATGTAGAAACTTTTCTGCCATCTTGAGCGCCTTTGGGTCCGTTGTTGCTTCCTTGTCATAAAAGGGATGTTTCGCGTTTTGGTGAAAAAATCGCGAGCGATAGAACAGTGAGAATATCTCATTCTTGCGATAGTCGTAATTTTGCCAGTGCAGCTGATCTCGCAGAAAGGACTCTTTTCTTCGAAGTTCTTCGTTTTCTCGGCGATAAGACAAAACAACGGCAGATGATGCTAGAAATCGGCTGCCTTATCATCCGGGTTTGTATCGCAAATCTCGTCGATGAACAAAAAGACTAAAAACCCGTTCCGATCGCGAAAAGAGCAACTCCGCCGCCAACGCCGAAGTTTGTAATGAGATTCTCGAGGACTCTTTTAGGGCTTAATTTTCTAGAGATAGACTCTGATCGAGTCAACAACAGGACCCGCGAAAAGTAGCTGCGCTATGAATAAGTATTCTAGTGATAATCGTCGAAACCCGTCTCAACCTGACAAGACTTTTGTCGCGAATCTCCCCGCGAATAAGCTTTGACATTTTTGATTCAAAAATTTAAATTTGCGAATGAGCATAATTTCATGTTTGGGAATGTCCCCTTTCCTGGAGATGTGAGATTTTGATAAAACGGTTCAAAAATGGAAACAGTCTGGAAGGCAGTCGGTGCGGTCGGGGAGCTTATCACCTCCAAACTTGAGGCAAGACAGCGCTTTCGTATAATCGAGCTGCTCGAAATTCGAATCATCGTCTATCTCTCGGACTTGGACGCGCCTCGGCCAATCAGCGCGCCTCAACGCTGAAAGATTTCCTTTCTTCCAGCATCCATTTTCCCCTGAGATTATCCCTGCCATGATTGTTTGAAATTCAAACTTTGAATTATCAATCGAGGAAATTTATAATTTCAGAGAATATGAATGGTTCTGTTGCGTTCGAAGACATCGAGTTTCTAAGCGAAGATGAGCTTCTCAAGATTACTCCTAAGTTTCGAGAAGCGCGACTACAAATGATCAGCGGCGAGTTCGGCCCGTTTACTCCCGGCGTCCCGCTCAAGGTCCCAGCCTGGATGGCGATCAATCTAGGTACAGTCATTAGTAGTGATCCTAGTCATTGGAAGTGCTTTAGTTCAGCGAAACTTGTGCATTGTTCATCAACCAGCGTGGCTTAGCGTAGCCGAGCTCCAAAAGTGGTACGAGGCGGAGAAGAACGAAGAGCAGAACGCGGTGAACCCTGTTCACTACAATTACAGGTATGTTTCGGGAGTGCCATACGTTTCTGACACAATTTCAGAGAACTGTCTCGTCTCCTGCTTCGTCATTGCCGCGACGGTTTCAAAGACGTTGACCAGCTGGATCAGCTGATTGAAGACCTTTGGAACATTCGCGTCGCCAAGTTGCGAGTTTCCTGCCAAAACGTTCTCAAGACCCGCTGGCAGATGGAAATCGCTGACCACGGAGGAGTTTACAAGATCTCCAACTTCACCCAGTTGGAAGTCAACTTCATTCGGTAGTAACTCATAAAATCTCTTTTCGTCTCTCATCCCCGTTTTCAGACAGGCATTCCTTCACTCCCTCAAAGTCAGTTTCACGATCTCGAACAAGATCACCGACTTGGAGCAGAAATCGGCCCAGCACTTCGACGCGACAACTATCACGAGCACTACTCTTTCTCAGAAAACTATCTAGTCTATCATTTAGCTGCCAAAATCTTTGTTCACTTGTTTCCCTACTTCAACACTTCTTCTGTATAAGTTTACCTTCCGGACAATAATCTTTAATCTTTTCAGGAATGTTTTTTCGAACTCAAACGGCGTGATTTAGATCGCGGCTTCCAACTAGTACCAATTCATTGGATTATCGTTTGCACTCGGACTCGGGAAGTTTTCGATTGAAACGGGCTCAGCGGGAAATAAATAGATAATTATATATACCCTTTGAATGTAAGAATTCGATAATCATGAAAAATTCTAAAGTTTTTGACTGATCGCTTTTGAAGAGCAAATTTCAAAGCCTGTGAAACTGTGTGAGTTGAAAATGATCGTTGAAAAATCATCTGCGAAATGATTTTTGCGAAATTTTCGCGATTTGGGAAAGCACCGAAATTGTCTGGATGACACCTTTTTGTTCCCAGCGTGTGTCCAATGAAGTTAGACCGCCCGCGCTCTAAAAATAGAAAAGTCGGTTAGTTTCGCGCTCGAGCGCCACCTGTAGGCGCCTACATAAATCTCGCCTACCTATAAGAATAGTTAAAAGTTTTCTTATCTACTTTTGTTTATCGTAAAACGGACACAACGTGCGAGTGAAAGAACAATTAAAGAAATGACTGAAGAAAAGAAACGCGGAAGAGGACGACCAAAGAAAACTGATATTCAAGCCTCTCAGTCAGAGGGAGAGCTCGAGTCCAACAATACCGAGCGACGTGGACGAGGAAGACCAAGGAAGTCAGATGGTCCAGGAAAGCCAAGAAGAAGCTCAACTCCAGTATCGCGATCTTCGAGCCGGGCCCCAAAGCGCGCCCCAAAGCGCAAGTCTGCGCCGGCGGACCATGATGCTCCAAAGCGAGTGTAAGCCTCTAAAGTTTAAACAATTACTCTATCGTTAATACAGACAATCTCTAAAATTCTATTAGCCTTCGACAGCGAGAAGCCGACAAGATCGTCGAAATCGTGGACGAGAGGAAGTCGCGCGGCAACGTCCAATTCAAAGTCGTCTGGGGCGATGAGAACAAATCTCCAAGTTGGGAGCCAGAAGATAAAATTCCAGAAGAGCTGATCGAAGCCTTCCGAGAAGAGCCCGACTCCGATATCGAGTACGAAGTCGAGAAAATACTCGATACGCGCAAAATGAAAGGCTCGATCGAGTATCTCGTACGATGGGCTGGATTCACCAGGTAAAAACTCGCTCTCGAGTCCAAATATCATTAATCGTGTCAAGTGAACACGATACATGGGAGCCAGAGGCGAACATGCCGAAGAAAAAGGTGAAGGAGTTCAAAAAACGACAAAACAACTCTGACGAAGAAGCAGACTCCGACGATCCAGACAAGGAATATATGGTCGAGGTGATTGTCATTAATCTTTTCACAAGACGTTCACCGCTAGTTTTCAGAAAATCATCATGCGCAAAGGAGTTGGAAAGCGACGCCTCTACCGCGTGCGCTGGCTAGGTTACAGCGAGTAAGTTGATTTCAGTTGCCTCAAACTCAACCTAACGATTAAATTTAGCAAACACAACTCTTGGGAACCCGAGGAAAACCTGGCTGGCGCGAAGAGAATGCTTCGCGAATTCAATAAGGTCCAAGATGAGCGCGAGGCGAAGCAGGCCGAAAAAGAGTACGAGGTAGAGAAAATCGTCGACGAGAAGCTCATGTACAAGCGACCACACTTCCTAGTCAAGTGGAAAAACTACCATTCTGGGTGAGTCAATTTACCAACATTTCACTATTTAGAAATGCCAAGTCCACATCAAAGAGCGTGAACGCAGTTAACTTGTAATTTAGACACAACACATGGCAAGACGAGAAATCGCTTGCCGACTGCCAAGACGCGCTGGAGAAGTGGGCAATCACCAAAGAGAAGCGCGTGGTTAGAAAGAAGGAGAACGCCGAACGTCGAGAGAAGAAGAAAATCGAGGAGAAAGCGAAACGCGAAGAATCAAAACTCGCCAAAGCTGCTGAAAAGGCAGCGAAGAAATCCAAGACCACCACTGCCTAAAATGATGACTTCAGCGAATCGCATAACTCCAAGATTTATCCATATTATTCTTCCCTGAACGTTTTCCTTGTGGATTGCCCGGGTCGCGCCGTTAAACAAGGCACAAGTCTGCAATTTTTGATTGGGCGCGACCCGTGCAAACTACTGTAGATAATCCTATCTCGGGTAGCGCACAGAATCCGAAAATGGGTTCCGGCGCGCCGATTCTCTCGAGGGAAACAATAGATTCCCTGTTATTAACGATCTGAAGGTGAATCCCATTATGGACGCTTTAAAGTGATCTACCCAAGAGAGGATTATCCACAGTGTGTTTCGTTTTATTCCCCCTCATGAGCCTGTCACCGTCTTTACCTTCGCGACGTGATGCCACCCGTTATCTCAATGTTGAAATATTGGGCGATACTTTTTATATTCGTTAAACTGACTGAAACATATTCCCTGGCTGTATACCGATGATTTTTGGCATTTACCCCGACAGAAAAAGAATGATAAGCATGATATATAGTACTGATCATACTTTTGGCCCAGCCAGTCAAATTTCTCGAGAGACGTGGTGATGGCGTTCTTGGGAAAAGAGAAAAATCATCGGTACTCTTTTTCATTGCCCTTTTGAAGCAAATCAGAAGGGCCAGTCAAGTGTCAACAGTTTTGTACACTTGCTCTTTTTGCCTGAACTCTTTTTATTCCCCCGAAATAAAAGAAAAAGCTTAAAAAAGTTGCCTTTTCGATTCTCTGCATATCAGACATGCATATACAGTATATGATATACTGCATAAGAAGACGTCAATTGTCAGTTTATTCGGTTTATTTTCAATCGTTTTTATTGATTATCTAAGCTTGACAGAAAGTTTCCTCGCAATTGTCGTCTTCGAAGCACAGTTCGTTATCTCCGTTGCAATAGTTGACGTTGATCTCGAGTGATTCTGTGAACTGGTCGAAGCGCTCAGAAATAGAAGCCAGGATCTGTTCCTGGTAGTACGCTAAAAAAGTATAAACTGGTGCGTATTACCAGAGAGCTCACCATTGCAGGCATAGTGCATCAACTTCTCGGTGTACTTGTTGTACTGCTCGAGAATGAACTCGTAGTAGAAGGTCTGGACGTCAACTTCACTCTTTATGTCCATCATCGCGCAGTAAAGGCAGTCCATTCGCCAGGCGTTGCGGTTCGCGTGGTTCTTCACAATCTTCAGTTCATCGTTCATATTGTTGTTGATTGCACTCAAACCAGCAATTTCAATGTCGATTACTTCGGGAGTCGACCGTTCTGCATCTCGCGCAATTCTAAATTTAATTTAAGACGAGGACATTATGGAGAGTGACACCTTGGATTGACAGGATGGGCAAACTTGGGATTGTTGCTGATTTCAATCCAAGGACTCGACTCGACCAAATCGCAGTAGCACTCCTTCAGGTCATTATTACTGTCACCGAATCTTGGGTCACCGCATTCGCTTTTGTCAGTTTCTCCGTTGTAAAATCGCGTTGCTTGTAATAGTAACATTCTCGCCATTTTGTCTGTACTTACTTTGCGTCGCTCTGTCGTCGTAACCTGCATCATAAAAATACTGACTCTGAAGCTGGATTTTAAAATCACAGCCAGTCACTTCTGCGCCAAACCATTCATCGTAAGGCTTGAAGACGGACTCACCACCATTGTTACAATTTTTAAATTGATCTTTATCGTTGAAGTCTGGTCGCGAATTCTCTTCTCGATCTAGGTATTCGACCTCGAACTTCTCATAGTCGGCGAGCAAATCCAACATATCTGTGGGATTATCATAGGGATTCGAGAAGCAGTCCTCAAATCCGTTAGAACCAGGTCAATCTACAGAGCTTACTTTTGAATTGATTTGTGGCCATGTACACGAGTTTGCCCCACAATTGTCTGCAGCCCACAATTTTACGTCATTTGCGTCTTGCCAAGCATCCCAGCAAGTTCCTCCATAAATAGGCGCATTAGCATCAGAGTCAAGAGGAAGGCATGAATCCTGTGACACATGTTCGATTCTAGTACTTTCGTTTCTCTCTTTTAAGTTCCTAATTCGAACAAGTTCCTTAGCTGCAAAAGCTGCACCGACGAGAGCGAAACTCTTCATCTCGGATATCAGGAGAAAATCAAGAGAATTGGGAAAAAGAAACTATCATCCCGATCATAGGGAAGGCACAGCTGGCCACCTTCCCACACAATGCAAATAGCTTCAACGATATATTTTCCTTTAGCGTGCTCATCCGGTTAACAACTGCCCTCCTGATACCTATCAATCTTTGAAAATATCATGGAGGATATTATTGGTAAGCGATTTATTTAATAATCGTATTCGGGTAAGGTGAAGTTGAGAACAGCTTGCAATAAGGTGATAGATGCTGTGTGTCAAAAAGAATACTTGGAAAACAGCTATTTCAGTTTCTCTTCGACTTCTTCGTGCGATAAAGGACTTTTGAACTGTCTATGTACTTTTCAAAGTGGTCTGAATCGAAGTCAGAGGCGTCACTGAATTCAAATAACGGGTGATCTCCGGACGGGTCGTGTATGCATGGACCTTTCTCTTTGTCCTCTGCGTCTCTACCAGCGGTTCTATTTTAGTAAAGACAAGAGATGAAACTAGATATTGGAGAAAAATTTAACCGCTCCTGCCCGGCTTCTCTGGCGGGGTAATTTCTTCTAGAGTTTCTACTTCACTTTCTTCCAAGAGGAAAGTTTCTTCTTCCTCCTCCTCACTCTCTTCGGAAGGAGACGAAGAAGAATTGTCAAAGGACGGAAGGGGCTTTGTGCTCTTTCTTTGAAGTTTCTTGAGTTTCTTGTCAAGTTTGTTTTTCAGCTCCTTCATTTTTTCCTGCATTTCATCTCCTCCGCCTCTTTGTTTACCTCGGAGAGTTTTATCATATCCACGAATTCCTTAACGGCTTTCTTGTGCATTTTCTTCTGCGTTTCAAAGATTTCCTCGAACTCTTTACGCTCTTCTTCCAGTGTTCTCATTTTGGCATGAGAAAAGCAGTTTTCAAAAGAAAGAAGGAAATATAGATTCTATAATATCGAAGAAATGCTCACGCTTTCCTTATGCATTTAAGGCCGGTTTCGTATTCACAGAATTCGAAAACTCTTCCGTCCGAAAGATTCCGTCCAGCTCTAAGATTTTCTTTCATCACAGCTCGGCTTTCGTAACAGCTTCTGGACTTACAGCGATTGTTGTTTCTTGACATACTTAAATTTACATAACTGTTAGCGTGTGTATCGTAAAAGGAGCTCAGATGATAAATGGATGTTGCAGTTAGCTAGAGTAAAATAAGGCGCACGCGAAAAGACACTACTTTGTCTTCTTCTTTGTTTGTGACTTTGTCTTTCGTTTAGGCGGCTGCTCATTTTGCTTCTTCTCCTTTTTCTTCTGCTTCTCCTCTTCCCGTTTCTTCTCCTCCCGTTCCTTGAGCTTCTGCTGCTTGCTCTCAAAAGATCTTCGACGGTAGAGAGTTTTCTCCTCGGCTTCGAAGGATTCTAGTTCAGCCGAGTCGAAGGAATCGGCTTCACTGAACTCGAAGTGAGGGTGGTCTCCATCTGCGCTGTGAATGCAAGGGCCAATTTCGCTGGTTCTTGTTAATCAAAAAATTCGATAAGTTTGTCAATTGTGAAAAAACTCTTAAGAATTGTTAACGTTTCCTGAGGTCGACAGATCCTTCATTTATTGAGTTACTTTCTTCGACACTTTTATCTCCATCCTTTGGGATCCCGTGGTCTGCGAGCGCTTGTTCCAAGGCGGCTAATTCGGATTTTAGTGAGGCGATTTTCTTCTTGTATCGAGCGTTCTCGTCCTCCCGTCTCTTCTCTGAGATTTTGAGTTCTCGAATATAACTATTCCTGTACTGTTCATACGTGGTTCTCTGTGTCTCGGTCATTTGATTCAACCTGTCCCTCTCCTCTGAGAGCACACTTTTTCGAGTGACAAGATTGAGCGCTTACAAAACCAATACAAATGATAGCTCTCTTCACTCCTTCCTGCGAAGACGTTGTGCGTTGTTCAACTCATTTTGAGTGTCGAGGCTAACCAAGATTCTGCCAGCTTCTGCCTTTTCAGAGTTCCGAATCCGGCAAACAATGATAGATAAAACTAGGGATTTCGAACTACGGATCCTGTTCTCGTAACATTGCTCTGGCACACCATTGGTTACAAGGTGCTTCTCTCGGCGCCATAGTCTGAATATAACAAAGGATAATAAAACTGAGTTTGTTCGATATGCTAGAGTTCTCTGTGATAGAAATAGTAAACCATTTTTTTTAATAAGGAAAAGTGAAAATATCACACAGCGCGGCAATTACGGACTTGTCAGATCGCGAGTGCAGATTTTTCACACATCGTAGGCGGGTCAATTTGAATTTTCATAGGTTTTCTCGACAATGTTTGATTATTCTACGACTCGTAGCTAATAGCTCTTAGAATTTGCAATAATAGCTCTTTCAAAATCCGGCCATTAGTTCGCTGCACTCGTCTATGTAGTCAATTTCTTATTGGCGGAATAGTCTCATGTGCTCGATAAATTGTAATCCGATTGGCTGACAGCCACAGTATTTCACTTTTGCTGAAGTTGCATCTCTAATTCTCATTCGAACCGGCATTGTAGCGACAAAAATGGCGATAGGCAACGGAGGAGCGATATGAATTGCGTCGACAGTTTCCCACGGAGTGGGCGTCCTCTGATCGGCAGCGCCCTCATTGCGCCGGCCTCTCGCTCTTTCTTCCACAATGCTTCAGTCAGAGAGTTTGAGGTTTAGCTGAAAGGTAAAAATTAATATCTTCGTTTTCGTTAATCATGTCTCAAGTCCCCTAAATGTCCGATGTCAATGGTACCGATGCTCATATCAGATCTCTTGGAGTTCGTCCTTCGTTTGGATTACTAATATTATGACTTTACCTAATTATTATCAGTTTTTGTCAATAACATAGAAGTGGAAAGTAATCCCTATCTTGAGCCGTCCTGGTTACACGATGACCAGCAAAATTTCAGCGATCCGGCGAACAACATCCACGGTACCACTAACACGACGACATAATTTCATAAGGGGCGCCTATTCTTCAAGTAATTTTCAGTACTCTTTTACAGTGCTAATGTTTAATTTAGATTCAAGAACCCCGATTTGGCAATCCAAATTTATTATAACGATTCCCCGCACCACCAGGCAACCGCACCATTTGGAGTGGTTCCCTGAGGACCCGACTTTAGGGTGGCCCGGTTAGACTCCGTGGCACTTTTTGCATCCTATCTTTTTGATGGGATGTAGTTGACTCTCAGGCGTTTTGCGATTTTAACGATGAAACACAGCAAACGAATCAAACATTAATCCGCTCTATCAACAAACAAATGAAGTCTTCAAGTCTACACTGCACAACTACCTCAGCAATCAAACTTCTCGCAAAAACCTCTGAACTCAGCAAAACGTTTACAAAAGACAAAACCTGCAAACAAGGAAAGGTTTTCAATGAGAACTTAAAGACTTCTGCAAACTTGCTTGCAAGGAACCTTCTCTAAGACCCTTTCCTGTACAACATACAGCGTCTCTCCCCATAGAAGTTCTGTGGGGCAAGCTTCAAAGGCAAATCCTCAGCCGAATTCTGTTTCGACAAGAAGATTCAAGATTTCCATGGCTGATGCAAAATTCAAGTCTGTCCGTCTTCATTTTATTCTGCATCTTTAGCTTGATTTCGATCTAGTTCAATTCCTGTACCTGACATAGCAGAATAAAGTTAAGTAATCAAGTATAAATAGTATTTAGTAGCACACTAACAATGTGACACTATCCGTGTAATAACTTTACTCTCTTGCAGGATGTTTTATTCATTTGAGATTCATAAAAAGCAGGGCAGAATACAAGCTCGTCTTTAAACAGTTACTGAACAACTGAAATTTTTGGCAAACTGATACTATTTACTGAAAAAATATCTCATGACAAAAGCATCTTTTCCAAATTCATTAGCGGCGCTTCAACCACAACATGAAACAAAAAGCTCGCAAGGAAGGTCATCATAAAGAATCCAAGAAATAAAAGAGTGGACATGTAGTCGCCCATATGAGGTGGACTCACCAGCTGATTACCGTAAAATGACGTCTGTAATATAGGATGAAGAAGATACATAACATAGCTCAGTTTGGAGATGACAACAAATCCTCTCCATTCCAAAATCGATTTTATTGGACCGGCTGATTTCTAAAAGGAATTTTCGAAATAAAAAGTTAGAAAAAGTTTACCATTTCGCAGGCAAAAAGAACAAAGTAAACAGCTGCTGCCCATATTATCCTGTCGAAAACTATATACATGACGTCTCTAGGTGAGTTCATGTATTTTTCTGGGTCTTTTTCCATTGGTATTTTCCCGTAAATTAAGCCTAAAGAGCATCCAGCAAAGAAAATCCAAAGCCCAAACATAAGCCATCTATTTACTTTTCTACTTGTTTTGCGGTAATAAATCAAGAACCAACCGCCGATAACACCAACGGCGTATGGCCCTACTCGTGACCAAGGCGGCTAGGAACTTTTCTTCTATTAGAATGAACGAAAAACTTACGTTGTAGTATAAATTCCAGTAAGCCGTATAGACTGGTCCTGATAGAGCCACGTAGGAGCTTTGGATAGTCGTCACATCTTTTGCGACTGCAACCCAAATCTGTAAAGATGTGTAAATTAAAATTATCGCTCTAACTTACTAAATAGGAAATGTTCGTCAAAAGGATCCCTATCCAAACTCCGAGTCCAACACGCGGAAATTTCGACAGGATGTAAATCAGCGGCACCCCGAAAACAAAGAACTGCATGTCGTTTGACAAATACCAAGAATGACCCAAGCAACTACTGACACGGCAATCACCTTTTTCGTCGCAATTTCGCTATTAATTTTAAGTTTTTGCAGTGGCAAATATTTGAAAACATACGATTAAGTTTGTAACATAAAGAATATTCCTCCACCACCAGTCCTCACATTGTTTAACGAGTTTGTCACTCCTCCAATGAACTCTCGCGCCGATGCCATATCTGCCGAGCAAGCCCATATAGAGAAGGATGATAATAAGATAGACCAAAGTTATACGAAAGTATCGGTGGGCATAAAGCTGTACGAAGAACCCGCAGCTTGAATTCTTCTCAAATTTCTTGATTAGCAGATACGCGGTTAAAAAACCAGAGAGCATAAAGAAAGAATCCACCGCGAAAATTGCATTACTTATGTGCTGATAAAACGGGTCAACAAAAGCACTCTCAAGAAAAAGCAAGTTGTCCCACTCTCCAGCGGCATAGTAAATCGAGTGGCCCCAAATGACCCAACTTAGGGAGAAGGCCCTTATTCCATCGATTGACTTGATGACTCTCGGTCCTCGATTTGTATCCAGCAGCTTGGCAGTATTTTTGAAAAAAGAGAAAAATCCTACGAAGTGACGATAAAAAGGTATCTTCGGTGCTTTTAGCGGTGGCGGTGGTGTCGCCTTCACCTCAGGTCTCTCGATGACAGAATGTTTGTCTTTTCTTCGTTGTCTCAGCCCCTCGCTTGAGAACGCAGGGTTCTCTTCTCCCTGCAAATGATCGTCAGGCCTTTTCGACGGGTTTCTGCTTATTTCGATTGGACTTGCAGTAAGTGGCATAAAGAAATCGAAAAATAAGTCCACTAGAGTGCAGCTGATACACAGGATACTAAATATGCATACAATCGCTATCGCAAGAGACCAAAGAGGATCGTTTTTTGTCCTTTCCTTGCGAGTTGACCGCTCATGACACCGAAAATACTCTTTCATGATTTCATAATAAGGCGCTTATTTTAAATAGTACTTGATACGAAATCTTTCCTTTAGGTTCTGCAGGAACGGCGATTGTCCTGTTTATTTCAGCAAAAGGCGTGATAAGTTGGTCAATAGAGAAGAGAAGATCTTCTACAAATTCAAGCCCATTATGAATTATTTGATTGAGGTCAACGTCGGAGCATGTATCTGGAACGCAGACTCCTAGCTCGATGGGCAACACAACGCCCATAAGTGCGACGGGAAATGTGCCCAAGCAGTATTCGCCGTGTATGTTCTCAATTAACACCTCTAAGCATTCATCAGCACGTCCCCAAAGTTTCGTGTTGCCCTAAACTAAGTTCCTCCAAAAGCAAAATTCATGTCTTACCTGCAACAAGCCGGAGGGTGGCTTTCCCCATGCATCAATAAGTTGAATAACGGGTAATCGTGAAGACGGGTTTATCAAAAATACCAAAGCATTTTTGAATCATCTATACACTCTTGAGTTACATTTTTAGTTAATTCCTGCGTCAAGTTCTGAAAAAGCATTGCGAGATCAGGAGCTTTGAAGGTAAGTTGATGATCTGGATTGCAATTGCCGGTCATGCTGCACAGGACATCATTCACGTTTCGGGTAATAAAAATTAATTCAACGTCAAAGAACTCGGATAAATCTTCAAATAAGGTGTCCAAGAAAAAAGCATCGTTTGAAAGCTTTTTAGAGGTTTTGTTTTGAGTTTTTGATAAGTCATCTCAGAGTTCGAAATCCCGCGTTTGCCCGGGGAAGATACGGGCACGGGCAAGAAAGTGAAGATTCCCGAGGGCAAAAGCGGTCACGGGCAAAAACGAATTTTCCCGCGGGCCAAGCGGGCACGGGCACAATAAAAATATTCCCGCGGGCAAATTCGGGCACGGGCAAGATTCCCGCGAGCTTAAACGGGCACGGGCAGATTCAATGCACCTTATGAAAAAGTGTTTAAACTATTTAAATAGCGTGGAAATAGACACCAAATACTTGAGGGAGTATATTGAAAACTAATCTGCATACAGAACTGTTATGACGTGCTTTTTTAAGGTTAACGAAGTTTTCCAGCCCATTTCCGCCTTATAGACCCCCGAACATTATACCTTTACAAATCAGCAGAAAATTTTAAGAACTTTAACGGTTCAAAATTCTAGAAAACTCCACTTCCGGTCGGTTCTAGAGCCGGAAGTTGACGTAATTTAGGTGTTATGGTGAAGGGTTAGCCTAACCCTATCAAATTGATGCTCAGACGATTTCCTATCATTTTAGACCAAGAATCAAGACCAACCGCGGTAAAATAAACCGGAAAAAGTGAAAAAATTCATCACTTTATGCCTTTTTTACATAATTTTAACGGTCGGTTTGACCAGGTTCGGGACTGTTTCTTCTGAAATATTGATTTTAGGATGACTCGAAATCTTCTGAGCATCAATTTGATAGGTCACACTCTACCATTTTATCTAAATTTCGTCAACTTCCGGCTCTAGAATCGACCGGAAGTGGAGTTCTCTAGAATTTTAAACCGTCAAAAATTTTGAAATTTTCTGCTGATTCTAAAAAAGTATGGTGTTCGGGGGTCTATAAGGCGGAAGTGGGTTGGAAAACTTCGTCAACCTTAAAAAGCACGTCTATATGCAAAAATAAACTCATAGACGATGTACAATGCACATTGTGCATGCAGAATAGTTCTGCAAAATGCGGAATTGTTTCGATCAGAAATCGGAGTGGTCTCCGTTTGCCCAAGTCGCCGTTTGCCCAACTTGGAGAAACGGAGATCTTGGGCAAACGGCGATCTGAAAAAGTTTATCTGAATTGATCATTAGACATTATTTGGCTTTTTAATGTCAATCATGGCTTCTTCAACGGCAATCCTGGCTTCACAAACATCAATCATGTTTTCTCCAATATCATCGACACTATATCAATTATGGCTTCTCCATCGCCAATTCTCGCTTCACCGACTTCAAATATGGCTTCTCCAATGTCCATCCCGGGTTCTTCGACGTCAATCCCGATTTCTCAATCGTCGATCCCGACTTCTCCAACGTCGATCCCGGCTTCATCCATCTCCATCTCGGCTTTTTCAACGCCAATTTTATCTTGAAGAAGCCATGATCGACATTCGAGAAGCGATGATTGACAACTGAGAAGCCGGGAGTGACGTTTGAGAAGCTAGGATTGAAGTAAGTGACGCCCGGATCAGCATTGAAGAAGCCGGGATTGACGCTGGAGATGCCAGGATTCAAGTTTGAGCCACCAAGATTGACGTCTGAAAAGCTAGGATCGAAGTTTTTGAAGCCGGGATTGAAATAAGTGAAGCCGGGATTGACTGTGAAGAAGACAATAAAAGTTATATGATCAATCAATTAAATTAATTCACATCGCCGTTTGCCCAAGTCGCCGTTTCCCCAAGTTGGGCAAACGGAGATCTCGGGCATATATATAATTATATAATTATATGATAATTTATATCAATTATGGTTTTTCCAACGTCAATTCTGGGTCTACATCGTCAATCCTAGCTTCACCGACTTCAATCATGGCTTCTCTAATGTCAGTCCCGAGTTCTTCGACGTCAATCACGACTTCTCCAACGCGAATCCCGTTGACGTTTGAGCCACCATCATTGATTTCTGAAAAGCTTGGATCGAAGTTGTTGAAGCCGGGACTGAAGTTGGTGAAGCCGGGATTGACTGTGGAGAAGCGAGTACAAAAAAGTTATATGATCAATCAATTTAATTAATTCACATCGCCGTTTGCCCAAGTCGCCGTTTGCCCAACTTGGGGAAACGGAGACCATTCGGTCGTAGTTTCTAACTAGCTCCTAAAACTTGCGATTTAAAAATCCGAATTGATTCAGGGTCGTTTTTATTTTATTTTCTTATTTTGAAAAATAGGCTTGAGATTAAGCAGTAGAAAAAATGTTCCCCGGGCTGCCCTCGGGAATATTTCGTGCGGGAACGCGGGCAAACCGCCCGTGCCCGTTTATGCCCGCGGGAATCTTCTCATTCATGCCCGTGCCCGTATCTGCCCGCGGGAAAATTTGTTATAGTGCCCGTGCCCGCTTGGCTCGCGGGAAAATTCGTTTTTGTGCCCGTGACCGTTTTTGCCCCCGGGAATCTTAAATATTCTGCCCGTGCCCGCCCGCCCGCCGCCCCCTTGCCCGGGAGCCGCAAAAATTTCGAACTCTGAGTCATCTACAAAATAATAGTATAGTTGCCAAACATTAAAACGTATTTCCTTAACGTCGAGTTCCAAGTTTGAAGCTCCCATTGGTTTTGAAAGTCTTGGGAACAAATAAGCAGAGAAGTATTTTCGAATTGTGAAATAAATTTAGGTAAAACAACCGTGCACAAGACTTTTGGGAATTCAAGTGTCGCGTTTCCACTGATACTACTGATCTGAAGCTGGGCGAGTTCTTCTGATAACAATGAAGTAGGAGTAAAATAAAATTCCTGTATTCCAGCAGATATTTCAAAAACTAAAACAGTTAATACTATCCGATGAAAATAAGTTTTTTTTACCTGAAGCCATAGATGCGGAAGTTATGATGAGGTAATTATATTCTGGCAATAGTTTTAGAGAAACTTCAATCCATTCTATGAGTGAAGTTCTTTTCACTGCATTAGAAAAGTTCTCCCATAGTTGTGGAAAGTTTTCTTTGTTGGTAAGAAAGAGGAGGCTTCCGGTCAACAAGACGTCTTTTGGTAAAAAACTGAGGGCCTCGTTAATTGTGACATTTGGTGAGCTCAAAGAAAATAGAATCGCATTTGCGTAGCCTGTCAGAGTTTCTTGTGGCAAAGAAAGACCGACGGACTCCGTGATGCCGATGAGTCCACCAGTTACGATTTCAGCTGAGAAAGAGCTTCACAAAACAGTCTTTCAGAACAAATGAAACACCTCTCTTAGAAAAAAGGACAATGATTAATTCAGAACATTGAAATAATATTTGCAAAGCCTTCCTGCGTAGACCGCTATTGTGTTGGAATCGGAATCGTTGATGTCACTATTTATTGCGTCTCTAAGGGCGTTGAACTCTGCGAATTGGAAAGAATTTGTGTCGTTGAAGACTAACGAGATGAATGCTGCGGACAAAGGATTTCCCATGCAATATGACGAGATCGCTTCGGCGTAATCGACGTTGCCTAGTTGAGCTAGAATCTCGAATAGAGTGAATGATTGAATCTCATTCACTGCAGCAGTCACGGCGCCGATTTCTAAATATGCCACCAGTCTCTTGATGCGTCCGTAAAAGCCTGATAAATTCCAAATCTTTCCAGCAGTACTTCTTCCAAGCCATGTCATCACTCCATTGATGTCAACAACGACTTCAGGAGTGAACAAAGACTCCCATGTTCCTAAAAAATTAGAGAATGATAACAAACATAAAGAATACCATTGAAATTAGAAAATTTGATTGTCTCTGTTGATAAGTATTCAACAAGATATTGGAGTTGTCCTAAATCTGAAAACGGCCAATTTTCTGAAGTCGGTGAATTGCCAGAGCCGGCACTGTTGACCTGATTCAGATTATAAATAGGATCTAAACTAGGAACGAAATTTCGCTTTGCAAGATCTTTTTAGGGGTCTATGATAAATCACTTTATAAAACAACAGTTGTTAGTTGTCAGTTATACCCCCTGCCTTCGCCGTTTTGATTCTTGAATAAACAAGTATAAGTTTCAAAAAGATCACTTTTTCAAAGGTTTTCATCATATTATCAAGGTTCAGTTTTTCTTTTTCTCGAAAAAAATAACACTTTTACTGTCATTAATAAAAAAACTCTTTCTTGGAGATATAACATTTCTGTCTTTTTGGAGGGCGTCAACAAGGCATCGAATATGTGATTGATCTTCCCAAAACTCAACGGTTCCAAGCTTTTCTAGGTCCAAAAAGACTCTTTCTGGATCGACGGCTTCGATGCGAAAAAAAGTGAAAAAGAACACAGGGACTCGCATTAGCGAAAACTACGAGTTGAATGGATTCGATTCTAAATTCTTGATTTGAATTGTTGACGGATAGTCATTGTTTCCAAGCAGACCGGAATCGTATTGTAAGGCAAGGCAAATTTGAACGAAAGTTTTTTTGACTTGTTCACCTGAATGATTCGTCATTTTTACAGAGTTGATACTTCTTCAAGATATTTTTACTGTTTTTATATGGCTGCATTTTCATATCCTGCTCGTTCGAAAATAAGACATTATAATTTATAGAATGACTATGTTGATGTTTAAACCCGATATTTATTCATTTGAGTGTTGTGAATCAATGATGAAGTCAAGGTTTCAGGTGCCGATTCGCTGAACGACCCAGGTCTGCTGGCAAAGCGGGCACCGCGGAGTCGTAGCTACCCATCGCGACATGCAACAGTTGTGGTAGCTGTGATTGCACTCGCCCCAAACCACGGCGCATTCGTCGGCGCCCTTTCCGCTGCTTTGGCACTTAACAGTTTCAACTTGAAACATTAGCTTCTTACTTATCACAAATTACCTTGAGGCAGGGTTCAGTTACAACAACTCTGCATATCGCACAAATATCACAATCGACGTCCCACTTCCACAGTGAGACATGATTCCAAGTCTTTAACTTGAAAATCTCCGCGCACTCCTCAAACTCAGCATCGTTTTCTTCGAGCGAGAGTTTTTCAAGTTCCGCCAGCGAAATATATAGTTCTTTCTTTTTCTTTTCAGGGTCTTTCTTCAATTCCATCGCATTTTGAGGCAACACTTCCAGTAGCTCTGGTTCTGATGCGTTGGTACTTCCGCGCAGGAACTCAAAATGTTCACAGTCTTCAGGAATATCAAGATAAGCTGTTTCCAACGCTAAATTTCCCCATCAAATGAGTATGTTCTAAGTTTTCATACCTGAAGTAGCTGATGCAGAATTGTAATTGCTTGTAGAACTGGTCAGGATATCTTCTCCGAAGCACTCGTTTATGTCATCAGATTTTCGCTGTTTCATTATGCTTTTATTTGGATTATACAAATGATAATTGGATTGTGTTACCTGAAGAACTCGATTTCATTTCTCTCGTCAAATGTGTCAAAGACATCGTCAGACCCATTACTCTCGTCTGAAGAAGAACTAACATATTCAGGTATCAAGTCTTCAGCGATCAAGTTCGGCAATGAAATAGCCTGACGCTCATAACTCATTTTCAAAAAATAACGTGTATTGTCGATATACGCGCAATGACAACTGCAAAATAAAAATTCCCCGCGCCGTATTTACGGTTAGATGGCACAGATTTTCATCTTCGAACCGCTGTCGTTTGCTTTTTGAAAACAAGTTTTGAGCAGCTGATAGATTTTTTGGAAATAATAGAAAGAGTCAAGCTAAAATTTTGATTATTTTCGTACAGCTACACATAAAGGAATTAATCCCTGTACTCAAGATCATACCCTAACCTCACATATAAATTGCATTGGGGGACTAATAAAACTAATTTGGATAAAGTATTCACTATTGAAGCTTATCTTTGTCTATTCAGGCAGAAAGTTTGGCGTCTGTCGTGATCATCAGGCGAGATCTGAACAGGTGCACCTGAAAGTATTTCCGGCGCAAGCATCAAAGGCATCTAACGCGGTAGCGCTATTTTCGCTGAGCGCCTCTGCCGCTCTTTTCGCGGTGCTGCCCTAGTGTCTCCTTCCTCAGATGCAAAACTACTAAAATTTTTGAGAGAATAACTTATTTAAACGAAATTAATAAAGATGCTCTTAGCAGCGTTACTTGTGCTCGCACAGTCAGAGATAATTCGATACCTGCCCAGGTATACGGTCAAGCTCAAAGGAGGAGAACAAGAGGCACGCGAGCTGGCTAAGGCAAGGTTCCTTTATGTTCCCCTCGCATATTCTGCAGGCGGAAACATAAAGAACCTTACAAGAACCTAAACTTAGAACTGGAAGAAACTGAATTTGAAAACATATACATATTTTATAAAAACACAACGAATTCAAGATTGTCAAGAAGAACAACAAATTCAAGGTAAAGATGCTTTTCTTTATTTTGTGCAAAAGTTGATAAGACGGGCCAGCATTGGAACTGTGACAAGAATATCTTCATTCTCTTCGGTGGTCGATCGAGTAGAACAGCAGATCGTTCGGTCGCGATCTAAAAGAGACATGGTCACCCCGCGAACAACGGGCTATAGGTCAGGAGTCCGCTATGGGACGAATAGCCACAACGAAGAAAAGGAAGCAAGAAGGCAACACAGGCTCGCATCTTCCATAAATCGCCAAACGAGCTATAAACCTTCTTTCAACGACCCTGAGTGGAAGAACCAGTGGTATCTTAATGGCGAAATCTGGAAAAATCAGGCAGGGACTCTTCATCCAAATTTCTGATCTTTATTTGAAATCAATGAAGACTCCTTTCAGCGCCTTTCAATGCGCGTCTTGGACGCATGGGCAGCAGGATATACTGGCAAAAACGTGACTGTTTCGATTCTTGATGATGGCGTGGAGTATACTCATCCTGATCTGAGGAAAGAGATCTCAACTACAAAACAAGAAATTATGATAATTATTTCGTTAATAACAAAGAAAACTCAATCAAAGAGATAATTACAATGCCCAAGCGTCCACGGATATCAATGATAATGACAATGACCCAGTACCACGATACGATGCCAACCACGAAAATAAGCATGGAACTCGCTGCGCGGGAGTTATTTCGGCCGTTGCCAACAACAAGAACTGTGTGGTGGGAGCTGCGTTCGACGCAAAAGGAAATGTTCTCGAATCAAAGAGTCTAATTAATTGGCCTCGGAGATTTTATAACAATTTGAAAGTGGCAGGAGTACGCATGCTTGATGGCGATGTGACGGACGAAGTGGAAGCTAACTCTCTCAAGTAAGAACAGTTATTTATAGCTATGACGTAAGAAACGACACGTAACCTTTCATTCTGGAGCTAAATGCCATGTTATCTCCAAAATGCGAGAATATAAACAATTCACAAGTTTGACGTACTTCAAGCGTAATATTTATTGCCGCTCTGCCAGATTATTAATACGCGTTAAAATCGCACATTTTTTACGTTTTGCAATAAACGTAATTAGCGACAGATGGAAAATTAGGGTGCATTATTACGTTACTTTTGACGGCCGGCTGTCTGTGAGCGCACTCCACAGACCTTGCGACGCCCGGTTATTATCTTCTGGTGTTGAAATTATTTTCTGGGCTAATTGATCGACAAAACCGACCCAGAGAAGATACTCAAGCATTGCCAATGCTGCATTGGCGATTCTTAACTAGAGTTTTTATTAAACCAAAATGAAGATTTTTTTCACACCCTTGATATGACAACATTTTCTCAAAATATTATTTGTTTTGATGGTTGCAAAACTAAATACTTTCGCGAAGAATATTGATTATCCAAATACAAATTTCTTGCTAATGAGCTGTCGAAGAGTGTGGGAAAGATTAGTGCGAAGAGTTGCACGCATAATTGTTTCGGATGGATTCATCTTCGGCTTCCTTTTTCGGAATTCTATATTACACAAGTTTTCGTCATGCCCTTTGACTTTAGCCTGTCCGTTCTTCCCTTTCTCATGCAGCTCAAAGATTTAAAGACTCCCATTTTGTTTAAAACTTATCCCCACTAAGAGTAGCTGTCTATCATGAAACGTATCTGAATGTTTGGAAAGAGTCTGTCCTTAAATGACGCATGAAATAATATCGAACACCTGGCAAGCACTTGAAAGAACAAGAATTCTTTCAGATTAAGGAATTTTCACGGAATTGTTAGCCACTTAATTCGCGTTGTGAAGCATTTAGCGAATACACCTGGGCTGCAAGCCGGTCGATTTGATCACAAGATTTAACCAGATCAACTCAAGTGTCGGGAATAAACACTATCATACTGAAGGATTCGTCTCAATATCACTGAAGCGAAATTTGATAGCTGATTCTTGAGCACTATCAGTTCCCGAACACAGTAAACCAGAATATAATTGTTCCACTTCCGAGTAAAATAGCGTTCGGAAAACAAGATAGCATCATGCCGATGCAATCACCGTGTGTAGCCATCGATGAAGGAATGATTGAAATCTAGCTAGGGAAAGGATGCTTTCCGTTGTGGATTTTTACCATATCGCTTTCTCTGAGCTGTGGATAGGCGATGAAGATCTTGGCGCCCATCTTGGGCTAAGTCGGCGTTAATCCGGCTGACCGACCAGTTGTCGAATACACACAAACTAATTAGAAACGCCAAGTCGCCTCCTCAAGCCTCGATAGGTTAAACAGGCCTTATTTATTATCCAAGATAACTAATCCGACAAATGGCCGTCGAGCCACACATCCGACTTTTATTTTTGCGCAACACCTTCTTGGTTCCTTAATTAAGCCGACGCAAAATTTTTACTTATTGAACAAATTAAGATTCGCCCGTGGAGTAGTGGACATTTACTCGGCCTCCTGGGGTCCTGATGATGACGGCAAGAAAGTCGACGGACCAAGGCTCATGGCACAGCAAGCATTCATCGATGGAGCACGATTTGGACGCAACGGCCTTGGCGTGGGGAGCAGATCATCCTTTCTCAAGCCTACGGGTTGGCGCTTGTCCATATGCTCTAACCCGAGTACAGATCTATTTTTGTATGGGCGTCCGGCAACGGTGGTCATAACCAAGACCATTGCTCCTGCGATGGTTATACAAATTCGATTTATACTATCAGGCACGATTTTAACTCACATATACTTTATGCAGCATATAATATGCTAAATCTGATATTCAATCATTGAAAGTGTTTCCGCTACAACAGAACTCGGCAATCGCCCTTGGTATGCCGAATCTTGTGCTTCTACTATGACAACTACATTTTCTTCTGGTGAAGGGAACGAAGGAAGCATCTACACCACAGATTTGAATGCGTACTGTACATCTGAGCACACGGGTACATCCGCGTCTGCACCTTTTGGAGCCGCGATAATTGCTCTCGCTCTTGAAGCTAATCCGCAATTGAATTGGCGAGATATGCAGCATCTCATTGTTCGTTCTTCATCTTCTTCTGGCTTTGTCGCTCGCCAGAAAACAACAGAGTTTGAAACCAATGGAGCTGGTTTCGCGGTCAGTCACGTCTTTGGTTTTGGCCTCTTGGATGCATATGCTCTAGTCTCAATTGCAAAAACCTGGAGAACTGTTCCGCAGCAGAGGATTTGTTCTATTCAGTCGATTCCAATCCAAAGAACGGCCTACAATCAACCAAATAACAAGTGCAGATCAAATAACTTCCATTTCAAGTAAGATTTTCTCACTTTTTTGAATGTGATTTTACAAAAACATATACGTTTGTCGATGGAGACAATCTCACTCTATTGTGAAAAGAGCGCGGGATTTACTTCTGCTTAGCGGAGTCAAGCGAACAGTACTTCTTTACATGATTTTAGTAACTGCCATTCCCAATGCAACGGCGGCTGCTGTGGGCCAAAAGAAACAGACTGTGTGTACTGCAGCAATTTTATCGAAAGCGACGGTGTTACTTGCGTGGCCCAGTGTCCTCCTGGCTACGAAGTCCTTGCAACTGCTAGAGCAGCTAAGCAATGTCAAAAGGCCGACCGCATTATCCGGCCTCGCAAAGAAACTCGCCATTATATCAATGTCAGAAGAAACTCGTGCAAAGCGAGCGATAGCGTCCGATTTTTAGAGCACACAATTTTGGAACTAACAATTGGTATTTTAAGCATTTTGATGAAGTCCTTAATGCGGAAATTAAAGAGCATTCGCGGCGAGGAGACCTGGAAATCAAACTGCGATCGCCTAAAGGAACTCTTTCGACCTTGTTGGAAAGACGCTCATTTGACAGAAGCGCAAAGGTTTGTTTTACCTCAACTAGTATATATATTCTGATATTTCTAGGGATTTCAAAAGTGGAAATTTATGAGTGTTCATTTCTGGGGCGAAGATCCTGAAGGCATTTGGGTACTGACGATTCTCGATGTCCCAAGTCAGCGAAATCAGCAAATGTGAGTGAAATAATAAGTTGAGGTTAATAAGTCGATTTTAGAGGTTTTCTTGAAGAATTTACTCTTCATTTACATGGAACATCAACTCATCCTCAGCCAGGCTGGACAATGCCACCTCTTCTACCCAAAACGCGGCAAATTCAAGGTGTCCAGCGTGAGGACTTCCATTCGGCAATAGACTCCTCTCCACTCAACCATAACTGCGCAAGTGTATGTTTTTGAAAATAACGCTCAATTTTTTATTGAAATTCAAGTTCCAAAATCATAACTGCCACGAGTTCTGCACAGGAGGATGCTGTGGACCACATCCTTTGCAATGCCGATTTTGCAAACACGCGATGAGCAAAGATGGCAGGTTTCAATTGGATCTGCCTATTCAAGATGATCTAAATTAATTTTAGCACATGTTTACAACAGTGTCCGTACCGACAGTTTCTGAATTCAAAACGCCAATGCCAGGATTGTCAACACCCTTGTGATCACTGTGCGAACCAGCCGGACGTGTGTACAAGATGCGTAGCTGGGTACACTTCCGATGGCCGCGGCGGCTGTGATAAAGAGGTCCGTTTAATACACGGATTCATAAATCCAACATTCTTAGTGCGAGCTTGGAGAATACACGCACCCGGAAACTCACGAGTGTCGCAAGTGTCACCCTAGCTGCTCCCGATGCTCTGGACCTTACGCGAATGAGTGTCGCGCCTGCACCAGCGAGTTTACTTTTCTCGAAGCCGGTGTATGCCGCACACGCTGTCAAGATGGCTTTTACCCCGACCTATCAAGTAAACAGATTAATACAGAACTGTTCTGAAACTATATCAAATAGCACATGTCTGTAACAAATGTCATGACGACTGCAAAACATGCACTGGAGGCTCTGCAAGGGATTGTACCTCCTGTCATTACAATAGCCTTGTTCAAAATGGGCAATGTCTGCAAACAGGTAAAACAGACAGAATGAGCGCAAGTAACTAATGCTTTCCAGAGTGCGAAGACATGATGAAAGTTAATTTATGCTACAATGTACTCGAGTTTTGCGAAGTCGCCGTAGTCGCAGATTACTGCTGTTCGACGTGCAGAACGAATAGGTGTGAACCTTAAAATTAGTTTGGTTAAAATTTAACGAATTTAATTCTAGACTCGCCAACCGAAACAGAAGGGCGCTGGAAAACTCTCCATAGTGTAAAATGAAATTGACACTGAGCATTGTGTCGTTTTGTTCTGTATAATTCTTATAATTGGCCGACTTTGTACTATCATTTATCGTTATTATTGGTGCTCGTTCGTTTTTGACCCTTAACATTTGAAAGAAATTCAAATGGACCAAAGAGTAAATAATAAAACTTATATAAATCGAAAGTGTTTTTAGAGAAGATCTATCGATGAGGATAAAGCGCAGAAAAAGTTTAAATAATCGCATCTAACGGACATTGCTTTATCCTGGAGAGATTTCCAAGGCAGCGGAAGTGCACCGGCTCATCCATAAATCCTCAATAATCCAAATTTTGAATGCTCCTTGCTCAGCAGGGCTTCGATTTAGCACTAAATTAACCGTATAGTCGACTGTCACAAGCGCGAAACGCATTTTGTACAGTTCAGGATTCCGTTTATCCCTTTTTGATAGAAAAATTTCAAAGAAATGGAGACCCCAATTTGTTAATTGTGTATTGTGTGTAATACTGTTTTGGCGGTAAGCGAGGAGCTTTGTTTTGATCTGCCGCAGCACAGGTGTTGCCCGTTTCGAAGAGAGAGAAAGACCTCATCCCTCTGATGCTCGAACTTGTTAAGACTGCTCTTTTGTGAATTTGGGTCACCTGTTACGCTCTTCCGCGAACAGTTTGTCAGGAGAGGGATGAGCTCTTTCAACTGAAGCCGAAACGGAAAAGGCTTACTATTTTTAAAGTAGTTATCTTTCTTGCATCATTTGGCATTTTTCAATATTCATTTTTTGATACTGCTTCTTTTTTATTGTTATTAGTTAGCGGAAGAGCAAATGGAAATTTTTGACAGTCGGAAGTTCCGCCAAAGACGCTCCAGAAGATGAGCGAGCAGCCACGATATGTCGACCGGGAAAAAGCGAGATGGTGGAGACGTTTATACAACGGTTCAAAGATATCTAAAACCACCATCCATAACCTTCGTCTTTATGGCTGACAATGGATGTGCTTGACACTTTTATTTTTCTAAGCACTCTTCTGATTGCTTTTTGAGAATAGAAAGCCGATAAAAATAATGATTGGAAAACTGTGTCTGAACCTGTCTAAAGTGTGCCTAGATTGATGATGGCGGCTCCGTTGCAAGTCGACAAACTTCTAAACGCGCGCTTGAAATAATCAATCTCACTTGAAACTTTTCTAACTTTTCAATAAAGTAGTCTTCTGAAGTGGCCGAGCGTTTTTGAGTGTGTGATTAATACTGCAATGCAAAAATCGTTGGAAAGCGTTGCTTTCTTGCCAGCGTCATTACAATAAGTCCCCAGTTTTACGGCTGCACAAAATTGATAAAGAACTTGCCAATGCGAAGATCAAAAGGAAGCAAGAGCAAATAGTAGTAAACTTGAGCGCGTGCGCATTCTGCCGAGAAGTCGTCTTCTTCTAAATGCCAAGTTATAGGATGAGTATTATGTAAACTCACCCCAACCAGTGAAATTTCAAAAAAAGTAAAACTAGTTCCGCGAGCCGCAGACGACCTTTAATTTTCGCGCGTCAAAACAGGAATTAGCTCACGCGGTGATCAACTTCAAGACATTCTTTAAACTTTATTCTTCTATCAGTAACAGTCAATAGCTTATGTATTACAGAATCTGTAAGAAGTAGGAGCCAACAAGAACAGAAACAGAGAGCGCACCAAAAGAATTTGCTTCGGAATCCCGCAACGATTGTGTAATAAATCGCTTTGTTTGTGAATTTGGTACTTTAACGCGTGTTTCAATTGCTCTCCACATTTCGATGTTAATTTGCAGCGAGAGGCAAATTTGAATGAATTGTGCAAAATATACAAACCAGTTCCACTTTGCAAGAAGCAGTGCAGCATAAAGAGCAGTGCTGCTCACTAATGACTGTGGTATTTCCAAAATACAAAAGCTGCTCGACTGCGAAATTGGCATCGTAATTGACCATTTAGCCGCGAACTCGAGTACCGCTGAGCACGGGCAATTAATCTTCTTTTGCATTAAAGATTTCATATATTTCACCAAAAAAGCACGGTTTTGTTGTATTCTTCTGCAAACTTATCTGAAAGCTAGAAAGGTCGATCTTGTATCTGATTGGTATCGAAAATGCAACATGTGTTTTCAAAAGTTGTATGTTTTCTTAGGGAGAACATCATTCACTTAGCATTAGTTAGGTGGAGCAACATCGATAAGTCGGCGGGAGTCTGAAGTGGTGTCCATTTCTGGCGATAGGAAAGTGGCTGTCATCGCGAAAATGACGCCGATAACGCGGCTCAGCCCTTTTGATAAATGCGCTCTTCAAATATTCGCAATCGGCTTTATTTGCAATGAGATTTCGGAAAAATTGATTTCTTTCGGAGACCAAAGGGAACTCCAACCATAAGGTGTTGCAAAGGCTCAAGGGGCTTATCGGGTGCTTCGAAAGTGCAAAAGGCTAAAGCAGATGTACTGTTTTGCCGTACTGTTTGCCCGGCGAGCGTCAAAATCAGGCCAGATCCAACCAGATAACAACGGGGTAATTACTTTCTTTCACACGCTCGGCTTGCCACAAGCGTTCCATTTCTACTTCTTGAATTCGCTTTTGCTAATTCCTGCTTCAGTTTTTTGAACTAATTAACTTATTCTAAATTTATGTTTTGCGAATTAAGAAAGTTTTAAAAAATATTTTTTTTTTGATTTTTATTCACATGAGATAAGGTATGTACAAGACGAATTTGCGGAAAAGATCAAAGGTAGGGTCGTTTTTCCAGGCGTTGAATTTAGGAATGTTTTTTTTTGTGGTTCATATATGCGTGGCATCCAATCTGGCAGGAAGCGGCGGCTTCGCGTTTGATACTGGACAGCTTTTTGTACAAAATACTTATTAACAGTTTTGAGAGAAAGAGATAGTATTAGAGCGCAATAGATAAGGAAAGATTGAAGTTAGCCACCGACTTGACCTTCTTGCGAGCTTCGAGGGAGCTACGTCTTGAGACCATCATCGCGAAACTTCGTCTGCGAACGCTCTTTGGGGTGGTACCGACGCTGCTCAAGTCTTCCATTGATTCGAAGGCAGTCAAGCTAGTGGAGGATTTTCTAGAGCTGCGAAGTTTGAAGGCATTTGATCGAGAGAGGCGGCGCTTTCGAGTAGGTGTGTCTGCAACTCTGGATCCCTCGTTGATGACAGGAAGTGTCGTCTCAAGTTCAGAAGCAGCTGGGACGGAGTGTTCGTCAATGGCGTCTAATTCTCCGGCTGGCTTAGAAGAAGATCGTCTTCGCATGGATCGTCGAAGGTTCTTGGGCACCAGTTTCATCAGGTTCGAGCCCGAAGTGACCTTTGCTTGTTTGGGGTTAACGATGTTGAGGTCAGTTTCCGAATTACAACGTTTCATGCATCGCGTGACTTTCGGCGCACCTGAAAAACTAAGTGTTACAAAAATAACAACACAGAAGGCATTATTGTTATTCAAAGGGAGAACATGCAAATTTGGGAATGGAGCGAAAGGTACTAATCCATTTGATAAGCTCAGCTGAGCTTAATTTGACTGTTGAAGAAATCGATAGCAGTCAAGAGTTTATGTTGAGCTTGCTCAATTCAAAAAATCTCAGATCGATCTCAACTCAAGAGGCTCCTTCTGTCACCATCCAAAAACTAGCGAGCTTTGGATCGCGCAGGTTCACCGGTTGGCTGCCCATGTTCCTTAAGCCGGCGCGGTTTCAAGGCTAGTTCAGGCTCAAGCTCTAATCCCTTATCAAAACTCACGGTCATGTCAAGATCAAGATCGACCCTGTTTGGCCTAGAAAATTACATGCCAAGTTGCTCCCTGAGAATTAATTTTTCGAAACTTAAAAATTGGACTCACCAATGAAGTCGTTATTTTCGTTGAAGCGATAGAACGCAAATTTGGAGTCTGCAAAGTTGATCTTGAGTTGGCTGGCTTCTTTGGCATTTGCTGGTAGGAAGACGCGCAGGTCAAGAAATCGCTGGCACAGTCGAACGCAGTTACTGCGGCCGAAGTTCTGGTTGGGGAAGAGTTCTGGGTTCGTTCGCACATGACGCAGCAGAACATCGACGGCGTTCGCTCCTGTGAATACGGATTCTGCGGCAGTGCGCACGATGTATCGTCGTTTCATTGTAACCTTGAAGAATAAATTAGATCTGTATCAATTTCAGAAGTATTTCTTTCATAGCGCTATTTTCTGGATATTTAAATATTTTCTCTGAACTTACTTTATCCTGGAGAAGAGTGATGAGGTCGATCCAGACCTTGGTGAAGGGAAACCGCCGATTCTGGTTCATATCTTGATTTTGCTGGGCGGCGGGGAACTCTCTAGTAATAGTCATCTTTTTCGCTTTTTGATTTTCTGATATAGTTTTTGACTCGAAGAGGAGTGTTTAGGGACTTGTACTGTCTGCGCTCTTTTGACGTTTGAATCGAGCGCCAACGAGCGCCTTTTCGCCACCGTTTTCGAAAGATGGCGCCCTCGCGATCCCAACTCTAGCAACGCGTGCAGCCAGCGATAATCGCGTAAACGCCATCGATTGATCTGAGCAAGAATCTGATCTAAACACGCGCTTTAGAAGGAAGTTTAGCCTTGCCACGCTCAGGAAGTGCCCCAGTCAGCACGCTTCTTATCGCTCCACTGAAAATAATCCTTTTCAAACTTAAACTTTTAGGTATACCATCGACTTTTATAATATTATTATAAACATAATTTTTAACATAACTCATGTCAAATAAGACTTACGCCACATAAAGGAAAAAGCAATTTCCTAAGGCAAGATCCTTACGAAAGAATTCTATATTGGCCGGAAAAAATATAAATTTTCGATTTTGACGAAAATTTCGCCTTTGACAGAAATCATTTATAGGGTTATTTTCATTGCTTCATTCTGCAAAAGATTTTGCTAATAAATAAAATGATTATCAAACGCCAACTAAAGTTTACGAGAGAAAACGTTTAGAGTCACAGTCATGAGAGAAGAAGTAAGATGTTAAAACGTAAATATGAATTTATACACATCATTCAAAGTACATATCATAATTTTATACGAGTGAAGAAATAAGCAGAGCAGAATACCCTTAACTTGCGTGAACTCACTATGAAGATCCTGCACTTAATTCACCTTTGAGGTTGAGGATAAGGGCGTAAGGAGTGGTGTCTAACTGAAATGGAAATTATGGGCAGAATCCAAACGGACTCAATTTAAAGTCAAGATTAATTAAATGGCCCCCATTGAGATGCTGGAGAAAATTGGTGGGCGAGGGCCAACTGGCGACGGTCACTTCCGCTTTTCAAAGTGTGCAACTGAAATTCAAATTCAATATTTCCAAGGTGGCCAACCCAACCCAACTCTTCTCCTAACCGACTAATTATCCTCATTCACCCGTTTACCAAAATTTAAAATCTTATTTTTTTCGTCGAGTACAATAATCTTTATTTTGTGGATAGAGGGTGCGAATATTTCGTGGATTCTCGCGAAATTCTGTGCTAAAAGGGTGAAGTAGCTGCTAAGTGTATCTACTCAAGAACAAAATGCACAAAAATGAAAAGCAGTTCTGATAAAAGGAATGTTCTGAAAGACTCGAAAATGTGTCAAGCGAATGCTTTGCGGAAGTTCCATTCCAGATTCCTTAAAAAGAGTTTTTCAGCTCTTGAGAAACAATTAGCATTTGCGTTCCTAGTGAATTCAGAGCAGCTTGGTTAGATTTGTCTTTAAATTTAAAGTGCTTGAAATCAGTTTCCTGGGCGCATCTGGGCTCAATTTAATCCTGTCAATGTGTGAGAGAGAGCCCATATGGCGCCTGGCGCAAGTATTTCGCCTCGAATAATCTGAGAAAAAAAACGGTAGTCTGATCCGCTCGTGATCCCATTTCTCATATCCGGTCAAGGCACGAGAATAGGATTAGACGCCATGCTTGTAACCTTGAATCAATCGAAAACTCTTGTTCCAACTGGTCTTTGGCGTCTCACCAGAATTAAATAGAAAAATTTTTTTGGCTACCGTCGGATTTGCCTAGCCTCGGACTCGCCAATATATGACGTAAAAATTGAAAGAAATTGTTGAAGGCTATTTTCAAAGCATTGATTCTGCCGCGCTTTAAAACATTTTCATTTTAGAACATTTCAAGCGGCTGAAAAATGGAAAGGAGGATAAGAAATAGCACTCGATCTTAAACAATTTCCCGGGATCTGTTCACCGGATGAGCCTCCTCCGATGGGCTATTACTTTTACGTATTCAATTTATAATCAAGGGAAGCAACAGATAATCGAAGCGCGAGAAATTCATGTTGTCAAACTTGGTGAGGATGAAAGAGATGCCGGTCAAATAGACTTCTTTACGTGAAGAAGTAGCCACGAGTTCCAGAGGAACGTAAATTGGCGGCGACTAACAAGTACGCTGGACACCTGTACTCGGCGGCAGGTTCCAATTATCACTCGCGCCGCCGCCGTCTCCAGAGCAGAGCACTCTCCACCTGCCTTCTAGTATGCTTCAGTAATTCCCCTCAAGTCCCATCTTCTTTCTCGCTTTTCTCTTCCTTGTTCTCGATTGTCCAATTTCCTCATATTCTGAGTCACTCCGAAGAATTTTTTCTCGTCCAATTAGGCGTCAGTACTCAGCACATTTTTTTGCATTCACATGGATCGGACAACTGGTCAACAAAAATCACAGAGAAGAGCTTTGGAATTGAATTGTTGAGTTTAATTTTTAAAATGTCATTTTCATTTCGAGCAGTCCGCATATTTTCGTTGATTGTCGGCGATTTTGTTACTCATTAGATTTTAGATTCTAAAATTTAGAACGACAGAACTCGGTTGCTAAAATCAATGTCCTCCCACAATGAAAACAACTCTGATGTGATGTCGAAGAGGAGAAAGAAATCCGCACTCACAGTTCCGCTTGTTCCTTGCGCTCTTCCAGAGTCCATGCGCCAAGTTCTCGGCGCTCGAAGAAACGAGAAGAATTATCCTCATGTTATAGCTATCTCAGATTCCGATGAAGGTGAGTTTTTCAAGAGTTGCGTTTTTATCACCTGCTTGATTTAGAAATTGAAATCATAGAAGAGAAATCCACGCGCCCGAGAAAACGATCGAGCGAGCAAATCCGTTACACAAGTGACCCTGACGACATTCCATTGCATTTGCTGATTCCAGCTCTAAACCAATGTCAAAATCGAGCAAGACGAAGTAAAACTTCAGAAGTATGTAGAGTTGACTTAACTCTCGATGATGAGGCCAGTCAGAACTCACAGAACCGTCCTCCAAGGAAGATTCTGGAAGAAATAACCGCACGTCAGCAAACCCGAACAACCACTTTCTCGCACTAATATCGAATAGCGATTCCTGTCACTTTTTTTAAACATATAAAGAATAAATACAATATGAAAAAAGCTTTTCGTTCTTTTCTCGAAGATTGCCTCTTCCCAAAGAAAGAGAAAAAATGCGGAGGAATCAACGAGGACTCACTCCTGCTCATAAACGCACTTTTTGGCTATTCTATGAAATTGTTAAGTAAGATAGTTTTACACGTTTAAATAAGCGAAATGGAAAGCTGACTCTAAAATAGAGGTGCTGGCGACAAATTACAAATTTGTCGATTCCACGGCAGGTTCCTCGAAAGATCTTTGATGGGGGAATGATAAGAGTGATGGGCGTGAGCTGCGGGAGTGAGTAGAGTCGGCGGAGAGAGCTTCTCCTTGCTGCAGTTAGTTCGGTCCTCTTTGCCTTTTTCTGATACACGGTTTCGGCCCTTTCTTAAAGAGTGGTTCGGTCCGTATTTCTATTTGTCCTGAGCTGGGGCTGGCCAATGAGGAAGGCCAATTGGCGAATAGAGCGCCTGGATTGGCTTCCCTGGCCATTGCTCTTGGGCTGCCTCGCTAGCCTCCCTGTGGCACTTGGTTCATCGACTAGCTCCTAATGAACCTGTTAGTATTTAGCTAGGCGAGGCCTGGGCAGGAGTTGTTTACGAGAGCGTTTCTAAAACTATTCTAGATAAGTGGTCGATCTCTCTCGTCAACCGCACAAAGAAAGAAACTCTCGAGAAAATGAGGGAAATAGAAGAAAGATCAGAATCGAGGAAGAAGTTCGACGAAATATAACCTATTGCCCCACACAGTTGACGATAGTTTTCCATGTCCAGCTGAGGATGCATCAGTCGGAGGGAATACTTGAGCAGCTCGCTAGAGTAGTCAAAGGTGAGACAGAAGTTGCCCCAAGGCGCCCCCGTGTGACTGGGCATATAGACGACGGTGTATTATCCACCACCAACTCCGAAAAGCAAACGAAACAACAATCTTTCCACGGGGCATACACTCTTTAGCCCCCATCCCCGCCTCAACCTCGTGACTCTATCCGAAATAGATAGACTCGCAGTTATTTTTACGGTTTGAAGCGTCGTTTCAATTTATGGTTTATGTCATTAATTCCGTCTTTTCCCTTGAAGACTATAAACTTTCGGGCTCATATCTATTTCACTTTTGCTGATCCGAAAAGGGACCCCTGCTGCTCTCGTCTTTGACAGACAGTGATGTCCAGAATTGATTTCGGGCTGGTTGAGTTTCGGCTATTGTGATTTTGTCTGTCGGCGGAGGATTTCTTTCCTTTGTGTGCTCAATGCGGCCGAGGCGCTTTTAACCACTCGTGCTGAGTTGGTTTCTTCCACCAGAAAAATACGAACACGCGTTTTCTGCGTCGTGTCTAGAACCATCAAAATAAATGTCCAACTTTTCGACTTGTCGCCCACCCACTGCTTTTCTCCCAAGCTCACTTCCATAAGCGACAAGACAAAACTCACACTTTGAGAATTTTTTTACTTTTTCAACTTGGATGGGAACGTAACGAAGCAGCTTTGAGTTCTGATAAAGGCTCGGAGCTGCGTTTTTTACTTTTCCCGCCAAGACAAGCCGCCTAAAACAAAGCTAAAAACTTGACTACGCCTGGACGTAAACTCTTTGTAAGAACGAGAGATTTTTTATTTCAAACTTGAAGCTGTTTATTTGAGAAATAATACTAAAAGAAAGCTGTTAGAGCTCTCTAAAACGCACGAAGGGTAGAAATTAATTCAGTCACATGGTTCCATTGAATTGTAGACTAAATGCTTATAAATCAAAATAAATGTCGCGAAATGATACTTTCTAATGTCTTGAGCCACGTTGAGCGCTCAATATTGTGATAGAATTATGGCGACGAGAGAGTGAAGCACGTTTGGCTATTCTGACTGTCAGAGTGCAGATTAGAGTCAGACGGGTGCGAGAAACATTGGCTCCGCGCCAGACGACCCTAGTGCTATTTCTTTCAAGTTCACTTCTCACGTCCGTTGTTAATCTCATTTACTCAGTAAAAATTTTAAGTAATCAGAAAATCTGTCCTGAAACAATTGTTTGAGTATATATTATGCAGCATAATTTATGCTTCCCCGATATCGTTTCTTTTCGTTTATGGCCATTCTAGGAAACTGAAAAATTAGCAATCAGTTCAGGACGTCTTTTAGTCTCGACCCACTCTATGTCTGCTTCAACGACATAACCCATTAACATAACAATATATGGTTCCTGTCGTCAGGAAATGTAACAATTTCTTCAGGCAATCGGCTGGAGACGAGCAAAAGTATACCGACAATTCTAGGCGATGGATCATCGAACCTCAGAAATTGCAGCCGCTGTCGAACAATTAGCTACCCAGCCGCGAGAAACAACCCTCAGCAGGTATGATGCTCGAGAGCTAATAAACGCCCTAATTAAGAAGGGAGTAACAGAAGTGATTTAGACGCAAAGTAATTATACAGTTGATCTGTACGCAGCCAGACGAACACGACGTGTGCTAATAGAACGATGGAAAATGACTTTAAAACAAGAGCCGGCGCAGGACGCCGCAGCTACACCCTCATCAATTCAACTTCGACAAAGCGTTTTCTACCAGGCCCTCAAAAGCAGCCTTCATTTTTCAACCATCACAGCAATCCTCAAAACCGAGTTCAGAGTAACAATTCAATCTAGGTAAGGCATCGCCGCAATGAATTGTCTCGATTCAACCTTTTCCTCTAGCGAGCGATCAGGGGATTTCTTAGACCCTAACTCCCAATTTCAATTCTCGCCGAACGTCCAGAAACTTCCAGTTGCACCGCTAGATGGCGGGAAAGAATTGCTTGTGTCCATAGAGTCTTTGCCGCGCACAACCGTGCCGGATATACTCTCCATTCTTTCTGCTTCGGCCGATCTACCTCATTTCGCTTCCACTTCGGATTGCTTTGGGCTTTCTCCTAAAAACCCTCCGCCGGCTACACCTGAGCCCATTCGACCAAACCATTCAATCCGCGCTTGTTCTTCCTCCTCATCTCGTAAGAAAGAGATTGATTTTCCTCGCTAACTCGATTATAGCGAAGACCGCCAAGTCAAGTCCTGCTCCTTCAAAAAGATTATCCGGGTTGCTGGACGACTCAGGATATGCTCATTCTTCGAACTTTTCAGCATTGGTAAGTAACGCCTTTTATTTCGTGAGTGACTGCATTTAACTTGCACGATTCCTTTAACTAAACACAGTTTTCTCTGTAGGACGATGACCTTTACTCACCCCCTTCCAAGATTACTCGACGAGAAATTTCCTCAACTACAGGCACAGTCAGGAATCTACTCACAAGTCCAGTAAGGGATCTATTTATAATCTCTTCCTTGATTTCATTTTTAGCCGATTGAAAGACAACTCAAATATCAACCTGAGGGACCTTTGCAATCGCGCAAATCATTTAAGTTTCCAACTATCCGCAGAAATGTATCACGCTCGCTCCTTGTCAACTTCGAGGTAAATCAAGGAGCATACTTTCCGACATCTATTCCCTATTGAAGAGTTGGCATAACAGATAATAATCCTTCAGGAATCTATTTTACAAGAGCGTCTGCGATGTGTCGGAAATTTGGAAGGATTTTCAATCGATATTGGTGCGATTGGAAGCTTCTGTCCAGCCCACCTGAGAAAGGTTTTTACCTTAATTTAAAATCATGTTTACATTTTTGTTTTAGAACCTATCTGTGCGGCATTTTGCAACAGACGAGGACTCACTTGTAGCTCTACCTTCGCCTTACTTGGGGACAGTGAAGCTCTCGCGAAATATGAAACCTAAATCCGGCTACCAAATCCCTAAATCTGGATACATTCAACTGGTAAGATAACTGCATTGATCAACAATTAGTCCTATAGTAACTATAAACGAATAGAGTACTAAAGATCTTCTTCAGACTTTGCTCAACCCAGAGGGCTCGGTCGTGCGCCTCTTCTCGATTTCTTACGACTTCAACGATATGCCTCCCTCCTCGCGAACATTTCTTCGACATCGCACCGTGCACAAAGAAACAAAGAAACTACGATACCTCATCCAACTTAAGTGAGGCTATTGTCTATCAACAAAAAACTTAACGTCGGTATTTAGAGCACTAAGTTCCTTGAAGGGAACGCGATTTTACCTACATGGCGAAGTCAAGGTCGTCTTCTCAAACAGTTACAAAACTCAGGCACTTGGTGACGAAGAGTTCCAATCCTTAGTGGAGTATCCTTCTCCCAAAGTAAGTCGGTCTTGGACAAGCGAATTGCTATTATTCCTTTCAGTATTCGACCATTTCAAAGCCACCCTCAGTTCCATCGGTAGTATCCTCCTCTGCTGCCGTCCAACGTGTCAAGAAAAATCTGACCTTTGAAGTGTCTTCCCCTGCATGTTCGGCTTCTCAGTTTGTGCCCTGAATTCAGAAATTCCAGCGAAAGTTCATCAAGTCAGTTATATCATGTATTCGAATTATGCTATGCTGTTCTTTATGTAACGCCTCAAAAAGGTGATATTTTTTATCTAGAAACCCATATCAGTTCCCGACTAAGTATCCAGTCACTGTTTTAGACTGTACTTTCACTAGCTACATTAAGTAGACCTATCCAGATGGATCAGCGCACTGGTTAAGGATGTATTACCCCATAATTTTCAGAGGTCCTTGCAATTATTCTCATATAAATTTCTCCATCTTCAAGTTTTTTGAATCCAGAACGTTAGTCTTTATCTCAACATTAGATATAGGCGCACTAATTTACTTTTCCCGGCGATTCTTTCTTTATGTTCGATAATCCCATCAAAACACCGCTATAAATTTCTTCTGGCTAACGAATACGAAAAGAGCACCCGCTACCTCTTCTCAGTATTCACCCAAGTCGATCGTAATCGAAGTATCTTTCCTTACTAAAAATTTTTGATATGAAAACTCCAATAATAGATCAAACTGGTTTCCTGATGGCATAACCGGGCATAAAGCTTCCCATAAACCCTGCTTGATTCTCTTTCTGTTTCTCTTTTATTGTTACGCCGTCATAAACTTGCTTTCAATGGTCAAAGTATAACTCTTTTACTTTAAACGTAGCCAGAACTTTCAAGCTTACAAATTACAAGTTCTAATGGAACAATCATGTACCAGTTCTTCTTTTCTTTTTCTTTACTTTACTTTCTTCGCCCAAGGTTGTGCATCGTGCACATCCAAAGGACTCACCATTCAAAGTATTCCCAACTTAATATTCTAATAAAACTCCTTTCATATATTCAAAATAGTATTCGCATGGGATATTTATTGCAGGGTTGAACTGTTCAGGCATTTAGAAATTGCTAGCATTCTTGTTGAACTCAATGTGGGCACATTCATCAGGTTCGCGGCAGCGGAGCTCGTTTAGGATATCAGTCGTTATTCCTTGTTCATTAAAGACAAGTGGTCTTGCAATTATCCCTTTTATTCGTTCAAAAGTATACCTTGCAAAGTATTAATGCACATTAATTATGACTTGAATTTCAAAGGGAATCTTTTGAACTTTTCCTTGGAATCCATCGCCGCCGAAGACAAGTGAATGGTAGACCTCGTTTCCTTCACAGTCAATTTCAAATTGAGAATTAGACCCATCTGATCGAGAAATTTCGACGACTGTATGACTTCGCGAGGTTCGTCGGATAAGGACGACGTGCTCGATGTCATCGTTTATTGAAAATGAGCTTACTTCTCGAGATGAACAGCCAGATACTTCAGCAAAATCAGAATTGATAGAGAGTTGTACTGGTCCGAATCGGGCAACTGAACCGACTGAATTCTCGCTCTAAATTTTCTTGTTTACAAAAGATGCATAAAATAGGTGGTGGTTTAAACTTTGAAGTTCGTATGTGCGATAAGAACTTCGGGTGGCCTAAACTTTAATCGTTCCTATGTGTGACTCTTTGAGAAAGTGGCCTAAACTTTGAATTTCCCCGGAGGCGCTTCTGCCATCGGTGACTAGAGCACTGCCTGCTAAGGCCACTACGCTTTAAGCAGACCAATTAGGTTTACGGTTTTCATTCAAGGTGATGACACATGGAACTAGTCAGAGCGCCTCAGGGGAAATTCAAAGTTTAGACCACTTTCACACAGAGGAAGAATCAAAGTTTAGGCCACTTTCTCAAAGAATCGCACATGGGAACGATCAAAGTTTAGGCCACACGAAGTTCTTATCGCACGTAAGAACTTCAAAGTTTAGACCACCACCTATTTTATTGAATGCTCACGTGGAATGAAAACGTTAGTTGATCTTCTTTGTTGAAACGTTCTACTTCGAAGTGCATTATATCTTCCGCTTCCAAGTGGAAGTTATAACGGTCTGCTGTGTCTCTATGTCGGTGAATGCCAACACCGTCAATTGTGTTGTATACTTCAGCGTTCCTATTAATTATTGCGTTTACACCAAATACAAGCTAAAAATCAATCAAACTTACAGTGAATCGTCGTTGATATTAATTAATCGCAAACAAGCAGCCAGTGAGCGTTCCGGTGCCGAGAAAGAATCAAGTTCAGACTCAATCCACGAAGGTATTCTCAAGTGATGACCTCCAAAAATCAATGGTGACTCGCCGAGACTGTCCGATAGAATTTTCCAAGTAACTTGTGAAATTTCTTGAGTGACAATGTCGCTATTCGTCTTCCCGTCTTCATCAGCTTTTGCATAAACCACAGCGTAGAATTTATCTAGATAAAATAAGATAATGGTGCGATAGTTTCACTTGCCTTTCCCTTTTCTGTAAATTCCGAAGTAAAGCCTAAGGTATGAGTCGTCAGTTTGAGGTCCAGCGATGTCTTCCACAACGACAGTATCTTCATCCCAGTTAGGTCGGAACGAGAAGCGGAAAAGATTCCCGAACTTTTCTAGTGCCAAATATGAACCGAGATCTTCATTGTAAATAAGAGTAACAAGTGCTGTTTGAGTTGGTGCATTTTGGATGAAGTCCACTTGCACTTGGAGACGCTGATTGTAAATCATTTGCAAGTTAGACGCGTCAATTTGGAAGTAACTCTCGTCGCCATCGAGGCACACGCAAGTGTCAATAGCATGGTGCTGACTCTTTCCGAAGCCGTCGACTTCTTCAACACTATTGCTGAAGATGTTGTAGCAAGTGGCTATCAAGATTGACAAATATTTTTCAAGCTTTGGTCCACCTTATCACTTACCAGTCCTGGTTTAATCATATGTTCAATAATTGTATTCGGATACCCTATTCAATTGTCAATCTGTGCCTGTGTGAATGATTGGCTCATTAACAACCAACTCATGATTTGTATCGACGTCTAGAATGGTCGAGTCGTAAAGTCCAACTGCAAGACCATTGACCATCGGATTTGAAACAGCAAATAAGTTGTCCCGGCCACTGTATCCTCCTCCAAAAGTCATTTCGTAATCATCGTGATCTGAGTCAATGTGCCAATGGCGTGAACTTGCGTCCAACTGTTTATACGCAACATTCGCTTTGGGATCACAGGGATTTGCAGCACCTCCATCCTCACGCTCTAGATCAAGATTGTTTCCAAGATCATCACAGTTTAGAACGTAGAATTGCAAAAACATGGCAGATCCAGAAGATGAAATTTTTACACGAGTCCATATGTTTCTAATGAGAGGATTGCCAGTGGAAAGCACGATCGCTTCGTCAAACTCCACGAGCTTTGCAAATAGCTCACCACGTCGAGTTTCCACAATAAGTTGAGACCCGTCTCCATCTTTTAGAGTCAAAATGTTGTTTGAAAGAGAATCAAGCTTTAGGTTGAATTCCAGCTCGAATTGATGGTGTCCGTCAAATGGAGGTGGATCGTTGATCTAAAAAATGAAATAAAAACGTTCGATTGAGATAAATGATACTTCAACAGACTGCTTTCCAGAGAATTTCATTGAGTTCATATTATCGTCAAATCGACTCAAAAGACCTCTTGAAGAGTCGACCAAATGTTCCAAGTACTTTAACTCCTCCTCAAAGTCATCCTTCGCCTTCAGATATTTTTCGAAGTCGGCAACAATGTTATCCTCTTCATTTTCATTAACCAGGTTTTCTGTCTAGATTCAGATTATTGCTGAGTAAACGATGTTAAAGAGTATTACCAGGGGGAGATCATTAAATTTTAGGCCTGGCAGTTGTTCGTCTTCTGCAATCTTTATGATTTCATTCATGTAGTCGATTATATTATCTGGTTCAGTATCAAGATCGAATCTATTTGCAAAGTCAATAACATCTTCCATGTTATCACGCGCCGCTCTTATTTCTTTGGCTGGTTCCAGAACTCCTTCGAGAATGTCTGCCTCAGCTTTTTCTGGTGATAGCTGTTTAGGCAAGTGCGACGATCCAGGCATGAGATCAGAAAATGTTTGTTCAAAGTATTCAAGCTCTCTATCAACAGAAAATTCGACTTTTCCAGAGCAAATGTCTTCTCCAATTTTATTCGCTTGGCGCGTAGCTTCCGTCCATTCAGGCCCGGTGAACCTAGGATCATTAAGATCATAACGAAGATCCTCAAGGGTTCTTTCAGTTTCTACAATATCCTCTGCACCGCTACGAATATGGAAATCTGCGTCTCCTATAAAGCAGTGAAACTGTTGCTCCTGATCTTCGCCAAGCAAATCAACCAGAACTCCATCACAACTTTCGTAATTCCGGATGCCAGACCCAAGTGATACTGGCGTTACATCTTCACAATAGACATTATTTACGTCAGCCCAGCAATCTGATTGTAAAAACTGCTGGAATTGTTCATCCAGCTTTGCTAATTTCGCTCGAACTTCATCCATAGCCCAAGTGAATTTTATGCACAGAGGTTCATACAGATTCTCATCTCCCAAATTCGGGATTTGGAGCTCGCCAAAGTCGATGTTTTCACACATCCACTGCCGTTCTAGCTCTTCGAGTTTCTGCAGATAATCATTTTGGAGCGCTTTAAATGATTCCAAATTAATGTCTTTGAGCAAGATTTCAGCTTCATCGAGTTCTTTGACGTATTTCCGGAGAGCTTCCAGAGCAGCTTCAGCGTCATCCATGTTCGCGCTAATCTCAGCCCATTGTTCACTCGCTTTAGAAATATGTTCATCGTTTTCAATCGCGCCCAGAACATGTTCAAGTCCTTCCATTGCAATTTCTGACTTAAAGCTTGCCTCGTTTACCGACAAGTCGATGGACCCGATGAAATCTGTCAGGTTTAAATATGTTTCCATAATCACGTCGACGCAGCGTGCCTGATCAGCGAGCCAGCCATAACGCGGCCACTGCCAATCGTATTGAATGACGTCGGTGAAGTCTTCGTCGCTTACGCCCTCGAAAAACTCCCGATAAGTTGGTGCAGGATGGATGATAGAGGCGGGGTCGCGGTCAGGCCGATGCACAATGTGCCGTCGCTCTCGATGGTGGGAAAGTTCGGTACATAAGAAAGATCCCTCACTGAAATAAAGTTGAACTTTGTTTTTGAGTTGAAATACTTACACATCGCAGCGAACAAGTCCGATTTGCATTTTTCCCTCGACCTTTTTCACCGCCAAACAGCCATTGGTGGCGGCCCGATCTTCTGATAACTTGATGTCGTGAGCAATTGTTCCATCAACCCATTGCCATTTTTCCTCCGTGTCGCCGCCCTTAGATTTGAGTCCAATCCAAGCCGAAGCGATCTTTGAATTTTGTTTGAATACATCCAGAAGGGCTTCATCCTGTTTTTCGGTAGCAACTACTGCTAGAACACGACGTTTTTCTCGGCATCCTTTCACGGCCTGAGCGTATGTCGCTCCTCCTCCAACGATGGATTGAATGTAGTATCTGTGCTTACCCTCTCCCGTCTTTCCAAGACAAACATAATGCGACAGCTTGGAATCGCAATTTTGAGTTATCCATCCTGTAGCAGTGGCAGCAACGCATCTTTTATCAGGATTAGCCGCTGGCTGATCATTTGCCCAACCATCTTTCCACGGGCTGATAACGTTTCGCGCTTCCCACGTCCAAGGAACTGGGTAAATGCCAAATTTCAATCCGAGAAATACCGGCCCGTCGACTTCTTTGTCACTAATCTTCTCCACTAGCGCATTAAGATTTGCGGTGTTTTTAATCACGGCAAGAATTTTTCCATCTTTTGAGCAATGAGCCGAAGCTTCTTTAAAACCGTCGACGGTTCTAGACAAATCACCGGTCACCGTGTTGCCGTTCTCGAATTCAATGAAGAACTGGTCCTTCGTGTTGGAACTCTTTCTTGATTCCAAGTTATCAAACTCGATGATGAAATCGGACTCTTCCAGCCAATCTACCTCCGGAAAAAATCCCGATCAGCAAGTGGTGCCTTTGAGAACCCAGCTGATCCTCTGAATTCAACGGGCACGAATTCAAAGTCAGACTCTGAATAGCGGTCGATAGTTTTCACTCCTGTGCCATCGCTGAACCAACATGTTCCTTCTTCGGAGGCTCTTCCAAAACGGTCCAGAACGACTTTAAGTAGATCTGAGGTGTGTTCAGCTTCAATTTTCGAATCTTCTAGGATTGTTGACCAGAGATCTTTGAAGTCATTTTCTTTCTCCTTAAAATATTATGTTTAATAAAAAGTCTTGATATCTTAAACATACAAAAAGCTTGGCGACAGTCGTTTCTAAACGTTGAATCTGAGACGGGTGAACTTCCTCGTGAAGACTAGATTTTACAGTGTCCATCTCGTCTTCTAACTCTTGAAGAACATCTTGGACACTTTGGAATTGAACTTCGAGCTTTGCAAGTGTTGAATCGATTTGAGCCTGCATTTGATCGTTGATTTGGCGCGAGCGGATAAACTGGCTTCGCGACGCGGAGCTCATTGATGCCACTAAAGTCAAAACTGTCTGCAAAAGGGATGGAAAGCCGCTTCCAAGCGGATTTCTCACTAATAATTTCACCGACTAAAGAAGCCTCCTTGCGTAATTGCGACTCTCGCTATCAAAGGCGAGCGCACACAATTAACACACATTAACTCATATGCGCGCTTGACAAGCCAGACATTTTGGAATTAATGGAGTCAAAAAATATTGTTGGTTACGTAAGAAAAGACATATGCTTACATCCCTTTTCTTGACTGGTTGAAGTTTCACATTGTACTTTTCTTTGATTGCCTCAAACTTATCGACGAAATTTTTTGTGATTTTGGCAAGTACTTGTTGCTGATCTGGCTCTTCCATTCGTGTTGATCGTGTTAAAAAATCTTGCAGCGCAGATTTTGAATCGCTTATTTGATTCTTGAGAATCTCTGTATATGGGTTTTCAACTTATATTTTCAAATAAATAGCACGAAATTAATCAAGTTCATGAAACCAAAACTTCCGGCGTTAGCTCAGAGCATCGACCTTCATCTGTGTGGCGTGAGTTTGCCCAGGCAAAATCAAGTAGTAAGCCGCTTGTCTCTGAAGGGATCGTGAGTTGGACGCGTACCCGACGAGAACATGTTGCCAGCGACGAGTCCGAGATGAACCTTCTTTAGATGGTTTTAACAAAATGACGCGAAATTTCCAGAATAGAAACCAGTCAGAAGACTCGTCATTTCATTTTTACTGTCAAACCGGTTTCCTATGTATGTGATCGCCAGTTTCTAGATTTGTAAAAGTGGCAAAGCCGCCTAAGTCCTCTAATGTCTTTAGATTTTTCACATTTAGTCTAATTGATGATTGACGACTCGATGTTGATCTATTATCGAGAATAAACGAGCACTTCTGGAGCTTGCGCACAAAATTAGGCTTTTCAGGGACAGGAAACAGTCGGTCGCATTGGAATTAATTTATCTTGCAAAGTGACATTTTGAAAATCCGATATTCTCCTGCCCCAGCCTTAATGCTGACAATACCGCAGGAATCAGAAAGAATGAGGCCAGCAGGACAGTCATACGAGTAATCTTGACATACTTCTTCCACAAAAACATTGTCCGGTTTTTTATCTTCTTGCTCGACGAAAGCTTCGGGTCTTGAGTCACAGTTCTCCCCTGAGTAGCCATCTTTGCAAATGCACTGGCCCATCGTATCGCACTCAGCGGTTCCCTTCTCATCGCATTGGCAAGGGATACATTCGTTCAATGTATTTCCATTCGCGAAGTAGAATCCGCTCTTGCAAACATCACACTTGTCGCCTTCTCTGTTTCCGGTACATCTAACACATGAGACTTTGTCTTCCTCGTCATTATAGACGCATTGATTGCTAAACCCAGAGCACTGACACTTTGGACAGTCGCCTTTATATATCTCGTTCAGAAATCCCTCGCAAAACTGACACTCTGCTCCATATCTACCGCCATTGCACTTTTCGCATTTAAGTTTTTCGCCACTTTCCATCATGCAGGAATTAGCTTAAAATTATGTTTTTCTTACGTCGGTCTTTCGCCGTCGATAAAAAAGAATCTCTTGTACGTACAGAATCCATGACAATCGCATCTTCCGAAGAGCGCTAGTCGCCGGAGCGAGTAAAATGCGTTGTTCACAGTCGTGTAGTCGTCTTTGAGCAGTTCTTGGAAAACAAGTCGCAGCTTTCTGCCTTTGATGAAAGCAGACAATTTGTCGGACGTTGCCAAGCTGAATTGACTCGGTCTACGAGAAAGAAAGTTCACGTAAACTTCCCCGTTTGCTCTTGCAGGCTCGTTTTGACAGATCTCCTGCACGTCTTAATGCAAATGTATTAATAATGCTCTACAGAAACTTTCTGCGAAGCATTGACTTACCTGAAATTTGAAGTTGTGTTGCATCGCACTCGCCGTCAAAGTTGACGCGTGCCAGACGTTTGACGTCACCCGAGCTCTCTTCCAACTCTTGATTACATGTTAAGTACATCACATAGATATTATCCAATATCTGTGCTCTCAGATGAACCAGAATGGTTTGCGAATATAAGCAACATAACTGCACTAACCAATTGTCAGCTTCTTGGGCGTTATTCCTGGTCCAAGTTGAAGATAGAGTCCACTCAACTGATAATCAGCCTGTAAGTTCACGGTCACTGAAGCCTTCGCTTTCGCCTGCGTGTTCTGGATAGCTGACGCCCAGAACTTGCGTGAAGGAAGAAGCACTTCACTGATATCGTGGCCTGGCGAATCCGACGAGCATTGGAAGCACGCACCATCGGAGCCGCATAAACGAGGGAATTTTTTTCCAACTCCGCACCATGAGTCCGCCGTAACAGTTGTCGCATCTTGAAATGAAAAAAGCTGCTGCTTCAGCGTTTAAACTTCTTTACTTACAGGAGGAATTGGCGATATTAACAGCAGCTGGCACGCGACCGTGGTCCCCGAGTCGCGGGAAATCCAAAACTCATCCCAGATCAGCGCGATTCAAAGTAAAACGTATCTCCTTTTTATACATTTACTTTATATTCATTTTATCTTTCTGTTAGTCCAAATATACAGAAATAGATAGCAACCCCAACTACTCTAGGCTTTCATTCGCGAGATCCATTCCTTTTATGTTTTCATCAGCAATCAATTGATCCTCCAAAATCTCTTCCAGCGCATTGAATTCGAAGTTTTGCCAACTTGTCGCCGTCGTTTGGCCTTTTCCAGATTACAGAATCTTCCTCAATTATGATTCAAAGAAAATGAACTTCGTTGATAAATCTCTTGATTATTCAGTAATCCTAACAAGAAGAAACAAGAATGAGGATGGAAAAACCCTCATTCTAGCAAAAAAGAAAACAGGAAAACTAACACTGCGCGGGAAAATCAATCAAAAAGTCCAGCGAGGGAAGAATTTAATGGATCATAAATATTAGAGTGGGAATTTACAATTCCGGGCCTATAAAAACCCGATCAGCTGCGAGTTATGCTGTGGACGGAGAAACCATAATCCAGTTTAATTACCTACCGATGAACTTATGATTGGCTTACAAAAATTGTACATTCTAGACATTTCAAGACCTCATTTTAGGAGTTTTTCTGGATGATCGAGTTGTCAAGGACTTCACGTATTCATTGTGAAAGAAGTCTTTTGTCATTGGGATAGAATTATGGTTCCCACGTGTTTTCGGTAAGATGTGCTTCATTCTAAATTCACCTTTTATCAAATTATCATGCATCGGTCAATACATGTCTTAGGCGTAATGGATTTTTTCATGCATGCGAATAGCATAAATGCATCTTTAGCAAACTACAGAGAAGTAATAATTGCCATTAGTCTGTAGCGCCATCGCGTTAGCGCAACTCGCCTCGGGCGCTCTCCGAATCAGCTCGAAGACTTTTCCTTCAGAAAAAAGGTATTTATACATTTTCAAGATCGATCTGGCCAAGAAAGCCTAGAAGTAGCTGTTAATTGCCAAATGAATATCTGGAAATGACGAATCTCTACGAAGAGGCAATCATAGAGAAAATACGAACGACATCTGAGCCCGATTACTTTCAGCTCACCACAGGACAGGCGTAAGTTCATCAATGTTTTTGCTTTATTACACCTCCTTGATTTCAATCGTCAATTTTCGTTCGTTCATTAAATGCACGCCACACTCGATAACTCTTGACAGCCGTCTGTGAGCATCTCAGTCTCTTTGGTGAAACTGATATATTTGCATGTAAATTATTTTGGAAATATTTTGAAAAAAAGCTATCCATTGATAAATTCTAGCAGGATTTTAGCAGATTTCAAGAAAGGAACTTTTCAAAAAGGTATTCAAAAGGAAAACGGCGCGTTTCCAATTTGAAATGAGCTATCAAGAGGGGAAAAACGTTGTGTAGTTGAGTAATGGCTTTGGGAATAAAGGCTCGCTCGCCTTAATTCGCTCATAAATAATTTTGATAGGGACTTGGAAAAACTGACGGAAGACGATGTTTTCAAACTACTGATGTTTGCGGCGCGCGAAGGGGAGGCTGAAATCGTCCGAAAAATTGCAAAGTTTGAAAGATTTCAGCAATGGTAATTCAAAAAAAAATCGCCGATGTTGTAAGCTTTACAATATAAAGATAAACATATGAGCGTGATATTATTATTGAATTAGCTTCAACCGGATCGACAAAAACGGCGAAAATGCAGCAATGAAGCGGATCACAGATCGATTACGTAATCGATAGAATTATCCTTAAAATACAGAGATGACGAGTATTTCAAGTTCAACGACAAGGAATAAAATAAACAGAAAATCGTTATAACGCGAACCAAGAACTTAGACAGCAATAAGGAACTACTGTGAAGCTAAACTAATGCACCTCTAAACTAATAACTGCACTTAATATTTGATAAAACATGTGACTTATACGAAAAGACGGTAAAATTTTTGATTTTTGGCGAAAAAACTTGATTGTCGACGGAACGAGATTTTGATCTGTCGAATAGGCCGCTTCTAAATACGGCTGGAGTGGAGTTTTCCGTCAACTAATTGAACTTGCAACACAAGAGCTTGACACACAAGACAATGAAGGGAATACGGCTTTGATTCATGCAGCTCAAGTATGAGACTTTATATTTACCGTTCGAAATGAATCTAGGCTGGTCATTACGAAGTCGTGGAGCTAATTTTGACGCAGAAAGTGGATCTGGATCGACGCAACCACTGTGGCTTTTCCGCCCTGATGAAAGCTGCTATTCAAGGTGAAAGGATTGATTTAGTAAAAATGCATTATTCACATGCAACACTTCCAAAAAGAGCGATTCTTCTTAGCTCAGAGCGAGAAACAAACTTACGCATTAAAGTTTAGGGCAGATCGATACAGTTCGGCTACTTCTTGCCCATGGTGCCGATCACTCAATTACTGATCCGACTCGTGGCATGTGTGCTCAAGGTAATTCTTATTCAATATTGATACTATCATTATCATATTTTAATTGGCTAGGTTGGGCGCAATACTGCAATCGACACGAAACCGCTTCTGAAATCGCTGAATACCATCGCCGCCCCAGTTCCGTCCGCCTCAAAAGCCATCGGAAGGGCCAGCAAGGCTTGGTCCTTAAAATACACAAACTCGTTTCTTGCGGCTGCCGCAGCCTCAAACCAGGTATTATTGAAGTGCATTGCCTTGGATAATCAAATACCGGTCAGATCTACCTCACGAGGGAGCCAAGAAAGAAAGAGAGCAACTCTCAAATAGTATTAACTGTCATATGGAAAAGTAAGTTCAGCCTTTTATTCACGTGATCACATTATTCGAAGAGGAACCCAATACCCCGAATGCCTGAAGTCCTATCGAAGGAAAGGAAGTGTTTTCAGCTCACCCCGAAAAAACTCAACTGTTTCTGTACCAAAAGTCGAAATAACCAAAGGTACGCAATCGCTCGAAATTACACCGGTTGATTTGGAAGAAATCAAAGTAACATAGAAAGTTTAGCTATTGGAGGAAATGCACCTTCTTTCGACACAATAGAAAATTGAGACAATTGATGAATTTTCGATTGGGTAAGTGTTGACGGCCCTAGACGATTGTAAAAACTTCAACGAATCTGTACACTTAATAAATCGTTGACATTTTGATTCTGCATTACGGACGGCTGCACCTCGTAAAGTGCATCCAAATTATTTCCAACGTACAACGACGTCTTTCGTGAAAACGTGCAGGAAGAGAGCATGCAAATTTTGCGATTCGTTTTTCTTCTCTTCAAGTTTTCCGATGCGCAGCCAGAGTCAGTCACCATTCCAATCGAAGATAGGTGCAGAGATGGCATGGTCCAAAAAGAAGTTCTGTGAGGAGATTAGTTTTAATTTTGAGAGATAATTTTGTTGAAGGCTTGAAAATGAGATGACAATGGTCACTTGCGTTGAGTCAACTGCCTTCACTGTCAAGTAGGATAATAAAGGATCCTCGTCAATTCCATTTTCTAATATAAAAATATAAATCACTAAAATAACCAGCGATTATCCTTCAAAAGACACCGATAAACTCCTTTATACATAATAAGAACTCGTCAAACGAAATTCGAACCTCCGACTTCATGATCTTTATAGGCCTTTTTTTCTTCGTGCAATAAACAAATATAAGACAGTTTTCTACTTCAAGATAGATTAGTGAGTATTATGAGGAGATGATTATCAGCAATGCAGGAGATTTTTGAACTTTTTTAGCAAGATCTTTGACAACCTATCTAGTCTGATTTCAAGAGATTGCTATCAATGATGGCGCACTTCGCTGGGTCACTATAAAAGCTCTCCTACAGTACTGTTTGTGAGAAACAAGTATTTTCACTAAAAGAAGTTAAAGCACAGGCCAAAAGAGCAAAAAGAGCGCTCTTCCGGAATGCGTTTTGATCCCGAAATGCTCATCGAAAAGCTTGAAGCTGCCAAGGAGAAGATCGAAAAAGAAAACCAAGAGGCAATCGATGTATACAGACGACTGGCCAAGCTTCCACAACGCTGCCGAGTTGATTTGGGAATGATCATCGAGAACGTCAAGAAAAATCAAACCAAGAAAGCTGATGTTGGATGCTGCAAATGCGCCACTCGGGTGCTCACCCAGAAGAAGGAAAATCTCCAGATTCTCGCGACCAAAGAGTGCCCCTGGTAAAACGTCAAAAACTTGCGGACAAAGCAACCTTCGATGCTCGACCCTTAATGTAAAGGCATATAAATTATACTCTTCCTGTTAATCAGAATATCTTAATTTATTTCCAGTTATAATAACTAGAATATGTACCTACTGCTTTCTAATCATATGGATACTTTTTTAAATAAACACTTGATAAATTAGTATTTTGTCTTATTTGTGCAGATTTCAAAATAAAAACTAATGAAGAAGGAGAAGGTTAGAATGACGTAGATTGAGTACTTCCGCTTGATTTTAAAACAACATTTTGGAAAAAAAATCAAACACATTGCCAATTTTGATGAATTTATTAGAGAAGCTTGACTTTTTCTTTGGTGAATTACTTGATTTTCTCCATGTTGGCGACGATGATTCGATTTACGATTTATCCAGAAAAGTGCTTCTTCTGCTGCAAGATCAGCAAGCCCACCAACTTCTTCGAAAATACTATAAAGATCAAAAACGAACCAGTTCTCTTCGTCGAAGTTTTTCAAGAAAACCAAATACTCTCGAACATTTGAGGAGATGCAAGTATTTGTGGGAGTCTAGTGACTCAACTGGCCTCTCCGGATTATACGCACGGGATAAACGTATTTGATAGATTTTATAAGACAAATTTATGCTTATCAATGATGGGCTATCAAATTATATGATTCACTTTTTATCCTGCTCTTTAGTGTATCAACAGAGCAGACATTGGAAGCTGTAAGAACTTAGCATCGCCGATCACCTTCTTCGTTTTGCTAGAGATCGACACATATTTCGATTTGTCCCCTACTCTTGTTGTCCAACATGTCGCTCAAATCGGTGCTTTTCACATCCTTTTATCAGGTAAAAAAGGGAAGCAAATATTTTTAATGTCTGAAAGCGGAGTGGGAAAATTATGCGATCGATTTCACGAAAAAGAACGAGCGTAACGAGTCGATATTCAAGTCATTGTTTTCCTCTGTGTACAATATAGATGCAGATCAGTTGAAAATGCTCGAAGAATGTTTTGAGGTGCTTTTAGCTAGATTTGAAAAGTCAACTCCTCACATGGTGTCCTGCATTCTCGAAGGTAATTGATCAGCCATTCTTGAGCAGTACTATTCTGATAAGAGCCCGACTACAATGGAGAAACTATATTTTATCATTCTTCCCGGGTTTCTGAGAGAATCTCCAAAATTTTGCTGAAAAAACGAACTCTCAAATTCAATTTCGTCCGCGAATTTACGACGCCTAGTTTCAAGTTTGGCAATTTGACGAAAAAGATGCTAAGAAGAGGCATCAGTCCGTTCGTTGTAGATTCGAATGGAATCCGACAATACGAAGAATTCAGAGATAATTTTCAAGGAATTAAGTCAGACTTATTGGGAGCAAATGGTGTACATTCATTTTACTACTCGTCAGTCGAATCGAAATGTACTTCGTTCTGCAGTTCGTCATGTAAAGATGGTGCTCTAGCATTCGAGTTGCAAGCTGGAGCCAAGATAAAGGCGAGATTGAGCAGTTATTCGAAATTTCTAACAATCATTCAGGAGACTCCCAGCAACTTAGTCTTTAAAAATTCCGCCTCAATCGTGCTCAGAGGAACTTGGCATGGAGAACCAGCGGCATTTAAACATATTTTGAAACGGATTGAAATTTTAATTTCTAATCAGTCCCAACTTGGGACTTCCAAGTATTAAAATCCGAGTCTCAGAACACAAAAACGGGGCCCAGAAGACTTAGCAGATCAGAAGCTCTACATCAGATCACACTCCGTCAGGAAAATATCCTTCCTGTCTATGGGTACTACTGGCAGCAAATTAGTGGGCGAAACTATCTGGTTATTGTGAGCAAATTGTGCAGACTTGATTTAGCAGGTTTCTTGGCCAAGTATGAGTTCAACTTTTGTCTACTACTGAAGTTTCTTCTTCAAGCGTGTAATGGATTAAAAGCAATAGCTCGGGCGAATTTAACTCACGGTTAGGGATGCTGATTCTTGTTAGCGAAAATATAGAAAAACTGATAAAAATTTAAGGGAATTTCATAGAAATAAATTTTGTAAGTTGGGAGCGCTTTTCATCCCAACAAAAGCGATATAAAACCAGAAAACCTTCTAGTCACTTACATTGAAAGAAGCAAAAAGAAGATGAAATGGTTCAGAAGAGGAAACACACAGAAATGTACTGAGGAACCACATCTATATATAGCTGACTTCGGACTGGTGAATAAAAAAGGAGGAACGCCTATTTATATGGCTCCAGAAGCTTTTGTGCGACCGGTTCCCGGACTCTCTGATGTATACAGCTTGGGTTTGCATTCTTGCAAAAAGTTCTCTGATATATTTCTAGGGATGACGCTTCTATTTGCCGTTTCCGAGCCGAGAGTTATGACGATACTACTGTATTACCCCGTCGATCAAAGTTTCGCCTATTCTGCGGACAAATTCGTCGATTCATTCGATGTGCTCAGACTGGTCCGCAGTATGGTCCAGCCTCGACCGACAGAAAGGCCCTCAATCGATAAAGTCAAATCGGCGATAAGTAGTTTGCAATGGGGTGGCTTCAAAATAGGTTGGTCGAAGAGATTTACTCTTATCAGTTCTTGAGAACATGTGTTCGACCAAAGAAAAGCACTTGAAGATTTACAGGCTATTTTCGAAAATCCAGCAGATCTAGATATTCCAGCTTTGGCCGAGTTAGGTCTAGAAACGGTCTACAATAATATATGCGTTGGACTGACTCCTGCAAAATCGGTGATTCTCAGAAGGCGAAAAACGTACACTTCGATTCCTTGGCTCGAGAGCAAATTAGTCTCTAACATGCTCCATGATCAAGGGGATTCCTGGAGCTGCTGGGCATTTGCAATCACCTCAAGCGTAAGAGGCTCACTGAGACAGCTGCTGCAAAAAATAGAGTCTAAAATTGACGAAGAGACCAAGAATTCTTGGGAGCGAATTTTAGATTTCGGGCTACAATAAACATTCTATTCTTAGTAGCATTGGTTTCGAAGCATCTTATTTGGAGCCCGAAACTGAGACGATCCTGCTCATCATCGTCAAATGCGCGCTGAGTTAATGATGACTATCATGCCTAGACGGATAAATAGGGACGGGATGGAACAAACTGCTTTTGTTTTGCCGGTTTTTAAGAGAGTAAGCTTTGTTGAAATAATTTTCGGTAATATTCGTAGATGTGCTACCGTTCAATAATACAACAAGAGGGGGTATTTTTGATGGATTCTGTCACCTCACTTTTGGATATGTTGCCCTGGAAAGTGGCGCCAGTGCTTCATTCCTTTCATCATCCTTTCCTTACTTCGAAAGAAATGGATTTCTTCAGGTTCGATCGTTTTTATTATTCTAAAAAGCCGTGTTTGCGTAATATTATTAACAAGTTAATAGTTTCAATTAACCCGTAAATTATTTATGAACCAGATAATTTATTTAATGCCAGTTCTGGAACGTATTCTGGCAACTTACATGACGCTTTGGAAGAAGGCTACTTGCTCACATGCGACATTCACAGCGACTCACAGAGTGATAGCGTAAACCATTGTGTTCTACTGGTCGATTACGACGATGAAAGAATGCTCGTTTTCAAAAACTCGAGCTTAGAAAGACCGATTATAAAAAAGTCAATCGATTCGCGTGCTCACTTCCTTTTGAGCGACGAAACGAAAGTCTCACTGCCAGACCCATGTGAAGGCTTCTGCATCGAGTTCGTTTTGTTAGACAAATAAAATGTTAAAAGAAAAATGAGCTGTATACAATTGCAATTAATACGAGCAATCCGTGATTTAGAATAATGGAGATTTTATTGGACAAAAAGAATACAGAAAAATAAAACCTCAACATTATTCAGCAACGCCTATTCTAGCTTTTACAGACTTCTTATACCATTTGCTAGCCAACTCTTCCGCTTGACTTTGAAGTTCCTCATCGCCGGCTTCTTCTGCTTCTTCCTCGTCCATAGTTTCTAGTAAAAGTTCCATCCAATACCCCTTCGTTCTTAATAAGGTTGTTTGGCTTGTTCTAAAGAAAGCTCTGCCACCTTTGTTGAAATTCTGGTTCTAATTCAGCATGAAATGGATCAGGATGAGAAGGTTTCAATTTTTTTCGCGGTGTCGGGGCCGGCTCTTCATCAGATGATTCTTCTTCAGACTCGGCTTCAGACTCACTTCCTGCTTCTAAAATGGTAATGAGCATTTATTTCTTCAAAATAACAAACCATCATCCGAGCCTTGCCAGTCCATGCCTTCGCAAACGACAAGTTGTTTCCATTTGTCAAGCTTTTTAACATCGATGGACCAAAGATCGTTTAGTGTGTAACTTCTCTCCCCTTGCTCCAAAATTCCTCCGTATAAGAATAGTTGACCGCCTTAAAGGTACAGAGCCAAGCTTCATCTACATGTCTACCTTTGATTGCCAGTTGTGCATTCATTCTCGGGCCTGGTCGACGTTTAGAATCGTCATCCTTGGAATTAACGTTTGCAACGAACCATCGATTCGTCTTTGAGTCGAAAAAGTGCATTTGGTCGGAGAATTCGGAAGAAAGGTCGTCATCGTTGTCTTCATCGTCAGCGCCACCAAAGCTAACGACGCGATGGTCGCTAACCGTCGTCATCGCCGTTCCAGATCTAGGGTCGGGCTTTTCTCCACCTTGCTTTGCTAATATGAGGTTGAATTTCATGGCTCGATCGACAATTTACCTTTCTCCCATTTCCACGCTTTTTTTCCACTGTCGAAAGCAAGCATAAACGCATCGCTATGTATTTGGCCCTTGTCTGCGTCTTTGGAAGCCTTTAACTTTGAGAATCCACCGCAAATGAATATTCCAGAACTGACGACGCCCATTTGAACTCCAGACCGACCACTGGGCGCTTGTCCAGCTGGTTTCAAAGTTGTCCATGTTTTCGAAATAAGATCAAAACTAAAATCAAGTCAATTCTGGAAGATCAGTATCACCTCGTACCTGAGAACATCACTAAAGTAAACGTAGTTCTTGACAGACTCATGAAAACCACCAAAAACTATCAGTTGTTTCTGGAAGTAGGCCATGCGATGACCTGACCGGGCGCTTGGAGCTCCTTTGACTTTCACTTCTTCCCAATTCGACTTTTTTCCGTCGACCGACAGACACCAAAAGTCTTTGTAGTGATAGAACTGTTCACCGTTTTTAGAAGAGAATTCGCCTCCATGAATCCAAATTTGGCCGCCTCCTTGGGGCGCTACTGCTGACGCGTGTCCAGACCTTGGAGCTGGACCGTGTGGTACAAAGAGCTTCGACCAGCTGTCTTTCTAAATGAAACACTTGATTTACCGTCATAGAACTATCTTTCGACAAGGGCAGTCTCTTTTCAGTAATAAATTTATAAAAAGGGCCACATGCTCTAGTCCCTCTTGGTGAAAACTAAACATCCTCAGCGAGGGTTGGTATTTCTACAATTCGCTTATTAATATTCTATTCGCCCAACCTTGAATGTGCCATCAATAGATCTATATCCACATATATACTAACAGGCTCATCAACTAACAATAACACTTTCTCGATGCATCATTGTTTTTATCATTCAAGACGACAATATTTATAAGCTTGTCCTGACTAAAATCGACAACCCATCAAATTCGATTTCTTAGAGATTGCGCGCTTTTCAATCTGAGCAAGATCTAGGGCCGATTTCAGGCCCCTGCGGTCACGCTTAGGTTGATCGCCTGGTGTGAGATTGCGTGCGTTGCGTTGTAGAGCGCGCGCGAACCGCGTTCACCCACGCACGGTCGCCCATTGAGCCAGCCAGGCTCTCTGTCTGAAAGTGGCTCTTTCCAAAACAGAACCCCGTAGTAGCTTGAGCTGAAGCTAGAGGCTCGGTAAACAACGACTGTGCAAGATTTGCACGAGTCACGATAAAGCAACGCCCCTGTACATTAATCACAACGACTGTAAATAACGCCAAGGTAGAGAGCCCTCTAAGAAGAAATATTATTAACAAGTAACAATTATAAATATTATTTGTGAAATGATCACCTTTACTGCACTTTTAATGAAAGCGAGTCATCTTTTAATCAATGAATTAGCTATCAGAAACAGCAAAAAAAGAAGAGGATGACGATCTCAACGGGAAGATGCGTTGTGTTGATTCTGAATTCGATATTTTGGGTAGCGCTGGTGCTCTTGTCCCTGCTCTTATTTATTCATCACGATAAAGAGCTGGACATTCCTATTTCATGGATGAAGTCACTAGAGCTTCCGTTCGGCAAGGTTTAACACTTTTTATTATAAGAGAAGTTTATGGCAGATGAATGCTTTTCTTCCTATTTGTGTAACTAAATATTTTCCATCGTCCATTTTACATTTACAATTGTAATTTGCGATTAAGGAGATTATAAGTTTTCTAAGAAGAGAGACTAATAGTCTCAGAATATTCAAGATATCAATGAACTAGACAGACGAGAAAATCGCGCCATATCTCCCTTTTGTTTCTCAAAATTGAATTGAGCCATAAAGTATCGCCCCAACGAAAAACAGTTTTATGGCTGATCAAAAAAAAGTTAAACCATGAAAAGGCATAAGCATGATCGTTCTAGTCGTACTCTTTTTCACCGGTTTGGCCGGGTTACTTGTCGTCGTCATGGGCGAAAAATTTCAGAAAATCTTTATCGCGATATTCAGGTATTCTTTGTTTGCTTTTTCGAAATCAAAAATCTTTGTTCAGTTCTATGCTGATACTGCTAACATGTCTATTGACAACCCTGTCGTACATGGAGTATTCTCACCATGAAGAAATTCGCGGCGAGTATCTGATGCAGTTCGACGAGTCGATTAAAAACTACAACTCTAGTCGGTGAGTCTTCGTTATGTGAGCTCTACCTCGACAGTTCATTATATGAACTCAAAAACCGAAAACGAAATTCTAGTTCGACAATAAATAACTCCACAAACGACGACTGGTCGAATGACGGAAGCATATACAACGCCGAAGACGTGGACAGAATTCAGTCTATAATGAAATGCTGCGGCTCACAGAACTACACAGACTTCGAGGAGTCACCCTGGGGAAAGAAGCACACAGATATGGCGCCCGAATCGTGCTGTAACGTCGACCTTATGCAAAAAAATAATATGGTGAGGAAGGCGTTGAATTAAATCATTCACCAGGGATGACTTTTAGACATGTCGAGCGTTAAATTGGAAAGAAGAAAGTGAATTGATCTACGCCCGAGGATGCCACGACATCGTGGATGCGGCATTTGTCCACTGGCTAGACACACTTATCGTCATCCAATGTTTTCTAGTGATTTGTACAGTAATTGCCCTTTTCGGCAGCTCTATTTGGATTCGTCTAAACAGGCAAACACGTAGCCAAACCGGTATGTCCCCTCGTATAAAGACCCTTATAAGTTATAACATTTACACAGATTACGAGCCCCTGCTCGATGAAGATTAAGCCCAACTGACGAAAATGAGCTTGAAAAGATATACCTTGATATTGTACAATATGACATCATTGAACATTTCTGTACTTTTTCCGTCGAAGTACTCCCCTCCGAAGAGTACCAATAAATCTTTCTCGCAATGTGCCACAAATGTGCAGTGAGACCTACAAATTCAATCTCTACCGTTGAATTGTCACGCAGAGAGTCACCTTTGTGAGGGTGCCTGTTCCATGGCAGTTTCGGCGACGGTGTTTTCTTTCGCGTCTTGTTCTTGGTAAGACTTGATCAGCGCTTCCAACTCGTCGAGGCCTTCTTCTTTCTTGGAAGCTTTCTTGAGCGCCTTGGCCTGCGCTTTCTCCGCTCCCTTGCCCTTCTTCTTATCTTTTTTGCCCATTCTACAAGCAAAACGCATTATTTCAAGGAGCACTATTGCACGAAGCATTGTTCAGATTGTCCTTTGAGTAGAAAGAGTAGGCTGATGGATCTGTGTTGCTTTGAGAGAGGTTACGAGTCGAAATCTTCGTCGTCGTCTTCGTTGGGCTTGAAGTAATCTTGAGACGGGACAGGAGAAGGTAAAACTTACCCTTGATAAGTCCAGACTTTGAAAGTGCTGACTGGATGCGAATTCGTTTTGCTCCTCCATCAGCTGATGGTTCTTAGCCGCGTCGATAAGTGCTTTCTGTTGTCTAGAAGCCAACTCGTCCAAACTTTAATATTAAAGCGACGCTATCACCTGTAAAGTTCTTCCTCTGATAGCCCCGAGTTAGATAGTTTATTTGGTTTCTTTCGTTTCGCGTTTTCTTCCTTGCAGTCGATAAGCACTTTCTCGCACTCGGGGACCATTTCGTGAAAGCCGAGCATTTTCAGTGCCTCCAACACGTGATCTGGCGCAATCGTCTTTTTATCAGCAGCCTCGCACATCTAACGGATGTAGTAATAAATCATGCGAACGGTTTGCGTCGGTTGTCCTACCTGCGAAGATGTTGTTGCCATGTGGTGGATAAATTGCGTGCAGCAGTCAGCGACTAATTGTCTTGCGTCCTTTGAAATCTTAAATGGTTTAGCTCCGACCATTCCCATAAGAATCTTACTCGTAAGTTCGGGATAGTTTCTTTGATAAATTTGTTTACGGCGGCTTGAGGTAAAGATAGGTCATCGTCGGTCCCACTTCCCAAAAAGGGATCATTCATATCATTCATTTTGTATTGATCTGAACAGGCGTATTTTAAAATTGAGAACTATTCTGTCGGAAATCGAAGGCAGTGAATATATTCAGGCCAAATTAAATCAAATAATACAAAGCCATTCTAGGTATAAATGATAATGTCTTTCAAATAGTCGAATACCAGTCGTGATTTTCTTCATCTGACTTTCTTGAATGCAAAAACGACGTAGAGAGAGGCACATTCCCATTCCTGTCTGGAAAGTGAGCCAACTTGATAAGTAGAATTATCGCATACGTCTTCTGCATGGGCGTACGTTAGTCCCTAAAAAGAATCAATCAAGAATGGCTTTATTTTCAGGGACTTTACTCGTCGTGCTTCTCTCGGTCCGTTTTCCGTGACTGTTTCAAGGGCATCCATTCTGTAGAGCAGGTCCATATTATTTTCTCGATTCTCTTCGAAGAATCTTTTAAACGACTTTCGCATGACCACTTAAAAGTTCAAGCTATTTCGCCAAATAGCACGACCCAAGAGCTTACACTCGAGGCCGTATTCTTTGCAGATGTCTTCGAAAACAGGCTGAAAGACGAGAAATTCCTCTACATTGACTTGCTCCTCGAGTTGAAAATGATAGGTCGCCCCGAAAATTGGCGGCGGGTCTCGAGCTCCTCTGGCAAAAGCTACTTTGTAAACTGAATTCCCGAATTCTTCCTTCCTGTCCACTTTTTTAGCACGCCGGTATCTAGAGTGGATCTCAAAAAATTACCAAAGGGGATCAATTGTTACCTTCGCATGATCTCTTCCGACCAAGGCGTAGTTCCAAAAAATACAGCACCTATTTTCATCTTTTTGGAGGCATTCTTTATGAATTGACGGCACTGGTTCTCGGACTCAAAGCAGTAATGTAAAGCGAATTGACAAGAAACACAGTCGAACTCAATCCCATCTCGCAACGGAGGACTCCATTTATCGTACGAAGCTCTACACTAAGGCTCAACTTTCGACGCTTTTGTGGAAAGAATTGCGAAATATATTTGAAATAAGTCTATAAATGTTCCTAGTAAATGTTCCATAAGTTATACAGTATAAGCCTTTCCTGGTCAAATCAGCCTGGTGAAAACTGGCGGAGAAGCTCTTCGAATGGCGACTTTGATATCTTTCTTTTGATTGCTCAACAGACTCCGCCGCGACGTCCACAAAAACCACATGCTGAGCCCGCTGTATTTTCCATTTATTCAAATCTCCCCCTAAAAGTTAAGTAACATGTCATTCTATAAAAACAGTCATTACCTTTTCCGGATGCTAAGTCCAGGCAAGCATCTCCCTGTTTGACGTAAGTATTGAACAATATCGACTTCATGAAATTGTTAAAATTTCGCATGCGGATGATTCTTTGTGTTTGACGTCGCTCGATTCCTTCTTGGCGGACGTTCGAGTAGAACTGGCCGACTTTTCTGGCGTGTCCATGCGCTGTCGGAGCGGCCATTCTAATCAACAACCAATGAATCTCTCGTTAGAATGATTTTACTTTGAATAGGTGCATGAATGTGAAAGAATAGAAAGAGGGAAAAGATGCGGCGTTTATGTCTGTTTTCTATTCTGGAAGAAGGATCAGTCACTCTTCTGTCGAGGATATGGAACCGTTGTTCGATTTGTAAAATCTCTGAAGAAACACTACGTGAAAAGAACTATCTTTCGAAGAGAAATTTACGTTTAGTTCTGCTTCGTCGGATGTGACGATGAGAAAAAGCTCCGTCATTTTGTCGGATAGTAGTTTCTGAATGAAACAATCGTCAAATATCAAATAAGACGGAGATGGATTTACCTTGAGGTAGTCGATTAGGTTCGATGGGTCACCGATTTTCTCGGGCGTTTTCAGCTTCGAGTCTAAATTCCAGTACTCGCCGTCGATTGATTGAATGGCGATCCAGTGTCGTCGCCGAATAGGCAGCTTTAGCACGCCAATAGAAACCGATGAGAGGGAATTGATTATGAAGCCGGAACATCTACCGAGGTCGATCGACGCTGGCCTTTTCCTCTTGTCATGCCACACTGCTTGGTACGAACGGGACTGGAGAGCAGCTAGACACACAAATATTATTAAGAGCAGAATGGGGACAGTTTCTTTACCCATTATAACATTTATGTCGTAGTTGCCGGTTCCGAGAAACGACTTGTGAGGGTTGAGTACTGACGCCGGAGCTAGCCGGTTACAGACTTGGTCCAGTTCGTCTACCCTGAATGATAAATTCTGGTTTTGGCGACGTAGAATACCTTTGGTGAATTCTTTATGCTGAAAGACATTATTTAATGCGTGCAAAGCGCACAACTCCCGCCGCTGCCTTTCGTGGAAGATTCCGTTGATCATACAATTCGAACCCGAGACTGAGTTCTCAGTCAAGCGCGACATTCTCCGACGGGCAATGTAGTAGCCAGCCACCACCACAGCCAGTGCAGCAAGTCCGACCTCGCTCAGGGACTGATCTACCCCCGAACACCAAATTATCACGAGTTCTGAATTTTCAGTATAGGACCATTTTCCTGATAACTGCAGTTCGATTCTGTTTTCAGCCGATAAATTACGAAAGTCTGCCCTCTTGCAAAAGAGTTTGGATAAATATTATGCGGAAAGAAAAGAGGAGTTTCTGCCTCGGATGAGAACATAATTTTAGTTTGGAGTGATGAATAGTTTATTGTCAGTGTGAAAAGATGCGTATTTGGTCGAAGTTTATCGATGATCAGGAAAATCCAGATTGCAATTAATGCAATCTGTCTTCGCTTTAACCGGTCGCGGAAAATCTTCTTTTGCTGTCGACCATGCCGGTCAGCTTCTTTGGCTAGACGGATCCTCGGCTGCAGTCCTGAACTAGCCACTATATGGCTAGTTAAACAGGATAAATGCATTTATCCTCCCGTCTTCAGGTTCTCCTGTCTCAAGCTAAATACTGTTTATACTGAGTCGGAAAAGGAGAATTACGCTTACTTCTGAGACACGCTCCATGCTCATTTCTTCCCACAAGAAATCCAAGACACCAGCTTCTTGCGCCAAGGCAAGTTCCAGCATGCCACAAGGTTATATCCCGCACCTCATGACACAATGAGAACTGCTGTCAAATGCTGAAGACGATTGTCGCAATTGATTGGCGTTCAAAACTGGCGTACGAAGAAGTCTCGCATCGGGCTCATTTTCGATATCTAAAATGAAAGCGTTAGAAATAGAACTGGTAAATTGTAGGTTGTAGAGAGAAAAAGTCGCAGAAATGGAACACTTAATTGCCAAAATCTCTGAAAAAAGTGGAAACTTTTGATCCGAAAAGCGGGAAACTGGAATGGCGAGACGAGGAATGCGAAACGAGTGGCACATGGGAGGGGGGCCAATCAGAGCGGCGCGCTCCAAACTCAAATGAACACCTCCACAATGGACAATTGACAACTTGCGATCTTCTAACAACTACTTAGTCTAAGTCTTTAACTTCTCAATACACGGGCGCGCGACTAAGCGCTCAAAACACGGGGTCGGGTGAGCCTCACCCGGTGAGGGGACCACAATGCATTATTCAGCCCCGCGCGGCGCGCAAAATTCGGAGTGTGACAAAGTGCGCTCAAGACTTTAAGCTCTAACTTGCGTTTCCGGCAAGCAAAAAAGTTACTATACATATCGATGGAAAGCTTGAACACTCACCTATCAAGATTTACAATTAATTTTGCAAAACACTTTTTGGATTTACGGCTGGAGAGTGAAAGATAAATCCAGTGCAAAACGCCACCACTTTTGAGAAAACTTCCAAAATTTCACAAAGTGGTTCGTTTTAGTGATCTCAGCTCACATTTCAAAAATCAGGTCAAATGAATTATCACAAGAGAAATTACGGCGGCTCAAAGTCGCCGTGGTCGGTTCAACCGACCACGTGTATTGAGAAGTTAACTGTTGCAAATTGCAATAATCGCAAATGTCGATGTGGATGATTCGTTACAGTAGTTCGATGGGTTCGGATTCTCTAATTCTGATTCTCATAGTTCAAATCAGAGTGTCAAAAGTTAAATCAGAAATCCTAGCTGTGACGAGTTTGGTAAATCCTCTCAATGTATCTGTTGCTCGAGCTCTTCAGTAGAATAAGCAGAATGGTTCCTTAAAGATCTTTACGTCTTCATATCCCTAATAATTACCGTATTTGATAGCTAACGAGATGCATATGATTAGCCCTGTCTTATCCGTTCAAAAGATTTATGGATTCAAAAATATGACCCTTATTTGCGCGAGTGTTAAAACTTCTCTTGTGAACTTTTCCGAAGACATCAATCTCGTTAGGATGATCGCTCGTTAATACAGCGACGGAAATATTCATCGACCGAGTAACTTTTAAAAACGGGGGATATTTGAATCTCGTTTTAGACTTTATTATTCAGCGTACTAATGTTTCTTTAGATAAATGCATGCGTCCGTTTTTGATGAGCTAATGCGAGAACGCTCAAAAGTGTCTGATCCGATCGATTAGCCTCCCAAGATTTCCATTTTCACAAATGAAAGCAATAGGCCTTTACGCAAACAAGAAACTTTTCTCGCTTGGGAGGTCATAGTTTAGACCAAATTACGGTCGTCGCAGAAGATACTGTTTTATCATTTTGCGTCTTCGGAGTCTCATTTCTAAGACTTTCTCGGCTTACTGTCTCGCCAACATAGAGGAGAGAAGAAAAATGACCCTGTCTCTCAACATAAATCATCATCGAAATGAAAATTTAGCCGACAAGATCTTGCATCAACAAAATCACAACTTTTTAAATTATCATGACTCGTGAATACCTACCATGTCAGAAAATGGCGAAAGCAGCCGGAAGAAGACAGTCCAGATTCCATGTTTGCTTGTATTCATACCTTATAATATTTTCCAACGTTTTAATTTCTCACAAAAATCGTGTAAAAATCGTATACTTGTTTTCCGTCGAACCGCCATTGTTGATGGAAGAGGCCGACATTGTTTCCAAACATATTTATATTGGTTGGCCAGTTTGGTCGAGTTTTTCTGCAACTTACGTTTTTTTTCACAAATAACACGCAATAATAATATCCCGGTCAATGGCGATCATGAATTCTTTACGTGCTCTTCGTTGTGAAATTGACTTTTAAGGCATGTGACCCAACTTTCTAGCGCCACTGTCTCCTCCTTGTAAAATTGGTTATATCAGGAGATAACGTCGAGTCTTCACAAAAGGTTTTTCTTCCAAAAGGAAAGCCGATCCAGAGATACACTACAGGTTTTTCTGCCGATAGTTTTTTTCTCTAATTTTAGCGGACAACTTTTTAGTGATTATTTTTTCTGAAAATAATATAAAAAATTCAGCTCAAGATACAGTTTGTCAGCATCAAAAAGAAAAATGGCCTCAAGTGCTTCATTGTATGCGTTGAATGCAGTTAAGGTAAGATGCGAAATAAAACTAAGATTTACGAGTCTTTCAGAACACTAAAATCGGCGAGCCCATTCCAGATGAGTCGATGCAGGCGCTTACTACGCAGCGTAAGAATGGTGCAGGATTCACTGACCGGTTAGTAGAGCAGTTTCAAAATTAAAAATTCGAAAATAGAATCAACGTGTTTTTAACGTCTGAATTAGCAGATTGACAAGTTATCTAAGATTGACCCTAATCAGAGGGTCACAATACTATTGAGTGTCATTTCATCTTTCAGATTAAAGACTTCAATTTCGTCTTTCTTCGCTTTCGAAAATCCACTTTCTGCTACTGTCGCTGAAGTAAACACTGCCGGGTTGACCCCCCATCTTTAGGGTTCCGACTGGTACCGTGGTATTCTTATATGAACTTATATAAAATCTCATATTCAAATACATATTGGTATATGTATTTTCTATGCAACCCTGTATATCTCATATATGGAGACCATATTTCGATAAATTCTTGGTTTTGACACGGTACGGACCCGACCTCGCTCTTTCTAACTCCTTTACTTTCTTCTTTTCATTACTTTCATTTATTACTCTATCAAAACTAAATTGATTTAAAGCGCCGAGACTCGGGGCATAATAAACCTTAGTGCTGATGACTTTTGCGATCTGGAGCAAGTTGACATTATTGAAATATTTTGTGTTGCAGGTTTTTAAAGGCAGGATTTCACAGTATTTATAAGTGGGAACGGTCCATTTCCACAGAAGTCGCCATACATATCGTCGAGAGAAGTATCCCAGAACATAGCACCTGCTAGTCCATGTTCTTTTATCCAGTCGCAGCGTTGCGCTAAAGTTGCTTCGTTTTCATAACCGACCCATTGCTAAAGTGATCGATCAATTTCTGTTAACGTGAGTTCAACTTACTGTAGAGCTGTAGGCATACATGGAAGACGTAGATGTATCTTGAACAGCGGTCCATCCGTTGTTTGCAATATTGTCACAGATCTCATAGTAAGCAAGGAAACCTGCTGTCTTTGTGTAGGTGCCAGCGGTACCTGCTCCGGAAGTTGGCGATCCTGGAGTGTTACTTGAACCAGAGAGGGTAAAAGACTTGCCGTAAGCAGGCAGGCCAAAAACTAATTTTGAAGCCGGGCAGCCACCATCCATCCAGTACTGCGCTGCGTAACGAGTAGATAGAACGTCACCTGCTGGATCGCTAGCGTGGCCATCGAACTGACTGTGCCCGAAAGCTTGATTCTCCCAGCTTCCATGTAAATCATAAGCCATAAGATGAATGTAATCCAGAGCAGCAGAAATGCGTGGAATATCATAAGCCGTGTCTATTGTCGATTTTCCAGCAGCAACGGCAGCGGTGAGTAAGAGCCGCTCTTTCCCAGTATTAATTGCCTCTGCTTCGAATGCAAGACGAAGTTCCTCGCAAAGAAGAGCAAATCTTTCTTATTTTGGGATAAACATCGTCATTGTCGTTTAAAAATCATTGCGATTTTAATTCATAACAATTCTAATTTGAAATTGCGAAAAGTATCCCTTTCCTTTGTCGATAGCTGGCGATCCTCGGTTCGCTGGATATTCCCAATCTAGATCAAGTCCGTCAAAGTTGTATTGCCTTAAATAGGAAATAGAGTTTGCGATGAATTCGTCTCTATTGGCTTTTGTCGATACCATCGCCGAGAAAGTTGCTGTGCCGTGTGTCCAACCGCCAACAGCGAGAGTCATCTTGAGTGTTGGATTTTGGTTTTTTAATTGTGCCATTGACGCGTACAGCTGCTCATCATTCCACTCATATGGAGCAAGGTCATTCTGGCCTTCAGGGATTTTAGCGAATGAGTAAACCAAGTGAGTACAGAGGTCTGCTGGTATATCCTGGGGTTTTTGTTGAACACTTGAAGGGGTTCGATACTGGGCCCAGTTCGTAAAATAACAAACGAGAACGCGATCAGATGAATTTGGTGTAGTGGTTGTTGTGCTCTGAGAAGAAGAAGTAGATGATGATTGGGATGTTGTAGAAGATGTTGGGACAGTTGTAGAAGTTGTCGAGCCGGAGCTTGTAGTGCTGGAACCCAAAGTTGTAGTAGTTGATGGTGGGTTTGTTGGCGTGCTGTTACAGTCTACATTCTGTGGCCAGTCGCAGAGTGAAAGGGCGGGGTTAAACATGAGACCAGACGAACAAGTTTTAATGAAAGTTGAGCCAGCAAAGCACTGATAAAATAATTATCTGATGGCCCTCCTTGGGATATTTTCCTCGGCCCCGGGTAAATTAGGATGAGGCAAAGGATAAATCTATTACCGAATTATTTGATTCGTATTACCTGGTAAAACTTGCTACAATCTGGATGAGGATAAAGACTGTCGTCTTTATCGACGCAGAAATTAGGGTCTTCAGTTCCACCACCGCCGCCGCCGGCAGAGCTTGTTGTTGTTGAGCTTCCAGGAGATGTTGCAGGTGATGTTGCAGTTGTAGAAGTAGCGGTTGTCTCTGTTCCAGGGCATTTCACATTAATAGCCCAGTCGCAAACATTGTATACTTGATTAAAAAGAAGTCCTGATGGACACGTTTTAATCGCAGTTGACCCTCGATTGTAGCACTGGTAAAATTTATCGCATTCAGGATGCGTGTACCTAAAAAAGTAAAATATAAAACAATTCATCCGCAAAAAACATTACAGTCCGTCTTTCTTTCCAGAGCAAAAATTTGGGTCTTCTGAAACTGGTGCACCAGCAGTCGTTGTTGTCGTTGACTAGAAAAATATTACGAAAATGAAAATATATAGAATCCGAAAGGTCAGTAAATTCTCACCAGAAAGAATAACGCAAGTTTCATTGATAAAATTCAATTTCTCTTAGGAGAATAATCATTTTACCACTGTTATATATCATGGCCCAAGCTTATAATTTCGAGTCGCCTTATAAAACTACACTGCCGTAAAATCACTCAAATAAAAGATGACGTGAAATCTAATCCAATAATATTATTAAGAGAATCTTACCGGCGCAATAGTCGACGTTGTAGTTGTATTGAATTCACCAAAATTAAAGTTGTTTTCCAAAAGACATGACATATCTTCATGTTTGCCAGGCAAATAGAAAACTCTGTAAGGTGGAAGCAGTGCTCGTGATGCTCCGGAAACAACGAAGAGAATCGGGTAAGATTCTCCTGCTGCAATTCCTGTATTCCAAGGCCAGTTCGTCAGCGTCGCTATTTGACTATTTGCGGAAACTGTTAGCTGGGCTTCCCAAGTGTGGAATTCAACATTCTTGTCAAGTGGCTCGAAGAAGTAGAAAACCACCGTCCATTCGTTCAGATTGATTTCTGGCTTTAGGCGAAGTAGGAGTTGGAATCCAGTAGGCCATTCCTTTTTCACTAGCACATATTTCTTCTTATTTAGATTGTAAGTGTCAGGGCATGGATTCTGGCAGCTAAACGGACTATCTGCCTCCCACAAACCGGATCCTCGACACTGAATTCCTGTTCTTGATTTCCAGTCAGGAACTGACGGATCTTCAAAGACCATCTCATACGTTTCTGGACAAGTCAGAAAGCAATACGAAAGTTTCTCGCCGAGGTGACCATTTGGCGACTCTGTGCAACCAGTGGGATTTTTATCGGTCGTTTGAGGACTCATGTCGAGAATGGCGTTTGGAAACTGCTCTTGCCATGAACCACACTTTTGTCCTTCTGCAAGGGTCGTTGGCTCTTCTGTAGTTATTGGAGGCGGGGTGAAAGTTACTGAAGAATCGTCAGGAGTTATTTGGATATCGGCGCAATTCATGAACTCTTCTTGATACCCTTTTCCAAGTCCGCAATCGTCTGGCGCGTCGCAACCCCAACTATTGCCTGCATGGTATCTCCAACGAAGGACACATCGATCACATTGAATATCATCCGGTAACTTGACCAAAATGTCGTACCAGTAGCCGCCATTGTTATAATTACTATTGTGGGTGTCTGGCAAATCCCATTCATATCCTGAAGTTTTATAGTCGACTCAAGTTTCTTATTGTTCAATACCTTGATCGGTCTCGAGTGGATGTGCAGAGAGACAATCTTCAAGTGCGTCTTGGCCACTGCCAAGTTCTTCAAGGGGGCAAAGATTGAATTTTATCCAGCCCTTGTGGTGGGCAGTAATCTGCACTTGTGTAATAATTGTGCTTCCGGATGAATATTGCCCAGAGACGATCTTCTTACCATACTTACCACCATCTTCATGTAATCGAGGCTGGCTGGCTCCATAAGGATCGCCACATGGCCCACATTTATATCCCTGGCTTATTTGATAGCTAACACCGCCGCAGTTTGAGCCCATGTCATTGTAGTTTGCTTCGATAACGCTACTGTACGGCGCCAATAGTGGATTTGTGTTGATGAAACGGAAAAGAGATCCTCGTCCGGGTGGATCCATAAGACGACCATGCCCGTACACAGCCGGAATAATTGCTGAAAAGATATTAGCTTAATCTCCTTGACTCTCTGTTATACCTAATCCTTTCATTCTGCTGCGACTGTGCTTTGATTGAGCTCGTTGAAGAAGAATGGGAAATCGAGTGACTCTTCAACATTATAACGAACTCCGAATTATCCACAGCGGTCGAGAATCAGACACGCTTCATTATCTCTCAGTCATTTTCTACGATATGTTAATTATGTAACCGTTAAAGAAAATATTTCTTCGCACAGAAATTAGTCCACTCGCTACAAGTTGTAGCCAACAACAAAAGAATAAAATAAATTTTAAATAACAGTATGTATCTTCTTGGATTTACAAGGAGAAGGAGAAAAGGAGAATTTGAAGCAGCTTCATTTTTTAGTGATCTTAGAATTCGACGAAATCGTTAATGGTTCTATAAAACATGAAGAGTCATTGAGTCTTCTCTTTCTTGCTATAGCAAGGACCTTTGCAAAGGATTCAAATGGCTCATTCGAGTACTGAAAATTACCCGAAACAAAATGTTTTAGATTGATTTGAACCTGTCCTTCGACTCCTTAATTATTCCAGTTCGCCCAGTTTTCCACTCCTTGTATTCTTCTTGCTGCGCAATTAATTGAGAATAATGAACCTAAAAATAACTTTCATAGTGCCATAAGGTAGCGATTACTTTTTCGCCATCATCAAGTTTGCACTCTACTTTTGATTGATTAATCTTACTGGCCGATGCCTGCATAGCGATCCAAAGCATTCGCCTAGAAGCAGCCTCCAACAGAGTTTCTAGCATGATGACAGTATCACGAGGATCTGGAAAATCTAATTTTTCACTCGACAGCTAAAATAAGATTATCATTTCGACATGAAAAAAGCCATACTTTGAGTCCCTTTGCGAAGTACTTCGGCTCATGTCTGTGAAGATTTACAATTTCAGGATCTGCTCTGAGAATAGACTGAAATCTTGTCGTGTATTCTTTCGGAAATTCGTGACGCACGAATTCAGTCATTGATTCCGCGAGCCAGAGAGGTAGTTCAATTTTTTTTCCTTCGTCGAATTCCTCTGGAACGCTGATTTTTTGAGTCATTATCATTTATCAATATTTTGCACCTACGAGTGAAGGTCGATGTTCTTCAAGTGAAAGCGAGACCGACAGGGTATTTTTGAATCGCTCATGACAATGTCTTCGAGGTCTAGGTAATTTCCCGGCGAGCGATCTACCATCGATAGATCCATTTTCGTCTTTACTGTTTCTTTCTTAGCAAACTGTATTCAAAACATGATAATTGAATTTAAACGATCTAGAACGCAGAAAGTCTTTGCTGGATATTTTATTCAACCGATATGTGATGTCAACGATGAGTGATCAGTTAAACATGATGAAATTGGGACTGCATTTGCTTCTGCATAAGTTGTGATCGACGTTCTGCTCTGGATTCTTTTTCTTGGTGTGCTTTGAGTCGCTTGACTAGCTCGTGGAAAACTTCGAAGATGAAATTTCTTAATATTTTAAGTCGCCCTTGAATCGCTTACGTTTCAAGACGTTATAATTAAGCTGCAAAAAGGTTGATTAATATTTTTTCCACATGGATATAACTAATTCCTTTTTATTAAAATAAACCTTAGCTTCGTGGATATATCAATATAAATTCGTTTATCGCATTGCTTTTTACTCTCTGGATTGAAAAAATGAAGCTTATCGGCAAAATTTGCGACGAATGCAATAATCGGTTGTCTTTTCTTCGAGCCACTCAAAATCGAGCTAATTGTATAAAAGATTAAATCTAACTGTCAAATAATTACTAACCTTACGGAGGTTCCCAAGCCAGAGATTTTCCTCCGCTGGATCATCGTATTATGATGTCTTGTGAATATTTTGTTAAGATGAATGCGCGAATTGGTTAGTTATATCTTGTAACAATTTCCCGAAGTAGGAGACGGAAACTGCTGCTGTCTGCATTCTGTTTTCAGGAGCTGAGCTGTTCTTGGTTTTTAATTTTTCTGCGCGAACATCCCAAGAACACCCTTTTTCTTGAATGGCAAGAGTTGATATACTAAATTTTAGTAGCTCAACTGTGAGCAGTATATTGACAGATTAGAGTATTACCTCCACCAAGTCGAGAGCGTATTCCTCACAGTGTGGTTCTGCACAATCAAACATGAGTAAATATTTGGTTTGGGAAACTATTTTTGCAATTTAAAATAGAAAGACGATGCGTTTCAAAGACCAAAATCAATATACGCATCGTAAGATTTGAAAGAAGCTCCTACGGTCGTGTGCTGGGAGGGCGTTCGCCGCTTTGTCTCGGATTTCGAGAGGATAAATGGATTTAACCCCTGACTTGTCGCAACTCATATTAAAAGGTGTAGCATAAGACACCTCATGTAATCTACTGAATTTCAAGTCTTATACTATAAAGCCAGTTTTATAGAGTTCGTTTGACTTGAACGACTCTCGAAGCCCGCCAATGCGTCCATTTGTGTTTGAGAGATCTGAAAAAAAAGAAATATTTCATCGCCAAAACAATGCAGCGTTGCTACAGTACCTCTGTAAACTGAATATCCATGAGCTTTCCATCTACAATCGCTTGAATAACATAGAGTTGCCGGTCGTCGTCAAATGTCATGTGACTCTGACTCTTTTTTTCAGTCTCGAAAGTGTAAAAAACATGATTTCTTGAGGCTAAGGTCGACCGAGCCTTAAAAGGATCTTCATCTGCTAGGCAGCTGTTTAGTAATCTTGAAACGAATGACGATTTTCCACAGCCCTTTATTCAGATTTTGAAGGAGCTTCAGATTTTAAACTTTAGAAAGAAACAAATATTTTGAGTAAATCATTGCTTGAAGCCAATTAATGCAACCCTCGAGACTTTCATTCTTTCTCTCTTTTGAAATCCTATACGTTTGAATATTTACCTCTCTCTTTTTTGCTAAAAAGGTTTGGTTGACCTCCAAATTGGCAGTTACAGATCTACTCAATTACGTCAGTGCTGAGAAAAGACTGTAACAAGCAGTTTGCATTGAATGTTAAATACGCTGATAATCGAGGACAATACCAATTCAACTTGAATAGTTCAAACACTAGACAGTGCGAGTCGTTCTTTTTCGACTGACGAAAGTTTTTCGAAATAGTAAAAAAAATGAGCTTGTCGCGAAGAGGATCCTTTTTCGAAGTTGAGATTTCGGAAGATGAAGCCGAACAACCTAAGAGTGAGTTTTTGGACAGGGTTCTCGAAGAAACTGAAGAAAAAGATGAAGTTACGGAACTTAAAAACTCAAAATTGAAGGAAGATATTTTCGATGCTTCAGGAAAGAGCTTGATTTTTTATTCTTTTGGAAAGAAATACTATCAGCTTCTATAAGACCGCCTTCGAAGCGCAAGTCTCGCAAACTTAGGTAATAGAATCTTGCTTTGAACAAACAAATGAAGCTTGGTAGGCTTAACTGACGAAGTAGCAGCCACAGGAGGAGATGGCTATCAAGCTTGTCTCGAACTGAAGGACTTGGTCGAACAAATCGTTGAAAACTTCGAAATCATAAGGAATCTTGAAGAAGAGATCGTCAACCAGTCATAAGTTTTCAACTTATATTTAATCATTCAACAATAAATTTTCGATGTTGGTTTAGTTTAATAACAGTCATTCATCTTAACTGGAAGGAAATGCAAGGGCCCCCTGTTGAACAGTTGGGCAGTCGAAGCTGCAAGTGACGGGGCCACCCATGACGACGCCAGTTGCTGGACTGTGGCAAAAACAGTCTCCCGTCCACATCCAACTTTTTTCGCTGAAAAGAGCCTCGTCTTCGTCATTGCATTCAGTTGGCGTAAAATCCGCTAAACTCTAAATTAGAATCTATTGCCGACTCTAGAAAGCGGAATCGCACGGAAATGTTGTTTGGGCAAAACATAATCGCGGTTGAGGGTAAAAATAAACTATTCCGTTTAATTTTCATCGAGATATTCTGGGTTCCCGTTCAAATATGAAAAATAAATAGAAACCCGTATCTATGAGAACTCTGTCTATAAAAAGTCAATTTAACTTTTGTGTTTTTACCGATGTAATGTCCATTATTTTGAGCGTCTTCTAGCATTCTTAAATCTGCGTCCCGCTTTTCTTTACACGTCTTGCCAGCTTCAGACGGACACGATTCAGAGCATGGTCGGTTCCAGCGGGTCATCTGTCCGGTGAATGGATCGTGGCACGTGCAAATTGAATCTTTTCCCTGTACTGGGCGGCGAAGGGCAAATTGAGATGGATTTGCTGCATCGCATAATTCAGACTGAACTGATGAATCAAGTGAGCAATCTTTGACTCCGAAGTACACGGCGTTGTAAACAGGCAAAGCTGGCATAGGGGGCATAGGTGGCTCCTTGACTCCTTCCGAGTTTTCGCCATCAACTGGTGGCGGCGGTGGGGGAGGCATGTTTTCCGGGTAACGAACTTCAGGCTCACCAACCATCGTTAAAATCACATCAGGTTTTCTACTTATCATTAAAAATTAAGATAAAAGTGATCTACTCACGGAGGAAGATCTGGTTCACCGATCGTAATTTGTGGCGCAGTTTCCTCAATCTGCCTTATTCTATGTTGGGCTTCTTGAAGCAACTCTCTTATAATTGCGATCAAATTTACATTAACAATCTTTTTCTCAAAAGTTGCCACGTGTTTAAATAATTAAAATTTCATAATTTGATCTCTCTTTCCTGGCGTCTTTTCCTCTGAGATCTTTTCCATTGGCAAGAGCAATCAAAATCGCAGTGGAGAATTTCATTTTAATTAATGATTGAAAAAGAGACTCTGCGCCACTATTTATCAGCCTCTGTGTTTACTCGTCTGATTCCAACGAGAATCTAAAACAACTTTCATGGCGACGGAAATCTTAATCATGGCCAGAGACTCATCTTAGCACGTTATTTCTATTTTCGTCGCTTCTACTTGCTAACGATGGCAGAATTAATTCGGACTCACTTTTCAGTGTTTCATATATTTTAATACAGTTTCGTCGAAAGCAAGGCATGGAGAACAAATAAAACAGAAAAGTAAACTTTTATTTACTTGGGGCCACCAACGAAAATAGGACCAAGGACGACGAGAACGTGTTCGTCGCTACTGGCAGATCTTCTCTTTCGGGCGCCCACGCTGGAGCAGTCTGGTACGCATGATTCCTGATTTGGGTCGCAGATTTGAACCTAATTAAACTTAATGCTTGAATGAAAACACTGAAACTCACATCACAGTGGAGGAAGATATCGCCACCTTCTTCGCCCTGGAAGTTGAAGGACTCGATCGAGAAAGTAGAAATTCGGTCAAGACCGTTGGCCTGAACATCCAGGGACTGGTAAACGTTGACTTCGTCGTGGCTGCCACACTTGTTCTCCAAAAACGTGTATTGGGTGGGGTTGGCGGGGTCGGAGCTAAGAAAATGTAGTTATTATCTCGGCCAAGGCTTCAATTTAGCTCGGCAGTTGGGTTGCGTTATCTTAGGAATTCTGACTTATTTCTTGTGACTTACTCGGGAGTAGCCCAACAAGTCTCGAGAACAGTGACCATGTCCGTCTCGTCGGTGATACCGATGGCTACGTGAAGATCGTCTGGGATATTGACAGTGAAAGTAGAGTCAACTACAGTAGCGAAGCTGGCATCTGAGTAAAGTCCCATTTGAACGTCGAAAACACCCTCCTCTGAACCAAGGTCGAGCTCGAAGTGAGTAAGGACGGGATTGATCGCGTTGGCAGCGGACAGAGTGACCTCGAGTGGGAAGGCACAGGAGAATCCGACTTTCATGTCTCGTTTTCGGGTGATGATCTTGTTCTCGGTACCGACAGTCGACTGAACAGCATTCGAGTAGGTCACAAAAGTGCCGTTGTTCTCCACTAGCGAGCCACACTCCGAGATATCGTTCGACAAAGTGAAAACCCAGTTGTCAGAGCCTGCGTCGAAAGTACCGGTGCAGTTATTCTCGACATCGGCAACAAGCTCGCCGAAATCGACGCCGGCAAGGTACGCGCCTGCAGCGTCCATTCGAGCGTTTGCGAAGGCGCAAGCAGGGACTAAATTATTTAAAAAAGGCTCTTTTGGAAGATTTTTATTGTCCGAATCGGGCGCATTTATGTAGTTAAAAGCGTTAATGAAAAACTTACTTTCGATGGTCATTTGATTAGGCGAGCAAGTAGTTACGGCATCGTCGAAGCTCTCAGATCCTGTGCAAGACTGGGAAAAAGCAGTGGAAATTATGGCGGAAAAAAGCTTCATTTTATATTGTGTTACGTCTCTCTCTTAAGATTTGACTTTCAGCGTCGGCTGCCGAATACTCTGATATAGTCAGAACGGCGGTGGCGCGCGAGAGAAAAATTACTCGAACCAGCGGGTATTTCCATGCACCTCATATCTTCTCCATATCTGCTATCGTGTCTGTCCGAGGCTTGAAGAAATTCAACGTTTTTCGATAAAAATCAATTATAATTCTAAAAATTCTAGCTTCGCGGAAGTTCCGAAAAGTAGATATCATCTCTATATATGCGTAAAAAGCGAATTTTCTCCAGTTCTCCTAGAGAAGTTCTTTTGTATCAATGTTGTTTTTTTATCTTTTAAATTCAAAGCTATTCATATATAATATATAATGTTATGTAATGTCGTAGTTCTATGTGACATAGACTATGTCTGACATAGAATTTTATATGTAAAATGAAGTGTCCATTTTAGAACAAATCTCAACGCGTGCCTTTTGGAGTCATTTTTTAGAATTGCTCCGTGTTTATCGTGATGACAAAAGTGCTTGTTTTTGATGCAAAGGATGAAAATTGATTAACCAAAATATGGATCAGCGATTTTTGAATTCGATAGTTTTACATTCGTTACTGCCGAAGTAAACTTGTTGCCATAATTTCAATCAGATTTCATGCATCAAATTCATTCGACAAAGATAGGACCAAGCGGACGTTCCATCGTAAGCAGATTTTTACGAGTAATCCTCGTGGCGTAATCTTCACTTTTAGAAGTCGTAATGGAGCACGAATCAAATGTCATGCCTTGGATCATAAAGTCCGAGAAGATTCAAATTTATTCCTTCTACGCAGATGGGAAAAACTCCTTGAAAGATCGAGTCATGAAATCAACGTTGCTTCGCCAGAGATCAGTAAGTTCGAAATGAATGAACTGGTTTTTGCTTTTGATAATTTCTTCGTCGCCATATCTTTGGCAGCTGAAGAAGCTATTTCAAGTAATTCATATATTTTAAGTGCATACCTCAAAGCATGGGCGGTGTCAAAGTCGGTCTGGTCTCTATCCCTGTTTATGAATCTGCCCAAAGTATTCGTTCCTGCGCAAAGAGCAGCAAAATCCTTGTCTTGTTCGCTTACCAAGGTTTGAATTTGAATATTAGTATTGTTTTATTTTCAATTAAGAAGTTTTATTTGATGCCTGATTCTGTGGCAATAAAAATCGCATCTTGAATCCGTTCCTGTTGCAGCTGCGAATGAGATAGCTATAAGCAGGATTGAATCCATTCTCTTTGCCGTGCTGGATGACTTTTTCTGTCATGAATTCGGCCATCTTATTTGCGCTTCCGCCCTCGAATTTCGGAAGGTAGCCACTGCTCGCGCCGTTGACAACAGCGTTGCTAATGAAGCCGTCCGAGCCGTCTCTGCGCGCCATTCCATGCTGTTGAAGATGAATGAAATCGTGCTCCCCGTCGAAAACTCTCGTTTTCGTATCTCGCCACATCTCGTGCACCTCTTCGTTGTAGTACTGAAAGAATGACTCCGCTTTTTCAACAGTTTGCCAAATTTACGTTTTTTCAATCCGCTTTGACGGAGCTTACTACTACCGCGTAAAAATATAATCTTTGATAAGGAGAGCAAGAGCACGTTGGCTAGTGCGAATTCAGCTATAATTTTTCTGAACCGAAAAAGCATTGATAATACTCCGGAATTTCAAGGCGCCTATCTTATCTTGCCTAGCCGTGTAGATACATAAGAAACCGTCACTGTTGGTGGTGGTGCTTATCGCGTTAAGTGCGCCAAAATTTTTCGCAAGAGGATTTACGTGGTAACACTCGCAAACCGTTTCCTACATGAGAAGCGTCTGACATTCTAAAGGGCTCTGATTGCCCACAGACGGAGGTTTTGCCACTGCAGTTGCTAAACTCTTCGCTGAAACAGCGATGCGTACCAGTCACTGAAAACGTTCGCGTTCCGTGGTCAAACAGAGATGCCATTATATGACCCACTTTGCCGTCGAAAAGCGGATGTGACGCAGATGTAGCTAGATTACGGCTTACATTCTCGCTTGGTCTAAGAAAGAAGTACCCGCGTCTATAGCCAAATAAGATGAAAACTCGTAATTAAGATATTTTTACCTCATCGTGCCAAAGCCGAAATCGTTCTCGCTTTCAATTTGACCGAATTCTCTAGCGGGCACCATTCCGTACACGGTTTCATTCGCCAACTCCAACTCCAGAATCTCGTAATTAAGAGGCTCCAAGCAAAAGTTCGCCTGCTGCCATTGTTCACGTAAGAAAAACTGGAAAGTGTCATGATTCATGAAGAAATTTCATCGAAAATTTTATGCATAATTGAATCTACAGCTATGTTTTTACCCTTGAACAGACTCTAAATACACGCTCTTCGAGACGACTTCATTGGAGTTGAATTTCAAGTGTTGAAAGTTGTTAACGAAGAGAAATCAAATCAAATTACAACCCTTAATCTTGGCGTGGAAAATATTTTTCTGCTCAGTTTAAAATCATTCGTTATAATGTCAGGAAAAAGTCGCCCGAGATAAAATTGATAAAAGGTCAACGGAAAGGGTTTAAATTAAAGTTTCGAGCGTCGATTCGAAAATATACGATTATATAATTTCAACCCTTATCGAAAAATTCTTCTCGGTTCGCATGATAAAGGTGAATAACTGGATGGTACGGTGATAAGCGCCTGGGGATAAGGTGAGAACTAACAGGGCCTTGAGGAAAGCAATAATCTTCCTTTTTTATACTAGAAAAAGGGATGGCGATTTATAAGCAGCTTTTCTCTGATGAAAAGATCTTACCAGGGAGCATTGATAAAAGATCAGCCGCTCAGTTTCAGTTATCTCCAAGAACACACCAGGCGGAAGCGAATTTTTCTTAAAAAACAAACGTAATTACATTGCTCTTCATTCAATGAAGATTTTTATGCTTAGTTTATTTTGCGCCTTTCGAATTACTTTAAATCTATTTCCTGTGCTCAGAGAGCTAATAAAATCCAACAGAAAAACTGAACCAAGGATTCCTCACCCTGGCAATATCTGGATAAATATTGTCCACGAAGAAGTTATGAAATGAAGCCGCATAATCGAATCTATACGCCTGCGCCAGGTGCATTAGAAGGGGTGACAATTTCATTATTCGCGCTTTCAGTCTCAAGTTCTCGCTTTTGATTTCGTTTATTAGAAGTCTTCTGCAGAAAGCACTCTCTCGACTGATACGGTAAATCGCAGAGCAAATAAAGGATCAAGGTTAATAGTATTATTAAATAATGGAGAAGAGATATAATTCCAGCAAAGAAATTCCCCAATTTTCCAGCTGCTCCCATTTTCTGAAGAAAGTCACTTCTGATAAGAACGAGATCTGATGGAAAACAGTCGTTCAAACAAGCGATAAAACAGCGAAGTCAACTCTAAATTCTTTGCACCGAAATTAAAGATATGCTCGTGCGAGTGAAATCAATGGTCGAAAGATGGAACCGCCCAGGTTTCTATGATTCTTACGGAATTTCGCAACTATTTCGTTTGCCCGTGAATGAGCGTCCAATGGGTCGTGGCTGCTGCATCAAAGCCCTTCTTATGCGAATTCCAGTGCCAGACAAAAGCTGCCCCAGTAAAGCAGATTTTGCTCATCCAACTTGCTGGTTTGAAAAATTCAATTTCGCTTTCGCGTTATTAATTTTGGGGATCTTCAATTGGTTTTGAGATTTTTCCTGAATCAGTAAAATCAGATTTTACTCGTAGCACATGTCGACTGGGAAATAGAATATTGCGTGTGAAATCAAGCCTTGATTATCAAGGAGGAAATTTTAATGATATTTAGACTCACGTGTTTAAAAGTAAAGTTATTATCGAGGACATAAAAAATTCAAGAGCTTGAACAAGGCTGGCAAGTGGCAGGTTTGGGATTATAGAAGCTAAATTATGAGTTTATAATCTGCACCAGATTGCGTTCTGTTAGGAGATTGTTAAAGTTGGATTTATTATTCATACGAACTACGGCTATGAAATGGCCACTTGGGAAACTTTGCGGAATGAGCACGGACAATCTTGTCCAACTCGCCGTGAACAAGAGATACAGTAGAAGACAGCAACCGAATTTTTACTTTTCCCCATCATGGGCTGGCATCTTGTCGAAAGAGTCGTCGATTCAGGTGAGCGAGAATACAGTTAACTTTTCTGCTATTTTGAAGTTTCCGCTTACGCAACTCTCACTGGAAGGCTCTGGACTACAGTGCTCTTTCTTCTACGAATAGTCGTCATAACTTCAATCGGGTAGGATTGAGACGGGAGCTTTTCCAGCCATTAGCTTTTCCAGCCGTTAGCTTTTCCAGCCATTAGCTTTTCCAGCCTTGCTGGAAATTCTAATTTGCTGGAAAAGCTAATATACTGGAATAGCTTCTTTCAGATTGATATTTTTCTAATGAAATATAAGTTGATAAAATAAGTACTATATTTATTAAAAAGTCTATTTACTTAGACGTGCTTTTTTTAAGGTTAACGAAGTTTTCCAGCCCACTTCCGCTTTATAGACCGCTGAACACCATATATTTTTAGAATCAGTAGAAAATTTTAAGAACTTTGACGGTTTAAAATTCTAGAAAACTCCACTTCCGGTCGATTCTAGAGCCGGAAATTGACGTAATTAAGGTGTCATGGTGAAGTTTGACCTATCAAATTGATGATTTGACGATTTCCTATCATTTTAGAAAAGAATAAAGACTAACCGCGGTCAAACCATCCGAAAAAAAAACTGAAAAAAATTTCATCAATTTACGCCTTTTTTACATAATTTTGCCGGTCGGTTTGACCACGTTTGGGACTGTTTCTTCTGATACATTGATTATAGGATGACTCAAAATCTTCCGAGCATCAATTTGATAGGTCATACTCTACCATCACACCTAAATTTCGTCAACTTCCGGCTCTAGAATTGACCGGAAGTGGACTTTTCTAGAATTTTAAACCGTCAAAGTTCTAAAAATTTTCTGCTGATTCTAAAAAGGTATGGACCATACCGTATGGTGTTCGGGGGTCTATAAGGCGGAAGTGGGCTGGAAAACTTGGTGAACCTTAATATAAGCACGTCTTAGTGAAATATAATTAATAATAATTTATTATTAATACATAATCGTCGATTAGTATAAAATTTATCGAAAGATCGTTTTCAAAGGAGGTCGGGATTTTTGGTACTCCTTGTTCCGATTTTGGTACATGGTGAGTACTGCGAGCATGGCTGTTGATTTCGGAGCGTTCGCGTTTCTCAGAAAACGATCTCTCGATAATTCTTATATTAATCGACGATTATTAATTAATTATGATATTTCACAAAGTAAATACACTTTTCAATAAAAATAGTACTTATTTTATCAAACTATATTTTCATTGGAAAAATATCAATCTGAAAGAAGCTTTTCCAGCCATTAGCTTTTCCAGCCGTTAGCTTTTCCAGCCTTGCTGGAAATTCTAATATGCTGGAAAAGCTAACGGCTGGAAAAGCTAATGGCTGGAAAAGCTCCCGTCTCGGTAGGATTAAATCAACGCCCAACATCATTTAATTTTGCTTAACTAATCTAATAATTTCCTAGAGAGCATGTTTACGGCGATGAGCAGTCGGCTTTTGACTGTAATACCAAAGAAACCGGTTGTCCAAATGCATGCTACTCAGGTACCCCGCTTTTACTATTTTTTATTATGTTAAATTGGTAAGCCTTTGCACCTATTTCACAAATACGATTCTGGGGTGCTCAAATAATTTGCGTCGCTACACCTGGTGCATTCTTTGTTGTCTACTCAATCCAAAGCAAAAACAAATTATCAAAATGCGTGAGCCATGCGCATCCTGCCAAAGCTGAAGAAGAAGTAAGATCAGCTATTCCTAAGAGAAGAAAAAGGTTCGAAGAATAAGTATACAATGACCATCGAATTCGACGAGAACCCTGTAAAGACCCTCGCATGCTCTCATTACTCTTACAAGTCGTGGCGCAACCGATGACGGAAAAGATGAATGCCAAGTGCGCGAGAAGAAATTATTACGAGCGTATTTTGTTTACTGGGATTGAAATTTATAAAAAAAAGCGTTATCTTAGCAATTATCAATTTGCATCCTTTCTCAAGCGCAAGCTGTTGCACGACTATTACTAGAATGCTGCTTTTTCTATGGTCAAATGCTGCTTTATGGAACAGAGTAAGATCAGTTTCACCTAACGAGTCATAAAGAAAACTAAGAGTTAACATGCTTTATATTTGCGAGCAGTCGCCTTGTCCTCTTCCAACACAATGTTGGGTTTCGCGTCCAATGGAAAAGACGATTTTTCTCCGATTTATGACGATAATGAACGCCTTTTCAATTCTTCTCTCAATGATCGAGATCCTGCAGCTAATGTCTCGCCGAGCGCGCAAGATGATTTTAAAGCATCGGATCAAGAAACTCCAAAATGCTCAATCGTTCGATGACCTGAGGTACGAGACTTCTTATCTTTCTTTTAATCACTTTCAATTCAATAGTACCTCGAGCGCAAGCTCTTCTGAAATCCATGAAAAATATGCAATATCGGAAAACGAGTTTAAAAAGCCTATACGAAATAAATTCTACGTTTAAGATTTTCAATTTTATTTAGCAAATGTAAATTGTATAAAACAGGGTCAAATTTTTATTTGATGATGATTTGGGGAGCTGGTCCAGCAGCATGCACCTGAAGGAACAATTCAAGGAGAATCGATTCTTGAATAAAACTTACGGATTGATCATGGATGCGGGGAAGTTGAATAACATATTGAATAACTTTATCATTCGTTTGATGCGGTGGAGCTTGCGAGACTGAACGCTGATCCACAACAGATGGAGCGTAGCCGACAGTCTGGCTTGGTAAGACATTTGCAGTATGCTGATGATATTTAAATAAAATGCCATTCTCTTTCAAAATGCTTACCATTAGAGGAGCTGGCTGATGATATTCATAAGGTCGGTTATACTGCTGCTGTGGAACTGTAAAAGTATGATCTTGAGGAGCGTATGAAGCAGCAGGATAATAATTCTGAGGCGGTGGTGCCATTTGCTCGTTGATGGGTGGCTGAGCGTATTGAGGAATGTGATTTCGGAAATGCCCTGGATGTTCTGGTATGGGAGCTGGCTGGTGGATTGGCTGCTGCACAGAGCGCCGGTGAGCGGTACTATCATCGTAGTAGCCTCTCTGTGGATATGATTGCGGAGGAATAGCTTGTCCAACGACAGAAGGAGCCATTTGAGAAGGCTGAATTTTTATTTAGCAAGAACCTAGAATAGCTAGCTCTACGGGATTTTGGTCATTTATTTCTCGATTAAAGTTCTCTGCATCTTCTAGTGGCGGGGTAAGAGGTGGCATCGGAATATTACTCTCTCGGTGGGTGGGGCCTAAACGGCCGTAGTTAACGCGATAGATGGGCATTTTGCACGAGAGTAAAGGGATTTGAGTTTATCTCGAAAACGATGCGCAAAAGTAAAGATTGACTTTTCTCAGTTCGAAGTGTTACTTGCCTGTGCTGACGGAGCTCGATTATGACTTCGCGGGGGAACGCTTTGCTGATTCGATGAGTGGAGAGGCATCCCTTGGAACTGGGATCCAGAGGAATGATAGGCGTAAGACTTTCCTTGAGTCCCTCTTTGATTCATTCCTTGTGCTTGATGAACCGTCTGAGGCGGATTATGTTCTGGTTGAGGCTTCGCGGGTTCTCCAAAAATGTCGATTTTTGGTTTTCGGTGGTTCGGAATCTAGGAAGATGGTAACAGGGATTATTTCTAGGGAATTTGACCTTGAATCTTTTCACAGTTCCAAATTTCTTTTCATTGCGAGCGAAATCTAAGCCATAATTGCCAGTAGAAGTATCGATTTCGCCATCGGCTTTCTTCAAACTTCGTTTATTTGCCGCTTCAGCTGCTTGAGCTGCAATATACGAAATCGAAGGAACGTCCTATATTTTAACAAAATAAATTTGAAGACAACTGTCTACCTTAGATTTTGGAACACCCATAACTTCCGACTCTCTAACTTCTGGGGCCGGCTTGAAAGCCGAAAGAGCTGGGGGCGCTGGTGGAGCTACAGGTGGGCGTTCTTCATCTGATGATGGTTCCGGCTTTTTCAAGTTAAAAATCCAAATCAAGATTTAATAATTTCAATTAAAATTTATAATTTAGATGTTAATATTTAACTTGGCTCAGGCAGAGGCTCAGGATCGGAATCAAAGTCTACTGGAGTGATTACACGAGTTTGAGAAGTTTGAGCTCTTGATTCAACAATCAGAGGCGGTGTTGGTGACTTTATTGGCGGTGGAGGTGGCGTTTTCTCAACGGGTGCGGGCGTTGGCGACTTAGGACTAGGCGTCGGCTCTTTTGGTGGGGGAGGGGTGGGCGACTTCGATACTAGCACTGTCCTCCTGACTTCTCGGGATGGTTTGCGAGGCGGCTCTTCGTCCGAAGACTCAGAAGAGGATTCGTCCATTTTAGTGACTACAAATCGTATGATTGCTGTTTAAATTTACAATTTTTAAACTTGCCTTGATTTGTTGGAGTAACAGGGGCAATTTTGCGTCCACCTGCGAAATCGAAGGAATCTTTTCAGGGTTCTGAAAATTCAATTTCCCGACTCAAAACTTTTCATTATTGGCCGGAAAAAATATAAATTTTCGGCCTTCGAACAGCCATAACTCACGTGATACTCTTTGAAACCAGATGATCCAGGTATCAATGGAAAGCTCAGATTCTGAGGATTGGGGGAAAGCAAAAATTTTTCCGAAAAATCGGTTTTTGCTGATTGGCCAAAAATTAAAATATTAATTTTCGTCATTCAGAATCGATTTTTTTCAAATTTCTTTTCTTTGCCCCAATCCTCAGAAGCTGAGCTTTCTAAAAATATATCAATCACGTGATTTCATCATCTGTCACGTGAGATATGGCAGTTCGTATAAAATTCATGAAAATGGCCTCAGAATCGCCCCAGGCTATGAAAACAAGTTTTTTCCAGGTGTTTTCTAGAGTTTAGACGATGACAAAAACGGTCAAGATAATGATTTATCCCCAAGTTGAAATTTTTGTCAAAATTGAAAATTTATATTTTTTCCGACCATTATTTTCCCAGGCTGAATATCCGACTGGCGCTATTCAAGAGATGTGTTCTCATGATGCGCGGGCCAATGAGGAAGTCGATCCATGCTAAATCGAGACTGGGAAAAATGAAAATTAATTTTTCGCGACCCTAATCGATGGAAGAAGCTTCGGTTTCTGATTCAGAGCTATCAAACTCCGCCAAAGGAATTTGAACTGCATCAGATGGGTCGATCATTCGTTGCTGTGAATTAAATTACAGTTATTTTAGAAATAAGAAATAAACAATAAGTTAATTACCCGATCGAAATGCCAATCCATGGATTCTAAATCAGCCAGCAGCAGAACCATTCTCTTGCCAGCGTTTTGAATTAAAAGCTTCAAATCATCATGGTTTTTGCCTGCGACGGGAATTTCATTGATTTCCAGCAAGTAATCGCCGACTAGATATAAAATAACGAAGAATTCGACCTTTCGTGCTTACTCCTTGCAGAAGTTTTTGCGGCAGGTCCCGACGAAGCAATTGAAATAAGTCGATGCGAGCTGGCTCCGAATTTATCGTCTTCCGTACCAATCTCGATACCAAACGTTTGATTTTTCTTCTTCAACAAAACCAAACGAGGAAGAGGTTGGGGCGTGTTTGGCAATGGAACGCTGAAGACAAGATTAAGAGTTTCGACGAAAACAATGGAACTTGCATTTTTGTTGAGGCGGCTCTGCTTACTGTGGCGCCAGATGTTTTAATTGCTTCGGGCTCATCAATTCCGCGAGCGAGTTGCGCAGTGATCTTAAAGTCTATCTGCGTCTTGAACTCGAAGACCTTACTTACCTTTATTCCGCGCTCTTCTAACGTTATCAAAGTGGCTTCATCAACAACCAGAAGCTCTACATTTGTATCTTCATTCAAAAGCTTATCTACTTCTTCGCGGCTATAGCCAGAGACTTCCTGAAAAAAAGAAGTAGTATTTATATTTTGTGATAAATTACTTCGCTGTTGATTTCAAGTATTCGATCATTTGTGAGGAGTCCAGCAATATCTGCAGCTGTTTCTTCATAAATAGTGCTAAAAATCAAATATTCAGAGAAAGGGCAACTACCAAAATTTGTGAACAAGAATCTCAGAAACGATAAGTAAGTACCTAACAAAATGATGATTTTGTTTGTCAGAGCTATATTCGAATCCGATGAGTTCTGACGAGTTCGTTCGGTTGAGTGTGACTATTCGTGGTTGTTGAGCGAGTACTACGTTCTTTCTGTGCTCTCGCTCACTTTCCCTTGTTTTGGTTCTTTTTACAGTTTCCTTTGGCTGACTTTCTATTTTCTCCGTCTCGGGTATCGCCGTCTGTCGAGCTGCAATTTCTTCGATCACTTCTTCGGTCTAAAAGGATAAGTGTAAAGTTTTTGATTGAATAGAAGTACCGTTAATTCTTTGTCTTCTTGAGAATATGAAGGAGGTGGAATTGAGACTGTTGGTTCTGTTTTGAGCTCGAACTTGTTCAGTTCGCGAATCAAATCAGTATCTGCTGGATTAATCAGAAGCCTCTTGTAGGCCTGATTTAGTTTTCTGTTGATGAGCGTCAGCTTGACTGGATTCATACTAGATTTTATAACACTAATAACTTCTTCGTGTCCTAGTGTTTCCGTGTTGGTTCCGTTTGCGATAATGATGACATCTTCTTCTTCCATTCCTGCCTTGTGCGCAAGCCCATCTTTATTGAGTTACTGAGACTAAATTAGAGTGAACCAAGTTAACCTTAAATGGAACTTTATTTGTTCGAATAAAATATTCACAAGGGCTTTAGCCCGTTCTCTGCTTTTTAATAATTCTTGATGACGCGAAAAAAGAAGCTCAAAGTCAACGCTTTGTAAAGAATTGAGTACTTTTAAAAGTAACTATTTCCTTTGGTCACTGAAGTGATAAAATGTTCGCCAAAGTTATTTTCTTTGTCAGTAGCAGCGGATTTAAAAGCAAATCCCATTTTTTCCTCTCCAGCAAAAATCTCGACTTCGCGTGGGATTCCACTTTCACCATAGCGCAGTGCCCATTTCTCGGCCAAAAACTCATCAGGCCTCGATCCCGCATTAAGAAACCATTTTGCTTCAGTTTTACTCGTAACGAGCAGCACTACGTGGTGTGGATATTTTTGCATGCGTTCTTTCACGCTATCCGCTTTACTGACAGGCTCCCCGTTGATTTCCCAGATACAGTCATCAACAAGTAGCCCAGCTAGTGCGCCTGGTTGGCTTTTAGCAACAAGCGATATGCAATGCAAACCGATTTCCGGATCTGTTTTCATCGAGATTCCGTAAGAGCCAGTTGATGATTTCACTAATCGCAAAAGTCGTGCTTTCGGCAAATCGTTTGCTCGCGGTAAAACTCTCGGCGCTGCAACCGGCAGAGATTCTTCTGCCTGGAGCGTTTCAGCTTCGACAGAGACTGGGGCCGTCCTGGTCACATTTGCATCTTCTTCTCCGTCAATGGTAATGTGCTCGTTCTGAATTTCATCGAGAGAATATCGACCCTCCGAGATGCGTTTTCCTCTTTTGCTCGGTGGTTCAGACAACTCCTCGCTGGATGATGATTCTCGTCGTTCAAAATCGGGAATCGCCACAATAAAGGAAATCTGCTCGTTGCTCATAAAGTTTTGCGCTATCGACGTAAATTCTCTCCTGTTATAAGATGACAGATCAAATCCATTTAATCTAACAATAATGTGGCCTGGAGAAAATCCAGCGCTATCAGCCACACTTCCTCCATCAACACTGACAACAATGTGTTTCCATCGGGGATTTCCCTCTGTGGCCTCCATTTCTGTCTCAATATTCAAACCAAGTCCTTTTCCTTTCTTCTTTTCAACTAATAGAAACTTGTACCCTTTCTCGACAAGTTTTTCGTCGCGTTCTTTGTAATCTGGATCTGCTTCAGAATGAACAACACGCAAGGCTAACGCTTTAGCCGTCTTTTTGATAAGCTGGGCTACCTCGTTATGTTCCATTTGACCGATCCATTGCTTGTTGACGCGGAGGACTCTCATGTTTTCACTCAGCCCCGCCAGTTCTGCTTGCGATTCCTCTTGCACGTAAGATATTCGGTGATCATATTCGACGCCAGTCTCTCTTGATTCCGACTTGTTCGATATCAGTTTAAAGTTGAAATTTCCTTCTGGACTTCGTTCGAATTTAATGTCGTTGAAAAGGCCTCGCCAAAATTCTTCATTTTTCTCTTTCTTCATGCTCCTGATGAGTGAGTGCAATTTTCGCACATCGCTTTCGCTCCCTGCCGATTTAGTTTGTTCATCTTATTTAGTTTTTCCGCCGAAAATATCACACTCGCATTACTACGGTGCAAATGTTTGGCGTCACTTTATAGCAAATGAATTCCTATCTATATAAAGGATAAGGGGCTAAGGGGTAATTTAAGTTTGAAGGAAGCATTAATCCGGAATGAGTGGCCAAGTGACTTGTGCCGTTAGCGATTTGGAAACAATTTGAGCGAGGCTAATTGTTGTGCGATCGGCTTAGGGCTTGTTGGTGTCCGCTCCAGTCGACGGAAAAGTAATTCGATTCTGCGCAGAAGAGAAGGGTTATTATCTTGGCCAGACTTAAAAGCGGACTTATTGCTTCAACACTTGCCTTTTACAGTTGATCACTGACGAGAGTTTACCGATGACGAAGACCCTGTAGCTTCTCAAGTGCTGATTTTGGCCAGTGTAAGTCCGACATGTTTCTTGCTTGCTTTGTTTTGTTATTGCTTGAACTTCTCCAACCTTTCTATGATGTTTTTCTAGCCGGGGTTAGTGAGTCACTTCATTTAGCTTCTTCTGATACTCGAATGTAGAATTGATGAAACGAGCGGCCAATGAGTTAAAGTGAGCTCTTCAATAAGGAATAACTGTTTGGAAATTGAGAAGCACTTTGTGAATAGTTGATAGTTTTGTTCTAAACTAACGACGCATATTTCTCAACGCACAGAAAGTTACCAGTAAAAGATCTATATTTCCTGTGAGCATTTTTTAGAGATTGACGTTTTATATCACTGAGAGCCAAAGTAAGCAACATATTATAAATATGCAAATTTTGTGTACAATATTTACTCGATTTTCGAAGCACTTGTCTGCACTTAATCAATAAAAGCATTATATAAAACATATTCTATGAATATAATGTTCCTTGAGAATCTATACGGGCGCTCATAGACTATGATAAAAGTGAACTTGGACTAAATATATGTCTCTTTTAATCGGAACAATTATTTGGTTATTAAACTTAAAGCAACTCATTTTACATTCATCTTCCGTGTTTTTTCTGCTCAAGGCTTGAGCCTCAAGCACCGGAGCCGAGACGGGACCAATTGCAGAGGCATTTGATCAAATCGCATAGAGAACGACGAGAAACTCTAACATCGTATTTCTTATACTTTTTAATTCTTCAATTTGCTTCTTCACAAGTTGCCACGAGGAGACGATGCTCCGAACTAAATCTCGGTTTACCCCTGCGCTGACATTGACGTATATCTAGGTCGATTCGGGCTTCTTGAAAATTGAAATTTTATGAAATTTGAACGTTGGGATTTTATCCTGTCGTCGTGATAACCGAAGCTGTATTCTTTCGATACATGTGGTTTTTATAATTTTAGTATCACCAGAATTACCTCAAAAGACCCTCAAAACGGCCGAGCTACACATAGGTCGATATCTGCGCAGGGGTTAATATACATTTGCGATAAATTTTCAACTTTATCAAATTCTCAATAGTTGCATACTTATGACATGCTTGTTGTCGTATTATCCCAGCTGATTTATCGGGTAACTGAGAAAGAAATCCAGCTACTACAAAGGGATAATGCTTCACTGTATATGGAAGTCAGAATATAAATTAATAAATCTCTCCCTTCTTAGCTCAAAAAAACCAAATAAAAAAAGAGAGAATTTTGTTGCCTGGGAAGAAAATGATTAAAAAATATTTTTACTGAATTGAATGATCATTAAGAATTATATCAATTCTTAATATCATTCGAAAGGTCGAATTTCTAACTGGAGGAAATAAGAGGTTTATCATCAGTTCAATTGAATAATATTGTTTAGCGCTCGATAATGCATGCGTTTGTATGAATAAAAAGGATTGCTTGTTATCGAAAAGGGTAGCTTACTTTGGAGGGACGATTTATAATTCATCTAAGAGTCAAAACAACAACCAATATAAACGTGCTATGTTCCCCTTTCCTCCTTTCTTTAATTCTAGTTGAAAAAAATTTTCAGCTGCGATGGCACTTGACAGGCTGCTTCACAAGGTTAGAGTATTTTTTTTTTATTCGTCATTATTTTCTGTGATGCTAGAATCTCGGGCAGACCGAAAGAGAAATTGAAGAGAACAAATGGCTCCTGAGCGATCAAGAGCGCGCTGCAATCAACGACGATTCATCATATCAATGGTACAGTCGCATATTTAACTTCAATTGAACTAAGCTTTTGTAGGCCTCATCATAAGGAAAATGTTCATCTTAGGTAAATTGCCTGAGTAAAATAAAAATAACTGGGGGCTATTCAATGAATGATACTAACAACCGTCCCAATCAATCAGCTCATGTTAAATTAGTTTTCAGCGAAGTAAAATTATTGACGCACCACCTCAACGAAGTCCCCGATTACGATGGCGATGAAGATTCTGACGCGGGGGAAGGAGATTTTCTTAATAATCATTTCGACCACGAGGAGATCATTAGAAAAAACTCGGTAATTTTTCATTGAGCAAAATGATGTGCGAAGATAGGTTTCGCTTCGATTGACGCCATTGTAGGAAGATGATATGAAAAAGAATGAGGCAAAACGCAAACTCATTACGGCCTCCATCATTTGCACGTTTTTCCTGACGGCTGAAGTGATTGGTGGGATCATGTCTCACTCGATCGGTTTGATTTAGTTCTCGGACACGTTTTCGGAGTATGCTTTAGCCATTTTGTCTGATGCAAGTCATATCTTTGCTGACTTGTCTTCATTCCTTCTGAGTCTCGTCGCAATCCATTTCAGCTCAAAGGTACAAGAAAAGACAAGACAGTTGTAACAACCACTATCTTAAGAAGCCGACGCGAAGCTACAATTTCGGCTACTCCCGCCTCGAGGTCATCATCGCCGTCGTTAATATCTTATTCATCTGGATATTGACAGGCGCTCTTGTTAAAGAGGCAATCGACAGGTTTATTATACTGTTCTCGCTAGAAAAAGTAAACATGATTAGGGTGCGGGAGCCTGATGAGTTTGAGCTAAACGGAAAGATCATGCTACTTGTTTCCAGCCTAGCAGTGCTTTTCAATTTGACGTAAGCCTTTGGATCAAATCAAATTTAAGACGATAACTAAAACGCCTTAGTCTTGGGGTAATGCTACACGGTGAGCATGGACACAGTCATGGAGGTCACACTCACAGTCACGCAAGTTCACATGCAACTCACACAGGTTACAACGACAAAGGCAATCACACCAAGCACCAACAAAGTTATCACAACGATCTGGAACAGAGCGGTCAACAAGAGGACTTGGGCTGCGCTTCTCCAGGCTCCAAGCGGTCCGCATTTTCGCTCAGCTCTATAGGTTTGAACATATTTGTAATTATCGGGCGAGAGGGTCCGAGTAATTTCGATTTCGACAGGGCGGTTTAATTGCATTTAGCCGAAAGTGCCAACAACGCTGACATCAACGTTCGGGCAGCAATGATACATGTTATTGGAGATCTGCTGCAGGTTGCCCAAAAAGCTTTTCCAATTTGACATTTTTCAAGTCTATCGGTGTGTTCATTGCTTCTGTGTTGATTTATGTGAACCCTGAATGGAAGATCGCCGATCCCATTTGCACTTTTTTCTTCAGGTAACCATTTTATATGTATTGGCTATTAATACTCGACACCTTTTGATATTAATCATTACTTATAAGCTTACTGGTACTTTGTACGACACTTCCACTTCTGCGAGACACAGTGCGTATTTTAATGATGGCAGCGCCCAGAAACATCGACCACGAAAAAGTATCCAATGCATTGCTAGAAGTAAAAGTAAGTTATCTAGATCTAGAGAACCAAATTGAAAATGATAACTTTTCAAGGGAGTACTGATGGTACACGACTTGAAGATATGGACCCTAAGCAACTCGAAAGTATTCGCTTCCTGTCATTTAGCGACAGGTTTTTAGAAGTTTTATCAATATTAAAGATTATGATCTATTTTAGAAAGTAACGTTAGCCACTCAAAGCTGCTAAATAAGTGCACAAAGATATTGAAAAGGAGGTTTGATATAAGCGAGACTACAGGAACAGAGCGGCACTTATTATTCAGAGATTAGATTTTATAATTAGAATAAATAATAAAGCTCTGAATGAAGTTCAAATCGAGGCATTTACGAAGCAAATGCTCACATGTAAAATCTGCAAAATATTTGACTAAATAAAGATTATCTGAATAAGTTTTCCTTTCCTAAACCACATGTTATCTGATGAGTTTTAATCGAGATTTATATGAGATCAGAATATCGACGCATCTACTATGAAATTAATTTTGGGCGTATTCAATACTCCGTTTTGGAAATGCGCTTAAATTTTAATGATAGTTGCTAAATCGTTTTTTTTTCCTGAAAAATTTCGCGATGTCTTTTTTTATTTTAGATTTTAGTTGTGAAAAATGAAGAGCGATTAACGAAAGAACTCTATTGCATGATTCTGATTTTTTTACATTTTGAAAGAAAGTTTCGAAAACATCATCTGCAGGGAAATTTATTCAAAGGCATTAAATATTACCTGACAGTCTTGCAAGATGCTTTTGTATCATCCCCAATTTAACCGTCTATTATAATAAAAACATTAAAAAGTGTTGAAGGAGGCGCTCGTGAGTGTGCGCATAAAAGAACATCTGTAAGGCAATCGTCCTCCAAAAGGTTTAAATGCAAATTCTTCTCTTTTTACCGTTGGTAAGACTCGTCACAGAGAAAATTCCTTCGATTTTTCTTTTATTTAACATTTGAATAGCTAGAAACGCTGGTCCATGGATACGGCAATAACCCCAGCTTAGACAAAGTCTGTACTACAAAAAGATGCTATCAGTGTAGAGGAGTTGTCCAAAATATTCCTTCGGGTAGTTCGCTCAACGCGGAAATTCTTACCAAGGAAATTATTTAGGGAAAACTGAAAAAACGAATGGACTTTTTCAATTTTGCAGGACGTTGCTTTCAATCAACGAATGTTGTCCAGGGACGGGGTTCATTGAATCACGATAAATAAGTTTAAAGTTTTGTTATTCGTCGATACCATTAATAATTATCAGTATTGAACTTCTGAAAGGTCGGCAGATGCTCTTTGGATTGAAAGCGTTGTCCGAGGATGTATGCGAGCTCGTGGAAAGAACTGATCGTGTAAGTCAATGAAGAGCATGTGTTTTTTAAAGAAAACAGCGAATAAAGGTCTATATAAGCCTACTCAAGGCAAGATATTAGCGTCGCCTACTTCGAGAATAACTTGTACATTCATGTTGAATTTGAGAACTATGAACAGTGACGGCGACAAAATCAGGTTCGAATGAGCTGCTATTTTCAATTCATTAACGATCTGCATTATGTAGCACACGTTAGATATCGTAGGATCAGATGATGATCCAGGTCGCCCTTCAACCAAGGAATTAATTTGAGTAAAGCTGACTTTAGGACTGCAACTCCTACGATGAGCTAAAGGATGACGAATACTTGTGCGAAGCATTCAAAACCCGTACTGAGACCGACGCCACTCTTTGCACTTCGAAATTTGGCCACGTCGATAATGGTTGAGTTAATAAAGAGCTTTATCGCAGTGATGTTTGGTTTAGGAATGAACTTCATTCTTCTTGTGGGAATAGTTTGCCTCGTTGTTTCAGTCGCAACTTGTGTGGTGCTCGCTTTCTGTTATTTCAAGCACATGTACATGTGAGTCTTGCACTCAACCTAGCTGGAGTGATTTCCTCAACGAAATAACATTACCTTCAATCTATGATTAAGAATTTACGACTGCAGAAAAGCCGCGAATTCAAGCTCTAAATCGCCCTTACTAAAAGGAACACCAATCAATTCGCCAGGACATGAAAATAGGTAATATTTTTAATCGCTTTAACTTTTATTATGGGCCTTATCATAAGCCGTAAAAACTGGAACAATATAGTATAGTTATATAAAAAATTAACGTTACATTTAAAATCTCGGTGGTATCTTAAAAGATGTCTATTGAGAGACCTGTTATTGGAAATATAGATCTGAAAAAATAATGCTTCAGAAGCTACGATGCGACAAACAATGTCTACGCTAACAATCCAGAATTAATGAAGAAGTAGCCGCAAAACGACATTCGCGCTCCGCAAGACTATGTAGACATAAAATCATCTGAACTCCTAAAAGCTATATTTCTTTTTTTATTTTTTTTCCACGCCACTCTTCTTTGCTGATTTAATAAAAAATTTAACAAATGAATTATTTGCTCTTCTGGACATAATTTCTTTGCTTTCATTCTTTCAAGGAATCGAATATTGAACAATTTATTTCGGGTCACTTTTTTCATAAGTAAGGAATTCTTTTCGAAGTCGCATCAGGCTTGCTTTACTTTCCACTCACACTTTCCACTTTGCGAGGTTCAACCCCATTCTTTCATTAAACCGTGGCTTATTCTTTTAAGATTATGGCGGTAGATGTTTGGGGTTGTGAATTTCATAGTTAATGATAAGTGTTTCCTCTAGATTATGTTATCAGTCAGGTTGATAAACACCCTCAACCGGCGCTAGAATAGCGTCTTTCTTATCACAATAGGAGATATGTCATTTACGGAATTCGCCGTCTTGAGTTCCTATCGCGAAATTTCGAATAAACGATTCAGTTGATAATAAATAGGGCTAGAACCTCTCCTTTTTCTGGAATCTCTACAGCTGCAGCGGGCGCGTGCTCGCCTTGTCTCAAAGGGCTGACAAACATAGGACGGCATTCCGAAGCTGTCGTCTTCTTTGCACGTCTTCCATTCGGCCGAAGTTGCGAGCTTGAGAGCGCGCCAGGCGCAAGGTTCCACGCAGTTCGGGCTGCGAGTGCCCTCCCACTGTCCATCCACGCAAGTCAGCTGGCCCTTGCTCTTGAGTATCTTCCCCTCTTCGAGACACTTCCAATTGCAAACCGTGTTGTGATCCACAAATCCGTCAGCGGCAAGATCGTAGTTTTTGCATTCAAGAGTGCCTCTTTTCTCAATGTTAGTTTTTTTAATTTCTGACGGTTCAAACTTTTTTTGGAGATTCTCTGTATTGCATCCGCTATTTGCTGATGTCAGCTGCGTACCAATTTGGGCGTTTTCTTCAAAATAGTCGCCAGCGTCGATTCCCAAGCTATCGTGAAAGAACGCTTTTAGTTCCTCGAAATCGAACTGAAAATATCAAGTCATGTTTCTTGAGAGCGCGGTAGAAGTAAATGGAGCTCTAGAAAGTGAAGAGCGAACGAGGAATTGTTGACGTTCATTTCCCGAAAAGGACTTTTCAAGAGGTCTGAGCAGGTAAAGAAACTTCCGCTTCGTTTAACCTTTTTGGGGGCGAGGACAAGAACATTGAAAACCGAGTTATTCTAAACCCGCGGTTGGTGCGACGTGGTTTAGTTTCGCGCAGCCCGCCGCATTCGTAAACGGTGCATAAGAGATTTCGAATAAGAGTACGCAAAAGTCCGAGAAAGAGCGTGAAATTTCATCATCCCAAGATTTATTCCTTCAAATGAATATTACAGGTCCTCCTTTCAACTATTTCAAAGTAAACGAAGCGATGCTACAATAAATAAATTATTTCGAGAAATCTTATCAATCTTATTCAGATATTTAGCCTCCTATTTAGTTTATTTTACCAATTAGCAATCGCCTAACACAGAGAATCTTCGCTAAAAGCATTTAGAATAAAATAAATGCCGAATAATAGAGCGAAAACTCTTCAGGATTAAAGGATAACTGTAGCTACTTTCGATCGAGTCACCTGCATCGCGTCTGATGTAGAAAGAAGCGCTAGAACCGAGGTAAGCCTCATTTCGTTTCACTGCGGTCGCGTAACGAACAGCTGCGGTTTCTCTTATTGTTGAAAGGAAAGCTCTACTTTGTAAGGGACGAAGGTATCCTCGTCTTTTGTATTCTTAATCGTTGTTTGCCAGTTCATACAAGATAGTAGGAAAAATCATGAGCGCTCGGTGGCGCCACCGTGACGTCATCTAGTGTGGTTTTCGTCAAAAATTATGTGGAAAGCTTGTGGATTCGACATAATGCGCGGCAGACATTGGGGATCAAAGCAATAATTTTTCTCTTCTACTTTCGATAGTGCTTCTATGGCTACAGTGCCAATTTAAGGCAAGAACGAGGTTGTTCAAATAAAACTTCTTTTTTTTTGCCTAAAGACTGCAAAAAAATAAATCCTACCAGTTTCTCATAAATCTATCATTTTTAAGAACGATATTGCAATCAGATTCAAATTTCTTCTGTTCTTTCTTTGCTAGAATCGGGCCAAATAGAGATCTTTCAGCGAGTTGCAATTTTCTTCAAGTGACTAGATTAACCCCGACCCCTTGGTTAAAAGACATAAGCACCTTCAAGCCGTTTTCTTCAGCTTTTTATTTATTTCGAAAAATAAAAACTATTCGTTCGAGTGAGCTTTGCGATTATGTTGCGATTTATCGGCAAACTTAATTTAAAATTGAGTTATCAGACGTTCTTGTCTTGACGTTGGCTCGAACAAACCGTGAAATTATCTTTAGTATACGTCACTATCTTTTTCTTCAAGGATGATTACCTTGCGAAGTTCTTAATGCGAACAATATTTGAAATATTGTATTATTATAAAACTTGGTTGCACTGTATTAATTCTGCAAAATAGAAGATATCGTAATTAAACAAGGCGCCTGCTGAATATCAAATTTGCTCAATTCTTGAGAGTTTGTATATTTCCCCCATGTGTAGGAAAAATCATATCAAAAGAAACTTGCCCTGAATATAATTGAAATGATGAGTTTTGTAAAATGTATTTTTTATGCGACTTAGAGGTGAAATTAAAACAAACAAAATTTGGTTGAGTTAAGAAAAACGCCGCATTTCAGGGTCGATAATATAATTTACGCACTTTTTCGTTTTCTTTCATAAACATCAAATATAATGGCAGTTTCGGAAATATTAAATGGTGCCAAGAGAAAGCGAATCTGCTCCCAACTGGCTAGTGAGAATTTTATGAATTTGAACTCTCCAGCTTCCACCTTCGCAAAAGACTGGTTCGGAATTTGCTCACCGGAAATCCCGTTTCAGAACTGGTAAACAGGGCAGGTGATATTTTGGGCACGGTTTTTACGTAGCATGATACATTCGCGGTTTTAATTCGAAATAAATTAAACACCCTTGCTCTTTCTCAGTTTTGTGAGTTTTGTTATATCCTAACTAACTAACTTGGAGCCAGTCCAAAATAAGCAAGTGATGCACCTAAATTTTGAGTGCTTATCGAATCCTTTCTCTGCGAAAGAATATTCAAGTCTCGCAGGAGTGAGAAATCGACCGTAAATGAACTTTGAATAGATAAGTTTCGTGGTTTCGTGAGACGTCAACGAGGGTGCGGAATGAAGAACAGTTGATGGATTCACTTTTTAGTTGTGCTTGGATGCAGAGGGCCTAAGGAGAAAAATTATTTTTCGTTTCGACTTCTCTCATACCATAACCGTAACTTGGCAGTCCATGATGTCCCTGAGGCAGCAGCCCAGGACTCGTGTAGGTCATGTGCGGGTGGACACCGTGTGGTTTTAGAGGAGAACCAGGTCGTGCTGGGTCTCTCGCTAGTCCAGATTTAGTTTCCAGCCTGAACATGGACCGTTAGGGACAAACGGACCCTAAGAGTCGGTTTCTGACCTCGGTTTTGCTACCGGTGGTTGGAACGGTGTCGTTGGCAGACCAGTGAGGGGGAAAGAATAGTGAGCTACTAAATTTTCAGTAATAAATACAACATTTCACTATTTATTACCTGTTGTTGGGACAACAGAGAACCCAGGAATAGCGGGGACATGATGGTATTGCCTAGGCATGTACTCGTTTGGTGCGTATGGCATCTGGGCATACGCTGATAGCGGCATCTAAGATGAGTAATGGTTAGTCTTCGTTGTCTGCATTAATAGTAAATTACCGCTCCAGGACTCGAAACTGAGTGTTTGTCCTTGCCAGACTTTGCTGGAAGTGGCTTTGTTTCTTGTTTTGTAGGTTGGATTGTAGCCGTTGGTTTGTTTCCGTCTGTCTGGTGACTCTTCGGCCTGGGTCCGAGAGCTGAGTGTCGTTGTTCGGCCTTCTCTGTCTGTGAAAATACTGTTAGTAAGAGCACGATAAAGCTTGAATATACCTCAACGATCTTTCCATCGTTTTTTGAAGCAAGTTTCCTGGAGTCATCCTTTTTCTCGTCACTAAAAGCAAATGAACAAAAAGTTTTCCCTCAGAAATGCTTACCGATTGATGAGAAGATGACTCTTCATGGATGGATTAGAAACTGGGTAATTTGAGTACAGCACAGATGTCATCTCTTCCTGCACCTTTGGAATCTTTTCGTCTTTAGCCTTCGCGTTTTGAGGAGACTGAGGAGGTGCTTCGTCACCTGGGTCCGAAATGTCAGAATACGCAGACGGCGAGACTCTTAATTATTTATTAATCATTTTCGCCCTTAAAAATTTATTCCTCACCTTGCGCATTGACTAGGACTCTCGTTTTCCGGCTTAACTGGCTGGAATGGGGATGTGGGGCGCCTTTCCAGTTTTGGAGGAATCTCGGCGGCTCCTATCGTTGTCGGCGAAACCTGGCTTCTTGAAGGATCAATGACTAGGGAAGTGGATGGAACTGCGTTTTGCGCAGTTGGTACGCTAATTGGGACGTTTGGATCTGACTGTACAACGGACGATATAACGGATGGGGCGATTGTACTCGTTGGTTCGGTGGTCTTCGGCGAGGTGGAATCAGTTGCTGCAGTAGTGCCGTTTATCATTTCCAATCCACTCTCATCTAGGGAGGGAGAAAGTTGGTTCGGCCTTCTTGGGATGGGCGACGGAGCGTTATTTCCCAAGCTTAGTCCTGGCTTTGGCGTTAACACTGGCATGGGTGGCAGGCTGCTAGCTTGACTAGATGTGGGTTGTTTCTGAAGGAGCGGTGGCGGTGGAGCCACAACGTTTTCCACGCTTTGGGGGCGACCTAAAGACAAATGTTCTGACTTGCTCAGCTCACCACTAGATGCTCACCTTTGGAGCCCTTCGTTAAACTTGGCGGCCCAGTTCCACCGTCTTTTTGGTCACTTAATTGGCCCAATGCGGCCAGTCCTAGCGCTGCATTAATTTCGTTGTCGCTTTTATCGCCTTTGGAGTTTTCTTGATTTTCTTTTTTATCTTTTTTCTTTTGTTCCTTTTCGGTCTCTGCTGTTTTCCTCCGATGCTCATCAATGTGATATTGTAAGGCTTCTTGCTTTCTGAAGATAACTTTAAGGTGAATTCTTCCTTGATTTCAGTAGGATATGTGCAGAAGCTCAAAAAATATGACTACGTACAATTTGATGTAAATTTTATCAGCTTATATGAACCCGAAAAGTATCCTAAAATGCGCAACTCAGTCATTTGACATCTTTTGACTATTGTAAATACGAGAATGTCTACATTGTAAATAACGAGCGTAGTCTCGCAGGTCTTATAATACAACAAAGAGCCCCGTGTTCATTCAATGATTAACTGGTCGATAAGGCTTAAATTGAAAATTCAAATTAATACTGAAGCACTGATTTTTCCGCGTTGGTGTCCTTGTGTATGAAATTACTTACTTGAACTTTTTATGGCAGTCTTTGAAATGGCAGGCGAGGGATTGTACAGCTGAGCTCCCTTCAGCCTCCGATTTTTCTTTTTCAGAATTTTCGTGAACTGGCGTTCCCCGCCCATTCGTCGTTCGGGGTTTTTTTGGTCCAGGTTTACCATTATCTGTATCAGAGTTTGGCTCAGGCTCCTAAATGCGCTCATTATTAAATAATAAAAGATCTATTATCATTAAACTGGGTAATGTGGAAGACAATAGGCTATCCTTCACATGGATTAACTGTTGATCCCTATACAAATTTGTCGAACAAAGAGTTATTCACTTCCGCACGAAAAAGTTCTACGATGCGTAAAATTATCTTTTTGTTTATTTTTCATTGCAAAGAAAGCGATTAATAGTGAAGCGCTCATTCAATATTTGAAAAAGCGAGTCAAGAAGAAACCCGTCATGAAATAACTTACTCTCTTGTTCTTCCGGCCAGCAACGGGAGCAGTGCCGTTTTCTCCTGGGCGTGAGTTGCGGCTATTCTTTACTGGTTTTTGGCGTCCTTTTCGGCGGCCGGGCTTTGTTCCATCATCGGTTTCACCATCGATGCCGAGTCTAAATCGGATGATATAGTTGGATGTTCCGCGCATTTATCACATTTTCATCGATATTAAACATTAGATAATTATAATAACCTCGGAGGTGCCCAATCATGCTTTGAAGAGTCAAGAAGTGTTCCAATATAGCTCCGATTGCGCCAGGTTACATTAACAACGACCATCCCTTAATGATGACATGAGAGAAAGGCCAATATATATGTTCACTGAGCGTGTTACACCAAACGCTCCGAGTCAGATTAGTTTCGAGAACAACCAGAACCAAACGGGCTCAGGATGTTCCCTTGGGGGAGTTGGTGCCTCAATTCTTAATGAAATTACCATCAGTCTCATGCCAGATGATACCAGATAAATGCACCTCGGTTCCAGTTTCGCAAGGCGCTAGAATTTCAGCTTCCGTGATTGTCTCCGCGTCCTTTGTAGCCACCTTCTTAAAATATTATTGAAATTTAAATTCGAAGAAATCGAAGGCGCCGTAGCGCAACACGTCACATGAGGGATGTAGAAAATTGCCTGTAGAGTTCAAATACACTACTCAAGTAGAGCGCGTGAGAAAGTGTGATCAAAATTGGAACACAGATTGCCTGAGTGCCCAACTCGACAAACAAATCACTTGAAGCCCGTCTCCTCAAATACTATTGTGCCTTTAAGAGTCAATTGTCTGCCCACAGTGCGCATAATCATGTCCTAAACGAGCCGCATATATTTTCGCAGCTTTACTGAAGACAAAATACCGGATTGAGGCCTTCAAGTAGGGATTAAGTTTCGAGTAAATCATTAAAATTGAAAGCCGAGCCGGTGAGAACAGGATCGCTCGTCTATGTCCTCTTTCGAAAAGAAAAGAAACAAAGTAATTTTATCGATCTTCGTGGACAAATTCTCAGTCGGATTTCCGTAGTTAAATGTTACGTTAGCCATAAGTTGTAGCCCATAACCTTTTATTGATTTAAATGCTATTCAGAGAGTATACGCCATAAATACGAGTGAGGTGATAAAAATCCATGACTGGGACACAAACAATAGCGAAACATAATTCATTGATTCATTTATTATCACTCAATCGCCATATCCTTTTCAATACCGTTACAATTCGGATATTATCTACTAAAGTGAGAAAAGTACGAGTGAGACTTATTGAAGACGATTTCTGTGTCAACATCTAATTTATTCACAATTAAAGTTTAATCCATAACCTTCGCCGTGTTAAATTAATTCATATGTTGGCTGATAATTGGCTCCACTTGTCCCATGGGACAAAATCAAAGCTCCTGGTTAAGATATTTTCTGTAGCTCTCCCCAGAGGCACCACTCATCCCTAGTCAGCTTTAATTGTAAGTTTAGTATTATCTTTAATGGCAAATAAAAACGCTTCCGCAATCAATCAAGATCGTGCGCAATTAATCAATCATTAACTTAAACCCTGTCGCGAATAGACAATTCGGCAAAGGGCGAGAAAAGATAAAACATACAGTTCTATCTAATCGAAAGGGATGCGCACGCTTTGAAGGTTGATCTTAGAAGATCAGATATGTTGGCCGAGATACGTCGAGTGGAAAAAAGAGTCTAAGCGAAATTTCTGCTCCGATGGATTATGAGGGGCGACCTCAAATCTTGATTTACAATCGGTTCTGCTGTAGGGATGAGATAATAAATCGGGTGGGGAGCGCTCAAGTTCACTCTCGTTTTGATAAGAATACATGTTTCGCCATTAATAATGGCCCATTATTATTAATTTGCTGCTGGGTATCAGTTTGATCTTTTTATAGGTGGATCACTCTCAAGTGCACTCTCCCGTGAGAGATGAGGTAAACACACAGACACATATCCGCGGCGATCTTGAGTCGATCTCGATTTGTCTCTGATCTCGGGCTGCGGGCTCTCACAATGAAATAACGCGTGTTTGTTCATTGCACATTGGACTGGCTTACCTTCTTGGAGTCGGCATTGCCGTCCGTGGCTTTGGGAGCAGATGAACCATTCGCGGCGACCTGCGCCGCGTTCAAGGCCTCTTTTCCGGTAACTGACGTTTTGTTCTTGGCCTTCGGTGGCACCTGCGGGCCGCCACCAGCTGAGCCAGAATTCTGCGCGGAATTAGGAGAGGCCGAAGCGCCACTTTTCTCACTTTTCTTGTTCTCCAAGTTACTCCCTGCCACTTCGCCTGAACCCCAGTTTTAAATTTATGGTGTTTGGCGAGAGTACCTTGGCTGCTGGACGTTTTCTTCCTCTTGGACGGTGGCGAGGAGCTCTCTACTTGTGCTGCTCTCTGCTCTGCGGTGGGAGTGACGGTCGACGACTTGTTGGAAGATGCACCTTGTGCGCTCGGTCGGTTTTTCGCCGATTTCAAGTGCGCTGGAGCCGAGTTTTGTTTTGGCTCCCGCATACTCGCGCTCGCGCCGCGTAGGTTACTCCCGCCTGTCCCAACGAAACCGCCCTTTTGCGCCGCGCTTTTGACCTCAGAACGGGCTCAGAACACGAAATTCTCCGACACCTCAGACTGCACACTTCTGTTACCTATCCCAAATCCCCCGTGCAAACTGCAGAAAGCCAAATGCCTCGGTAAAATAAGAGAGTTGATCCAAGAATGACGCTTCCCAGACTGAGACAAAAGGAAGATAACATCCAATTTCAGCACTTGAGATGTTATCCGCTCCCAGCGCGAGATATTTCCCTTAGCTCTATATAATTCCCGAATAAAATTAAATTCAACTATTGCTAGCAATATGAATAATATTCTAAAAGCTTTGAATCATAGACTTAGGAAGGAAATCTTGACTAGACAGGTAATTCTTAATTGAGTATCGAGTTATTTGGGCGAGTTTATCGCGGCTATAAAACGAAATTTTATTTTTCTACGCTGTAAAATTAATCAAGCACGAGGTGGCTGTGCAAATATGCGCTCTTGAGAGAGAGTACGCGAAAAAGAGAGAGAGCCCCTTTTATCTGTTTCGCGTGTTTTACGTCCGGCTATGCATGATTGTGAGCCCGTGCCTTGTGCGCACCATCGCCGTTCTCGAGACCCTTGTTTTGGCTCTTGAGGGCTTTGGCGTTGTTTGTCGTCTCGTTTTCGTTGTTGTTCTTGGTACTGCCGAAGGCGCTCGCATGGTTCACCTCCTTCTGCTTCTCGACGGCGCCTTGCTTCGACTTGCTGGGCTCGTTGACTCCCCCGAGTTCTTGGAGTTCATTTTCTGCGAGCTGCTCAGTTGAGAGTTGTGAGGCCCATCGATTTGCGCATCGATGTCAATTATGAGCGAACCGACCGCGAACGAACAGCTATCATTCGAGTCCTCGCTGCGATAAGGGTGCCAGATGGTTTTCCCCGTTTTCCACTTACTCGTTCTTTCCCTTGGCATTTCCCTACTATGATCGATCGAAAGCAATAAAAGGCGCTCAAGGCACAGGAAGCTAATAATAGAGCTTTTTACTCTAATTGATCCATCCTGTCATCAAACACAACAGTAATAGTTCTCGCGCTCCTACCTACAGATATTATTCCGCAGATATCGAAAGAAGAAAGATGTTGCGAGTTGATGGTATCGCCATCATTTGTCTAGACGCTTTTAGTTGCCTCTGCGCTAGATCGAATAAAAAGCTCTAAAAGGGGATAGGGGCTGGACTGACTACCTCAAAAGTAGTCTTAATAAAGCGGGTTTTCTTTTTGTTTCTGTTTAATATCTGAGCACGGTCCACACATCTTGAGCGAAACAGTGATCTGCCCGCCCCTATGAAGGAAGAATCGATTTTGCGTGTGAGCGACATAAATCGTCAGAGCCTGATATTTTCAGCCAGGAAATTTGAATAAAAAATGGAAACCGAATAATTAAGATAAAAATAAAGAGAAAGATAGGCTAGCTAACAGTTTAAGAGGCCCTTGTCGCTTATTCAATAACCATAAATGGTAGAGCACTTCTTTCTTTTTGTTTTTCTAATCACATTTTGAAATAAGGGAAGATCAGGGCGGAAGTAAATAGAGCTTGACCTGCTTAGCCGAAAAGAAATACTCTTGGCGTGCTCAAGTGGACTTAGAAATCGTGCATCAAAGCGTAAATCAACGTGCTCGCGGTTTATTTATATTGCAAGAGATAAAATGTAACTTTATGACGTCGTAATATTAAGTTTATCGACTTCAGAGGTGATTTATGGGCGCAGATGGTACTACTCCGTGAATTATACTAAGAACGAGGTCTCTTCTTAAAGGCTTTTAAAGATAGATTCATCTGACTACGCATGTTCTCGGCAAAGAGTACATCGCTTCGTAACCTATTTTTATCCTACGTGCCAAAACACGAGATCCATTTTCCTTTTATTTTGTATCCGTTATCCACGAGATTAGGATTTGGCCCGGTGGTGTTTTCGGAGCGAGCGCACCACACCATTTTTTGTACTGTATGGTGCCGAGTCTGGTGGAAATGCCCCCAAAGTCTAGTACTCGTACAATGCCGAGAGAGCTATAATCGGGTAATCTTTCTTTTAGCTGCATCGAAATAACTAAAAAGTGATTAGACGGCGGTTCTTGGTGCTACAGATGCTCAACAGTCAACCCACGCGGGTAACTCAAGATGGGACGCCCCTGTTACTGTATCTAACACAAATAAAGCCACAAGACGTACCCTCTGACGAGCACGAGGAAGGGTAAGATTAACACTACTGTGCGCGTGGGGTCAGAGGTTACCCACAAAGGCTGACCTGATCAGGACCTGCCAGCACTTGCCAAATTCGCTTAATTCTCACAACGCAGCGCAAATTACGCTGTACCGGCCTTCGATAAAATCCCTATTCTGCAGAAAGGAAAATTAACAAACGAATAAAAGCGAGCCCTTCAAAAATGTTATTTTTTGGGAACGTATAAAATGTAAAGGAAAGTTTTTCGGGGCGATCGTTATTGCTGAAAATCAAATTTTTTTCTTGTTTTGATTAAGGTCAATAAAACTGGCACCCAAGCCTATCACTCATCGAGCCGATATCCGTTCTGATAGCAGATCATCATTTAAACTTGGCTTTGTGGTAATCTGAAAGTATTAAAAACATAAGTTTCTTTCCATTTTCTCGAGAGATAGCATATCGGCGAATTATCATAATCGCAAGCATTCCTTCTAGCGTCAAGAAAAAGATGGATCCCTTTCAATTTATTAAGCGACTTGATAATAAGCCTATCTTATCGAGTGATAACACGTTGCGTCTGGCCGAAAGAGAAGTTCCACAGTTAATTTTACTTTTATTGGCAAGTTTTCTACTAAAACTGAAAGCGCTTTGAATAAGTGGCCGCGCGCGCTGTGAATAGATTAAGGGTTGACGGGAGTTATTACAGTATTTGATCTCTTTGACTTGGTGTAACGCGTCATGTAGTTTTGGATGAGTCCGAGTTGAGCTGAGCGCGGCGCCCGCGAGCAAAATCGCCCGCCGGCAGCCCGAAATTGCGATAGACGGACACTTACTGGAGAAAATACTGTCTCTGGCACAACCTGTAATTATTCATGTCCGCTATAAGGGAGGATGAAGACGCAGTGAAAGCACCCATATAAGCTAATAACTTAATTAATCTAGTCGCGAATTCAGCAATAAATCGCATCGTGTTTTGAAAAAACCTTCTTTCGGAGGATGACTGTATAAAACTGTGTTTTGTTCGTAATTTTACCTTCAACGGGTGATTTTCAGTGGATCTTCTTCAATAAGCTCTCTAGGTTCCTTTTTCTTGAATAATCTCTCTGGTTTATCAAGTTGATGAAACGTTGAGTGGTTCAAAACGGCCAGTTCAACGTCTATTCGAGCAAAATAGATTTCTCAAACGCCAAAAAGGGCAAGAAAAGTGAAATAAGCTGAAAAAACGAGGGGCGCCCGAGAGCAGAATGAGAGCAGCGAGCAATCTGAGACTCCTCGGGCTCCGTAATCGCGCTCCAGTCTCTTCCGTTGTGGACCGAACTTCACCCCTCAGGCATCTTAGGCACACTCCACACTTCTTTGGCGTCCCTGGCAATTTAAGAGCCGAACAGTTGCGGATGCTGCGCTTCTTGATATCGTCACGTTAAAAACTTCTGTGCTATCGAGTCGGTAGTATCGACGTTGAGAATTTTAAGTAAGCAACTTTCACTGTATCCAAGGAAGATCGGCTGGCTTTGCTAGACTTTTTGCGTGGAGCAAATAAATTTCGAGTTAAGAGAGTTAAGTAATGAGCTGTCACACGTATCTCCCAAAAAACAAATTGACTCTAGCAGAATGAGAATGACAACACCAACTGATAAACAGTCGATAGCGACGTCCTCGAACCTCTTATTCATTTGTTAAATTTCATCTTTTAGAAGCGAAGGGGGATTTTTCAATTGTTTTGCTTGACTTTTGAAATAGCGGGAAGTGTACTCTGGAACTGGGAGGAAGCACAAAAGTTCAATGATTTTATCGTTATGCGATGAATACTAAATTACACATATTTGCCATGCGCGGTTTGTTTGAAGTTGATTGCCCTACAAATATGATCTCGAGTTTGCCCCTAGATATCCGCTCCTTGTCAAATTTAACTCACGACAAAGAGGTTTACGAGTTCTCATAAAGTTTTCACTCAGAATATTCACAAACAGCGGCTCTTTCTCCCTCCCAAAATGTCGCTGTCAAAGTTCATTCATCGCTGCTTTGTGCGTTTTTATATTAGCTAATTTAGCGCTAGTTTTTTTTTTTGCTTTTCGGGCGCGTAGTAATTACTACTCACGTGAAGTGGGGCGATGTGATGGAAGTCAGTGGGCGCCTGGCGTTGCTTTGAACCTGGTGAACGGTTGGCAGCGCGCCAGACCGCATCATGAGCCCTTCTCCTCCTCCGCCCAACGCCACCGTTGGGAACTGTTACGCACCCTCTCGAAAGCGCCTCGCGTAGTACCGCGCCTCGTCTCAATCCGATTACTTAAAAGCTGCCGTTTTGTCCTTGTTCAGTCGCATTGCTAGTAGCACCATCTTGCCCAATTTATACAGTATATAATATACTGGATATTTGGACAGTTCGATTGAATATCTGTCTGATTGGTAAGGTGCTTTGTTAGAACGCGTCATTAAATTATTGTCCCTTTGAGCAAGCTGCGGGGCGATTACTCTCACTCTCCTCTCGAGCACGGCGCACAGTAATCCGGCCCCGTTTCCCAGCGCAAATAGTTTTAACGAGACAAATAGCTAGCAAACTACCCAACTCCCGTAGCCAGAACAAAACATAAATCTCATAAAACGCCTAAAATTAGCAAAAATTGAAGATAACTATTATAATTCTTCTTCCTATCTATAAATCAACGATCAAACGTTCGAGCGATAGACAAAGAGCACTATTATAAACCGAGCTCTCGAGCCGACCCAGTTAACCTGTCGAGGACCCACCGGAACACTCAACCGTGAAGAGCACTAGAATGCCGATTCAGCTAGAATCGAAATTGTCTAGAGAGCGGCAAGCCGAGAAGAGTTTGCACTACTCGTGAAGGTTGAGGACCGCGCTCGCGAGCGCTATCCTGTCGTCTTGAACATTTATTTAATAAAAAGTCACGGTTCCGCTCATAATCCCCACAGCAGCCGTATTATTCTAATGATTTTCATCTATTTTATAATTTTCTGCGACGTTTCCGAAGTCGACAGTTATTTTTGCATTACGAATCATAAAATTCGTTCGACTACGAGACTCGACTACATTTCTGAATTCTAGTATATCTTTTGCCACGGTCATCGTCCATAGAATATCCTGTTTGGGACACCTGGACAGCGTTGGGCGCTGGAGGCGAATTTCCACCGCTAGTTCCGCGCTGGCTACTTGACGAAATTGACAGACGTTAAATACCTTTGCCAGCGCGGGAGGATTATTTGGGGTAAGAGGGACTCGTCTGCCCTGCTATCCGGCGGGTGACCAGAATGGCCGGACCAAGCGGGTGACAAGTCCGCCCTGGCCGGACTGCCCTTCTCCGCAGGTGACTGCGAGTCTCGGTGGGAAATTGCGAAGTGACCTTACAAAATCTTGATCATAAGGGTGTTCCGACAGTGCAGCTTATCTGCACTAGGTTCATTTTTCAGAGGATCAAGAGCATTTTTCTTCAAAAATTTTCAGGAAAAAGGCTATTTATACAAAAACGAATATGAAGATTCCGAAAATCGAGGTAATAACTTCTGAAAATGAAAGTTTCTTCATGAAAACATGCATCAAAGAACATCCTCTTCTTATCTAATTATATAACAGCTGTCTTATGATCTTCTTTCCTGTTTAAATTTCCTTTAATGTTCTTCCAGCTGATCTTCTGACACTTATTCTTACCGTCACGGTGAAAACAAGTGAGCTGTACGCTATCTTTGTAAACGCTCCTGACTGTAACTTGATTACTGGGATGTGGCAAAATCTCTGAGCCTGCTTTACCAATTGGCAAAGCTTTTTTGAGTTTCGAAAATATCTCACTCATTTCTGATTGAACGAGAAGGAGAGAACAATTAAATAGCTTTCCGTTAGGTGGAAACATAAACGAAGCATCTGTAATTACTCCGACAAAGTCAGAAGATCAGCTGGAAGAAAGTTAAAGGAAATTCAAACAGAAAAGAAGATCATAAGACAGCTGTTATATAATTAGATAAGAAGAGGATGTTCTTTGATGCATGTTTTCATGAAGAAACTTTCATTTTCAGAAGATATTACCTCGATTTTCGGAATCTTCATATTCGTTTTTGTATAAATAGCCTTTTTCCTGAAAATTTTTGAAGAAAAATGCTCTTGATCCTCTGAAAAATGAACCTAGTGCAGATAAGCTGCACTGTCGGAACACCCTTATGATCAAGATTTTGTAAGGTCACTTCGCAATTTCCCACCGAGACTCGCAGTCACCTGCGTAGAAGGGCAGTCCGGCCAGGGCGGACTTGTCACCCGCTTGGTCCGGCCATTCTGGTCACCCGCCGGATAGCAGGGCAGACGAGTCCCTCCTGACTCGGATTATTTCCATATCGAGGTCGGTCTAAACCAGCAGGGCGAAACGGGCGCACACAAACTCTAGCAGGGCAAGAAGAGTCCTTCTCCTCGAGTACCGGAAACTGCCCTCCCTTTTCTCCGAAACGCATTCTTCGCCGAGTTCATATCTACAATCACACGTTTGTTTGAAGAGCCATTACTTTTGAGAGTTTGCTCTTCTTAGGAGTCCGCGATTCACTCACTTTTATGCTCCCTGTTTGCTCATCCGTTTTCGTTTCGTATACGCGTCGTGTGTGTCCTTAAACTCCGCCGGAACTCTTAACTTCTGTTTAGCATCCTTTTGGCATTTGCGGCAGCGCATGAAATTTTCTGCGATAAGATTTCATTTCGATTTGGTAGCTTGATCTGGCACTTGGCCAGGCGCGCTCAGAAGACACTCGGGAATATAAATTATTCATCTCATTGTCAATGGCGCTCGCCTCAAGGGTGTGCAGAGCGATTATTTTAATACAACACTTGAGTGCGGTCGAGTGCGATTTTCAAAGTCGCGAAACACAAAAATTAGGGAATGGCTATGGCGACATTCAACAAATATTTACAAGTGTTAAGCTCCTCTTTTAGACAAAAGTACCCTAAACGCAAGGGGATTAGCTTGAGCGCCCTACCCATAAATATTGATACTGCCGATATATAAATATTTTTGAGCCACAAGTCGATTCTTACTCATTCGAAAAGGTTTCCAAGTGCGAACGATTTAGGACCGGGCTGTTTGTTATTGATAGCGGGCTTTATTTTTAAATGAGATATTTTGTTATAAAGGAAATAAGAAGCCGGAAGCTGATTCTGCGCCGGGAGAGACGTCTTGACGAGAAGGTCAATATTTGAGAGAGGGAAAGAGTCTGTTCCGAAAGACTATTCATTTTACGACACGATAGATGTCAACCATTAACAAACATGTACACAGCGATCTGAGGCCACTACTCCGAAAATGGGGAGGATATTTAATTCAGAATAATTAGGGCGGCGAGAAAAGGAGTGTTGACATTGCGACGCACCCGGGGGAATGGCCGCCGCACATATTCTGACAAGAATTATCGAAACCGTATCAGCGCTGTTGTGCTCTCACGCAAATAGAATCTGAACTCAACGGCTACTTAGAGCACCGTGCTAAAAATTCGCACCGCATCGCAGTCGAAAATTTTGGAAAATGTACATCCCTGATCGCACCCAATTAAATTTCAAGATTTCAATTATGACCCTACGAATGGGTGATTGTAAATCACCTCGCCCTCTATTAATTCGCAAGGGTTCGAACTTAAGTCTGGCCGATAGTTTGTAATGTAAACATCTTGATTCACTGTCGGGCGACTTTACTGTAGAAGCGAAAAAGCTCTGCGCAAATGAACTGCGAAAAATCGAAACTGTTACTTCTCTTCTCGTCAAGTTTACAGCTCTTAGCACCTACCATTAGTACTCGTCTAACGCGACTGACGATCAACAGGTCAAAAGCCCCCTTGAAATGAGTTTTTTCTGTTATTACAATGGTAAAATAAATAACTAGAACTCCTCCAAACCGAAAGCTGTAACTTGGTTTGGACATACTTTTTAGTAAACAAGAAAAAGCATACTTGCGAAAATACCGGTAGTGGCCTTTGGGAAAATGGTATGTGAGCGATAATAATTGCTCAAATATTTAGAGAGCCTTGGAACATGGTAAACTTTTGGGCTCCTCGAGTTGACGACGTAGGGATATGCTTACGCAGCGCCAGTAAATTACTGTAGCTCTATCCGCTTTATCAATTGCTCAAACGATCAGCTTATTTTTCGATGGATGTTTGCCCGAGATCGATTTGGTTTTCATAGTTTATGCTATCTGTAAAACTTTTACAGTGCAAAGGAGTGCAGAATACAGAAATGGCTGAGAAAAGAAAATCTAGTCTTGAATCGTGTTAATCGTGCAGATACTATTTGACTGAAAATGTGATTTGCTCAAAGAGTGCTGAGCGGGCGCGGATTAGAGTTGGCTTATCGTTGATCCGTGCGGATAATCAAAGCACAAAATATGTTTGCCGAGAAAAAACATCTTGTATTTATGCGTCTTTCCCTTATCAAGAATGACCTCTTAATATAATCAGGAGAACTTGACTGGCTAGGTGCTTTTTACTAAATAAGGAGCGACAGTGTTTATTTATTCTGTTTGGGACGTGTGATGTTAATAAATGATTGCATGAGCATTCATACTCGCGATATAGAAGTAATTTATTCATAAGCTTGGATTAATTATTTACAGTATATTCCCTCGAGCAGAACAGCTAGAGAGAAGTCTTCGAAGAAAAGATCCAAAAGAGATCGCGGGCTCCCTCTCTCAGCGCACCCAAGCGGGCTCTTTTCTTTCGTTTGACGGCAGCGTAATAAATACTATTTGCAGTAGACTTTCGATACTACTATCTCGCGAAAACTTTCATAGTGAAAAGAATACCCACGTTTAGCCCTCACTGTGTTAAAAAACTTATCTTCATCTTTGATATCAAGACTTAAGATTTTAAATAAGATTCGGAATACATGTCATTTACGGCAGAGTAAACGAAAAAAGTTATAGTTAGGCTCTTAAGATGTGAGCTCAACTAAATCGCCAGATCATTAACTAGAACTTTAGTTCGTTAACGATACTAAAAAAAAGTAATCGATTAAAAAAGGAGTTCCGTAAAAATCAATTACTTATCAAATTTTGCAACTACTATTTTGGGATCCAGAACGGACGAATTTGGAAAGACTTCAGTGCAACAAAAGAACATTGATAGGGGCTCAGGGCACTAGAAAATAGTATTATATAAATGAATAAAATATATATATCTGGTCTAAAAGTTGTTATGGTAATTCATCGAAAATAGAATTGAAATTTGAGTAAGTACCGTAATGGGAGATTATGAATCTCTCACTTTATTGCGCTCGTTAAATGTGTTTACAGTAAACATGGCTCAAAAACCGCATTTTGTGCCGCGTCACGCGAGGCTGGCGTCCCGTCCGTTCGTTTTCTTTTCTACTCCGTGGCCTCCCTAAGCAACGCTCCCGACTTACCCTAGCAAACACGCTCATCGACGAAGCCCAATTAATTCGAGATCTATGTGAATTCGGAATAAATGAACTCTCATCGTCACTTTTTTGAAATCGGATTCAACTTGCTTTTTTAACTTTTGGGTAATATTATTAAACCCGTTCCTAAAAAGCTCGTCCGAGTCCGGTCTGGGAACAGACAGTTGTAATTTCTGAAGGCAAACTAATCGTTTCCACGAAATATAAAGTTTTGGTTATTAAATGCCTTTTTCATTATTATATCATATAATTTAAATGAGAAGACGGCAGCTTGGGAGCGGCCCATTGGTGCAATTTACGAGTAAAAGTATATTTTGATAAATGTGGGCGTTTTATTGCTCACTACCGGTGGCGGACGATGATACATAGCGCGGTTCTTATTGCGCTAGGTGGGTCAGTTCTATTTCCTACATCAGCGATAAAGTCTCTTATCACTAATCCGGGTATCGAATAATAAGAGCTGTTGTTTACACCTCAAATAGATATCGGCGATAAAAGGGGCTTTACAATATCTTTAGCTTGCCCCGTTCTTTGGCAATCATTAAAGAGTTACAGAGTAACATTATGAAAGTTTTCCCTGTAAAATTTACAGTTCTCAAGAGGCGGTTAAGACGAAGTAGCGGATTTTTGTAATTGTTAAACCCTCAATCGGGTGAGATTTTGTTTGATTTGTGTGGAGACCAGACGACCGCTTGGATAGTAGACAAAACTTGAGAGTCGTAGAATAAAAAAGCGGAAGAGATCAAAAGCTCAGCTGAGCAGCAGTTAACGCTGTTCAGGTGCTAGAAACAAATAAAGAAGAGACCCAGAAATAATGAAGTTTCATAAGGAATTGAGGCGACAAATACTCCAGCATGCACCAGAGTGGAGAAATGAATTTTTAAATTATGCGAAGCGGATTTTCGAGCGGCAAAGAATTGATGATATTTAAAAAAAAATGTATAGAAATCCGCCTGATAGAACGTTTCCGGGAGGAGAATTTTATTCAGTCTCCTTTTTATATTCAGGTTGCCGGTGCAAGCGTCTAGCCCTAATTACTATTATTTAAAACTCTCCGCCTTGTTGGAAGAAGTGAAATGTAAATTTTTAGTTTGCGTAGATCAATCGTAAAACAAAGTCATAGCTGTCGAAACTCTATTCTCGTACTTAAATTTTGCGAGCGGCAATAAAGAATTTAAAGGACGAAATGTCAAATTCAATAAGATTCTTTATGGACAGATTGGGCTACATTCAAACAAGACTTGAGCACTTAGACTCCGTGTTGCTCTGGGTCTACCATCGTCTACTGACTGAGTGGTTGCTCGCTCTCCATAGCTGAGACCTTGTAGACCCAAGTTAAGGCTACTTTATACAACAACAAAGAGGCTTTAAACGAGGCTAAGTCCACTCAAAATGCACAGAAAACTTGTGAGTGGCTTTCAAGTTCGATTCCGGAACTTTATCTGCTTACAAAGGTAAACTACCGAACTTAGCTAGTTATTGATTCGAGGAGAAACTGGAATTGTATCGCACCCTGAACATCGAGAGTTTCCGCAAGTTGCTGAAAAAGTATGACAAGCGCAGGGGAAGCACAGACGGATGGAACACTTTTGCTCGCTTCACTTTTCCGTTAAGCGACGCTGCGGCTAGCATTCTTGAGAATCTGGAGCAGAAAATGATCAAACTTCTCGGCGATCGTAAACGCGCGATGACGCTGCTTAGAGTGCCCGGACTTTCTTCACAAGGAAAGGTCAAACTCAGTTTATAATCGAACGCGCCTTTTGTAAACAAAAAAATTCGAAATTCATGCTCTTCATACGGAGGCAGTTTATTGCTGTCAAAAGCGACGGTTAAAAGAATCAAGCATAAAACTGTACGCAGCTTGTAAATTTTGTGCGTCGCGATTTGCGTTTTCAACACTAAAGAAGGTAATATTTGACCTGGTGATGGAGTCGAGAAGTGCGATTGCAAATCGCTTCTTATCACTGGATTTATGGGTAATTAAAGTGCAACGACGATTTATTACTTTGGCTAAACACTTTTAGCTGGAATTTCAGTAGCTTCTTGGGGAATAAGTGCCTTTTGCTTTATAGGTGAGGTTAGCACTCCCGTTGACTCGCTGAGTAAACCTGTTTAGAGCTGATGATAGCGAGTCTTCCGTCTCTGTTGACCTCTATTACACTCTTATGCTATTCCGGCCATCAGCTTTTTGCTGGATTTTTATGGTTCTCTTCGCTATCAACATTCATATTTGGTCTTCCTTTGGGATAAACTGGTCACTTATGAACGTTTTCTAGCAAACTAAAAATGATTTAAAAGTGAAAAAAACTTGTCAAAGTTTCAAGTTAGACCCTCGAAAAATACTCAATGCAACTAAAATGGCATACATTTCAGGAAAGGCGAAGAGTTTGCTCTTAAAAAATAGCATAAACAGGTTTAATTCGCCGTTGAAAATCTCTTTTATGTTTTCTTTGGTCAGCTGCCTTACTTGCTTATTCTTTGATAGGTAATCAATCAATCAATTCTATTTTTTATGAAAATTCTAGTGGCACTGAACTCTTCCTTGATATCCGTGCTCTATCTGCTGCCGATTCTTATCAATGTTTCCTTTGTCATAAAATTCTTACTTAATCGGTGAGCTTTCCTTTATGGATAATTTTGTCATCAATTCTAGATCGATTGGGTTCAAGTCAACAGCTAACTGGCTTCAAGAAAGGCTGAAATGGATTCTGAATATTTCACCGGAACCAAACACCTTTCATCCTATTTAGAGCTGTTCTCATTCGTGAGCTTTTCGCTGGCTTCGTCAAAGTCGAATTTGTCGATTTCTGGCTTGCTGATCAGTTCAATTCTCTCGTCGGTATTTTTATGGACACGGAATTCTTCATATGCTTTTTGAATTCTCATCCTGAATTATCTCTCCTTCCAAAAGCAAATATCACGGAATCACCTACCGTGGAAATTTCAACCTTAGTTTCAACTAAAGCATACCACTGTGGGAATTATTCATTAGACAGTGGATACTTCTGGCCCTATTTTCGTCTGATTATGGCTTGCTATCCCGGTAAAGAAATTACATAACCAACGGACAAAAAAGATCATCCTTTTAGCTTGGATTCGCCTTCTCCAGTGCCTGAGAAGATACCACGATGATAGTCGTGTCACTCATTTATACAATACGGCCAAGTATTCGACGAGTTTTCTCAAGTACGGAATGGCGTTTTATTATGCGCAGAAACCTTCTGTATATAATTTTTACCTCTTATGCGGTGGATACTTCTGTTCAAGGTGAGTTTGGATTTGGTAAGACAATTTTTATCGATTTCAAGTGTGTTTACCCTCTATTGGGACTTGATTCACGATTGGGAACATGTTGAAAAAGAAATATTATTAAAATATAACTGCTGAGATATAATTTTCAACGGCGAAAAGGGATTCTCTATGAAATCGGAAAAGAACTCATACCTAAGAGGTGATCTTGCTTACACCTCACGATCTGGTTCCAACTTGTTTTATTACATAGCAATCATTGAAAACTCACTGCTCCGGTTTATTTGGATACCGCAGGTTACATGCAATTTGTCGTTTCTTTTATCTAAAGCTTTTTCAGTTTTTACTTATGCGTTCGGAGTACTTCAGTAACGCTTCAATTTTTGCTAAAACAGCTCTTTCGACGGCGATCTTATTTCTCGAGATGCTTCGTCGATTCATTTGGGTATAAAATCTTGCATTGAAATTAAGAAAAAAACATACATTTCAGAATTTCTTGCGATTGGAAAATGAACACTTCAATAATTGTGGTGAGTTTCGTACCGTCCGGACAAAGATCTTAGAAAAAAGAATAAACTTTCTGTAGACCTTCTTTAATTATTCTGTACACTTTCACCTTACTTGCCAACTTTGTTTCAATAACACTGTGATTAAAAGAAGAAGATTTATTCTAAATCGCATTTGTTTTGCAGAGTAGTTTTTTGAAATTGCGGCGAAAGATGATTTATTGGTTCTTGCCCTTTTCTGATTGGAACAGGTTTAGGCGCCTAGGAGGAACGAGAAGGAATTTGGCTTTAGTAAGGAGTAGGTCTGCCGCGTCCTCGGCCACCTGCTCCGCCACCTCGTCCGCCCCTGCCGCCTCCAGCACCACCACCTCTAGGACCGTGCGGGGGTTGTGCGTGTGGTCCGCCCCACTGTTGTCCGTAGCCAGTGTATCCTTGTCCCCATTGCTGGGGTGGAATCATATAACCCCCGTACGGTTGTTGGTATCCGTAGCTCATTCCTGCTGGAGCGCCGCCGTAAAATTGACCAACTGGCGCCATTCTTTCTTTGGCGATTCCTTCTTTGCATTCGCAGCGCTTTCCATCGATTTCGTGGTACCTCTCTGAAAGGGAGTTCCTCAATTATCTATCCGAAAGACTTACGTTTAATGCATTTGCTATTGACGCCATCTTTTTTAAAAATGACGAAACAAAATGGCTTGTTCTCGTTAGTCTGCTTGTTCATAGGACGATCGACTGACTCCACCTCTCCGAATTGGGTGAAATACTCTTTAATCGTGTCTACACTTGTGTCGGGCTTCACTCCACCGACAAACATTTTTCCATCGCGCCTCTCCGCCTTCTTTGGGTCTATCCGTTTGCCGTCGAGGTTGTGCGGGCCGGCGGCGAGTACCTTCCCGATGGATTCTTCGGCAGTGAACATCACGAAACCAAAGCCACGAGAGGTCCCAGTTGACGGATCAGTTTTGACAACAACGTCTTTCACATCACCGTACCTTAATTGCTTGTCTTCTTTCTGCTAAGCGACTCCTAAGAACTTACGCTTCAAAGTACGCTCGAAATGCTTCGACAGTGGTCTTTTTGGACAAACCACCGACAAACATTTTGTTCTCATTCCCAATTTCATTATTGTCAATAAGCGATCCCGCCTAAAAATTGGTTCAACTTGGAGTAGTAACGGGCGAATAAATAAAGTTCGCGAAAGCTCACCTTCGTATCGATTTCAGCACTCATTGTGGCGGAGTTCTCTAGGGGGTCTTCTATCTGATAACTGTAAGGGACGATTGAGGGGCTTGACTGGACCTACCTGCGAGTAGGAACCGTAAAAGGCGAATTGTGTTGCCGAAAAAAGAAAACTGCTCCTCCAATCCTAGAATGATGGTGCATTTTGCACATGAGGACCCCCGCAGGCAAGATTATCCTGCCAGGTCGAACTTACCCTTGTAGAACCATGCGAACTTTTTCAATTTTGGGACACTCATTCGGGACACACTGGTCAATGTTTAACTTTACCATATTCTTGATTAAATAATAATGATTACAATACGACGCGACTTTATATTTCCCTAACAGCTTTCACTTCTTTCACTGCCTCAAATAGTAAAAACAAAACGGAAAGAGCTGGATTATCATTTTTTTCTCTTTTGTAGACATCTTGTTGATATCTTTATGAAGCTATTTAAATTCTCGGTTTCGTTGTAGAAAGTTCCTTTAAACATAGCTCAAATATGGTTGTCCTGGCTACCATAGCAGATTTATTTACTAAAACCACCATTATTATACGTTAGTTTTTTCTGCACCAAATTATCAGAGAATAAGGAAAATAACGAACGTGTAATAGAGTCAAGTGAAGGAAGAAAAAATGGATCCGCCGGACGGGGGAATGATAGATGGCACTTTAGACGCGTCCAGGCAATGGTTAGATCCGGGAGCGTGTTCAAATCGGTTACCAAGAGACTGGGCAAATTGTATGTGTGCCCAAAAATGTAGAAACAGATAGCTTATCACATTTGCTCAACGCATTATCCGACCATTTTCTCAGTAGACCCGCCATTATGCAGTACCGAAAAGAGTCTAAATCACCAGGAACGAGATCAGACTCCTTCTCTTCAATTAGCTACTAAGAAAGAAATGTATCTCTGAACCTAAAAACCCTATTTATGGGAGCTCTCATTAGATTTTGCTTTGGTTAGTAAATGTTCAAATTTAACGGAAGATAAATGTAGCGACTCGGGTAAGTGCAGTATTTGCATAAGCTGAAAGTCTTGTTAGCTTTTACTATCATCTGTCGAAGAAGACGACACGGAGATTTCTAAGGCTCTGATCCGTCATAAAGAATTCCGCCGCGAAATTGCACTGCCCAGCGAGTCTCGTCCAGTTCCAAAAAATATAACTCAGAGCTTTTCTTCAGCATCTTCGAGTTCTAGTCAGAGATACCTTGATATCATTAATTGGAAGCCGGTAAGAGAAATTTGAACAGTTTTGTGATCATAACAAAAAGTAGCTTCTCTTTTTTCGAGATTTTCTATTCTTGAGCTGTCTAAGCTCCGGAGATACAGGATTTCGAAACCAATTTTGCGTTTTCCATTGAAAAAGACTCAATGGACTTAAAGTTATACAGGTGTTTAAACAAATTTAAGCATAACAATGCTCAAGTACAAAAACTGCTGACGAAAACAAAATCGACTCTTCCCGAACAGAATAAAAAAGTAAATTTTACATGAAATTAATTAATGAAATTAAATTAAAAAGGAAAAGGAAGAAGATTCTACCGACTCATCGAAAGAAAAAGAACATCGTCCCAAAAACGTACGATTGATGGACTCTCCAAAGGGTCAATCTACTGGCTCTAGAAGATCGAACGTAGTGTCAAGGGGAGCCCAGAATACAGATACGCCTCAGAAAAATACTATCCATGCTTCTGAATTGGCAAGTGTATCGGGTTTGAGTACAATAAGTAATAAAAGGTGAGATTTTTCAAGATATGCTGAACCAAAAGGCTCTGTTTGAAAAAATATTTTGAAAGGGATATTCCCGTTGAGCAATTTAAATGCGCGAACTCAGCGGGCTGGAATCGAAATTTGGCATCAAAGTCGACAAAAATGTAAAACCAAGCTTCGTTCTATAATGATTAAGAAACTTGCTTAGGCCGACGTCGCTAAAACGTAACTGGATAATAACAACAACATGTTTCGCTCTCTACTACAGTAAAGTTTTAACTGTTAACACAATTTTCTTTCATCGAGGCTTCATTCTTATACTTACAAAGAACTACAGTAACGCACGACAGAAGCAACTAACAATGATAATAGATTGTAGCTTTTAACATACGAAGTGTTTCTTATGATCCTCTACAGTGTAGGGTTAGGCAATCTACTCAGGTAAATATCTTTTCAGCATTCGCGCTTTCAACATCCATTTCGACATTGACACGGGAAACCATCATGGATGGTGCATAGCTCCTCCGCCGTCGAACGAATTTTACTCGAAAGCTACTGTCAGAAGCTGGGAGGCGCAACGCGTGAACGGTGAGCAGCCATTGATTTCATATTCAATGACTATCACAAAGAAAAGATTGTTTTTACACAAACATCGTTGAAAGTCCACGGAAACTCGATATTAAACGAATAAATTTCGGATTAGTTTTAATAAACCTCAGCAAAAAATTTTCATTAGGTCGATATTTTAAACCTTATTTTCAGTACCACTTTCCATCTTTTTTGAGACCACGACAACCATAAAAAAAGAAACTTACCGAATATCTCTTATTTGCTTGTAAATTGTAAAATTTCAAACACATAAAAATTAGCGGCGTTAACATAAACCCATCAGAAGTGATGCTGTCACAATAGTTCCCATGGTGATTGGCGCTCTTAGAAGCTAACGTTTGTTTGAACTAAAAGTCCAAGTCAGAGCGCAATCCTTATCAATTTCCGACAAATGCATTATCGTCGCTCACGGATGAATTTAGAACTCGTCAATCGAGCACGCTCACTTTTGACAGAGATATCCCGCCGGAATAACGGCTTGAGTTTCGCAAGCAAAGAGACAATGCGTCAACCCTTTGCACGGTACTACGATAATGGTCAGAATGAAGGCGTCGGTTCTCGATCCGCTCGACGTATTTCCGCGCGTTCTGCCAGATCAGCCACTTCGCGTCCCAGCTCAGCCCGTGTGTCCAGACCTCAGTCGGCAGTGCAATCAGGTAACTAAATAATCAGATAAGGAAACTCTCGAAAACGAAAGAGGAAGAGAAAGAGAGTTAATCAGCATCTCCAATTCAGAAAAGAGCGAAGAAACGAGCAACAGCGGGCCTCTTTTAATTCCAACAGAGAATCTCTTCCTTCTCGAAGTCCCAAGCTCCGCTATCAATAGAGACAAAACGACGCGCAATAGAGTTGGAAGCGCCCGCAGTTTAAATGAATCGAAGACAACGAAGACTGCGTTCTCATGGATTTTGTATCCTAATGGCAGGTCTTGCGTCTCAAAGACCTCCTCGGGATACGTAGCGATTTACTGCCATACGAGTGATAAAAAAGTCATTGGCATAAGGTTTGTGATGTTCGCAACTAGCACAAATAGAAACAATGTATAAACTCAAGATTTAGTACAGCTTCTGGACTGATCAGTTTCTCCTCGCCTCCAATGATCTTCGACAAAAGCGGAATGCGACTTAATAACAATGAAAGAGTTCTCAAATGGGGACAAATAAAATCTCCTGTGGATGTGAAAATCAACAGGTTTCTACGGTTGAAAGCTGCTAGTCCAAGGTTTGACTCTATTTTAATCCCAAACAAATATCGATTCTTTAGGAGCATACTTTTGTTTTATGAAGGAGGAGGGGAAAAATACCACTTGAATCTTGCAGAAGCGAGATCAAGAGTGGCTGTTATTACGAGCATGGGCAATTTGAACAATATTCTAGGACAGGCCTCGATCTTTCTTGCAAAAAGCTTCGAAAAATCTTATCCGAAGACGCAACTACAATGTAGTTCTGAATAAGTCTGAATGTATTTCTGATAATATTGAGCCAGTCAAAAGGACTCACTAGTGAAGCTTCGGAAGAACATGCGCCACTCAGTCCTGGAGAAACAAGCTATAATTGGGCTGCTAACCTAACACGAGTACTTTCGAATCGTTATCAAAAGTAATGCCCGTCTCTGCTACTTTTTTACAGATTTACAGGTTATCTGAACTTGAACGAACCTGCAAAAGAGTTTGTTTGAAAGCAAGCGAAGCTCTTCGTAATTTCGTCGAAGCTCATCGCGATTCTACAAGCAGTCGCCCTTCGACAGCTCTCCCATCACAGTCGCTTTCAAAACTTACGCGTCCGTCTACAGCTTTTGGGAACCCTTACCTCTCGAGTTCTCAAATGCCAAATTCTAACAACAAAACTCATAGTTCGGCATCCAAAGCGTTACTAACACCAGCAAACAGGAGAAAAGCTCCACAGATGCCGCGGATTTCCAGGCAAATTTGCTAATACTACTCGATTCTTAAAAACTCCAGAGCAATGTCTTTCTCGTCGAGATAAAAGACTGGTGGGACAAATCTAACTCTAAACTATCAATTTGATAATTTCAAAACTGTCTCTAAAGTCCACAAGTACATTTAGCGAAATTTCAATAGTTCAGAATATTCAGACGTTTTGAGGTCAGATTGATTCGTTTGAAATTTTTCAGTTAGCGTATATTCTCAGTCATATTACGAATGAAAATACTTGTAATATGCTTTGTTCTTTAATAATGCTCATAAAAAGATTTCCAGTAGACCTTATTCAGCAAATAAATAAAGCCACTTTCGATACTTCGATAACATGACAATTCCTGTAATGACAGATGAGTCCTTAGACAATCACCTAAAGTCGTCTTCCGTCGAGCATATAAATGTCTTCTCGGTGAGGCTAAAGGACCCGAGTTTCGTCCCTTCAGCGGCGAACAAAACTATTGAGAACGAGTTTTTGCGATCAAGGGGCAATCCTAAAATCAACATTTTTGTTTATTTCTTGGATAGGGCTGATCCACATTGCGCCACCTCGTTACTTACATCGAGGTACTCCTTGATATCAAACCAATTATCAGACATTTATAATTTCACACTATCCTAGGCATGGAATACAGGGCGGAATGGGAGTGATATTCGTTGCTTCTCGGTTAATCTTTGCCGACCGGATCTTCGACGGCCACGGAGCCGACCCGGCTTCCTTCCGACGAGAATTACAGAAATGCCGCCGGCGCTACAAAGAAGGCTTCCAGTACCCTAAAGATTTCAAATTCTCCGACCCAGAGGATCAAGTGCCCGACGAGCTTATCAACTTTTCGAGGCGAACGGCTTGGGGAGGACAAATCGTCCAAATCAGCAATCAGCAGCAATCAACTCGATTTCTTGATGCAAAAACGGAAATGATGAGCACAGTACAGACCCTCGTGAGGTCAGTTCTTGAAAATCCCTGCAACTAACTGATGCCAAAATTTAGGTACAACTCTTCACACAAATTAAAAACGACGCCCAGTTGAAAGAAAACCTGAATGCAATATCACTCTTCAAAAACATTTTGACTTCAAATTCTGCAACTGAACTCTAAAACTGTTCCCAATAAATGTGTATCACCTATGATAAGAGCAGAGTCAGTGGTGGGAAACAAAACTAAGCCGGGCATTCCTCCGCAAAGGGGAATATTGCTGAATGAGCTTTCCTTCATCACGATCGAAATTTGTCAATCAAGCAGAAAGACAACCGATCCACTTCGCAATCATCTTAATTCATCAGAAAAAAATCGCAAGCAAAAAGTTTTTTTTGCGAGTTTTAAATTTAATAGACTTTTTACAAGGAGCTACGTATAAGGTTATAGAGAATGCCATTGACCAGAAAGAAGAAGCAGGAAGAAACAAAAAGATATCACGATTATTGGTACCCGCCCAAGAAAGAAACTCGGCCCTACGATGACCCTGAACGAGACGCCAAGAAGATGAGGAAGACAAAGAAGATATTGGTTTCTCTAGGCTTGGACGAAACACCCGCGAATCCCGCACCCGGACATCAACCCTTTTTGGAGAGCGAACCTTGTGGATCGAAGCAAATCTCCCAGAAAAGACATCCTACCCCGGAAACATCAGAGGACGAATTTTTTGATGCACTTGAAGAGCAACCAGCGACACCTGAGCAGAGAAATGAGTTTCGACCAAAGGCACGGGTTTTTCTTATTGATTTACAAATTTAGCATTTTCTTAATTTTTCAAAAAAAAACCTGCTAAGAACACATCCACCCCAACTGTGCCACGAGTAGTCCAAGATTAGAAGAGAAGAAGCGCAAATATAAATTACTTGTAGATAACTGATATATAATACTGACAACTGAATAATAAAATTTTAATGATGAGCAACTGGTTGACTTTTACGTCGTTTTATTATTTGAAAGGAATATTCAATGCATATTGCAGGGAAAATTAGTGATGTTTATGAGCATTTCGAGGAAAATCGAGGATTAATCAGCGTTCGTTTGCCTTCATAATTCTTCTGGTGAATGTTTTCCTTCTTGGATGAGTAATTTTCCTTTCGCGCTTGCTCCACTCCGGCTTGTTTGATATTCATTTTCGTTTTTTGCACACACGTTCAGTTCTCCAGAGAAACTCAGAAACTATAAGCTATGTCCGAATTTCGCGATAGCGGAAGTCAGCCGGGGGAATGGGGGAAAAACGAGTTCAATCCGATGCAACAGCAGCGGAAACAATCTGCGTACGAAAAAAACTTTTCTTTCGCAAGACAGGATCAACATCGTGGTGAACCGTCTTACCCACAACCTCCAAATCAGCAATATCAACAGAATCCTGGCCAAAATCAGTACCAGCGTCAACATCTTGGGTTTTCACCAAGTCAACCTCAGGGAAATAACTACGGAGGGCCTAATAATTTTCCCGGCGGTGGCTATCAGGAATGCGTCGAATGATTTACTAGAAGACAATTTAACAATTTAGCTACTTTAGACTGAAAATCATTATCAAATAGAACCCACCACAACATCATCAGCAAGCCACCGGTTTCGATCCACGAGCAAATTGGATATCCGATAAACAGGAATGTATTTGCAATTTTGAAGGCCGTTTTGCTTCCTTAAAATAACTCCTTCAGATTAGAAATTTTATTTTAGCATCAAGTTATTCAAAACATAAAAAGCATGAACTACCTGTTGATGATATATTGAAGAACGATACAATCCTTGATACTCTGATCGCCGAAAACAAAAGCCTCAAGAAAAAGTATCCTACTTTTCTTATCAAAGAGAATCTTATTCAAACAATTTCAGACTTCAAAACAGTTCTCAAATCGGAGAGTATGCCGGCAATCAACAAGAAGGAACTGGATCTACTCGACTTATAATAAAGTTTAATCCAAAATTAATTGCGGAATAGTTTTCCGAGCCGACCACTGAATTTTCAAGTAAATAATGATCCTGCTTCAGTCGAACAACTTCGAAAGCAATTGAGTCAACTTCGAGCCGACAACGATAACTTACGGGCCAGGGCGAATACTGCCTCGATTCCACAACAAAACAGCAATATAAATCCAAGACAAGAAGATTTCTACAAGAACGAAATTCAAAGGCACAAGCAAAAGATTGCTGCCCTCGAGTCTGAGCTATCTAACGCACAGACTGGCCAATATGAGAAGCCAATGCCCTTCGGTGCCCAAGGCGGCGGAAATCAGGAACGGTTACGAAGAGAAATCCTCGCTCATTCAGTTTTACTTTTCATAACCGTTATTAGCCGAATAGTAAAACGCAAGAAGAGTTGGACAACATGAAGTTTATTAACCAACAGCTCCAAGCGGATAACCAAAATCTGAACGACCAACTTGTGTAAGAACTAAATGACTTTCCCTTGTCAAAGAATAAAACAAAATTTATAGTAAGCTGGAAGCCGACAAGAAGCGCATCGAAGGCGAGCTGAGAAACGCCAACGAGAATCTAAAGCGGGAAGTTGCCAACCTTCGTGCAAATAGAAATTGACCTTCTCAACTGATCTAAGCGAAAATGAATTTCAAATAAATAATAATTATCACTGATTGTTATTTCGGTTTCATACTTATCAAATACTACTCAGACAAGAAACAATGCCGATAACTTCGATTGTACTCTTCTATGATTTCACAGTGCTTCGAAAGCTGTCTAATTTCAAATAAGCAATTTGCCATTCAAAATTACTTGTTCTTCCATTAAAAAAAACTCTACTTATAAATTAGTTCTTTGTGAAGTCTTGCTTAAAAACCTAACTTAGGTTTAAATAAATATTTTTTCTCTGAAAATGTGAAAAAGTTTGTTTTATGTTAGGTTTAATTTGGAGTGTCGACCTTTAAAGAGATTGGTTCGGTGTAATTGCGAAGAAGTAACGTCGGCGGTGGTGGTGGTGTTTGATTTTTGGCGCTAATGAAATTTACTACATGTGTGGGGCAGCGGGAGCCTGGGGCGACACTGTGTGGCTTGAGGCCACCTCCGCCCGTGTGTCGTCACCCAAGCTTGACGAGCTGAGCCAGAGGCCCCTAGAGAGACCAAAACACCCAGCGAGGTGCAAATTTTCACAGCTAACAAATAAGCACCAATCGTAACCTTTTTACGCTGTAGCAAACAGCTCGAGAAAAAGATGAGAGATAAAGAAGAAAGAATGCGGAAGAAGTAGAGAATCTCTCCCACTGAGAAATCTCGAAGAAGCTCCATTCATGCAGAACTGGGTGGCAAAAATATGTCTTTTCATTCTTCTGCCAGTCTTCGTACTGGCACAATGTCCCCAGCAGTGCATTTGTTCTGGAAATAGCGCTGTTTGTCGAGGAATAGCATGGACAGAGAAACCAATATTCCCGGAAAATCTGAAAACGCTGTAAGTAAAAAGAGAAATCGCGTTTTTTTTATACAAATTCATTTGCTAATTATTATAAAATGCTAATTATTATGAATTTCAAGATCCTAAGCGGCGAGCAGTAAGTGCTTCATAAGCTCGTCGAAAAGATGAGCTATTAGCGCACTATTCAAATTTGTTTTGTTGATCTCGCATTATGAAGCGATGATCACGTAGCTGTTCCGCCAAAAGTAGAAATCGAAAAAAATTGATGGAGCTCTTTGATTTGGGCAAGATCAAATGAATTTTATGTGTTTTACGGAGGGCGCGAATCAAAATGAAATGATTGCTGCTACATGTCATAAAACTTTATCAAATATTATTTTAGCGACTTGTCAAACAACCGCATCGGCGAGCTTGACCTGGCGCATCTAAAAGGGCTCGAAACGCTGATTCTTGATGGTGCTGCGCTCGACGAACTGGAGAAGGAACTCGCCCTGCCAGCTGGACTGGTCAGACTGTAAGTTACCAAGCAGGAAAGCCGAAATTTTGGCACGAAACTCGATAAGTGACGCTATGTAGATTTCCTTTCTCCGCCGAGAATGCGATAACGCAATGAAGGCGAGCGCTTGCACCTGTTTTCTTATCGCATTTGGCAGGTGTGCAGGCCCAGAGAGCCATCTTTTTTCCCATAATTTCATTCTCGCCCGTTTCATAAAATAATCTTTGGAAAGTCTTTGTAGCGTTGACTAGCATTTATTCATGAATCTTGTTAGTAATCTATTTATCGAATTGGGGAGGTCGAATTTTTCGGGCAAGAAATCGGCTTTGTAAAGTGTCCGTCGCGCGCCCAGGTGAAGGCGGCAGGTGCATGGAAACGCAGGGGTGAATATTGCACCGGCATTTGGTGGCGGTGGCGCGCAGTGGTGGTCGACTAATTTATTAGATTTAAACGATGTCGACGCGATTGATGTTGAGGGCTCTCGGTGCCTGTTTTATCCGAGAAAAAATATTTTCCCTTCGCCCGTCGCTTTAAAACACATGTCTCCAAAAAACATCACTAAACATAATATCGATTCATCATCGCACCTTTTAATAAGATTCTTCACTGTCGTTATTTAGATTTTCATAATTCTTTATGTCTTTTGAAAATGCTCTATTCAGTAATTTCTCCCCTCGCGAGACCCTTGCCAGGGAAGTAATCTTCGAAAAGTTTTGAATGCCGTTCTAAGCCTAACCGCGCGCAGGGTGCTTGAAACGCACCTTTACCCGACTATATTGACCGGCTGGTTTTGGTGCATGATTTCAATAAAGAAAAGCCAGGTGAACGAGATTTCCTTTGGATTTTCTCGCGAAAAGGGAGTGCGTTACAAATATCGAATTGTGAATGTGTAAACTTTCGGAAACTTCTTTTCTTTTTGCCTTGTTGACATTCGGAATGTTCTGGGCAATGAAAATAAAAAAGCCAGCTGAAAGGTGTCCTTGTGTTTGAACAACGTTTTCTTTCTGAATAGAGCGGCTAGATCTCTTTGTACGAAACCTCAGCGAGCTCATCAAGCACAACTGTCAGGTGCGCTGATCTTTTTATAACTCGATCTGAGTCCATTCCAGTCTGAATTTCCATTCTGGCCATTTGTACTCGCACCGACATTATACTCGAGTCCTGCGCAGTCTTTTCACCAGCTTTGTGTGTGTTTTTGCATAAAACAGAGTCGGAAATTCCAGGATAACTTTAAAATCGGCGTTTTGAAGGACTCATGCGGTGAGAATGATCAGCTATTATGGCGAGTGGGAGCAGGTGTGTGCTTTAGAACTCATTGAAAAGACCGAGAGCGGCTAGTCTCAAGTGAAGCTTAGGATAAAGCTCGCCTTTGAATAGGGAACTGCTCTCTAGTCCGATTAGTAGGTTGTAGTGTCTCTTGAGCGATAAATTAGGACAGGGACGATAAGGAAAGCACCGGATCGGCGGTGGTAACACTTTGTTTCCTATCTGAGGTGATTATGGCTTTTGCGAGGTCAGCCACCGGCGGAGACTGAGTCGATAACGCCAACCGAGATCGATTCCGTTATCACTTTTCTTGTTTCGCGCCGATTCCTCCTATTTCTCAGGCCAGAACTGCTCGCGTGGTTTCGTTCGTTGACAAGCTGCATTTTGAATAGAACCAAATTTAATCATTTATCAAAATTGAATTCGCTGTTTTCTTTCCGAGAGCAATAACGTTTCGCATATTGTACTTCTAAATCAATTTTATTTGGTCACACAACACTTGACACTCGCATCAATCAAATTAAATGGGCAAATATTCTAAGCCCCTTAAGGTATTTAGATAACACTTAAATTGTGTGCAATATAATTGTCAGGGGTCGGATGCGTGCCCTGTCAAAATTTATGCGTTTTGATCAGTCAGCGGGCAAGAAACGCATAGAAAGGCAGCTAGAAGTTGTACTTTAGTTTTGAACGCAGTGGTCTTTCTTGTTTTTGGTAAATGGATTTGGAACTAGAGTAAAAGGCTTTGTCAAATTAAATTTCCTAGCCTGTTTAACTCCTCTTACTTACGCTGGAAGCTCCATTCATGGGGAATATCTTCTGACTTAATTTTCATCATACAGATTAGATGAGAAAAATTCTTTGATTCTATCGTTGCGGCTTTAAAAACAATTTGGTTATTTGCAGTGCGAACGGCGGCAAATTAAATTTGGTTGTTGAATAATTGTCCTTTTCAGCTCGTTGCGCGAGTGCAAGCTAAGCCACGTGCCCCTTCTTGGAGCTGCATCTGGAACTCTTCGTCAACTCGACCTTGGCAAGAATCGTTTCCGCGAAGTAACATCGCTTGAGTTCGAACATCTGGAGCAACTCGAAGAGCTGGACCTCTCCGAGAACCGAATCCCGCGCAATAGGAAGCAAACTTCACACAGACTGCACTTGCCTACTTCCCTTAAAAAACTGTAAGTTTCTAATCGCTCATTTTGGTATACGCTGGCAGACAAAGAACAAACCCAGCTTACTCAGCTTGATTTTTAATCCAAGTTACTTAGTCTTTGTCAAGCGCTCGAATATTTTCGTTCAAGCTGACAACTGCAGAGTTATTTCTTTTTGTATCTGCTAACCAACTATCTTGCGAGCGGGTATCCCTCAGCCGGATTCACATATTTTCAAATTACTACCTTGTGATGTTTTCTGCCAGCATATTTTCGCGCATTACGGCGCCCATTTGGTTGCGATCTCAACCGGACTTTCTTATGTTTTGGGTAATTTTCTTTCGATTTTCGCGCAAATTTCTAAAAACTGCCTATGAACGTGCTGATTTATCCTCTCTAGGAACCTTGACGGCAACCAGATTCGAGAGCTGAGCTTTGGTCTCTTTTTAAAATTGGAGAATCTTGAAGTTCTCTCGATGAATAACAACAGCATCGCAAAAGTGAAGGGCACTGTTTTTGCCAACAACAAAGCGCTTCAATCGCTCAGTCTCAGTGGAAACAAGCTCAAGGAACTTCCTCAGTTCTTCCTCAAACAACAATCTAAGCTAAAGCATCTGGATCTGAGTGGTAAGTGAAATACTTCATAAAAAATAAATTTAAAGAAAGCAACGTAAAACAGGAATCTCAAAGATGGAGTTTGAAATCTTCTTTCCGCTGAGAATTCAAACATTCCCACCGAGCCTTACACATATGTACTTTTTCTCTTAAGCGATGCTTATGTAGTTTCCTTCAGGAAATTCCCTTGGAGAGTCTGGTATGGATTTAGCGATTTACATCAAAGGAAGCCGCTTGGAAAGTCTGAACTTTTCAAATAACGCAATTTCGGAAATAACGGACGATATACTCTACGAACAGGACCAACTTATCAGTCTCGACCTTTCGAACAACGAAATTTCGGCTTTGCCCTATGATCCTCTCAAAGGCCCTTGGAAATACACCAGAAACCTGAAAATTCTGTAAGTTTCGTTAACCTGTTTTTCGACTTTTCCCGCTAATCAAAAATTCATGTAAATTTATTTCAGAAATGTGTCATCCAACAAAATTCAAAAGTTAGAAGCAAATGCCTTTGGGAAGCTTTCGAACCTTGAAGAGCTTTACTTGCACGACAATAAAATCGAGACGATTTTCGACCATTCTTTCCGCGGTCTTGACAAGCTCCGAATACTGTAAGTAGACGAGAGAAGCATTTTTGAATTTTTCAACGGGAGACTCTTAGCCGTTCTTGTAAATATCCTATGCTGAGTGGAATTTTGTGTGTAAAGGTGCTTCTGCAAATGGCGGCTTACGATTTTTTCTTGATTGTTAGGCCTGTGTGCCCAATCTGGGCAAACAGTAAAAATCTGTGCTGATCAAATAAGTTTCAAGATCGTGCTGACTTCCGTCCAGGTGTCGGCTTGTCGCCGGTGTTGTTGACCTTGCAACTATTATGATCCTATCGACATTTTTGCCTGGTCGAGAAGAGTTTAGTGAGAAATATTATTAGAAAGACGGCGTCGATACCTATACCGAAGTACAAATAATTTTCAGTTAAAACTCGAAACCGCACACCCGTAGTTGCCCTTCAAGAATAATTCCCTTACGACCATATTCCGGAATTTCCAGGAAAATTGTTTTCAGCGAGAAAATACTCCTCAATACTACTGCTATTCAATATCACTGAATAAAATAACGTTTAATTTTTTAGTAATTTGGCTAACAATGTGATCTCAAACGAACTGCGGAACATCGCGAACTCAATTGTCAATCTACCTTTCATCACAACAATGTAAGTTCGACGCTGTCCTGTCCGTATAATGACCAAATGAACAATAGAGATCTACGACAAAATGCTCTGCGGCGGATTACGCGATCAACTTTTGCTTCCATGGGACATATTGAATCGATCGACCTGCGTGCGAATCCTCTCACGGAAATCGACTTCGAGGCCTTCGATGAACGGGCTTTGCGGGCGCTCATGATCGACTCTGAAGACTTTCTGTGTGACTGCAACTTGATTTGGTTCTCCGGAATGCTGAAAAAGATTCAATCGCCATCAAACGACAACAATCAATGTCATTATCCTCCAAACTTACGTGGACAGAACCTATTGGAAGTCAAACATGATCAACTCACTTGCGACCAAAATCCGAAGCCGGTACTCATCAAAGGTTAACTCTCTTTTTACGAATTATTTTTTTAAAAGAATTTTAGGCCCGATGGATGCGAATGTCGAAATCAACGAAGACGTAAAATTCACATGTCTCGTGAAGACGACTGAGATTTCTTCTGTTGAAGTGGAATGGATCTACCAAGAAAGTTCAGAAAATGAAAGCGGGGACACTCGCTTGACGCACAAGGAAGGTGTCATAGAAATCAACACCCCCGACGTTACGAAGCTTGTTGGCAATGTGGTTGAATCCTCACTGACTATGAAAAGGCTGCAGCGGACGCGCGGAGCTTTCCCGGAGGGATTCATCAAGTGTCAAGTCCGGAACCGATATGGTTCCACTGTTTCAAACCTAGCGGAACTAACTCTCTTTCAACACGCTCACTTTCTGAGCACGCCACGCAACCAAACTGTCGAAGTTGGCGATACTGTGAAGCTAAACTGCAATGCTATCGGTTATCCGGAGCCGCTTGTTTCTTGGGAATTCCCACGCTTACCCGATGAGTACAAAGGCCGTACCCAAATGTCTTCTGATGGCCGCACTGTAACTATCGAGCACATACAAGAAAATGACAGCGGGAAATATACCTGTACTGCAGCGAATTCTGCTTCGAAGATTGCGATAGATATTTACGTCCGCTTGGCTCCATCACGCGAGCTTATTGAGTTCAACAACGACGTTGAGTATAATCTGGGAAAAGACGCAGTTCTGAAATGTCATCATCCCACGATCTTCCCCGCTGTTTCGACTGAGTGGTATTTCAACAATACGTTACTCCATTCTAGCTCGCGCTATCAGTTCGTGGACGATAGTAGCATACTCGTTATCTCCCATGTAGATAACAATGATCAAGGATTCTACCAATGCAAGATCTTTAACGAGCTTGGACAGGCATCTTCCATAACTAAACTCCACATTACTGGTGCTAGTATCTTTCAAACCGCCCCTTTCTGGCTCTGGATTGCATCTGTCGCCGTTCTCGCTATGCTGCTTACTTCGCTGATTTGGCTTGGAGTTTTCTTTGCCACCAAAAGCCAACGGGGTCAATCTGACTTTGGAACAGAGTCGACAAACCTTCCGATGCCTCTTGAACGACACCTAGAAGATCAGCAGAAGTCTGCCAAGCGCCTCGCAGATAACCGTGCTCAAGGAGTCGTTTCCTGGGGTTCTGAGTATCATCAGACTCCCACACCAGTAATGCAGACGCCATCAAGTCAGAATTCAGATATTTGCAACACTTCCTATCATCAATTACAACATCCCCAAGCTATCCCACAACACTCACCTTTCTATATACCGCCGCCTTCTCCTGGACCGTACGCTCCACCGTTGGGCATGGGTCCCGTTCCCCGCTGGGCACCTCGAGCTGCGACTATGCCTGATTTGGATTCGCAGTATCAAAACTCGCCTATTCATGATCGGCAGCTTATGCCTCCTCCCGCCTTACCCACTCCAACATTTTCCTACAATCCTTCAATAACTCGTTCTAATAATCAGCTTGCTTTTGGAGTAAGTGAGCAATCCTCGGCCCCTGGCCCAGATCGCAATCGTCACCGCAATCGCAGTGGTGGTCGAAAGTCTTTGGACTCCAGGAGTTTGAGAGACCTGCCCAGAAGAAATATTCTTCCGAGTGGTAACAGACCCTAATCTGCATATTTGATACATTTTGTACAGAAAGTCTACCAAATACCTACATTCCGAAGCTTCAATAAATGTATTTCAAAAACTGAGCTGAATTGTGTTTTTTACAGGAGAGTTTATCGCAAGCAGTCATTTGCGAGTTTTGCTACCATCGCAGGATGCATTTTCCATGGCTTTCGTCAGCGTAATCATTCATTGGAAATTTTGTGGAGTCGTTTTCTTATCACTGCAATAAAATAAAGAAATATTTGTACCGTTTTGATTTATTCACCGTTCACAAGTTGGCGAAAAATTATGCCTATCGCACCAAGTATATAAAAACCAATGAGGAGACAGCTATCCACCTGTTCAAAACAATCAAAGCATTCTTTTAGGTAATGCTTTTGGGCGAGTTGCTAGGAATTAATTGTACTGAAAATTTTAGCAAGCTTAAAAATATAAGTAAGAGTGTCTCGAAGATTCTCCTCGTTGTTTTCAGATTGTGGCATTACTTACGTTCTCTTTCTTAGACCAGGGTTTTCCCTGTGCATCAAAGGCTTCTAGGAAGAACGGAGCGTTCTTTTCTCGATCATCCTTTCGTTTTTTTAGCTCGCTCAGATATGGACACTAAGTAACGATGTTAATTTAATTTTGATTGACACTTGATCCTAGATCGGGGTTAATTGTTCTAATAGTCTATTAGTAATAGATGTGATTATATTCTACTCTAGCAATAACTTCCTAAAGGAGTATAGAGACACCCCTTTTTGTAAGCGTGTCACAATATGATCATTAGTCAATTTTACTAACCGTCAGGTTTTTCAAAAATTTATTCTCTTCAATTGTTAACTCGTCCGTCATTTTAGACCTTGAGCTTCGCTGTCGCCGCTGGATTCGGGCTTCTTCTTCGACGACGAAAGAAACTGAGCAATTTTAATCTGCTTCTAATTTCATTTCGAATTACCACTTCTCTTTCTTTCTCGATAATTTCTTCTGAGTGTACTCTGAGCGAATGATGTTCGAATTGAATCAAGGCGGCGTAGTTCGCTGGGAAGAGAACTGCGAGAAAAGAAAAGGCAATGCGCACTCCGAGAGATGACGGATAACACAATTTATTCTTCTAATTTGAAGACAGCCTCTTGACAGTCTCATCCATTTTCACTTTATATGGCCGATAATGATACCAATTTATAAGCGACTTCCTTTCTCCGAGTTAACATCTTTTCAGGGATAAAATGCCGATTTCGCCCTATTTTTATAATATCATAAAATCGGTTTATTCATTTCAAATGATCAAGTATCGTGTGAGATGTGGCAGGTGTGGATGGTTTAAGAATACAAACTTGAGCATAATAAAATTCAACGTGATTTACGATTACTTTCTGTGCGCGCTGACAGTATTCAAAGTGCACTCACTAAAACATCCACATGAAAGATATTTTTAATTTTCTCGCCATTCGCGGTGAAATTTTCTCAGAGAGTCATTCCCCGCTCATCACGCACTTTTCACTGCGGCTCTGAAGCAAAGCGGATAAAGCCGTTCATTCGAATTGAATAGTTGGAAATCCATTGAATCAGAGGTTGATATCGCCAATGAAACCTCTTTTGGGCAAAACACAGGATTCAAAATGATATACTAAAATAAGTGATAGGTTGGCGTTACTTTTAACTTACGTTTTGAAGAGAATAAAACACTGCTTTTTTCTTGATCCTTTCTTTCAAGGTTTTTATGTATAAGTCTATGTTTTTTTATACTTTTAGATTAAACCTCTAACAAAATGTGAAATCATAGACGACTGGAAGTTTAAGACAATTGGATAAAAATTGTCTGGGATACAAGCATTTTTCAAGGATAGGAGATTATATTTTTCTATTATTCCCCGTTTTTCACTGAGTTTGCAGCTGAATAGGGCAGTCTTTTCGATTTTTTACATTTCATTCTTGTTTTTTTGTTTATTTTTTGTAAGAAATCATGCCTGGTTTTCTCGGAGTAAAGTAATGCATCGTCGTCTGTAGTCGTATACCATATTCGAGGTTGCTCGAACAGAATCATTTTTTACTATTGGTTCGCTATTTTCTACCCATAATGTTCCAAAATGGGACAGCGCTGCTTCACTTCCATTAAAAAAGACTTCAAGATCCTGGGAGACGTCTCCAGAAGCCAGTGTAGCTTTATGTTTCTTGCAATAGCTTCTGCTTTCTTCTTTTGTTAGTGGTTTTGTGGCTTTAGGGACTTTTTGATTATCAAAATTTTAAAATTTGAATAAGTTAAAAATCGACTCCTGTGAACCAAATGGTTCCATTCATGCTTGTGCATTTACGCAACGGTGTGGAACACTCAGGGAAAATAAAGCTAAGGATTAACAAAGCAATAATTCCAGCAGTCAAAAAGACCATGGTAATCAATGAAAAACGAGTACGAGAATTACTCTGATGATTTGTTATATCGTTGGCTGTTGGCATATTCTCTGATCTCTGATTTTGATTTAGCTCGACTTCGCACATTTCAATCAGTCAGTTCTTATGAACTGAGTTTTAATTCATCCATAACATAAACTCATATCAACAGTTTACCACTATCAGTCTTTGGCCGTACAAATATAAAAATCAGATCAAACACTTTTTCTTCCCTTATCAATTCGTTCATAACGGGTAGTTCGATAAGTTAGTTTTGCCACTTGGGCGATCAATAAATTCATAGTTAGTGTCCCTAGCAAAGGGCGGTAATTTACACACTGGGAAGATTCGTTGGGGAGTCACAGCGTGCGCGCCAAAAATGCGCATATGGGTTTACTCAGTCGAGTTGATTCGGGCGGAAGCGAGTTCAATCTTTGATGTGGTCGGAGTCGACGGGGTGGAAAAGGAGCAGAAAAGTGGAGCGGGCCCCTTGGGCAAGGCTTGGCGCACGAGTGGCCGCAAAAAACCGCAAAAAACCACAGAGCCAGTCGATACCTCTCTTCCAAAAAGCGCCCTCACTCGAGTTTGGCAGTTTTGGGCACACACGTGAGAATTTAATTTCTTGAGGTAAGCGTTACAGTCAAGAGAAGCATAAGGAGCGCTTGTCTCTAGGTTGGCGAACGCCCAGCGCGATCCAAAAGTGAGAGAAAACAGCTTGGAAAACTTCGAGAAACACTTCGAGTGGAAAAAGGGACGAGATGGCGAAGATTTACACGAACCAAAAAACCCAGTTTGAAAATGGCGAAACTTTCAGAAGGCTTTCGCGAGATTCCGAGGTAAAGTTATTGATTGAGACGATTTTTGAAGAAGACAAAAATTGTGCCATTCTTCGTGAATTTCCGCCTTTAAATTTGATATACGCGTTTCGCGTTAGAACTCTCGAGAATTGAGTTTTAATGAGTGATAAGATTCGATACGTGGGATTTATGGACAGGCAGCTGCCGGAAAGACAAAAACGACTGCTTGATTCGATAAAAGAAGGTCGCGCCGAGATTTGCTTCATCAATACGGGTAAATAATAGAGTAAATAGAAAGCCGTGAACCTATCAACCCAGGCATCCACATTCGACTGCATTTTTTCCCTTACGCTCTTGACAGCGTACATGGAATGATGCCGCCAAAAGAGTACTGCGACTTCGAGAAAGAACCGGGCAAATTGTGGTTTCGTTCTCCCATGATCATGAACGGTGTATGTTGCTCTGCTGTCGGATATCTCAACTTGACGAAACTTGACGGGACAGCAAGGCTTGAGTTCGATCCTGACTACGCAAGGGTATGGAAATGAAAAACCTACTCAGAATTAATTCTTTCAAAGTATGAGGAAGTGCGTTGCAACGGGCGAACTGCGCCAGACCCAGAGGAACCAAACAACAATCGGAGCTCATCGACTTCTACGTCGAAGACAGAACCTACTTCCACCTCCCAAAACGAAGCCAGTAATACGGGCGTAAATACAGCCGCGCCTGCGCAATACGCTGGTCAAAATGGGCAGGTTCCAATTGTGTCTGTCCAACAGAGCCAGAATCCGCCGCCGCCAGCAGAGCTGCCATCTGTTCAATTCGCCGATACTCACTCTCCTGCCACTTACTGAAACACTAAAGACTGCTCGAAGCACACAAAACTTTCATGTATACAAATAAACGCGAATGTTGCGATATATTGAAAGTGGACTCCGCATAGCATATTTCATTTAGTCTTTTTTGATTCCAAAGGAAATATTCATGTATACTTGGTCACATGTATATTTACGGTACAATAATGACATTTTTTATTTTAGAGATTTTATTAACAACAAGTAGCTTTGAGCGACAGAAAAAAAGGAAGAAAACCGTTAAAAATTGCCTTAGAATGACTTTTTCGGCGCCCCCAATAGACTACCTACAGGCCGTAGATAGTCTGTTGGATGAATTTGTCATGTAGTAAAGCAAATACCTAAAGGTTTTGACTGAACTGTACAGCAGAAATTTTCATATACTTATGAAAATGAATTTCATTATTTACACATTAAAATCAGCGTTTTTGGGACTATTTCAAATCCATATTATTCACCAAGGGGCGTATTCGTGGTAACTAACATTCGTTTTTAACCACGCCATCGCAGCACGATTTGCGATTCGCATTAAACAATGACTAAATAAATTCTGAAGACTGTTCTCAACAATTAATGTAATACCATTGGACCGTCTGGAAGGCCGCAGCACTGAGGATCGTAGGCTCCATTTCCAGCAGAAGAGCAGCTGTCGTCGGGGTTGAAGCCAGTCGTCGTCCAGAAAAGATGATAGTCTGCGTCGAAAACCTCTTTCTACAAAATGGTTTTAGAAACAAGAGTCGAAAATCGGAACATCAATTTAGCAGCGCCAAGAGCAGAACAAACCTGTCCGACATGATTCTTTGCGAATTGGAGATCGCACTCGCACAAAGCTCGGTCGCATGTATTGGGATCGTCTTTGCAGAATTTATCGCCGTTTTTCTGTCCGTAGTTGTAGGCTACGAACTCGCCGATGCACATTTCTCCGAATTGTTGCCTGGCGCATTTGACACAATCTGTTCACAAAGTTTGTTGAGATTTTTACGTCTAAAACCGTTTTACCTTTGTATTGCTTGCACACAGAGTCCAAGGCATCAACAGGTGGTCCGTGTCCGGGATCAGACATCGGTCGATCGCCGAGGATCAAGCAGTTGCAGCCATACGCCCAGTACTTTCGCTCGTCGAAGTCCGGATTGTAGAATCCCATCATGTCGGTCAACTGAGAATATCTCTTTTCGCCGATCTCGATATCACGGGGATGTCGAGAAGAAATTTCAGACGAGGCGGCGACACTGGCAATTACACTGATCTTCATTTCGATGCGCTAGAAAGAATTGAAAATGTAATTTAGGCAGGAAAGGTGATTCTGAGTTACTGAGTAGTTCTTACTGTAAATTTAATATATCTCTGAATCTCTTTTTACCTGCGATATAACTGCTTTTTCTTTTGGCGAGCAAGAAAAGAGTGAATGCTGCTCTCTTGTCCGCCATTCCTTTTACATTGCTCGATCGTAGCTTCCGCGATGGGGCGCTGTTGCTCCCGGAATGAGCATCTCGAGCGGCGCTTGGTGCTCCTTATCGGTTTCACTTTCGGTGCACCGGAACTGCTCGTCTAATTTTTTCAGGCGAATGAATTCATTTTAATTACTGGAAATAAGCCGAACGTGGAAAGAGTCACGCCGCCCAAGTCAGACGAAATCTTGGTTAGAATAAAAATAAAGATGATAAAAAACGTGACCCGTTTGTCGGTGCATAAATAGATAGCTCAAGATCTTTTCAATCTTCCACGAAAATCTGGAGCCCATAAACAAGGGTCACTCCAAAAAATGATAAAAATCCAGTCGAGACTAAATAATAGAAGGTTCTTCACGCGAACAGGCGTTATTTTCATGTTGCTGTGGAGTTCATAGTGTGGACTTTTAGTTTACCCGTTTTGGAGCGATTTAAATTCTAAATAGTCTGTTTTTTACATGATAGATAGGGTTCTACTGGAAGTATCAAAATTTCAAAACAGTTCTGGTCAGCTCGAGAGATAAGGAAGGGACTGTTGAATCGGGAATAGTGAAAGAAGAGCGATAAGCCGCTACGGAAAGTTCGTTGATGTCACTTGTCAAAAAAGATCGAAATAATGGAAACGTGAAAACAACTCGCAACGGTGAATGCTCGATATTAAAAGAGTTATTTATTCGCAATTTTTGAGTTCCGAGTACAGAGCAGCCCGCCTACTGACATTTTTTGAGATTGCGTTTTTCATTTAGACAGGATGAAATAAGCGCGAAATCCCAGGAGGCGGAAGAATTCGGGTACCGAATCAAACGATCGAGAACGTGCGACATATTTGTAATTTGCTCTACGACGAACATAAATAATTACCTTGCTGGGGAGGATGATTACATTCATGCGCAGAAGCTTATTGAATGAACTATGCCTTGCCTCATCTCAATGAGTCCTGTTGGGAATGTTCTGGGAGCAGAATAATAATGGATACGGCAGCGTAACAAGCTCGTCTAAATTACGCAACCATATTCTCAAATTCTTCTCGCGTCACTTCTATTCTGACTCTGAAGACAACGTAGTTCGTGAAATTAATAACGAAACACGTCTACTAAATTCTGTCGTACTTATCGTAACGAATTTCGAATGGAAAGTTGCATCATTGACAGATTAGAATAACTTGCTTCTTTTCTATATCACCTGATATCAAATCATTTGTTAGAAGTATATTTTTCGGGTGTTATCGGATCGCGTTGGTTTTCCTCGATTGTTTCACCAGCAGGTTCTTGTGGTCAATCCAATCATGATACCAAAGCGACACTTGGCTCACACGTTCTATCTTGAACTTAATGCAATGAGGAGCAAATACAGCATCGTGAATAGCAGTTCTTGAGAATCTAAACAGCTCATTGTTTCTGAGTGGCGATAGGAAGCGTATTGTTTATTCAATCAAAAGTACGCCTTCCGATTTTGAGGTACATTGAGAAAATATTCGTTTAAATAAAACCTCGGCTTCTTTCTAATCTGCTTATGGAATCGCTGATGCACATTTTAAATTTCTTTTTGTTCAATCTGTCATGACCGAAAGAGGCTTTTGCTTTTACTTACGGATCATAAGTAGATTGCACTGCCACAATAAACAAACGACGAGTATTAGCGGTGCCTGAGCCACGTTTTTGGCCTCTGAACGTGAACTCTGAAAACAGCTTAACCCTGACTAACTCTTGCTGCTCTACTAACATCTTGTTGAAGAATTCCCATTAAAAGGGCTGAAAGGGCAGTAGCGGATGTTTGGCTAGGATGACTTGCATAGCGAGCAGCTGCTGAAATGTTCAACACGTTCGATTTCGAGGCTGAAAACTGAGTTTAGATTCCGCTATTCGAGCACTGCATTTTTCATAATCAAAGAAAAACATTTGTGCCGTAAAACAATGTACTTCAAAGCTATTTCTACAGGTAAACTTCGCGAAAAGAGAAGGCAATGTTCATCGGTATTTACTACCGCTATTTCTCGCTTGCTTTCTCATTCGCTTTTTTTAATGATCGAATAACGACGGTTCTAAAACAATTTTTTAGATATTATTTCATTTTTATCTCAAAAAGCTGAAAACGTACAATTTATTTGTTCGTGACGTGGAAAAAAAAGGAAATTATGGCGGTTGAATTTAGGTTGTCTGAATTCGATAATTTGCGTGACTATTGGTGCATTATATTTGGGGTCCATTAGACCTTTCTTTAATATGAGTAGCATGTATTCAGACCTTCCAATTTATGCGTGAAATCGAGGAAACGAAAAACGTGTCGCGACGATCGGCGTAACATGTCCCTGATTCTCTTTCTTCGCTTGGAAATGCTCTCCACAACTCGCTTGTCCGCTGACAATCGCAAATTATATATTTTCATTGGCGAATATCCTCCTTAATGCCACTCCTCCGCAAACTTAGTTTTCGCCGCTAAATATTTATTGATATGTTTTAAAGTCTCAAAACCGAATTCTCAATTATTATGCTCGCGTTCAAAGTTGTTTTAACCAAGGATATTGAACCCGCAATCATTTAAGATTTCTCCTCGCTTCCAGACAATTTTGTATTTGTGGACCGTCGAGCACGTTCGTTTCAGCTTAAATCTGAAAATAACCACTCTTCCGAGCAAAACTGCGAAACAAGTTTTTTCCTGTGGAACAGCTATCTGGCTTAGTAAGTGACTATTTTTTTGCCATTCAAAGATATACTTTGTCAACAAAGATTGGTGCAGGGAGTGTTTGTTTTATGAAAAGAATAATTTCAGCAGGTAGATGAATACTTTGATACACAGAGGTGAATAGTATGAACGCATTGTTTCCAATTGACAATGTTCGTCATGTCGTGAAATTTTCTAAATATTTAACTAAGCGGAGAGAAACTGCGGGATAATCATCCATCAAAAAGCAGATGAGGAGTTCTTTTTGAATTATGTTTTTGGCAGAGGTACTAGAAGACAGCTACAAATGTGACGGGCACGATAATTTACCTTTTACCGGTAAGTTTTTCATAATTAGAGGCATTGCTTGCGCAGCTAGGACTTCAAGGTTAATCATACATTGCTCAAGCCACAATGATTATAGTAGTAACTTGCGCGTTCTATAGTGACACGTAACGGGGGACAACTCTTTCAATGCCAAAACGCGGCCCATTTTCTCGAAGACGAAGGCTTGGAAGCTTACCTCCAGAATTACGGTGAAGGCAGCGGATCAGTACTGTTTGGACAGATGAAAAGTTTTTCAGTATTAATAGGCAATGTGTAGGTGTAACGGTAGAAAAATGAGCTCATCGTTATCTCTTCGTAAGGCTCGAGTTTTTCCATTATTATGAATTGCCAGGTTCTGGCGATCATTTTGGTGGTAAGATCGTCCGAATCGGCCAAGGGAAACAGTTTTTAGGACGAGGCTAATGTCCCAAATTCCGCACTAGAATTGTTCTAGTGCTCGGAAGAGTGCGTTTACTCGATCTTATCAGCCCATCGTCATTCTCAGATTGTAGCGCAGGCTTTTTTCTACTTGTATCAATTCACAGAAGTTGTTTGTGGCCGTTCTAGCGACCACCAGAGCACCAAAATGAGTCAAAAATAGGCGAAATTGACGCTTGATTTGTTTGAGTACACCTTGAGAAACTCATTTTTTGACTATCTTTTGATGCTTCTTTAGCCTCTGGTGATCGTTAGACCGGCCACAAACAACTTCTGTGAATTGATACTAGTAGAAAAAAGCCTGCGCTACAATCTGAGAATGACGATGGGCTGATAAGATCGAGTAAACGCACTCTTCCGAGCACTAGAACAATTCTAGTGCGGAATTTGGGACATTAGCCTCGTCCTAAAAACTGTTTCCCTTGGCCGATTCGGACGATCTTACCACCAAAATGATCGCCAGAACCTGGCAATTCATAATAATGGAAAAACTCGAGCCTTACGAAAAGATAACGATGGGCTCATTTTTCTACCGTTACACCTAGCAATGTGAGCAATATAAAATGAATCCGTGGAAAGAGTGTCGTCTCCAGCGTCATTATCAGAAAGTGGCACGTCCCATATTATCTGGAATGGGCCGCAGAAACACGAGGTCGATTAAGTTTTCGATTCCTGTCCTTGACGGCTCATTAGGAAACGCTATTCAACTTATTGTCCGGCATAGTGAGTCGAGCGAGTATCAATGCTCGAAAAAGTGGAATGTCAGGGAGGTGCTCTTCTGTAACTTAAAAACAGGTGACAGTCGAAAACGCCACTGGGCCATGTATGGAGCACTTCTAAAGAGACTTTCCGGAATTCCAAACGCTCGACAGCAATGCGACAGTTTTTGGAGAGAGCTCATTTGCAACGATTTTCGAACTTGCAGCTGACAAGGAAAATACTCCTCTCGTAAGAATGCAGAACGCTGCCGCAGAGGCGAATTTCGTTTTCAGGAATACACTGTCGATTCATTCCTAGTCAACTGGATGAAGCATATGGTGATCACATTTGTGGAGGCAGATAGAAACAACGCCTGTCCAACTGTAAAATCTCGAGATGAGCCTACTCCTCTATTTCTTGCCGGCAAAGGAGGCCGATACTTCATGCCGAGCGATTCGACCAAGGTGATCAAGTCCAAGTTTGCGAAAAGCGAAATGGATCCAAGCTCGCCTGAGATTCACGCCTCATTTACCAAAGGTAAGTTTATCAACCAAACAAATTCATCAAAAGAAATTTTAAAGGGAAAGAAACTCTTAATTTCAAGGATGTTTTCAACTGCTCTAGCTTATGCCTAACAATACACGTAGGCAATACGTTCAGACAATTAGGAAATGTGCTTATTTACTTGCTAATACTTGCTATAATTTTGCGCTAGAACGATTGAAGAATCTATGTTTGTAATAAATTTTCTAAATGTCTGGGTCACAAATTCCAAGCACATTGAAGGAAACCTTGGTCGGTCGAGCAGCTGCGAGATTGGGCAAATTATTCCTCCGGAAACTCCGATAAAGGACTCAGCTGAAGCGTCAACGTGGTCCACAGTGCTAACCTTCACATTCCTCGCTATATTATCGTTCATTCTTGGCCTACTCGGTAATATATTCAAATCTTGCGCAGCGCTGAGAAAATATCGTTTTTAATTTTTTCTCAAGTCGTGCGTCTTCGGAAGAAGTTGCGACGCGAGAGGACCACCGTTACTGACAAAATTGCCAAGCTCGTCGAACGTGACAAAAAGTCCTTCGAGAAGCGTTTCGAGGAAATTGGCCTGTTAGAAGATAGTCAGAAAATGTGGGGCATGCTTATTCCAATCAAGCTCATAAAGATGTCGGATAAGAAGCTGGGAGACGGTTTCTTCGGATCCGTCCATTTGGCCGAGCTCGTGCACAACCAAAAGACTGTCTGCGTGAAGCAACTAAGGTTTTCTTTACCAGCCATCACGTTGTTCGAATAAGGAACTATTAGGCTACAGGATAGCATGTCCGACGATGTCGTCGCTCAATTGTCCAATTCGATCATCGAGGAAATCCTGCGAATGAAGAATCTTGAACACGAAAACGTCATCCGTCTAGAAGGGTTCACACTGAAGGATGAAGGCAAACTAAAAATTCCGATGATGATATTGCCCTTTATGGAATCTGGGGACCTTCAAAAATATTTAGCAAATGAAAACAACACTATTAACTTTGAGCTCGTTATTAGGTAAGCCGTTTTTTGTAAGCATGTTAAAAAAAGAGTGAAGGTTTGCGCTAGAAGCTGCGCAAGGAATGGACTACTTATCAAGAAATAGCATCATTCACAGGGATCTGGCTGCCCGAAACTGCCTTCTCGACAACTGCCTAAAACTTAAAATTGCCGATTTCGGACTATCCAAGCACATCGACAATGCGTATGAAAACTCAGAAAGTTACGTTGTCACGACTCAACATCATTTGCCGTTCCGATGGATGGCCCCGGAGAGTTTGAAAACCCGCACTTTTAACATCAAGAGCGATATTTGGAGCTACGGGATTTTATTGTGGGAAATAACGACTCGGGGAAGACATCCTTACGGGACAATTGAAAGCAGCGAACGACTGATATCTTACTTAGAAAACGGTAATCGCCTCCCGAAACCTGTCAATTGTTCCCCTGATTTATACGTGAAAGTTATGGAATGCTGGGACGAGCTACCGAATGATAGGCCTACTTTTTTCTCGCTCTCTGTGTACATGAGGTAAGATATGTTCCTTACTCAGTACTGGCAAAACGAATATTGTGGGAATTTCTCAAAACGGTATTAAGGAACTATTTGACGAAAATTCAACAAGACTCGACGATGCGAGAGTTGCAGCTACTTTTAGACGATGGCTTCGACGAGAATTGGTTGCATTGTTACGCACACCTTAATACACCCCAGGTAGCTCCCATTAATACAAAATACATGTCACAAAGGCTATGCTGGGTTCTCCTCACACAATCATTTAATACCTTCCGAAGGATAATAAACATATCGTATTTTCTTTAGAAAAGAGGGCTGAATAAGTATTAAACAAAAAAAACGATCTTGTTTCTGCAATGAGTTCTAAAATGAAAAAAAACGTTTTCAGAGAGATTCACCCGAGTTAAATCCGAAGATGACCCATAATTTGAACTATGATATTGATCCTGGTCTAACCGCGATGGACCTTGCGAAGGCCTCACAGGAACTGGTTTAGTAAAGATTTTTCAAAAAATTAACAAGAAGCAATTTTGCTAAACGATTCAAGCTGGATCGATCAGACGAGTTCCTCAACGAATCTTGCGGAGAAGTCATTTCGACTTCGGCGTACATCAACTTTGAGGAATAGGTCGAAAATCAAACATTCCTGAATATGAAGAGACAAGAGCACCCTTGAAAATTTCAATTCTCAATAAACTTGTTCGACAATGTTGAACTTATCTCAAGAATATATCTCTTGTGGCGTGAAATTTTTCGATTTGGGGTGTTGTTGACCTATTCTGGCAGCTTGAGCAACTGTTCAATTATCTCCATGCGACGTGTTAAAATATGCTTTCTAAATGCTCAACGAAAGGACATTTCTGTGGCTTCGAGTCAGGAAAAAAGCTTGCCGTGCCGTGGAAGTCTTACCGGATTTTTAAGGCAGCTACTACAAGTTCTATTATGAAAATGGGCGTATGTGGTATTGTCTCAAGTAAGCCACATGGAAGTCCAAGGAGTAATTAATTCTTGAGCTGAAACGACTGAAAAATAAAATATAGCTTTTTAATATAAAACAAATTCATTAAGAAAATGAATTGTACAAGGGGCGCTGATTATGACTGGGCAGATCATTTCGCGTAAAGCGAGTACACTTTGTCGTTCCACAAATTCCAACATCAATTCTTCTGGGCAATGGCAGGATAGCAGAGCATTCACGCTACGAGCCAAACATTCAAGGCTTCCGGGGACTAATTCGCAAGGGCCCGCCATTTCAAATCAATTTTCATAAAAACTCGAAAATTGAACTAGTCTTTGAACGATCGTTAATCGACGCCAAAATAGATTTGTTTAACAGAAAGCGGAACATGTTACAAATCAGCTACAGAAAAAACATTTCCAATCTAGATGGGGCATTCTTGAAGCTCTTATCTCAATTAGAAATTCTCAAGCGAAATGAAAGGTATCTTCGTTTCCACGAGTGGGCCCCTCTGGACAACAAAAAATTTCCAGAAGTTGCAGCTTTATCGTTTTATCTTGCACGCAAGCGAGTTGCTAAAATAGGCGATTACCGCAGCTTGGATTGAGTGATCAACCTCGATTGCGTGTTTACTTTTTAGAAAGGCTTCCATCAGAAAATAATCGTCAGATTGCACCTTATGCAATTCGACAAAAAAAAACTGCAAGACAACGAAAATTTGTATGTTCCATGAGCTATTTTTTCGGAAACGGACGCAGATCTAGCTAAGCTCTTCATGAGTTTACCTTCGTCCCCAAAATTAACGGTTGCCTCCTCGTTAAGATCTTACGTCTCGACAACGGCTCTTTTTGCTCATGTTCCTAAAAATCTCTTTTCTTTAGCTGAAATCAAGCATAAAATATATAAAAATATTATGCTTTTGAAATCATTTCAAAAACCCATATTTGGACAGAACGCGCATCATATCTGTGCGTCCATTCATGCAAAATCTCTGGAAGTTTGCTTTAAAAACTTTAAGTTAGGGTTTGTATTGCCAATTGATTTCAAAAAAGAAAGAAAGAAAAGTAACCGACAGTAAGTTTATTTCTTACTTAATTGACAGCAAGAAAAATGTGCAAATATGTACAGACATCAAAATAAAAATGGCTCGAAAAGTAAAACGTTTTTTCAGTAACAATTTCTTCGAACAGTTCCATCTGCGCAGCATTGTTTATTTGGGTTGAGCGCATTGTAGAGAATGTAAGGTCTAAATACAAAATGAAATACTTCTCGAGGAAGGACAGAATAAGAAACTCCGTCTCCAGTCATTCTATGACTCCCTGTCATCAATTTTTTAATAAAACGCGGTTTTCGCGCATCACCGCTTACTTGTCGTAACCGCCGCAGCATTCGGGCTGTGCTGGGCTGCCGCGGCCGGGGCAGTCTTCCTCCGCGCTCCACCCGATCGTCGACCAGAAGCCATGGTAGTCGCCGTTGAAAACGCTCAGTGCATTTGTTTCGGCGAGCTTCCTAGCATACATGGCGTCACACTCATAGATCGCCCGTTTGCAAGTGCCAGCGTTATTTCCAGGAACTGTTTCGCCGTAGCTGTCCACTTCCCACTGGTACTTAACTGCTTCTGGAATGCACATCTCGCCGAACTCCATCTTTCACAGGGTTTATTGATGAACTTATCTTAATAATTCTAAAAGCAGCATTACGTCTGCATTTCCTATCATTCAGATAACGGGAAGTTGCGACTCTAAATAAAAACTAGCTTTGATCAAACTGTCTCCTTGTCACTTGTAGCGTTGCCAAAATACAGGGAAAAAGAGAAATAACAATCCAACAATTTTGGGCAAAGAAAACTTATAAGTGCGAGCGCAAAGGATGTCAACTCAGGACGGCAACGTTTCGTCGGTGTTTATGGTACAATTTGAGATTTTATTTTAGAGTACACAACTTAACTTTCGTGTGCTGCGTGCCTTTTTTTGAATGCGATGTGATTAGGTAAATCCTGATTCCTTTACGCAGTGGATGCATTCTTTGTACTGTCGACAGACGTTGTCCAACTGGTCAACTGGTTTACCTCGACCTCTGGTAGACATTGCGCGATCACCTAGCATCAAGCAGTGACATCCGTAGTACCACTGCTCGCGCTCGTCAAAGCCAGGATTGTAGTGCTGTGTAATAGCCAGAAGATCTACGTAGCGTCGTTGTTGTTGCATGCCTAAAACGGGATGAAAATGATAACTTGCTAGCTTATTGAAAAATGCGTTTAGAACAGCTTTGATCCAAAAGTTGGCAGCGGACATCTGACTTGAGGACGTGCAATGTCACCACTAGCGAGAGCGCTGTTTAGATAGGTATAAGATCACTCGACGTTCACTCGATAGTGCAAATCAAAGCTAGTGTCAGCTTCAGCGCTAGCTGATAATTAGAAGTGCCAGCAAAACAATGAGCAGCTCACCTTCAAAGTAGGAATCTGGAACTTTAAAGATTTCCGCCCTGCTGGGTTTCCCCTCAGCGATAAATGTACCGGCGATTACGGCAAAAACCTATAATAGAGTTGTGAAATCTCTCTCAACAGGATTTGAGTTCTACCTTCATAATTCCCTTTTCTCTTTACTTCTCTGGGCAAGACTGACTTAACTGAGGTGCACGCATTGTCGACGGTTAAATCGCGATGGTTTAGTAGCGCTCGATAGCGCCACCACCTCGCCCTTTTCCGTTACCCATAGTTTTTTTTTCACTGGCGTAAAATTGCTGTTTATCAGAAAATATTCTTTCTTCGAATGTTTAACTTTAATCAGAATATATTTAACTTCTTTACTCAAATAAAATAATATCTCATTGCTGTAAAGATGAAGCGATTAAAGAGCCAATGAATGAATATTTAGAAGGAATAAAAGTTACGTCCACGCTGCTCAGATAAAGAGATTCGAAAAGTGATCTGTGCTAATTGTTTGACAAATTATGTCTCCAACGATCTGAGGAATAAAAACTGAAACGTTGGCTCCTCACGTCAGGGTTCGGTAATTTGAGCTCAAGCTAAAACTCATTTTGGCTAGACGCTCAAATTTCCTCAAATTGAGAACTCAAAGTGACTTGAGAAATCATTTTGAGAAGATTTGAGATTTTGAGAGTTTTGAGTTTTTGGGAGATTTGAGAGTTTTGAGTTTTCAAAACTCAAATTAAGCGAGCGCTTCCTTGATTGGCTCATGGATCGCCAGAATTGATTTCTCATCTCTGAGTTCTCAAAACTCAAATTAAAACGTGAAAAAACGTGAAAAAACGTGAGTCTCAAGCTTTGTTTCCTTGAGTTTTAGCGTGAGCTCAAATTACCGAACCCTGCCTCACGTGTTTATTCCGTATAGCAGGAAAGTTCTGTTTCTTATGGAATAGACATGGTATTGCTTCAATTGTGAGATCGAAGATTGGTCTTTTTTGTCGAAAACTTTTTTAATGATGATTTACATCAAAAGAAAAGAGAATCGTCATTTTCAAAAAAAATCATAATTGCCGAAATCGCTGGCTCTAGAATCTAGATAAAGATAGCTGATAAAAGATAACCAGGAGTTCCATTTTTTACAGCAAACATCTGGCCATGAAAGCTGCATCCCGCCTGGAGAGAGTTCGCGAGTGGCGCCATCTTTCGGTGAAATTTCGGAATAAAAACGGATAGAGCTGCAAGAAAACCATCAAAAATCAACAAACAAAGAATTCATCAAATACATCGAAGCAAAAATGAGCACCACCAAAACTACCACATCACTGATGCCCAAGACAACTTCTTCATCCCCGATCCCTCCAAAGCTCAACAAACCCGATGAGTTGGGAGTCTTAGAGGAATTCGAGATCGTCGACGAGATGACCGACCTCCAGCCAGAAAAAGTGAAGCGGTTTCCCGACCCCTACCGTGGAAAGAGGGTGCAGCCAGTCATCGAAAAAAACTTCGGCCAAAACAATATTGACGCGAAAGATAGCTCCGTGATTGGGTTCTACAATCAAGGCAGCAAGCGAGACAGCTTCCGAGGGCTGAGCTTCAGACGATACTTCACCTACGAGACTAACAACGAGAAAGAACTCATTGGTTCCTGGCTGACCAAGTGGGAACCGAAATACAACTGCTATAATCAGTATCTTCGTCCTCACTTCCGACATTGACGCGAATCATGATGGGCTTTACTAAAACTTACAATACTACTTCGCGTTTTAAATATTTCTCAAAATGCCACTCTTGAATTATCCTGCAAACATTTATAAGCTAGCAATAAAAACATGAAATAGAAACATGAATTTTCTTCATGCTATTACTTTTTCCTTGAGGGCAACTATATGTACAGGATAATGTACAGTTATTAGAAACTCGCTCCTTCCACGATGTCGGAATACGCTAAGATTGCGGCTGCGGGCATCGTCCATATGATGAAAAATAGTTGATTAAAACATTTTTGTTCTATACACGTTTGTTCATAAATAACGTTTAAAGAAGGATATGAAGGCTATTCTTTACAGAGTATCAGGGTTTGTATTTGTCAGGATTTTTGTTCGTCAGGGTTCATTAGAGTAGTTTGTTCGGCCAGAATCACAACTTCACTTTCTTTTTCTTTTCTGTTGCAGATAAAAAGTTTTTCTTTGAGCTCGCTAAAAGTAACAGGGGGCAGATTCATGCATACTCCAACGAATAGTGCAGAGGAGGCTATAACAATCCAAATCGTCAGTACCATAATTACGAATTCACTCTAGAATTGATCATTTATTTTCTTCCCTCATCTCCCTCTGTCATTTCTTACCGGCACCATGCAACCTTCTTCAAATGGATGGGGTTCAATTTTATAGCTCTTGAAATCAGACTCTAATATCTTCTTTTGGAAACACTGATTTTCAATTGTGATACGTCCTTTCATTATCTAACAAAAATGCTGTTGATGTTAAAAGAATAATGTCTCATAATTCATGAGAAAAATGATAGAACACTCTTTTAGAGTGTGTGTTGACTTTAACTCACGGATAAAGATTGATTATTGACTTGTGAACAGATCCATTTCTCCATACTATCATTTTCTGTTGCTCCATTTCCCTTCGCGAATTCTACGCAGAAGTCAATAACATAATCGTTTAGAACAATCATGAACGTCGAAAAAACTAAATAAATTTGCGCTCAAACTTTATATACCCGTATATACTTACAAATGGAGACTTGCGTTGCTCTGTAAACGAGAGTAAATATGCCCTGAGCGAACGGGGCGCATGGGCAGTCCGCGCTTGTTTGATGGATTTCCTTCTGCTGCTCTGCAAGATCGAGACTTTCTTTCAAGCAGCCAGCTTTGAGAATGAACTGAAACGCCTTTGAAACCAAAGATATTATCCATGGAAGATTCACACTAGCATCTTAAGTCGGCAACTGGAATGGAAATATAATATTTTAAAAGCGGTCCAGTTGCTAACCATAAATAAATGTACAAAGCAACGACACGTAGGTCGAATCTGATACCGGGCTTCCATGCACCAGAAATCTGGAAAAGTAGAAATAGACCAGCCAAAAGTCCACTGCTTTGAGAAGAAACTGGTCGATAATTCGGTACTCGACGAGAACCTTGTGCATGATGATAAACATCGTCTCGTCTTCTTTGCTCGTCTTGAATGCGACGATGGTGAGTTTGAGCACGTGGTTCAAAAGTTTGACGAAGGCACAAAACACTAGCATCCCTGAAACCCATTCGACAGGATCGACAGCCAGACTTGAATCCGTGTTATACTCGTACCAGACGAAAACGGGCGGCAGAATATCAATCAGTGGTACTATAGACAAGAATAAAGTAGATAGCAATGAAAGTTTCCCCAAAGTTCGCGTGTTTAAAACTGAAAAGACGCAAGTGGAAATTATTGCTATGATCAGGAAGATTTGCTGCGTCCAAAAGTATTTTGTTGTCTCCGCCTCCTTCGGAACAAGATTGAGAATTTTTATTCCGCGTCGAGCGATATTATCTTCTGTTTTCTCAGCGAAATCAGTCTTGTTGAATTTTTCTTTCGTTAAAAGCTGGATTGTTACCATCCAGCGCTTTATTGTCTTGCCAACCTCAGTGGATCTTCTTCGCCGTTGTGCTTCTTTACAATGTGTATGAGGACATTTGTGATCACAATTGTAAATGCAAGTAGCATGAGAGTATTTGTATTTTCTGTCATGATCATTTTCAATTGATCTTCTTGCTAGCTTGCAGGCCGCATCAGTAGGATGATCATATTCAGGACAAACAGTGCGATCTTAAAGATTTATCGAACTACTCGTCCTTAGACAATTACCGGTGTAATGACGCCGAAACGTTTTGAAGTTTTCTTGTGGCTCTAATATTCCCTTCTCGACTAGCGTTTCATATTCTTCATCTGATACCTCTGTCTCATCCGGTTCAGGATTGTAAGATAGATCTGTATACAAAATTTCCTTTACTCCTATTTCTTTAGTCACTTCATTCACAGCATTTTCAATCTAAGAAAAAGTTAATTTTTCATTCTCTTCATCTCTAAAGCAACCTTTTTCGTGTCGACTTCTTCTGCGTAAACTGAGTAAAAACGAGACGTAACTCTTTTCTTTCGTTCGGCTCTGGATTGACAATTTACACATTTAGAAAATATTAAAATCCAAAAAAACTTCATCACGTATTTGGAGCCAGGAGTAAGATTATGTGAATGGATGAGTTAGTTTGCACAAAGCGTAATGAATGCGGTGTATTTGCGTATACTCTTGGCAAACAGTTAATGTCCCACATCCTGAAGAACAAAAACTGGTTATTTTCTCGTCATGGCTGAAAAAAGCTCGTAATGATTTGAAAAGGGAATTTCTTCTATTCTTTTCCCACATACAACAAATAAGAGATGCTTTTTTATTTCTATAAAAGCTCACCAGTTGACAATATAACTGTATCTAGCGCCCTCAAGAAGCTTCACCCTTCATGATCTTCTAAAATTGAGGTACAGAAATTTGTCTTGTGGCATTATTGCATTGCTTTTTGTTTCATGAGTCGCTTAGTTCCAGCTCTTTGAGTAGTGGTTCGAGGTTTTTTGCTTGGACGGGGCTTCTTTTTCCCTCCCTTTTTCTTTTGATTTTTCTTTTTGTTTTCTTTTGATTGTTGAATGTTGTAGCCATTGCTTTCTTCGTAGCCATTGATAATTGAATAGCCGCTAGCGACACCTGAAGTAGTCACAGTTTCAGCTGTTGTTGTCGGATAAGTAGTGGTGGTGGAAGTAGTGGTTGTTGATGCCGTAGTTGTTGAGGTTGTAGTGGTAGTTGTTGTTGTTGTCGTGATTGTTGTTGTCGTGGTTGTTGTGGTTGTAGTGGTTGTTGTTGTGGTTGTGGTGGTGGTTATTGTGGTTGTTGTTGAAGTGGTTGATGTTGTTGTAGTTGAAGTAGTTGATGTTGTAGTTGTACTCGTGCTCAATGTCGTGGATGTTAATGTAGTCGTTGAAGTGGGTCCGTAAGTAGTAGACACTCACAAGCAGCTTTTCATTCACGAAAAAACGGATTTTACTAATCAATAGTAATCTATGGAAATTATATTAATGTAAAGAATATAAAGCCGATCCTGAGGCACCTCCAGAATAGGAGCTTCCGGAATTTCCAGAATAGAGACCGTTATTTCCAGCTCCCGAGGTTGTTGTTTTTCCAGTGGTTGATACAACTGACGAAGTGGTAGATCCATAACCACCTCCTTTGGAATTAGGACTGACAGAAAACTCGGATCGTTTTGCATTGCAGGGTCGAGTAGTGATACCGATGACTTCTGGCGTCTTTCGTTTCGATTCGATATTAAGGAACATTCGCGCATCCATGTTGCTCATGTCTGCGAATTCATAGAACGTTAACAAAATGGCAGTTTCATCTTCGGAGAGCTCAGCCGAAACGATCGGGAACGAAAAGGAACCGACTGATTTCAAAGGCTGGCTGAGTTCCAGTAGCATTGTATCGTCGGAGTCAAAAGAAGCAGGAAAACGAGTCTCTATTGTCATTAATTTGCATTTCTTGCAGTCGTTTGAGTTTGTTATTCTGGCGGCTTCAGTTGAAAATTCCAAAATGCTCTTCTCCTCACAAAGTATGCGTTGAGGCGGGAGAATGAATTCTTGGGTGCATCGAGCATTGCTTAATGATGTGAATTTTTGAAAAATATAAAGCTCTACCTTGTGTCAGCAAATCTGGCCTTTTTTGGCTTTCTTGACCATCCACAAACTCCTTGTTGATTGCAGGCGCAGCGTAAAACGGACCCCTTCATTCCTGTTAGCTTACCGCCATTGGTACATTGATGCTCACAAGTCCTAGTGAAAGGTTTTATTCTATGAATTCTTACTAAAATTATTACATTTGGTTGTCTCTGGCATTGACAAAGCAGAATTGATCGATGTTCTTGTCGAATATTGGTGGTAATTCTTCGCATGCTTGGCAATCTGGAAGTTGCCCACTCCACCTGTTCTTGCCCGTCTCGACAAAGTTCTGAGCTTTATTGCGTACACAGTTGATGCGTGGATTTCCAGCGGGCATGAAGCCAGCTTGACAGTCCACAACGCAAGTCGCTCCATCGCAAAAGACACTAATTAAATTTTGAGAGTCTTTTCAAACTAATTCTAGTCGTACCCTCTTGCATTCTTAGGCGTTGCTAATTTTGGACACGTTTTGAACTCAACAAATTTGTTCTTTGGTTCCCGTCCCCAACCTGCACCACTTGTTGAAACTTTTTTCTTTCCTCGCGCAAGTATTGAAGGACTTGTATCGTCATCCTCGTCATTCTACAACGCGAATTAAGAAATAGGTCTCTCGTCAAACTAGAGCATCTCTAATAACAATTTACTAACATTCATAAGTTGGAGGAGCTCTCTCCAAGTTGCTCTCGGTTGTTTGCCAGAGCTGGCGAGTCCATCTTCGACTGATTGAGCGCTGGCACTAAGAATAACGCAGAATGCGAACTTCCTGAAAACTCTCATTTTCAGAAAAAAATATCCTCGAAAAATGGAATGGCCACTGTCGGAAATGTCATCCGCCTTTTATAGTCAGGAGCGTGCGGTTGGTCATGGCATTAGAATGAGGAATATCGGACCTGTCAGTAATGATAATTAGACGAGACAAAAATGCGTGCGCTGACGCTACGCACCACCAAAAATAGAGATCGAGCAATTTTCGTTTTATTCATTTATGAATTATTCAATGAAGAAATTAAGGACAGCCTGTCTGAAGTTCATAGAATTAACTTATGTGACACGAAGCTTCCATAAGGATAGACAAGCGCAGAAAGCACGGTGACAAAGTTTCTCCTCACTATGCCGCAGTTTGTGCTGCGATATCAAATTATGCTTTCTAGAATATAAATACATTCAGACGAGTTTAAAATATAGGCTTTATTAGTTTATACAGTCGGAGTCCAAAATAAGGGACACCAAGATAAGGGACTTTTTTGCTCAAAATGCCGAAAATCAGCGGCAGAAAAAAATCCAATTTAAGGGACTTTCCGAGATCAGTAAGCTTCTTCAGTTAGTTGAGAGCTGATAAAGGGTATCAATTACCTTAATTTCAACCAGCTTTGCCCCAAACTGAAGTGATTTGCCTTTCAGAATATGTTTTCCTCTTTCAAAAATGTCTTCTAAGTCACAAAAACAATAACTTCAGCATATTTTGCCGTAAAAAATATACTTCGAAAAAACTTCTCAGCGACATATTTTTTGCTTTGATGACCCAATTTAAGGGACTTTTTTCGAAAATTTTGGAGCAAAAAAAGTCCCTTATTTTGGACTCCGACTGTAGAAAGATAAATCCGCTTTTATGAAATTCGTCGCCTCCCTTGAAGCGTGAATTATTGCTCGTCATTTTCTACTCAAAGATTTGGTATTGGTCCCAAACAAAAGGCGTTCTTCATTTTTCAAAGCCAGTCAGAGATAGCAAGAGGTAAGAAATAAAAACAATCGCGCTTCAAAATTAAAAAAATGGGGAGTTTTTCTATTCACATTATGAGGCTGACTTTTTGTAAAATAATATTCTGGTAAAAACAGTTTTCTAAATCTTTCATATTTTTCAAGCAGATACCAAGCTGGACACTGATCAATATTTCATTCTTATGAATATTCCCAGAGGATGCGCAATAGAAAGACTTTCATCACTGAATCATATTTTAAATGTTTGCTCAGTCGTTTAAACTGTAAGAAAAGCAGAGAGTTGTTGACAGAAAGAACTCTGTTTGCAGATCGAATTCCTTATTACAGAAGCATTTTGAAAGAGAAAAAAGACAATGGAGAATATGATCTTTTTAAACTGGTATGATTTCGACAGAGAAGCGATCTTTTCTCAAAAGAATTGTTTCCATTCAGTGAGTGCGCTAGGTCTACAGTTAACCTTTGTATCTGCTGACGACTTATTGAGTAATATAATAAACTTCTCATAATCCCCCATTTTAACGACGTTACGTTACTTTTCAGACGATGTCGTAAATTGCATCTTTCTCCAAGAGGTTAGCACGACTTGGATAAAGAGTGATGACCACTAAATCAGAGGAACTTTATTACGAAACGAGAGAGGCGCCTATCAACAGATCCGATTTTGCTGTAGGAGTGCACAGAGGAAAAGTTTACGTTTACGGCGGAGTCTGCGTCGCTCTAGGTTAGTATTACAAATATTCTGTTTCATGATGTTTTCTCTTAGGCCACGGTTTATCAGATTTATACGAGTACGACCCTGCCACTGAATCTTGGACGGAGTTGAGAAAACGATCTGCACCCGGACGCCTCATCGGTGCGAAGTTCGTCTCTACCGGCGATGAGCTCTTACTTTACGGGGGCGAAATTTGCGAAAAAGTTTCTGAGTGTCCCTTGTGGAAACTGTGCTTCTCCGAGGATACGAAATTCAAGAAACTTTCGACAAGGGGAGCCTTTCCTTCGAACCGAAAGGACTCTTCCATCATCTTTGCGCAGACGTGGACGGAAGAGGCCGTGTTCCTCTTCGGGGACAACGTCACTTGATTGGCGACAGCGACGAGTTTTGGAAGTTTTCGCCGAAATTCCAGAAGTGGACAAAGCTTGCCAGTGGTCCTCCAGCCAGATCAGAAGCTGGCATCGCTTACTACCAACAGAATGTCCTCGTGGTAGGAGGTTATCAAACTTCAGATATCTGGGGATACCACACGAGTCTAGGAGTTTGGACCCAATGGATGAAAAGCATTCCCAAATGTATATCTGAGAATATAATGTTATGGGAAGACTCCATCTTCAGCGTCTCCAACTCAAAGCTTGGATGTTTCTTGTATGTGATAAATCTCAATGATCGGAAGTATTCATTCACTACACATTCGCTTGAGGTATTATTAAAATCGTATTTATTGAGATAAAGCTTATCTATCCGATGTTAAGAAAGCTGTCGGATCTAAAATGGTGACTATAGGAACTCCGGCATCAGAATTTCGAAGTCGCTCTACGCCTGGCAGCGGACGCCGGCGTAATCGAATTGCATCGAGGAAGAATAGCAGGTCGAAAGTTGGAATCTTCAATGATGGTTTCGAGATCGGTGACGACGCAAGCTTTGTCTCATCTCCTGGTATCTCGTTGATTGACTTAAGATCTCAAGAACGATCAACAAATTTGATATCCTATAATTCATTGGACGACTCTCTGAGCAGCGTCAAGCTAGCCAATCGAAAATGTAATTCGAATTGATTCTAATGATTTGCCCTGCTTTACAATCTACATTAGTTTCATAGAATTATTTTAGCTCCAGAATCCGTTGACAGTGCGTACTCGTCTAGCCCCGAACCTTACAGAAGTAGTAGCCTGTTAAATCAGCAATCGTCGCCTGTATTGCCATTCGCGAAGAAACTCGATCAAGTCGAAAACACTGGTTGCTACTTTCTTATATTTGGCGGGAAACCCCTGCACCCTGTTTATACAAGAAAACCTCTCTATGCTGGAAAAATTAATTTGCCGCCTGAATTAATACCTTGATAGTAAATGACGATCAAATAACGAAAACGTATATTTCGCCCAAGCTCTAAAGCGAAATAGACCTTGCTTTTCATGAGAAACTCTGAGTCACATTTTATTTAGCATAAATATAAGGAACTGAGTTGCACTTGTTCACAAGTAAAAGCCTTCAACATAAAATAAATAATCACTTTGGAAAAGCAGGAAATAAGTTTTCTTCAAAAGTAGAAGAATGTAAGAGTGTTGCATCTGTAATTATAAAGTTGCGAGTAGCAGAAAGGGCTCTTAGTAAAAATTGGTCGACTAGGCAATCAAGAAAGTTGAAACAGGTTAAAGTTGGCGAGTGTTGTTTTTATGGATCACGAAATGCCGCAGCATCCGCGGATTTCGCGAGATCTCTTTCGCGTTAGACTTGGGTCATCGAGCGTTATGTAGGTGACAGCAGGGGCGTAGGTAACGATTTTATCTAAAGCGAGTTCTCTAACGTTGTTTAGGGGTAAGGTTACCTGATATCTTTTCTGATATCCACGATAGGTTCGGCGAGGCAATGACGTCGAACACTTCATCGTTCCTGAATCCCTTGTAGAAAAGTGTTAGTGACACATTGACACAACGAGAATATCAAATCAACATCTGGCAGCCAACAGTTCAGACATTGAGACTTACCCCTTTTCAGCAATGGAGTCGAGCATTTGCTCGTGGCTTCCTTGCTTTTGCGGGTTTCGCTTTTTTCGTCTCCGTTTTTGATGTTTCGGTTCTTGTTGCTGTCGCTGTTGTGAATTTTGCGAGGCTGTTGAGTTAACTTTGGAATTTGAGTTTTTTTCTGTTGACTTTGTGGTATCGGAGGTTTCGTTTGCGTTGGACTTTGTTTCACAAGTTTTGGCATTGGAGAGATTTGACATTGAGGAATCATTTCGAAATGATGTTCCGCTGGGAGGATCTCGCTCCTCAGAACTGTCACGTCGGTTGTGCGAGTTTTTGAGTTGTGCAGCATAAACAGCTGAACCAAAAGTCAGAGTGAAAGGAGGATTCTTACTCACATAAATCACGAGAAGAAGTTCGGCGGGACTCAGAGGACTCTGAATCTGAACTGGCAGTTGAAAAAGAAGAGGGAGGAATGAAATTTTCGAAAGAGCTGTACTCTTCACGACGTTGCCGGCGACGTGCGCAGGAAGGTGAGGTGCCCATCTAATTTTTTTTGAGTCGAATTGATTTCTAGGTGTGACTCACGTTTAATCGATTTTGACGAGGGCTGGCTTCCACGTCGAAATCGTCTAGTTCGGACTCGGGCTCTTCGAATATTTCATTGAGCTCGTAGCTTGTCCGCGAGGATTGCTGGTTCGACCAGTCCTTCTTGTCGGAAGTTCTAGAATTTGAGGACTTGGATCGTAGCTCTCCTCCGGCAGCGCGAAGACGGGCGGACACATGAGAGAGTGTCTCATCGGGAGAGAAGCAGCAGCGGTATTCGCGCTCATCTTCGTCATCCGTTGTTGTCTGACTGCGGCTGGTGCGCTCCTCCTCCGCCAGGTGCTCAATTCCTAGAACAAAATTAATGGTTCCATCACTTTCTCGATCCCATGCAAAAACCCGTGTTAGTCATGCGTTTCCCAAATTCGCCGATTAGAGAGATTCATTTGATCTGGCACGCCCAAAGATCATTATTTCAATTATTTGCGCATGAAAGATCAAGTAAAAGCAGAACTAAACTGAAGTAAAATAAGTCACTGCTTTCGGTCTCATGCTATACATTGATTGCTGTATAAGCACAGCCACAGCTGATTTTAGAAGTGATTCAATTAAGCTTTCTTTTAGCTTGTTTACCTCGAGCAAAGCTAAATAGTTGAGTAATTTTGCAGTTAAGAAACGAAGCTTTACCTTCTTTTGTAACGGGGCCCTTTCTTGGTGTTATAGTAAGATGTTCTCGAGGTAGAGGTGGAGCTGGAGACATTTTTCCGGAAAGACGATTCGTTCTTGGTGGTGACTGTCCCGGAGTAGGAGACGTTGATCTAGCAGTAGTGAGCATTGGAAGAATCAATCGAGCGATACCTTGGGCTTGGGGGCTGACTGGGATTCGGTGATATATGAGTAGAGCGTGGTGTTGTTCTGGTTGAGCGTCTAGAACCTTTAGTACGCTCTAATTTCTCAGCGAACAGCAAATATGCCGCGGTCACCGGGTTATAATCGTCCTTGAGAATAGCTTCAGTGATCTCCTCGTCAGTAGCGACAAGTTCCGCTGCGGCATCTGTAACTACTCCGCTCTGAAGCAAAAACTGACATATTCGGTTGTGATCACGAGACTGGACGAGCTTCTTTGCTTCGAGGTGCTCTGCGTGGTTCGGAGCGACTGCCTCTGAAACATATGCTTAATCACAGGCCCTACTGTTAAACCTTACCGCCAAGATCCTTAAGCCAATCGTGGTTTAAAATCTCGTGAATTTTCAATCGATCCGACGGCTCGCGTTTCAGTATTTTTCTGATCAAACTAAAGACGAGTAACGCAGAAAAGTGTATATATGACGTACTCATTGCATTCGTCGGAGACATTTTCTAAGTCCGTATATCTGCAATCCATGATCATCGTCAAGGTTTCCGAGTCATTGGTTTCATTGAAGGGCGCTTCCCCACATAGAAGCATGTACAGAATGACTCCTAGGGACCAAACATCTAAAAGATCAGTGACGAAGGAAAACAAGATTATTGCTAACCAACTGCACTAGCATCGTATTCTTCGCCGAGAAGGATTTCAGGCGCGGAGTAAGCAAGAGAGCCACATGATGTCTGCAAAAATTTCCCTTCTTCAAATACATTGGAAAAGCCAAAATCTGTGAGCTTCACAGACTCGTTTTCGGAAGAGATTACCTAGGGCGAGGTAACTAAAGAATTCTAATCTAGCAAAGACACACACCATGTTTTCTGGCTTGAGGTCACGATGAACAACACGCCGGTAATGGCAATAATCGATCGCTGTCACCATTTGAGCGAAAAATAACTTCGCCCTCGCTTCGTCAAGGCCATTGTCAAATTGGCGAATGTAATCGTATCTGAAGCTTACGGTTGGCTAAAGCGTCGAGTTGTGAAACTAACAAGTCTCCGGAATCACCAAGTTCCATCACAAGGAAGAGGTGATTCGTCGTATCTATCGCTTCGTAGAGGCGAATTACATTCGGATGCCGCAGCAGTTTCATGCATGTTACTTCTTTGTAAAGATGCAGCTTAGAAACTTCGTCAAGCTTATTCTTGTCGATAATTTTGATCGCCACGCGCACATCCGTCAGTAAGTGGCGAGCAAGCTTGACGACAGCGAACTTGCCCTGAATACGCGTTATTCCAACAAAGTCTACCCGCAAACCTTTCCAAGGGTCTCGAGTAGCTCATATCGTTGATCTAGAACTGTGCCGTTTCTTGCCGGATCGAGGGCGTAATCCATCATCTATCACGGCAAATTCAACGTGGACGACTTCGCTCTCACTTGACCATCTCTAAAAGGGAAATATGCTCCAGCAGCAAGTTTAAATCGATTCGAAAAGCGATTAAGACAGCAGAATTGATTCACGCCGCTACCAGCCGTGTAACTCATCCCTCTGAGCAGTAGCGATTATCACCCAGCACCCTATGGCAGAAGGACAGGGCATGTACAGAAGGACAAACATGAATTGTTGATTTCCTATTTTTCAGAACAGAGTAAGTCTAAGTCTCCCCTTTTATAAGAACATCGAAAACACGAGTATCGCTTAATTTTACTATATGAAAAGGGACCGCATTTTTCAAGTATTTAAATATATTTTGATAAATGAAACGCCGTCGAAGTAGAGCTGAACTCGAACAGAATTTCTCAAATTGAGAAAATATGAATATATACGCTTGGTGGTCGTAAATAGCGAAAAGTGTGAACTCAACCCGCACGGTTTGGCGAAGACAAGTTCATCTAACGATGTATAAGGTGGCAAGTCTTGGAATAAATAAAAACTAAAATTTAAGAGCTTCTCTTTATAGAAAAAAGTTTTCCATTGTTTAAAAAGCGCTTCTTAGGAAATAACACTTTTCCTGTGACCTAAATTTGTGTGTTTTATCACTCTCTGCTAAAAGTGTGATAAAAATACAGCCATGAGGATATATGCTTTGATAGAAGACTTGTGGCAATGATAACTGAGTGGAAAAAAATAAATAAATTTATGAATAGCCTCAGGAGCTAGGGAAACTTTCGATGTGGTCTGTCTGCGTAATTTCGTTCGAAGTAAGAAGCTGAGTACATTTGAGGGCTAGGCGGGGGTAGGTAAGCAGAGGCCGCTGTTTCAGGAGTGAAGAGTTCGTACTGCTCGGGAAAGAATGGACCCACTGCGTTGAAGAAAGGGGAAGGCTGGGGAACGAAAATTGGCGAGGACGTTTCACCACAGAGGGGCATTGGCGGCATCGGTGCGCAGAAGATTGGGACCTCTGGATAATGCAGAGGCACTGGCGAGTTCACAAAGACCTGTTCACTTGAGTTGATCGCCTCTTTTTCTCTTTGCATGCGTTCTGTCTGTTCAATGAAGGCGTCCGCATAACGTTGCTCCTCGGGAGTGAGTCCTTCGCGTGCGGGTCGAGGTAATCGGTCTGGAGGTCGATTTGGAATGTAATGTCGTCCCTTGCGAGGCTTTTTCTTCTTGGGCAATTCTGGGATCTCTTCTTCCTCCGACGAGGCAGAGCTCACTAATTCTTCTTTAATTTTCATCTTTGACATCTTTTCTGCAATTTTCTCCTCCTCGCTTTGTCTGTCAATTGTCCATGGTTCGTCCGAATAAAGAATTCTGGGAATGATACAGTCAGGCTTCGGGAGATAATACTAGAAATTTGATTAACCTATAATTTGAAGGTGGCCTTACCGGGGCGTTGCTATTGTATTTATTAGGCTTATACATTTCGTTCTGCCATATTTGAGCACCATCCTGGATCATTTTCAGCGCGATGCGGCTGATATTTCGCGCGTCATCTCTTCCACTGGAAAGTAGCGATTTCAAATTTCGAAATTAATGAAGCATTACGCACCTATGGAGATTTCCTTTTACTTCCATTCCCAGTACTTCAAGCATGTCCTCAATTTTCGGGGTGAAGGGTCCGTATTTGGATTTGTACACGTTCATGAAGATTCGTTTTATGTTGCAGTAGCGACTCGCCCATGTGTAAGGAAACGGGATGTCGTCCATTTGACATTGCTTGGACAGAAACTAAATGACGGTTTAAGAAACACCTTGGGAGGTCTTCAAATAACCTTGCATATATCAGCTGGAGAATCTGTTAAAAAAGTCCAAGAAGGTGTGTCCTTCGTGATCTTTACTCGTCCATCTGGGGCTGTTTTCAGAAGTCCATGGCTTTTCAGCCATCCGATGAAGGATTTGAAAACAATAGGGAAGTAAGGAGCTGCATTTACTTGGTTTTGTTTGATGCCAGTCAATTCAATGCAAAAGTCGGAGAGTTCTTCGTTGAGAAAAGGACGTACGTATGAGTGAAATTCGCTTATAATCTCTTCTTTTTCAATGTCGACCAAGATCGCTGGAAATTCAATGATCTCGTGCTGTAATAGTTAAAATACAAATATCAGCATGCGTCAGATCAGAATGCTAAGGAAGAGAGCAGAAAATTTTAAACGAGCGACATCCAAGTCCCCGATATTGATTTTTACAAATTTGGAGCTCTCTTCTACAGATACAGCACACTAGATTCACCGTTTTGCACGACCGAAGGATCAATGGCAAATCATAATTCTCGCTTGCGTCAATCAAAATGTAAATCAGTGTGCTGTATCTTTAATATAAAAGCAATAAGGCAATAAAATAAGACTAACAGGGTGGTTGACGAAGTTTATCCTCTCACAAGTGGCTTCGAAGTCGATGCAGACAAAGTATTTGCATTCAACATGGACTTCTTTGACTTTGGACTCGCCGCAGAATATTTTCTTGTAATGGCCTTTCAGGCGCTTCGCAAGCTTCTTCTTGTCGAAACCTTTTAGTCCATTTTGGTCAACTCCGATCGAATATAGTTTCTTGAGCAAGTCTCTTTTCTCGAGCCTCTTGATCATCTGATTGATCTCGGGGTAAGTGTTGTTTGACCAAGGATCCCGCTCATAAAATCTCCGTTCATCATTCGTTACTTTGACTCTCTGGCTGCGTATCATTCTGAATTGAACTCGGCTAGATTTATGTGCTTTGAGAAACAGTAGGGCGCGCAGTCGTTCTCTTTACAGCTCATTCAAGCAATCTGGCGGGTCTTCTTCGAACCCTTGGAAGTTTTCGGAGTAATCTGCTTTCTGTAAGAGCATGGTTAGGTTATCCCAAGAGTCCTCCACGGGCGTTCCTGCCAGCCTTTATCGAGGTTGCGCAAATTATGTTTATTTTGTGTTTCTTTCAGCTAGATTAACCCGCTTTGAATATATTCTCTCGGTGATTGCGCAACCAGAACAATAAGGTGAACGGGTCCAAGCTTTCAATTCTAATTTGCTATTAAAATAAATATAATTAAATGAAAATTATCGGAGAAAACCTGACAGAGCTGACACCCACACGATCAGCATAATCGAGTAATTTCCACATTCTATTCACGTACTGTAACCTTTCGCCGCCACCAGTTACTCCTTTTAATATATCCTTGACTCTGGCTAGAAAACACCAAAGATATGCACACTATTGCTTAAATGGGAACAGTAAAATAGCTGACACTCAAAGTCGACTGTTGAGAGATCGTCAAAAAGGAGCCAGAGTTCAAATATTACTGGTGACACGAGGAAATACATAGCCCGGGTTGTGAAGTAAATTTATGAGCGCTGGGAAAATTTACACAGAAGAAAACACCAGTAAAAAACTCTACTGTGATCTGAGATGTTTAAATTCTAACCGCGCCTGAGCGGCCTCTTCGAAGCTGGCCGGGATTTTCGGCGGGCTCCACCAAGGATACTTTCTGTCCTCGCAACTTGGTGCCTGTTCTACCAGCTTTTCTTTGAGCTGCTTGTTCGTCGTTCGATCTTTGTACATGCTGTAACCACCCCTCACGTGCTTCGACCCGTAGAAAGGCCGCCAGGGAACAGAGACGGAAACGAGAAGGAAGCCGCTCCGTTTAGTTCGCCAGAGCGCATCTTCGAGTACGGAGGCTGGACGAATTGTGCGATCGAGCACGTTCGAAAGAATCACCAAATCGAACTTGTCCTCTTCTTCTCGATGGGCGTGATCCAAGGACGTGTGCAAGCGGAAGTCTTCTTCGGACAGTATTTTAATGCCTCGCTTTTCCGCTGCATCGTTAGCATGGAGATCTTTGTCGAAAGCGAATAGCTTCCCTGTTTGCGTCGCCTTCCCCACACTCTTCAAAATAGTTCCAGAGCCTTGGCCAATGTCCAAAATTCGCAAGTCGTGCGCGGCTAGGTTAAATCCGGCGGTGCGCAGCAGCTGTCTGTATTGAGAAACTGAGCAAAGAAAGGAATCGCCCACTTTCCACTTTGGCAGGGAGATGTGCATCTTCTTTTGTGCATTATATAGTTGAGCAGATACTTATAGCGCCAGGATGATCCGCACAAATCCGTGGAAAACTGCAGAAAACGCTCAGTCTCTTCATCGGGATCCAATTGCAAAAAAGTGTCTCTCTTTTGCGGGCGTCCTTGCGTTTAGCACGGAAAGTGGGAGGTATGGAAACCCGACCTGTAAATTGTTTTCATCAGCGGAAGCTTGACTGAGTAGTAATCGTGGAGATACTTTGCAGATGCTCTGTAGGGTGTCATTTCGTAGCGCCAGGCTGAGTGCCGCACCAAGTATCTAACGATCGATTTTTGTTTTTGCAGCATTCTAGGCCATAAATATTAAAACGCACGATCAAGAAAACATATTCATGCGATTCAGTCCCAGATTGATATTTTTGTAAGTTTATTGATAATGAAATTTACCAATACACATATTCCGCATTATTGCCCCTTATTTATCTAATTGATGATAGTAAATTAAAGAAACGATTAATTAAATTTCGTAGAAAACGTTTTTTCGAGTGAAAGATAACTCAATGAAAAATCTTTTCAGGCTTGAATGATTCTCTGCATGGGAAGGAAATTAAGAAGGTTGGGTTCCTGCCACTAACAAGAGTACGAGGCTCTGCGCTGAGTGTGCTCGGTCGCAAGAAGAGCGCGGCGCAGCGCGAAATTATTGGCCGCGGCATTGCGCACTCACCCGCGACGCACTTTTTTAAAAGAGCACTTTCAACTTCTCCTTTTATCCCACACTCGCGAAAGTACTGTCACAGATATTCTTGAAAATATAAATCGTCAAAGTCATCCTTTTGTGTTTTATCGAAAGAGCACTAAATTTCGAATAAAAAAGCCGCAGTGTTGTTGAATTGACTGTAACGAAACTGTAGACAGGGAGAAGACATTTAATGAATGCAATTTGAATCTGTATGATATTTGTGTGAACCAAGTCTGAAACTGAGTGAAGTTGTCTTGTGACTCGTTAATCCAAACAAAGAAAATAGTAACTCGCCTGGCTGTTCGGAAGAGTGAGGATAATCAAGTGAAAACATTTGAAGAGCCCGAGCTGTTATCGAATCAGCTGCTGATTCATGCCTGTCACTTTTTGCTCATAATACTTTTCTCTTGTAACAAGTGATTAGTCGAGTTATCTTGATTTTGCTTCTCAATCGCTTTGACAGCAAATTGAAGAGATCGCAAATAAAGAGGAGTTTCTTTTTTCAGATGGCTCAGCCGCACTGGAAGAGCCACAACGTTCGGGCTAATGGGGTGGATGATCTCACACTGCTCCAAGGGTCGAAATTCAACGAGGGAGGGATCGTAGAGAACCTCAAGAAGAGATACGATGCAGACAACATCTTCACCTACATTGGACCCGTGCTCATTTCAGGAGCGTGTTTTCAAAATGCAATGTCTGTTGTCGAATTGATTTTGAACATCGCGTACCAGTGAATCCCTTCAAACAGCTGCCTTACTTCACGCAGAGGGAAATCGAGCTGTATCAAGGTGCTGCTAGCTTTGAGAACCCGCCTCATGTCTATGCACTGGCAGATACAATGTACAGAAATCTCACAATTGATAACGAAAGTCAAAGTGTTATCATCTCGGGCGAGTCCGGAGCTGGCAAAACAGTTGCTGCCAAGTTCGTGATGAATTATATTTCTAACGTTTCTGGAGGAGGTGATTTCATTTTCCGATGTTCGACGCGCGTAATCTATTTTAAGGAACAAATATTCAAAAAGTGAAAGAAGTGATTATTAAGTCGAACCCGCTTTTGGAAGCGTTTGGCAACGCAAAGACGCTTCGAAACAACAATTCTTCTCGTTTCGGAAAATATTTTCAAATCTCGTTCAACGGAGGCACACCTGTCGGAGGGCGTATTCAAGAGTTTCTCTTGGAGAAGTCGCGCGTTGTCCGGCCAGGGCCTGGCGAGCGCAATTTTCACATTTTCTACCAGTTAATCAAGGGCGAGACCAGTCCCGAGCAGCGTCAATCACTCGGATTGAGCAACTTTCAAGCAGAGGACTTCGAGTATCTTGCCTGCAGCGGCGAGTACGATGCGGATGAAATGAATGATCAACAAGAGTACAGAGAAACGCTAGAAGCAATGCGTACGATTGGCATGAAAGAAGATGAAATAGAGGAAGTACTTGCAGTTGTTTCCGCCATTCTTCACATGGGCAACATTAATTTCGACGAAAATGACCGCGAAGTCGCGCATGTCAGAGATACACGTCATTTAGAATTTCCTGCGTATCTTCTTGGTGAGGTCGATATTAAGGCGTATAGTTAAATCGTTTTAAGGCTTCCAAGCATCAGATCTTGAACAGAAGCTGTTGACGCATAGAATGGAGTCAAAATGGGGCAAGCAAAGCGAAATCATTCATCAAGAACATTCTCGTGTGAAAGCATACGCTACTCGCGACTCTCTAGTCAAGGCAATCTACGAGAAACTGTTCATTTATCTGATCAGGAAAGTGAACGAAGCGATTCCCAACTCTACGCAATTGAATTTGGGGGTTCTCGATATCTATGGTTTCGAGATCTTCCCCAAAAACGGCTTCGAGCAGTTTTGTATCAACTACGTGAACGAAAAGCTACAACAGGCTTTCATAGAATTGACGCTAAAGGCGGAGCAAGAAGAGTATAACATGGAAGGGATTCAATGGACGCCTATCAAGTTCTTCAACAACATCGACGTTTGCAATTTGATTGAAGCAAAGAATCCACCTGGCATCATCTCAATTTGCGACGATGTAACGAAGCAGGTCGGAAACAAAGAGAGCGGCGTCGCCGAAACCTTGGTTGGGAAGCTGCGCGGAGGTGTGACCCAACACCGGCATTACATCGAGCAGGGAGCTGCGCGCTTTAAAATCTCCCATTATGCTGGCGAAGTGGCCTACGATGCGGACGGCTTCGTGGAAAAAAATCGCGATACTGTATTTATTGATTTGCTGGAAATGTGCAAGAGTAGTACCAATGGATTCATCCAGGAGCTTTTCAGCGGACTTGATCTCAAAAAGAAGCAGCCAACTGCAGGTTCGAAGATTCGTTCACAAGCGAATAAACTCATCGACGAGTTGATGAAGACACAGCCACATTATATCCGCACTATCAAGCCCAACGAGACGAAAAGGCCGCACGACTGGAACGAGAAAAAAGTCTCCCATCAAGTGAAATATCTTGGATTGATGGAGAACGTACGAGTGCGGCGAGCTGGTTTCGCCTATCGCAGAGTCTTTAATAAGTTCCTGCAGCGATACTCGATTCTAACGGTTGAGACTTTCCGGGAGTGGCGATACGGCACTGGACGTGACGATCCAAGAAGAGCCATTCAGTACATTATGCAATCGGTCAACATGGACCCACAAGAGTGGCAATGTGGCCAGACGAAAGTATTCATCAAGTCGCCAGAGTCCCTTTTCCTCCTTGAAGAAATCAGAGAGAGGAAGTATAATGTGCACGCGCGTACGATCCAAAAGCGTGGAAGAAATTCGCTGCAAGGAAAAAGACGAACACTGAGGCGATTGAAGCTGCACAATTACTTGCAGGGCGGAAACAGAGAAATCGAAATTCTATCTCGCGCCAATTTATCGGGGATTACCTTGGCTTGGACCATGACGATCAAGCTGATATTTCTAAGCTCTATGGACGAAAAGAACGCGTTCTTTTTGCCTCTCAAGCGATGAAATACAACAGGAAAGGATCTAATCTAGCAATAAATTCATTATGACTCTCATAATAAGAAATATGCAAGACAAATCCACTTCAGGAAATTCCAGTCAGCAACAAGGGATCTAGTAGTAACAGAAAAATACATGTATATCATCTCGAGAAGACGTGTTGATGATGGCAAAAACCCTAACGTTCCACCGATTTTGGAGCCTTATGTTGAAGACCAGATAGACATGATCACTGATCTGCAAGGGGCGACTCTCAGTCCGTTCCAAGACGGATTTATTTTGATCAGGATTGCGTCAAGGGACAAGCCGATTATGCTTGATGTGACGCTCAAAACAGAAATGTGCTGGGCGATCAACAAAACGTTACGGAATAAAGTATGAGCGTCGTTTTGATGACTTCTTTTGAGTAAGACTTTAAGGCGAATAAAAATCTCCACATAAACTTCGAAGACAAGTGGATCGTCAAAGTGGAGCCAAAGGGCTATTTGCAAACGAAGGGGTGGAAAAAGGTAGCCGATCGCCAAGTGTTCTTCAACCAGGAGCACTGTCCAAAGGTGGTCCACGTCCACAAAGAGCCGAAAAAGTACACGATGCGCGTTTCAGTTCGTCAGGGAGAATCTCCTAATAGCATGCCACAAACGAAAGGAGCTACAATTGGAGGTCACCACCATCAACAGAGACCAAATTACGGCGGTTCCTCTGGAATCCACGTCCAACCGCACTCGCAACGCAATCAATCTTACGCCCAGGTAGACTGTTTCCATACGTTCTAAAGTAAATTATCTTTTCTTGAAGCAAACAATCCCATTATCAGTTCAACAGCCCCGTGCCCAGCAATGGAACAACCCAGGTAGAATTCCTCAAGTACCACCTCATGGTGTCAACGCAAATCAACGCCCTCAGCAGAATCAATTCAACGCTCAAAAATCCTCACAGCCAAACTCGACTAATTTCAAATCTAATCAGAATCATCAAGCTAATTTCCGTCTTCCAGCGTTTCCTCATGAGCAAGGTGTGATTACCTTACGCTTGACCATTATTAGCGAAGAATTCAATCGTAACTTTACCATGAATATAAGGAACTGGTGCTCGCCGACTTTCTGCAAGGGACAATAATGCTCCACGCCCGATGAGAGACGCGACGATCAAAGAACGGCATAACCAGCACAATCATATGCATCAGCTTAACGAGGCGATGGCGTTCCTTCAACAGCTAGGGGTATTAATAGTGTTTTGAAAAGTGTGTTTTTTGTCAGTCGAGTTGCGAAAGCTTCATCTGTAACATGTTATCATCTGTTGTGACTTTTTTGCGTAACGATGTTTAATAATGTACCAATATTTTAACCCTGTTAACAGAATCAGACTCCAAATCTTCCCGACCAAGTAAATGCCTTACAAATCGAGCCAAAGAGGGCTCCTCCAGCACGGCCGAAGCCTAGAGTTGCTGCGAAGCCAAAGACTTACCCGAAAGCAAGAGTAATCTACGACTACAATGCACAAGACATCGATGAACTGACTCTTCGGGAACAAGATGTTGTCGACGTAAGACGATTACTTGTTTCAAGGGATTTTTTTTTCTAACATTGATTAGGTTATAAGCGAAGACCCTTCCGGTTGGTGGCGGGTCAGTTTCCAGGGGAAGTCCGGTCTCTTCCCTGGAAGCTACGTGGAGAAGATTTAATCAAACAGCAATTCTTCCAATCATCGACTACGAACAATGCAAAAATCATCAAACCGCGTGTGTTACTCTATTCTTATCCTTATTCACAATTTTACTTTCAAGAGACTTTCAATCATTCCGCTTTTCCTTGTAAAAATAAAAAAAATATATTCCTTATTCATTTATTCCCTTTCTGTGCTATCTCCCCTGTTCAAAATTTATATAAATAACAACTTATAAAACAACTCAAAAGGGAAATGACCCCTTGTACGAATCAGCCAACTTTCTTCTTCCAAAGACTTATTCTGAATAAGTTATTCATCAAAACACCTGCTAGTTATTCTTTAATTTTAACGCATTTAATAATAACGATAACTGCATGATTCCTTTCGCATCAGTCTAACGCAATGCTCGAAGATGTCATGAGAAATCGGAAAGTCTGTGTTCCCGAGAATCAACTCCCTGCAAGGTTTTTCACTGGGAAAACGTAAGTTCCCCTGTTGTCTCATCGATAAATATCAAACGATTAATTAAGATCGTCCTCGACGATTTTTGTTGAAAGTTTCCACGACGAAAAAGTGCCCGACGCGCTAGAATACGACCCCAGTCGTTATCAAACAATTTACGAGTATGATCCTCGAGAAGTCCGCGATTTGGATTTCCTGCAACTATCGAAAAGTTGGGACGATAAAAGAAATGATAATGCAAGAAGAGCTCTGCATCGTTGTCCCCTTGACGCGAAACCTTGGTGCGGCATTGACTTGCTGCGGGCGTTCTCGCATAGAAAATGGGTTTGCTCAACTTTGTTGAGCGACGAGAAGAGTATTGTCCGCTTAAACTTCGCTGTGATCCTTGTTCTTGATATAGCGTTGGGCATTCTTCTCAGAAATTTAATCACTGCAAGCGTTTTCGACTCGTCGCTGGCAACTCAAGTCGACGAAGGTGCACTACAACTGGCTGAGGGTCTGGAGTGGATTTCAAAAAATCCTGGAGGACTGAAGATTAACCCGAAAATGGCGTTTTTGATTTCAAAGTTTTGCTATCACCACGTTCAGATCTGGCAAGGCTATTGTCAGATGATCATTGATTATAGCGGCTGGTTTGTATCAGGCTTAGGTTTTGACTATTTTGTTAATTCCCTTCAATGATAATTTGCTAAATAATGCGAAAAACGATGAATGTTAACCTTTGACAAGCGTTTCGGGTGATCTCGCCTCTTGGACTTTCATTCTCTTTGGCTTTTATTTCGGACTTGTTTATGCTTACAACCCTTCACTTTTACTGCTTTTACGTCTATATGCTGCGTGTTTACCGTTTCTCGGTTTTGACACTGCAGCACCTGCTGAACCTCTTCTTCGGCAAAAAGTTCAATCCGCTGATGCGATTGAGGGACTCAATTTTCAACGAACAAGACAATTCGCCAAACAATACTACTGCATTCCGCCTTACAGTGGGCTCCCTTATCTTCGCTGTCTTCACTTTCCTTTTTCCAACAATAATCTTATACTACTTCTGCTTTTGCAGTATTCGATTCCTGCAATCATTATGTCGCTCTCTCATTCGAAACCTGAGCGATATGTTCGTCGACTCATTTCCAGTACTTTACCTGTATTATTTCTTCCGGCCATGGATCTTCGGCGTAGAACTAACTATTCTCGGCGAAAAGATGAAAGTCCACCCAGTGTCTCCTTCAAAACTAATTTCTAGTGCTGAGAATAATTCAGCCGCTTCATCGAGCTCTATTCTTTCGTGTGTGCTCAAGGGGAACATATTTTAATTAATTCTCTGTTGAAAGTGAAGTCGCTAGTTGACTGTTAATGATAAAACATCAAAGAAGGAATATATTCAGATGCGAGCGTTATTAAAAGAGTAAGTCATGCAAGACGACGACGAAGATGTTGAAGAGATCTGCACGCCTGACGTGTCATCTGATATGCCGTCCTCATCGCATGTGAACCTCCACGCCGGTGCTTTCTGTTAGTTTTCAGAAAGCGATTCCATCTCACACTTATATTTTTAAGCGGCGAACAAACTTTTCAACATGGTTGACAGGCCCAAGAAAAGAGGAAGACCGAGAAAGTACACTAACATTGGATCCTTTTGCGAAGATGACCCAACAGCAGCATCTACCTCTAATAAATATAGCGCTGGAATCAAAGTTGAAATCGGTGCAAGGCCATTTGCTGCTTTACCGGTTAGTAGGCAATCTATACTTTTTTGACCCTATTATCAGCCCGAACGCGTTCGCCCTTTGCCAACACTGAAAAAAGAGTCAGAAAACACAACGCTCAATACCTACTGGCAGTTCGTGAATAAATCCAATTCACTTCTAATGGACTCTGATATTTTAAATTGTCCTGAAGAACAAGTTTCTCGGCCTCCGCCGACTCTTTCAATCAATCTTTTAGTAAGTGAAGATATCATTTCTTTTTAAATTGATTTCCAAGAATCCGGACGGAACGAAAAAGAGCGAGGAGGAAATCAAAAGGGAGGCGAACTTACAAGATTTCCGCGTGAAGATAGATCGCTGTCCCACAACGCAGCGTGGAATCAATAAAATACTCAATCTTCACCTGGCGGAATTAAATTCCAAAAAACAGGTCAAGACTCGTTCGACTGCTATTCAATCAAAAAAGTATACAACAAGTGGAGTTGAGCAATCGCCTGGCAAAGGATATTTGCGCTGCTCAAATTGCAAAAAATGGTTCAGTGATGAACAGACCTTGCAAGAGCATTCAAAAGATCTAATACAGGTAAATAAAGAGTGCGATACAAATGCCATCCGTATTTAGTGCAATATTTGTATACGATCGTTGCCAGTTGGATATAACAACTATGAAAGGCCATTCTTCTGTACTAAGCAAGAATTACAATTGCATTTCCGAGGAAAACATACAAAACAGTACTTGGAGATGGTGGCGGCTAAGACCGGCCGTCCAGCCGGCAAAGTAGTACAACTTGGCCGACATAACTCTGCAAAACCCGATCTGAATATTTGGGTGGACGGAAAAGCTTCTAAAATCGGGCCCGACGCAGAAGCACTCATCAATGATCCCTTACCTACAAACCACTTTTCTGTAAACAATCCTCCATCGAATCTATCAACCTGTAATTTTCGCGACGCCACTTTCAAAGGTATTGACAACAATTAAGGACAACCCAAGCAAGCTTCTTTTCTATTCAAACCACTTTCTAGGAAATAATTTCAAAGTTCATCATGCACCTGAAGGAGGCTGGAAGCAAGGCCAAAAAATGCCGTACTCATCGACGACGCGGAACGGACGCTTTAGTGCAAACGTGGTTCGAAAGCAAGCGAAGTCTAGCGTGAAGGCAGAGCCACTTCCTGGCCCGGTTATTCCCGTTCCTGAGGAAGACGTCTGTACTATCACGGAAATGGACGACGAGTCAGGCGAATTGAATGATAAGGTGATCTAAAGATAGTTATTTGTTTCTTTAGCAAGATTCTTCAGCTCGAAGAAGTAGTCGCGAAGAAAGCGAGGACGAATGAAACTGTAAATAACTCGCTCACTGTTAGTAACAAGCGGATCAAGCCTCCCGTGGCGATCATGACGAAGCCGATCAACTTTGGAAAGTTGAATGGAATCAAGCTCAATGGAAAACTAATAAGTGGCACTCCCCTGCAATCATTCAAAGTGAAAGTCAACAAAACAACCCCCGATTCTCTGTAAAGTTCTGATTTCAAATGATTTATCTTCTAAAAAGAAAATACTTATTGCTATGCTGATTTCTTCTCGATGTTCTTCTTTTCAACTCTGCTTTTTTATTTCATGTATTTCTGGTCACCTTCGTGTCTTCTGTACATATTTCACAATCTATCTTATCAATAATTCTCAAAAGCTCTTGAATGAAAATGGCGATAGTTTATTTACGGCGTTAGTTTCTTAGAGTTCAGAGCTGATGCGATGAGCTTCTTCGCGATTACAGAGGAAGAGGCATTTTTCGAAGATGACGAACTTGAAAAAGAGCTGCAATCTAGACTCAGTGCGGTTGTTATTTCCGACTTAGAAGACTCCGATTACTCGGAAGAAGAAACATCACATGTGGAGGATAAAGTCGAGAATGGAGAAAAATCATTCAATCTAGCTGAGAACCTTCGGATGCTCCAGTCTTACTCTAATGTAGCCTTCAATTTTGAAGAGCTCGAGGACAGTGAAATTGCAGTTACTGATGCTGAAGCCCCTGATTGCTCAGCAAAGATGCCATCACAAAGTCAAGAATTGTTCAAAGGTGACACGCGGGAACTAAACGAGTCGTTGGTCAACACATTCCTTTCAAATGAGAAATCATCAGAGGCAGAAAAGATACAAGCCGAGATCGACAAAGAAAAAAGTAAGAATGATCAACTGAGGCGTGTTCGTGAAGAAACCGCTGCATTGAAAATTCAAAAAATTTTCCGTGGCTTCAAAACTCGAACCTCCAAAACAGGAAGGATGGTGCGTGGACATTTGGAAAGCAAAAAGAGAATCAAATTCGTTGAAAAGGCGCAGCAATTCGAATTCGAAGAGAGGCGTCGGGTCGCTGACCAAATCAAGAAAGAGAACGAACTTATCCTCGCAGAGAAAATTATAAAAGATGAAGAGCTTAAAAGGTCCGATACTTGTTCTTATTTTGCATCTGAAAGAACTTGTTATTTTAGGAGAAGAGAGCAAGAAGAAAAGGAAAGAATTGCTCTTGAACGCGCACAGCAAGCGGAAAAAATTTGGAACGAGCGGGTTATTCTCTTCACAGAAAAAATGCTCCGGCGTAAGGATCAGCGAGCAGCGGTTATTATTCAGGAAAGGGGCTAAGAAAATCAGATTTTACGTTGATAGCGCGGGCAAGGGACAATCAAACTATTACTGGACTGGACAGATGAATTGACAATGGAAAAACTAATAGTAAAACGCCCCCATAGAGAACTGTTCGAGATTTCCTAAGGAAGCGACTCCAGCGGCGTTCAGGCGCCGCTTTGGTTATCCAGCGTAATTACAGAGAATACTGTACTCGCAAACGGACGCAAGCTGCAATCTCAATACAAACATATTGGCGAAAGTCTCGAGAGCTCAAAGCTCGACGCGCATTAGAGATTAAAGTCAATGCAGTTAAAGTAAGCTCAAAAAAAAAGTAAAACAGATTTTTCTCGTGAATCATAGTCGGAGTCCAAGATAAGGGACATTTTTGCCCCGAAACTTTATTCAATTAAACATACAAATGCAAAAACAGAACTATAAAAATAATGCCACATATCTTTAGCCAAAACGTCTCTTATCTTTGTGTCCATTATCTTGGACTCAGACTGTACTCCTACTGGAAATTTTAGACAATTTTAATTCATCGACGTCAGTATCGTCAACTTCAAGAAGCGTACCGAGCCGTATGGGGAGAACTAGAACTTAGGAAGAAAAATGCATTGATCGCCGCTCAAATTGCCGAACAGCAAGAGCTAGTAAACCAATTCAAGTTGAACCGAAGCGCGAAGATTATCCAAAGAATGTGGCGTCAACACGTTGTTACAGAAAACAAAGCAGCTGAAATTCTGGGAGAAGCGAAAAAGCTCACTCAAATCGAATCCCAAAAGACCATCGTGCTTGGGAAGTCGGGTATATCCGTGGCCAGCCCGAGGGCAGACTTGCCCATTCTCGGTTCAAGCATTCGCGGCAAGAATTCCTCTTCTCCATTGAAAAACAATATTGCATCGGAAGAAATGCTGCTAGAGAGCCAAAACACGATAGTTGTGAAAAAAATCGATGAAGGATTACTTGCGGAACTTAAGCGAAATCTTGAGAGAATACGTCCTGTAAATTTTACTCCTGTAGCAAAGATGGAGATCCCGAAAGAAGAAAAAAAGCGACTTCTAGTCGAAAAGTTCACAGAGAGTATGTTTAAGAATAAAAGCCCTTTCGAGTCCGTCTCTTTCTTCAACTCGCCCGCCCTGAGAAAACTTGACTTGTCGTCTTCCCAACTTAAATCGTGTCACATCGACCTCCCAAACCTGCGCCATCTCGACTTGTCGAAGAACCGCCTTAGTTCGCAATTGCTGATCCAAGCACCGCGCCTTCGAATTCTAAGTATTTCAGAGAACAAGTTCGCGCGTCTTCTTTTCACGCCTCTACCGCACTTGTCCGCGCTCGACGCATCGTCTAACCAGCTGATAGACATTCAAAACTTGTCTCGAATAGCTCCTAGACTCATGTTTCTCAATGTGGCCGACAACTTTATCGACAAGCTCCCCCCGAACATGAGCGCTTTAATTCATCTTGATATCACCAACAATTCTTTGCGAAATTTCGATGCGTTTTCCTCTCCGTTCATCACATTCTTGCGAGCCCAATTCAATAACTTCGGGAAAAGTGATCAAATGAAAGTCTTCCCTTTTCTTGCAAAAAACGACTTTTTATGGGCAGATTCTCCGCGAGAAACTCTTCCTCTCAATGTCAAAACCAAAGAAGACCTCAACGCCGACTTTGATCACAACCGCTTAATCACAACAGTAATTCACTTCGACTGGACTGTGAAATCTCTCCCGCTTGTTGACAGGACATATTGGAATTTGTGGCACATGCGAAAGTACATTCTCCAGTCGTCAAAGTTACACAAGCCAACTCCCGTAATAAAGTCTTTTCTGAAGAGAGTGGTCTACAATCGAAGAAAAAGCAAAAGAGAAGCACACGCCGTCGAAGTGATTGAGTCTTGGTGGGTTTCAGCAAATGTAAGGCTGAAGATAAAACGCGCGAGAGAACAGATACGCGCTTCTAGTAAGGAGGAATTTAAGCTCGAAGAATTTGACGTCGATTCATTTTATGAGAGCTTAGATGTCGGACAGGAACTTGAGTCGCCACGGCGACATTTTCCAGAGCGAATTACACAGTCGAAACCGTCAACCAACCATGCGCAGACATCGACGGATGCGTATGCCAGACATCCGGCGAAAGCTCCTCCTATGGAAAAGAAACCACTGTTGACATACTACGATGTGGAAGGAAACACGCACTCGGTGATGAATGCTTATGACACACTTGTCGACGATGACAAAATTCGATCACAGGCACAGGAGCTGTTCGCATGGAAACAAATGGGCGATGCTCCAAATTTTTACGCAGAGTCTTTCAAAAGTTCGAAAGCGAGTGGTCCTCTACCAAGCATTCCCGAAACCCCGAAAATATCCAAGAAAGAAGAAAAAATCGCGCAGATAATGCAATCATGGAACGTCGGCCGAGAAACAGCGGAGAGGATGTACACTAGTCAAAACAGAATGAAAGGAAAGGCAACGTCGAAGAAGAAAGACTCACCCAAAAAGTCATTTTCCTCTACTAACAGTCTTTCATATGGTCAAGCGTCGAATTCAATGACTTCATTAGTCTCAGCGCGCTCGCGAGATCGAACATGGATAAAGCCAAAATATCAATCTGACTCACAAAGAGCTGTCGTAAATAATTGGGTCCAGGTAGATTCCCAACTGCTTGACGTAATGTAACTGTTATTTCCACAAGAAAATAGATGAAGGAATGCCTGTGACACCTGTTCCTCACGATCCGTTGCCGTTACGCGTTCAATCCATCGAAAATAACAGCACTGATCACTTTTCTTTCGCTAAAAGTCAACTCTCTCCGTTTTCACTGCGCACTTCGACTCCACCATTACCACCGCTCAAGAAAAAAGCTTCTCATGTACCTGCCTGGCATTGATCAAATCATATTTTATTTTTATACCTGTAGAATATATTTTTATACATATGAAGACAAACAAGCTTGACGATTTTTCTTTCAGAGTTATGACAAAGTTGGCTTTATTAGCTCTACTTGGAATCGCCCATGGCTACTTTGTCACAGTTCAGCCAAGAAAGGAGGAGTGCTTTCATGAATACGTGAAAAACGGTGATAAAATCAACATGATGTATGAGGTTTCGAGCCTTTACTTCTTACATATTATTTACTTTGCATTTAGGTCGCTGAGGGAGGATTTCTTGATATCAATGTCAAAGTAATCAACGCAAAAAACCAAGTTATATACGACAAAGAGAGAGAAACTTCCGGAAAGGTGCGCTGAGATTATGAAAGCAGCAACTGTATATTTGTAATTCAGATGCTCTTCACGGCCGATATGCAAGGACCCATCAGATTTTGCTTCAGCAACAAGATTTCTACTGTTACACACAAAGTCGTGATGTTCTCAATAGATGTTACTGAAGCCACCGCCGCTGGAGAAGAAGATGAAGATGAAACTCACTCGAAGGTAGATCTTGTAAAATTGAAGTTTTCTGGAGATTCTTTATCTCAGCTTGAAACAATGATGGGCGACCTTGCCAGCCAAATGACGACCGTCAAACATGAGCAGGAATACATGGAAGTGCGCGAACGAATCCATCGAGCAATCAACGAGAACACTAATTCAAGAGTCGTCCTGTGGGCCTTTTTTGAGTCTCTCGTCTTGATTGCCATGACAGTCGGTCAAGTCTACTATCTCAAAGTATGTTCGTATTCTTTGATATAATCTAAGATTTTCTAGCGTTTTTTCGAAGTCAGAAGAGTGGTTTAATTCTTTCTGAACGTCGCCGTATCAACTCAATGCACTCGTTTCCAAATCCTAATTTACCTATCAAGAAGATACCTTCGAACGAAGATTTTTAGCTCAAAATAATAAATAATATAAAACTCGCTCTGTACTACATAAACATTTTACCTATTCATTCTAGTTGCAATCAATCTCATGTGAAGCCTTCTGGTGAATCATTGAAATGCTAAGAAAATCCATAGATTCTGTATCTTTCTGGCATTTTTCTATACATCCTGCATTGATATTAGTCTGACTTCTTGTTGTAATAAATACTTGCGTTATAGCAAAAATGGGTAGAACTCGTCAGTCCAAAAGAAATATCAGTCAAAAGGCATCTCATCAAAAGACCTCCCCTAAGCCCGACCCTGATCCGTCTTATTACACAACTAAATTCGCTCGCAAGGACTTACCACCAATACCCGACGATGCTCCCATTCCACTAACTGAAGCTAAAATGATTGAGGAAATAAAGCAAGGGATCATCAGATTTAAACTTCCCAGCATATTTTTATTCAGCATCCAAATATGTTTTATCCCTCTCACCAGAGTCTCAGACAGCAGCTAAACGAGGAACGCAAGATTAGCAAAGTAACAGCGGAAAACTACAAAGTTAGTAGTGTTACGTATAAAAATGTACGAAGCGAGTTGGGTACGTTTGAATCACTTTGAGAACTAGTTGAAATGCTCTTACTAGAGGAGAGATTGCGAGAAAAACAAGAATTCTGCGATGAAGTGTCGTTGGCACTGGATGTAAAAGAAAAGGAAATCGAACAACTTCAGAAAAAAATCAAAGCTAAGGACGGGAAGATCTCCACATTGCAGAGCCAGACAAGGATCGCTGATAGTCAGCGAAATGCTGCCCAGCAGTTCGGAAAGAACATTGGAAAAAGACAGGTGCTCCTTGCTCGAGAGATGACTCGAATGGTTCAGCGCACACTCGTCATCTGCTACTACCAAAACAACAGCACCACGACGAGACTCGTGAGTGAGTTGTCAAAGACGGGATCGGTCAGCATTCTTGTAGATACAATCCTCCGATACTTAAAAATGAAGTCAACAGAGATTCCTCAGGACGAGCTGCCCGACCAGAAAAAATTGTTCTTAGATATCCTCAATTGCTTCAACATTGTGGTGACAACATCAGACCGTAAGTCATCCTTGATTTCATGCGCTGAGAAGAAAGACCGAATAACTTATAGTTCGAAATCACGTCGCCCGTAATTGCAAATACGTTGATTTACTGAGAGAGCTAATGGATTTCATCTTCAACAAGGAAGATAAGGAGGAAAAACTATTCTACACAGACAAAGACGTGCGCGACGTTTGCTGCGAGATTCTTGAGCAACTCTGTAAATGTGATCGCGGCGTAGAGATCTTGAATCAGTTCAATGACGGATTCCTGCAGCATGACATCGTTGTATACTCAGCGACGGAACAGTGCACTGATAAACAAATCGCCTCGCTCCTAAAAGGTTAGTTATGCAACAGACCTAGATCGCAAAGTGCCAAGTGGGCGGATCGTGCTCTGATTATGACGGCATTGCTTGGTTAAGAGCTCGTGGCAGGAAGACACGATTGCGCAATGCACACAATTTGAGATTCCCTAGTACCTCGGATCAACGCAGAAGAGCATACAAAATGTTGATCTTTGATTCTGAAATTTTTGTTTAGTTTATCTCACAATGTCTACAAACGAAGAGTTTGCCGAAAACCTTGCCAAATCGTTTCAGGGACACGGGCTCTGATTATTACGAGCTGATTTAGGTTTATTGGCACCGTATTCATTTTAATGTTTTTCAAGAGAGAAAATCGAGCCAAAAGTAGCCCGGCTCTGTTGAGAAATGGGAAAAGTCGAAGACACAAGTTCTCCGTGACACTGTCAAGCTCTTGAAAGAGTGTCAAATTATCCGAGAAAGCTAAAGAGGAAAAAGAATAGCTTTTTGAAAGCGGAAAATAAGAATTGGAAAAAGGCTGTACTCTCACAACTGCCAAACACGCAAAACATCCCACTGAAAACTTAATAGATTTCGCATTTAGAGAAAAATGACAGAACAGAAAAAGGCTATTGGACTCGGCTGGCAGCTCGGATTCGCTGCTGTCTCCGGATGTGGTGCTACCGTTGTGGTTCAGCCAATGGATCTCATCAAAAACAGAATGCAAACATCGAAAGGCCTTGGAGTGTGAGTGGCATTGTTTAAAAGACGAGAGCTAATAAATATTTCAGAGGGCAATGCGTAAAAAGTATCATCGCGGAAGGTGGACCCACCGCTATGTGGACTGGCCTTGGAGCTGGTCTCCTTCGCCAATGCTCTTACACGACCGTCCGCTTGGGCGTCTATCGTAAAATGGAAGAATCATACACTGCGAGAAACTTCGGGGAGAAGCTTCTCATGGGAGGGAGCGCAGGATTTGTTGGCTCCCTATTTGGAAACCCAGCCGAAGTGGCGTTAATTCGAATGTGCGCCGACGGAAATCTTCCAGTTAGTGAAAGAAGAGGCTACACGTCCGCCTTCAACGCCTTATCTAGAATAGTGTAAGTTCCGACAAGAGAATAGGGAAAATCGATCAGTCTCAGCTTCGAGAGATGACGTTAGTAGAGCATAAATTAGAATGAATTAATCGGCAAGTTCGTCATCCTATTTACGCAAAAATGCAAATGATCGCGTATTGAATTTTTATTTAGAAAGGAAGAGGGCCTTGCGACCTTGTGGCGCGGATCTACCCCAACCATCGCTCGAGCAATTGTCGTCAATGCCGCCCAGTTGGGAACTTACTCGCAAGCAAAGGAATCCATCAAAAGTGGTGCTGGCTTGAATGAGGGTATTCTTCTTCACTTCTGCGCCGCCATGGTCAGTGGAATGGTCACCACGATCGCTTCCATGCCCGTCGATATCGTGAAAACGCGACTCCAAAACCAAAAGGTTAGTTCTACCTCTGCCGTCATCGAAATCTAGCAAAAAAATTTCAGTTCGTCAACGGAGTTCCAGAATACAAGGGGGTCTTTGATGTCTTTGGCAGAATCATCAAGGCCGAAGGCGTGCTATCTCTCTGGTCTGGCTTCTGGCCTTACTATTTCCGACTTGGCCCACATACTGTTCTCACATTTATTTTTGTTGAACAGCTGAAGGGCCTCTACCTCAACTCCACGAAGTAAGGACTCGACTCCCTGCTTCCAGCCTTTTCATATGTTTTGGGGAACTTGTTTTGTTCTATATCTATGTCTGTGTCTTAATTTATAAAAAAACTGTGCCAATTAATTCAAGAAAAGCTAAAAGACCTTTTAATGCGTTGTGTTGTCGTCTGTTTCGTTGTGTTTTATGATTATAAATTATTTTCAATTCCAATACGCTTACAAATCTATTTATTTCTGGGCGTTTTCATGACATTTCTTTGATTCACTTTAGTGATTTAAATGGAATAAAATTATCCATAAATATGCATGACAGCAAAAAAGCAGCTCGTTGATATAAAAATGGAGCCATCGATGCTGGTGAGTTTACATATCAAAACTTCCGTCAAAAAGAAAAAGTTTCGTTTGAGTTGAGTCTTGATTATATATTCGAAATGTACACTATTTAAAATATATATCAGTACCTCATTCTTTCCCCTCTACTTCTGTTCTGTCAAATGTTGTGTTTAACCTATCGTGACGTTTACTTCCAATAAAGGCGCTTCTCTGAGACCTTCCACCACTATAACCCAGAATAAATAAAACCATATCTAAAGAAAGTCAATTGTGAAAGTTACTTCCTATCGTTGTTGGCAGGCTCAATAAGCAGGCTTTAACTCAGGTTTCTGTCTAATCGCCGTAGCAGGAAGGATGTTGTTTGTTTAGGGTTCGAGACCAGGCCAGGTGGGAAGAGGCTAGGCCAAGCTTGAGAGGCATTCGCATCGCCCAAGGGGAATTTCGGCCACCGCTTATTAATCGCCACTAATTGAGTCCAGGCACTAGTAAAAAACAATCGTATCGTAAATCACGAACTCTTTCTCTGTTGACCCTTTTCCTGGCCTTTCGTGCCCAAGCCGGATACAAAGGACGACCTAACGCCATATCGAAAATCAATAAACACTAGAGATCTGAAAGAAAAACTCACTGGTGGCCTCTTTAAGAGAAATTTCAATAAAGCACACTACTAGTGTGACACTAGCTTCATTGATAGAATCGTATCATGAAGTTACAGCAGTAAGATTTTCAAAACTCGAGAAGTCTATATTTATAATATATATAATGAAATCTGTTGATGGTAAACGGGCGCTCTATAAATAATCCGCTCAAGTGCGCGTTAATTGTTTCATCTTTCGCGCAGATAACAGCAATGATGATTGAAGTTTATCTGCTAAAGGGGGATCGACGCAGCTTTATCACTGTAGCCCATTTCCTATTTTTTTCCAACGGCTATGTGTCAATCTCCCGGGTAAGGGTTATATGTGCGCGTGCCCGTATTCAGGCCTATTCGAATAATGTGGCAGGTCAATGCTATTCAGCGATTTTTTTGTTTTCCACTCACGCTATTATTGTGAGTGTGGAGCTATTTGCAGCTTTTGTTTTCTGGCAGGGAGAGATAATTTCCCTCGGAATATCTGTTGTATTATGTACACTCCTCCCAGACGTAGATTTTCTTTCATCGCAAAGAGAGAATGCGCGAGCAAAGTTTGCTAAGCAACCGACGCAAAGGAAGGACTCCTGAATCAGTGGCGTTTTAGGGCTGTCACCTGGGTATAAAGATTTTGGATTTTATGAAGGTGAAAGGGAGAATTTCCTTTTTGACACTTGACACTAGAGCTTTAAGGATTAACATTGCGAGCTTTAGAATGAAATTGAGGCTTTTTTGATCACGTCCAGTTCGATCTTCAAGCATGGAAGAGCTAGAAAATGGGACACAGTGCCGTTTGAGCGAGAAAAAGATCCGCGATCGAATCGGACTAGAAAAAGATAAACAGCCAGAAGATCTCCGAACTCTTAAATTGCCAGGTACACGTCTTTAATAAAACTCGCAACGCTCACAGATTTTCTGAAGCACTAGTGAAAAGAGAAGGCATTTGGTGTAAGTTTCTCATCTAGTCAATATTTTTTCTCTTCGAAAAAATGCGATTTTAATTTTCTCAAAAAACTTAATTCGCAGAAATGGTTTGTTTGTTGAAATTATTTGATTTCTACAAAGTGACCTCGCACCAACCGTTTTCTCGCTTCGTCATACACTCTTTCTAATCTAAGTCAAATCTAAGAATTTGTTCAGGCTCATATCACGATAAGATAACGCACTTGGACAATGCTCTTCAAAATTTTACTCGTTTACAGAACCTGGACCTTGCGCGAAACGCCTTGCTCTCCCTCGATGGACTCTCGCACCTTCGTCATCTGGAATCTCTAAACTTATATTATAACAACGTTTGCGATTTAGATGAGCTGTATAAGCTCAAGCAAAACAAAAAATTGGAAAATATCGACCTTCGTTTGAATCCAGGTTTGCTAGCTCAATTTCTGTTTAAATATTTTTGTCAGTGACCAAAAATGAGCCAGACTACCGTTTATTCCTGGTCCACATCTTGGAGAATTTGCAGCGGCTAGACGACAGGCCAGTACGGGATGCTGAGCGCAGTACTGCTAGCATTCATTTCGCCCAGAACAAGAAATGGACTCGATTCCAAAAAGCGGAACGAGCAGAACAGACCGTCGAGAAAGAGACTGCTCCTGTCAAATACACTAATGAGCGAGTCGACTACATAAAGAATGTAAGAAGATTTCGACAGTGACGCTTTATAGGGAAATTATAGAATATTGCAAAGCATCGCGCTTACGACGACGTTGAAGATGTTCGATTGATGTTGGACGGATTGAACGATGTTCTGTCTGAGGATTCTCGAACCGACCCGAGCTCGAACAGTTGTTTGGATCAATTCCGTGGCGGATCCAGTACCTTGCCAAACAGGAGTCTCTCTACACAGAACTTGCCCTCTTCTGGGACTGCGCCGATCCGGCGGAGCTTGAGCAAGGCTAAAGTAAGTTGGGACCACCGACGATCAGTAGAATACTTGAACACGCTGCATCATAATAATGACGCAGTCGGGAGCGGTAGCGAATTCCAAAATGGAAAGCCTGCCTTCTACGGCGATGAAACCGTCTCCAACACTAGCCAAAGTGGGATTAGACCATCGAAGAGCCGTTTGAGGCCATCCGGGTCAAACTTGAACCGGAGTAGGTCCATGACGACTGGCGATTTAACTTTTCACGTGAGCATGGTGTGACTCGTAGGTGAACCGTTAGTCTTGAATTGAAGAGGTGTTATTCTTTGTTAGAATTACGTGAACATTCGATTGTTTAATATTTTCACTAGTCACGAAATCTAACAAGGCGATAATTTCTTAGAAGTAGGTGGTGAGCATTCATTCCGGATGCAAGTAGCTTGTGAAATAAAACTGATTATTTACCGCGTACTGTTTTGTAGTTTCGGCTTTTACTCTTCTCTGCTAACACTTAAGCCTTATGATCAACAAGAGTTATTATATACGGTTCCAGTTGATTGACTTCCACTTGAAGTGTTTCTTTTGTCTTCAGAGAGCAAAGCAAACCTTTAGGAACCGGAGACTCGATCATTCGGCATAGCGAACATACGGCAGGCGAAACGAGGAATGACTGCCGAGGACGAAAATGCTGCTCAGACTGAGTACAGATCTCTCGCCACGTTCACTCGAGCTCCTCCAAGTAAGCAATTCTCTTTATCTCTTAATTAGCGTGGTTTTTAGGTGAGTGGACCTCAGAAGTAAAGACTTCACCTCAAAAGATCAAAACTATTCCTACAAGTGTTCCTCGACGACCTCGAAACCTCTCCTCATCAACAGTTGCTTCTGTTATTGAGAATACCGACCAAGATAAGCTGAAACCACTCCTCGAATTAATTGACGCTTGCTATGCAGGACCAAACTCTCTCCAACGATCTCCAACGGTAAGAAATCCTGCGGAATTTATTTGTTTAGTTTGGTTCATTTTGTTTAGTTCATCCAAAAACTGAACGCCTTCGTGAGCGAGCACGCGCAAAACGAAGACGCCCGACATCAATTGATCGATAGAGAGATCGAACTGCGTGCTTCTGCGTCTTCCGAACAAGAGAGGCTCCGCCAGCAACTAGAAAATGCTGAGGTTGAGATCCGTCGACTGAAAAACGAGAAACAGTCGATGCGGGACTCGCAGCGCTCCTCTTCTTCACATTCTTCTAATATCAACGAAGACCTCGTCCGGATGCTCAAAGAGAGGTGCGTAATTCTAACTGGGATAAATGATTACGAGTCTCTAGTCACGAAATGCTCAAGAAGCAGAACCAGCGACTCGAGCAAGAAATCGACGACATGCGACTGCGACATGAAAAGGAGAAAATTGCTCTCAAAGAAAACTACGGTCGGCTGAAAAGTTCCATTCGCTTTATCCACGGTTCGATGGACAATCTCAACTAATTCATAATATCCCGCGGCAACTGTTTCCAAACTGCTCAAATAAAATATTCCATTTTAGCACCCTCGATTAATTCCTCCCTTTTTGCCAATACAATATATTTTCGATAAGTTTTCTAGTACAGTTTGTTCTTCAAGCAGTAACTTTTTTCTGTGTGATTGGATTTTTTGTGTTTCTTTTTTTCTCATCTACCGATAATTTACCCATTTTATCAGTTGTTTGATGCTTTTTGATACTTTTTCTGAGAAATTTTATATTTTCTTAATTTCTTTGTAATTTCCTTAAATTTCAGATCGATGGGTAGGGGCGTAGAAAAGTACTACACGGTCTGGATGGGTGACCTCCCTCCTGGGATAAAGAGAGGTCACGTGAAAGATTTCTTCGAAGAATACGGACCTCTCGGAGGAATTCGTCTCATGAATAACTTCGGATTCGTGGACTTTCGAAAGAAACGCGATGCTAAGGATGCGGTCAAAGGTTTGTCCAAAGAAGAGCCTTTTTTAACAAAAACTCAGACCTTGATGGCAAGAAGTTGAAAGGAGCTCGAATTCGACTAGAGCACTCCGATGGTCCCGGCGGGAGCAAGAAGAAGGGAGAAGACTACGACGCCGTCTCGTGGCCACCGATGCCGGGAAGCTCTTCAGCGGTGAGGGTACTTGATTGGACTTCCTTTAACCGGCATTTATCTAGTACGAGCGTCCATACAGGACCAAATATACCATCAGCGTTTCAAATTTATCCACACGATTCAGGTACTTTAAAACTTTTCATCCCAGAGTGATATAAAATGTGATCGCGTCCGATGAATGAGTCGATAAAAGGTTAAATGTTCGGCACGTGGCGTGTTTTGTGAATTGTTGACATCGTGCCCGACATGATCGACCGCTGCGACAGCGTTCTGTCTTCCTAAAGAATGACCATTTCGAACTTAGTTGGGCTGACTTGAAAAACTTCATGCGTCGAGCAGGCGAAGTTACCTACACAGATGCCCACGTCCGTTCCGGCGAGGGCAACGGAGAGGTTTGCTTCAAAGATCGTAAAGGTAAAACTTCGAAATCCATCCGAATATAAAGAGGTTATTTTTAGGGTTATACAGGGCCATGCAAAAGCTTAATCGCACCCGTCTGGGTGGCAAGAAGATCAAACTCCGAATTGTCGTAAGTAATCAATCCCATGTCAACCCCGAGTATTGTCCCTTCAATTTACTCCTTCTTCAGGAGGACGGCCAGCGTGAAGTAAAAAGCGACACAGAAAGCGATTCTGATTATAGCAGATCAAGTCGCTCCTCGTCTCGTTCGTCCTATTCCTCGAGATCTTCTTACAGCTCTAGGTCTGACTCATCTTCGAGAAGCCGCTCGCGCTCAAGATCGAGCAGGTCCAGGAGCCGATCATACAGTCGATCTCGTAGTCGATCTGAGAAGCGCTCCCGATCTCGCTCAAAAGATAGAAAACCAAAGAAGGAAGAGAAGAAAATGAAAGAAGAGAGACGATCACGGTTTGTTAGGATTGACTGTTTCTATTGGTATATGCTCTCTTCAGATCGCGATCTGCCAAGAAAGAAAGAAGAAGCAAGGATCGAAGTCGATCACGCTCTGTCAAAAAGGAAGTGAAAGAAGAAAGAAGATCTCGAAGTCGATCTAAAGGAAATGGTCGTCGCGATGACAAAGACGATCGAGAAAGAAGAGATCGAAAAGGACGAAAACGCAGTGTGAGCCGAGAACGAGATAGCTCTCGTGACCGAAAGAAAAACTCCAAGAAAAGGTTTAGATAGTCAAATTATTTGGAGTAAGGACGATCGTTTAGTCGGCGAAGTCGATCCCGCTCTCGAAGCCGATGAAAGAAAACGTTAACCCTGATTTTTTTGACTATCACGATTTGAATAGTTCACTTAAAAATTTCTCAAAGACTGCTCCTGATTGACTTTTGCCGCTGCCAAAACATGAACGCGAACTCAATTCGCACACGGAAACAAGTTATTTATATCATATTTTTAAGTGTGATATGTCTTCGGCGGATGATTATCTAAAGGCGAATAGGGCACATATATCGTTAACTGCTAAACAACTCGGATGCGATTACCTTCGGGGACTTCCTGATATCATCAGAGGAATGGTTTCAGACACTTTCATATTTTATGATATATTTACAAGCACATGCTATGTTTGCCCATTTGAAATTGAAAATGATTCCTAAAAAGTATTCTTATTTCAACGAGACTTAGTTGACCTGACATTTGAGTGCTGGAAGAAAAGGAAGGCATGTCAGGCTCCGATTTCGACGCAGCGCAAGAAAATTTCAGAACGAAAGCAGGATGATTTTTTTGAAAACGCGACAATCATGCTAGAGCATCTACTGGGACTCGACAGTCATCAGAAGGCGATCAAAGAAATATGCTTTCTGTTTGGTGCAAATCACCTCAATCCAAAAGAAATCTGGCGATTTGAAATAGGCGATTGGAATCTGGATACTCCAACGAAAAAGGAGCCTCTCAGCATCATTTCAAAGTTGCCACAGAAATCGGAGAAATGGAAGAGGCCGAGAGGCAAACTTATGCTAATAATTCGGACGAGTGATCGAATCGACGACGATAATTGGTGCGAGATCAATGGATACGCTAGAGATAAGAAAAGCTCCAATATCATGAACGTTTCAGTTGTTTCAACTCACGAGACCTTCGACGATCCCTCTAAGTAAGATGAAAAAGTTATATGAAATGAAAACATTTTATTTCAGACCGAGTGAGGAAGAATTCTACTACATTCTGGAGTGCACTGCCCGCATATTCTATACTTGAGACCATTCCTTTTTTGATGATTTCTTTCATACAGTTTTCTCGTATAAATTATATTCTGAGACGAGATTTATTCAGATACGGATGGAAAGACTTATTAAAGCTTCAGCAATTATCGCGCAATATCGCGCATTTTCCGTCTCGCGGAGAGAGATGAACGCGTACTATTCAATGTCTAGGACGGCAAAGAGCCGCATCCCGAGTGGAAAGAAGCGCCAAGTCTTCAACAACAATATTGAGAAGCAAATCTACAAAGACGCAACTCTTCACAAGGCTGTTCCGGTTCGCCAATCTCCTTTCCGATCAGATTCTAACTGGCTTTTAGAACCACCGAAATGTGAATAGATTTACTCTCTACTACGCTCATCATAATATTGCTCGGAAGCAGTGGGACTTCGAAACAAATATGACTCACATGAAACGAAATATTACTCTCGGTAATTACTGTCTAATAAATGCTCTCTTGATAGATAATGATATAGATATTCGTCTCAAAGCGGCGCTCAAACCTCTTTCGAAAATGGACTGCCGAACGTTTATAGAAAGCTTGGAAAAATCGGGATCCGGTCTAAATTATGAAAGCCTAGTAAATATTGCTCTTCATGAACCGAGAACGTTTGAGGTAATCAGAATTTGTTTTATTACGGGGCTGAAATTGTACATATGCTTTACAAGAGCGAAAAGGGCCGAAAGTAACAGTCAAGGGTATTTTTAAGCAGAGAACCATTTGGTTAGGATCTTCTTCATCGGTTTCGTAAAAGAGGAGGACTTCTGGTTTGCAAGGCTTTCGAAGCTTGATAAACTCGATTCCGGGGAGGAGAAAATAAAGCATGAATTCGAGCGTTCTCGTGTTGCAATCTTCGAAACCTTCTTTTCGTTCAAGGAATTTGAAGAACCTTTCTTTGTCAACTTTCCAGTGCAGCCGAACACTGGACGGCAGAAAGTACTTTTTCTTGCTTTTTGGTTTGTCAATTCGGCCTCAGAAATGCGTCTCTGGCGCGAGGGAGAGTTCAGATACAAGTCGAAAATCAGCTGTTCAGTTGCAACCTCGAGCGTGTCCATCGAGAGTGAGGCGATGTGGCCTTGGCTTGTAGCTCTAACTTCCATCATTTTTAATTTTTTCTAATCTTTGCTCAACTGTCGAGCTTCCCAATCTTATAGTTGTAAGTCCGCTCGAGGACGCCACCTTTTGTGGTTCCTTATTTGGGTATCATCCAGCGCCCGAGATTTAGCGTCGACCATGACAAAATAAGGCCCCTAGCAATCCGAATTTGAATGCACCAAACCGTTTTCACTTATATCTATTTTAGTGCCTCGTAGAAGTTGCCGAGCGATACAACCATGAAGTTATCAATAAGTCTAATGGCGAGACAGTGGATTCGAATTCTCTCACTAATTTACCTCGCTACTTTTAATTTATCACTGGTGCTTCTGAATAATAGTCCTTTAGAATGTGAGCAAGAAAAATGGCATCTACAGCTCGAATCGCTGCAACCCTCGGGTTGAACTTGTTTTCCTCCCTTTCAATAGTTTTCGTTAACAAGGTACTACATGACTTTACAGCGAATTTCTTATCACATCTTAGTGGTTGTTCCTTTACAACAAGTTCCCTTCAATTACTCTCACTCTCATTAATTTCGTCGGGACATCCTTTGGGCTTTATGTTTGCCTAGGTTTAGGCCTCTTCAAGAGGAAAACTGTCCATGTTCGCGACGTCCTGCCCTTGGCAGCAAGCTTTTGTGGCTTCGTCGTTTTCACAAACCTTTCCCTTAAATACAATACGGTCGGAACTTACCAGGTATGGTACCATTTATTTTCCCAAGTTTTTTTTTATTTTTTTAAGCTTCTTAAAGTTCTCACTTCGCCAGTTATACTTTTACTCAATTATCAATGGTTTGACAAAATACCATCGAGGTAACTTGGATTTAGGATTTCTTTTGTTCGTACCGTTTTAAGATTCGTTGTGCTTTCCCTTTTGCCGATTTTTCTTGGTGTTACATTGAACTCAATATTCGACCTCCAGTTTTCGCCTATCGGAACGTTCATGGCACTTCTTGGTGTAGGTACTACTGCTATGTACCAGATTCTCGTCGGGCATAAACAGAAAGAGCTGGCTCTCGATTCGATGCAGCTGCTATCATATCAAGCGCCTCTATCCTCAGGTATGACATGATGCTAGGGTTATACAATCTGATGTCATACGAATCGAAACATTTCAATTTATAAATTAGTTATGTTGCTCTGCGTCTTGCCGTTTTTGGAGCCTCCCTTTGCAGAGGGTGGGCTCTTCGCAATCGATTTGTCACTAGAAGGATTCCTGCTTGTTTGTCTTTCGACGAGTGCCGCCTTTCTGGTAAACTTCACGATCTACTGGATCATTGGCAACACGAGTCCTATCACGTACAACTTCTTCGGGCACTTCAAATTCTGCGCGACGATGATTGGCGGCGTCCTGATCTTCAACGACGAGCTACAGGTTTGTCACGATAGTGGCTGTAAGCTTATATTTTTTAGACCAACCAATACATCGGAATCATGCTGACCCTAATCGGAGTATTTTCTTATTCGCACCTAAAGATGAAAGAACGCAACCAAAACACGCCTTTGAGATCAAACAAGATTGAACTGAAACCTTAACTGAGCTGCTACCTATTCCAATACTATATCCCGACCTAATATGTCGCCAACAGTAGTGCACTGTTAAACAGATATGCTGTCCTTGTTTTCTATAAATGTGATTTATTTGAGTGCAATTATTGAACTATCTATTTTACCTTGATTAATTCTCCTGTATGCTACTTTTATTGTCCTATCCTGATTTCTACTATTTCTGTATCCATCAGCCAAACCTAATCATAAGTGTTACTTGACTCTGCACCATTTGTTCGAGAGAGCAATTCTGTAGTTTTTATTTTTAATAAATTATTATCATATTATCGAAAAGCCTGGATTTCTCTTGAAAGAGGAAACTCTTTTCACTATGTAGGAGAATTTCCGCGACTATTATGGCTATTTTTACGTCCGAGGCCTAAGGATGGCGCATGCTGACTCTACAAAGTTACGGCTCGGATGGGATAATCTTTTTCCACTTCCGAATATGTCAAAAGCAGAACATCTGAGCTCGAATATGATCGATCATAAGTAAGAATTTTTGATTCATTGTGTGACTTTTGAACTCTACTTGAGTGTATTATGGAAATTTATTCAACCTTGAAATTAATTTATGAGCATAGATTTGAATTTTGAAATGATGGCGTGAGAGTATTGATTCAAAAAGTGTTTTGACTGCAATTTTCAAATTTTTTTATCATTTATTAAATTAATTCTTTAAACATAAAGCATATTCTTTCTCCGGTCAGGCTTCGATGGGACTCCTGATTTCTTCTCCGCCTTTATTTTTCGAGCATGATCAGACAAAATCCGTTTGCTCCGGTCCCGCTGCTTTGACATTTCTTCTCTTTTTGCTTTCATTTTCTAAGTTTCATTAAATTTTTTCTTCTCAAAAAGTTACTTGAAATTTTTTGCACGGCGGAAAACAACAGAAAATGAATGCCAGCGATCCCAAAATCATCACTACTGCTGCAACACCAAGGATAACATAGTTATATTTTCTTCGTTGACGTCCGGCTTCACTGTACTGCCAGTAAGGTCTTTGCCACTGAGTTGGATACCTTTTTAAGCTCTTGATTTAATCTCGATTGAAATGAAATATCATTTTCACGTAATGTTTATATTTTTAATATCGCGGAGCACATCTTCCTGCGACATTCCGTTTTGGAAATTTGCGTACAAATCACTATACAAGGATATTAATCGTGCTTGAATATTTTCCTTCGGCCAGATTAACCCGACTTCTATCCCTTCCCTAAAATGAAACCAGTCAAACCGCGCATCGACCTATCTCTTTATTTCGAATTGAAAATTTACGACCGAATAGATTGCTCTATCAATTTTATTGTTCTTTTGTTGATTTTCTTGATTTGAATCATGGGATAAACGTTTGCAGAATCTGAAAACTTTTATGAAGCGTAATACGGCTTTATTATTATTGATTATCTTGACAATGAACAATGGTCTGATCAAATTGGAAAGAGTCGTCGCCAAATGCGCTTGTAGCCCGGTACATCAAGCTAGCTTTGAGTTTGCAGTCGGATCCTCCTCTATGATTGCAGAGAGCAAGCACGTTTTCATAAAAGGCTTGGTCGCAGTTGTTTTTAGCGGAAATAGAGTTTTCTTGCTGGAATATAATGCGATAACAGGCATCATGTGTCTGGCAGGCAGGGAGAAACTCACTTTAAGATTCGTTCCAGAAATATTTTCGAATATTTACTTTCATACCGATCTGCGATGTGGCGCAAGGCTTTCTAAGAGTTCATCGAGCTTAACACTCGAGTATATGAGCTTTTTCCAGAACCCTTTACTTTAGCGCTGCAGTAACCCTCGCTGAATTCCTGTAATAAATTCTATTTAGGGTCAACGGTTGAGCTAAATTGAGATAAGTGTCTTCGTAGACTTTCCTTATTGTAGAAACACTTGTAGTTAAAATTGCATCTGTACTTGATCTGGCGTATAAAATTCGGGCCCACAGAACTTGCTGGAATGGTGATTCTCTCTAAGTCCGGACACTTCCATGTCACATCAAAAACGCTCTCACTAGACAATCCGAATAGAATCAGAAAAGAAACTAACATTTTTGAAGATTTAAACTTTCAACCTTGATAGAAATCTTTGGCCAATGTGAAGGCGCGAAGATCTCTTGATATTGTCAGTTGTTAATTTATTCTAAGGTATAAAGGGTTATTAGAGGCTCAGTCGTTGATTTATAGTTCGTCCTTGAACCAGCTCGGATATTGCAGAGGTCTTTCAAGGTCTCAATTTCGTTGAAAGTTCATTTGAATGATGTAACAAGTACAAATAGAACTTTTTTGCTGAGACTATCCTTCCGAGTATATTTGCCCAAATTTTCTGGGCGCCTGCTGAAAAGTCTAGCGACTCAGAAGCCCAAGCTGACCAACTGTTTTCTTCTGGCGTCCCACAAGGTATGAATAGCTTCTGTGTCGAAATAAAAGGAATATGATATTCTTGCAGTATAACGGTCGTTATCAGCACCAGAACGACACTTGTGATTCCAAAATAATTGAGCTATAAAATCAAGTAAATGCTGGGAAATTTCCATATGATAAGTCAATCAATAATAACCTGTTCGACTGTCACAATTTTCCGCATCACAAGAGTCACCCCGAAAAATATAATGGCGACAGCCCAAGTTGTTGGCACATAGACATAGCCTTTTTGGATAGATATAACACGGACCTATCAGAATAACTGTCTTCCTCGTATTCTAACCTTCCTGCGAAACCTTGCCGCTGAAATGGGTACTTATCTTCTATACATGTTAACCAGGATTCGCCCTGAAAAGCGAGCTGTAGCGGGTATAAACTCATGAAAAGAATGCCAAGTCCACCTAGAAACATAATTCCACAGACAACTCTTGGAGTCTTATTTCCAGCCAAGTCTTTTCCAGTGAAACATATATGAATGCCTCCCACTATAGAGTAAAAGACGAGAATAAGAAAATATGTCGCTAAAAAGGCTCTAGCAAAGATATTAGATTTTTAAATAATTTTCATCGTTCAAATATTGATTTAAGTTTTAGGCCTTCCTATAATTTTGTCCAGTAGATTGAGCGGTACCAGATTGTAGGAAAAATGTAAATTCTTTGGTCTGAGGCGGAAAGAAACGTAGCACAGACAAAGTTGAAGGGAAATTCCGAATTTAAAGCCAAGGCGAACATCAGGCGAGCCTTGGAGGATGCGTACGCCAAATATGGAATTCAAGGCGCATGAAAGCAGATAGATGTGTAGAAAGTGACTTCCAACGAGCAGATAGTTGCCAAATATCGAACTTGCCGTAATAATAAGGCCCATGATGAAAGTAAGAACGCCGAAGACAGAATGTGGATGTAACCATTTTAGACTCTTTATTTAATGTTAACAATAATTTCTTTTGTTTGATTAGTAATAATTATTTGGCAATAAAACTGACCTTGAGCTTTTTAATTTGCTTCTTGTCAATAACCATTTCTTCTGTTCACTGACTGCTGATCTCTTTTTTTCGGCGCCTTCAAAAACTCATAATTCGAATAAAGCACGATTATATCTTTTTTCCTGGGGCTACGAATCCGTCCGCAACAACAGCAACCTATCTTTCGATAGTAAACTTACTTGAGTCAGAATAGTGTAATAATGTTCTCTAGTGTTAGTAAGGGCGCGTGACCTCTAAAGACAAATTTAAGCTATGAACTCAACGATCAGAGGTGCACCATTGCTAATGGTCTATTGGTTTTAGTGTCTCCATCGCTTTTGGTTCAAAAAGGCGATGCGCGTACCCTGTCTACCTGCAGTTGTCACTATATTTGCTCTGGAAAATGCCAGACAAGGTCACTGTTTAAAAAAAGCAAGGTTCAAAGCTCGATCATTTAACTGTAGAAATTTTGTACGAGAAAATCAAATTCATCGCTGAATTTTGTTGGTGCGGATTTTTTTTTATTTTTGGAGCAGAAAACAATAATCTAAATTTTAGCAGAGTCTGCAAATTTACAAAGTCTAGAATTCTGTAATTGTCCTGGAGCGCAAATTGTTCAATTGAAAGATTTCAATGTTCAAAGGTTTCTTCGATAAACAGTTGAATAACATGACAGAAAACAGAAAGTTTGCGCATGATGTTTTTTGGAAGTATTTTGATGAAGTCACGTCGGAAAGACTTTGTGTTTCTATTTTTATCATAAGACCCACATGCAAATAAAATAATAACTTAAAGCAGATATGACAGCCGAAACAGGGAGGGTCACGAACCAAGCCATGGCGATCTTTTTGAAGGTTGCACATGACACATTCGCTCGGTCATGAACTAGGGATACGGCCACAACTGCGCCAACCTAAACAGCTTTGTCAGAAAGCCTTTGTGAGTGGAACTTGATTTCAACAGACTACCTTAACTACAACTTATAATTTTCACTGCTAACCTTGCAATGCGTTGTAGACAATGGAATTTGAAGCATCGAGCCAAATAAAACTGTGAATCCAGCCATGATGTCAATAGAAAAGCCCCTAAACTTGTAATAAACAGTTTCTTCCTAAAGTTCTTACCGGGCAGGGGTGATTGAAGCGATGTCCTTTCCAACTGTCTGTATAACCCGCTTTCCTAAGGTCCAGAGGCCGAGGATAATACCGCTGCAACCAAAAATAATGATCCAAAGTTGAGGTGGTTCAGTTTGGTTGATATTACATCCAGCAATCGTTTGGCAAGTTTGGATCACAGCCCAAACGGCCATTACAGGGCCAATAGAGTTTCTAGGAAAAAAGTGTTACCAATTTCAAGAAGAACGACATGTTCTGCTCACCCAACATCATTTCCTCCGTGAGCATAGGCATCAAAACACGCTGAGAACGCTTGAAGTTCCTTGAAGCAAATTTGCATTTCAGGAGTCTCAGAGCCGTCTTGCTTTTCGTCATTTGCAGGATTGATAAAATTCTTTTCCTCGAGCAGTATCTTTTCTGGCTCTATTGCGTCTTCTTCTCATGGGCGTCGAGACTGGCAGAGAATAATGTTTAATTATGGGAATGAAAGAGATTATGAGAAATTGCGAAAAACATGGAGTCTCTGTCTGAACGCACAAAAATGTGCTGCATAGACTGAGAATGTCGACGTCAACACTGTGCTATGAACAATCACTTGTCTGAGAGCGCGGCCCATTCCTTTGATTTCCGCATCCAAAGTGAGTCCTAACTTCTTCTCAAGCTTCGCAACCATTTTCTGGAAGGAAGATGGAGAGGGGCATAGATTCTTGCTGAGCGCATTGATTTTACGCAGGATTCGGGGAATATATAGGCAGCGAATGACGATATAAACCATGGCCATTACAGAAAATGCGATGGTGATGAAGTGCCACTCCCGAAAGCAGAAAGATCCAGTGCCGTCTTCACTGTCTTCCGCCTCGTCGTCGCAAGAACCGCTCCATTTGTAAACTGAATAATTTAAATCGAATACTTTCTACACACGAAATGCTTACTTTTGTTCATTGTACGCATGATAGAGTAGCAGTTGAATCCAACAACACCTGAGTAGAATATTGGCAAAAAGGTGCATGCACGGGAGACGCGATTCTCCGCTTGGAGAATCATCTTCGACACCAGCGTGTAGAGAGCGATCGCTAGCACGCCGGAGAGAACAGGCGATGCAAACCAAGAAATGACAATTTTGATAATGGTCCACCACTGAATGGCCATCACTCCTTTCGAAATGATCGCAAAGCCAACAACCGCACCAACAATCGAGTGAGTTCCGGAAACAGGCATTTTTAAGACTTAGGGATGTTCTTTCCGATCTGCGTAAAGAAATCCTCTAATCTGGAAATGAACATTTCCTGATGCAATAATCTGCCAGACAGCGGCACCGAACATCGCGGAGAGTTGTCCGATAAGGAACTTTTTTATGTCTTCTGAGCTCGTTTCGTTGTACGCGTCAACGTTGACGATCTTCTTTCTTATGGTGTCCGAGACTGCGCCGCCCATCGTAATTGCCCCCAACGTTTCCATCAACGTGGCCAGAACAAAACACTGCAAGGAGCGAGTGAGTGAGCTAAATCCTGCGCAGACTGACCTGTAAAAGAGTGAGCGCGCCCGATCCCACCGAGGTTCCAAACGGGTTCGCAACATCATTCGCACCAACTGAAATCGCCAACAAAAAGGCGACAACGAAAGCGACTATCACAATCCATTGATATTCTCCAAAGCCTTCCTCGATCATTCTTTTTGCCACTACTCAAGGGTTTTACAACCACCACTCTGAAAAATATTTTTCTTAACAAAAAAACTTTTTTTTGGTTCAAAGATACGAACGGGTTATCATAGCCTATAATTCACAAATGCGAAAATCTTTAAAAAGAAAAATAGGAAATATTTTTTTATTTATTTCGCCACTTCGAGCCGGGCGTATTTCTCGTGTGTGCTTTGAAAAATTGAGTTTCAATTTTCATCTCTTAGGGCTAATCTCGATTAGATTGTTCGCAAAATGGGCGAATTCAATGAAAGAAAACAAAAAAAAACACTGTGAAGGTTGTTCTAGGCTTCCTGTTGGGCAGCAAAGTATTATTACATCACGAGCACGTTCCTACGAACGAAGGAAAGTTGTCCCCTCAAGCGGGTTCGTTTTATCTTTTATCCGAGACTTCGCCGAGGAAACGCCCTACTCGCCATTGCGCCCAAAAAAAACCTATTTGAACCATTTATTTAACCTCGTGTGGGCATGATTCTTTCTGAGGGACAATAATTCCCAAAATGATAATGTATTGGAATTTTTAAAAGTAACACAAATGCATAATTTTTAAATTCAATGGTTGATTATATAATTTAAAAAATGTCACCAGATCTCTAGAAAAATATTACGTAAAAATATCTCTGGATAATTCTTCGATTTCCTGTTTTTGTGCAGTAATTTGTGTAGATTCACGTAAATCCTTAGGGCCTACGAAAGGACTGATAGGAAAAAGGTTGATTTGAGAGTATCAAATCGTTTATTACCTAGGTAATAAGTCATGGTCACATATCCCCCGTATTCGATAATTTTAGCTCGCTCACTTGCTAACGAGCATTTGATGTGGCAACCACTTAGCCCTGATGTCTTGTCAGCTTTTTCAAAAAAAAGAAGAAGTAAAAAGTACTCTAAATTCACCTTTTTTCCACAGTTCTCGTGCTCTGAGATGCGTGGCAGTTTTTTTGTTAGTGTTATTTTTTTATTTACAACTAATCATTTTCGGTGTGATCTAGAGCTTTCTGACACGGACCACCTTATAGAGCTTTTTAGAGCTTTTGTTCAGTCACGTAACGTGGTCTTTTATATTCAGCTGCGCTTTATTAGCCTGATTCTCACTTATTTCTAAATCTTAAAGGGTCTTTTCATATTTTAAAGGATGAAGTATAAATTACTGTGGAAAATCGCGTCAATCGACGTTCACGTGTCTTTCTGAGCCCTGTTCTTTCTCTAGATTAAGAAAAATATCAAAGCGGGAAATTAGGGCTTGTCGCCTGCGCGGGTGCTTAGTGATTTTTCTTTTCTCATGCGCACACGTGAATATCCCCTTTGCGCTAGATCTATCTACCGTTGGACACTTTGAGGCGAGCTGTCGTTTCTCTTCTGCTAGTGGAGATCCTCTTTGAGGCCCTCGAGAATGATTTCTGCTTTGAATTTAGTCGAGAATAAAAATTGAGTTTATTCCCGACAGTCTGTCAGAGAGCGCAGGAGAGAGGAGCGCGTTGACGTGAGATTCTCGCACGCTCAACTTCGTCATAGATTTGATAACTATCAGAAACGGGCGATTGCACCCGTTGCTGCAGCTAAATTTGCACCTAGCTCACGAGCTGCCCCGTAACTCATCCTCTAGGCATGCAAAACTGGCCCTTCTTTCCCGATTTTTCAACAGTTGATAGCTCGAAACTTAACTTTTTTCATTGGAGTGAGAAGTCTAAATTTCATTTTTATCTAACGTATTTTCCTTTTCTTTATTTGTCTTATTTCTGAAAGGAACAAAATCAATAGCTATCGTATTTTGGTATTCATAGATTCTGTGTAAACGCACAAAACCTTGATTGACTGAAAAAGAGGCAGTTTATTTGACTTGTAAACATAAGATAAATTCTTCTTCTAATTAGATGCGAAGACTGGGCTGTAGGTCTGTTAAAAGTTCAAAGATGTGGGCACAGAACTTTCACGAGTCGAAACCCAATTAAACTTTTCCTAATACCGCAATTGAGGGGCTTCTGGAAGAATGTGCGATTGAAGAGTTGTTGAAGTAGACATTGTCATGTTGTGTCTGTTATTCAGGTGCCTAAATCAATGGCCATAATATTTATAACGATATATTTTAACAAAATTTAGACTAGCGGAAGTACCTGTCAATAGTTCCCGGTCTCGACACTGTTCGATATTGACCTCCGTATGTGATGGTATTGCTCGATCCGTATCTTCTACTCACAAAATGTCCGAACGTATTTCCAGCCTCCTCCACAATTGGTAGCTCGTCCAAGTATGTTGGCTCCATATTGAGCCGCTTCTCAAACTCATTCGTTTGTCGGTAGTGATCGTACAATGAAGGCGCTGAGCTCTGTATAGAATGATAAAAGGATGCGAGATTCGAGAAGAAAAGTGATTTTCAATGAATGAGAGCGTCTTCACCTTGAGCGTCTCCGAGGATTTGAATCTTGAGCTGTTTAGTCTGTTCAAAGGCGTAGAAGTTCTCGTTGACACGTGGTGAAAAGCAGCAGGATGAGCTGGATGATTGACAGGCTGGTATACAAGTTCCACGCTGCCAGCAAGAGATCTCGGAGAGCGATTGAAGCGACGACTTGCACCTTGCATAAGGTCTATTTCCTCGACTGAGCTGTCTGAGCAGGTCCACCTTGCCCAGAGAGAAAAGACTATGAATGCACATGAGATTCGAATTCGCGCAGAATAAATGGCTGTGGAAATATTGAGAATAATGATGACGCCTTAAACGTCAATAGCCGCGTCTGGGAGCGGCTGCGTTGTGGAAACTAGTGGATCTTGGCACATCACACGCTCAAGAATTTAGTTTCGCCGTCTTGTGTGATACTTTTCCGTCTAGGCGCTTCGATATGAGTACTTACTGAATAAAGATAGTCCAACAATATTCATGACAATGATAACTTTTGTCGGCTCCAGAAACATGGCTTCTATTCATGTTTTATTCAAAATAGATTTGAATCTGATTCAACTTAAATCGATAGAAACCGCATTCAAATTAAATTTAAGAATTTTCAACTAAGTTCACGGAAGTTGGAAGAAAGTTTTCTAAGAAAACTTTCTTTAGACTAAAGAAACTATTTAAAATTCAAATTTCGCCAAAAAGTCAGTTTTGAACATGAGTTCGAAAATGGAAGACCAAATGCGCTGCATGAATCCGATAGCCTTTCCTATCAGATAGATGTGACACTCAGAACCACAAGTGAGCAACGTGCCTATCGTACAGAGCACCCTAAAGCAAATATTTTCACAATTCGAACGACGCGGCGAAACTTACACGATCGACAAAATGAGAAGCGCCAAAACAACGAGTATGTTGAGCATGGGCTTGATCTTCAGCGGCATAATCTCTGTAGTTTGCAGATCAGTCGCTCTCTAATTCAATAATGGAATGGTTGTGGTACTGGGAATGGCTGAGCAACTCATCAAAAATGCAACTTTTACCCTGTCTCTCAGCGGGCAGTTTGAGTAAAACTGTTGAGCAATGATTAACTTGAATCTGAGATGAACGGACGAACTGAGACCAGATAAGATGCTACATCACGTCATACGTGACACCTTGCGCGTACTACAGTATGTAATTATCTCCGTGTACCTGAGATCAAACCTAAACCCGTTGCGACGCATATTGAACCTTCAATTAAACCGGCGGTAGTATCTAATGGATTTTTGAATAACCTTGTATTCTCGATTAAAAATCGGTTCTTCTTTCTCTCTGTTTTTTTTTCTTTCTCAAAAGAAAAATGAAAGTAAAATTATCTTTTATGAAGAAAAAATGGTCGATGAGCATTTAATCGACTAAATATTTAATGAGATAACGGACAGTATAATGAGACCGTTGCTAATAGGGGCGTTAAGAAAGGGAATCTGTATATAAATATATAAAACATTTAATGATTGAACTTAATCGCGACATGAGTATTTTCTAAGGGCAAGGGTAAAAATACGGTTATATTGATTTGGAAATTCCTAGCTTCAAAATGCTTTTACTCTGTGAATAACTTATAAGACTCCATTATTCTAAGCCTTGATTCAAAGACTTTGAAACCTTAATCAGTTTCCTCGAAATGAACTCCCTGATTGCATATTAGTTGTAGGTTAATGAGGTTTTGAATTTTTTATTCGTAATGTATAGTACTGTGCCATTGTTCTTGTTTAATGAGACACAGGGGACTCTAAAATATTAAGTTCCGTGTTCGGATATTTAAGCACGGGAAACAGATAGATGAGCCTGTCAGTAAAAAAAAGAAGAAAATCATGAAGCTTTTTTATGCCTTTTTGACTCTAGGTATGATATTATCCTTGTTAGAGAGGGCTTGTCTGAAAACCGGGGAAAGTGAATCTAAAATTTTAAAAATCAATTCTTTTCCCACTTCGTTTTTAGAAGATTGCGCGAATTTTAGATAATCCTTATTTTATGTTAACGTATGTTTAGCTTTTGCCTCGCCTGGATTCTTTGACATGAGTGATTTGATGAGTGAAGACTACGAAAAACGATCTCCTTTTATGGTAATTGTACTTTAATCATAGTCAAGTATAGTTGTTGTTTTAAGAATGTTCGAAACATGGACAAGCGGGGCCAGTTTCCAATAGAATTGACGCTTGATGACATGTACGATTCACTGATATAAATTGCGAAATTCAACTTGCTTATTTTGATACATCCAGTTTCATGAATAAAATGACATAAGATTAAAAGAGCTCTCTGAACTGAGAAGATTTTATTTCGTGTTATCTTTCCGGGAGAAACCTTGAAATCGAAACTGACTGAAGAGAAGAACGAAGAGCGATGGTAATCCTTAAGGTTAGGATGTAAACAGAAGGGACGAATGGAGGAACTTGAAGGAGTAGAGAATGTTACTTTTACACTGATTACACAAATGGCAGAAGAGTAATAGAGCAATATTATTAAGGGCGGAGGATATTATAGCTCGGTATTGGAGGATTCTTCGTTGATTTCGGAAACTGTATCTAAATCTGAGGTAAAAAGAACGAGTTTCACGCTTCTGACCTGGCTCAATCGAGCTTCGTCTTCCTCTGGTACGCTCGTACGTAGTACAATTGACTGGTGGCAAGGGTTCGCTTAGCGCACGCATTACAGACTGATGCTGGGCGACATCATAGTTTGCTGACGGATGGCTTACTTCCAACTCGTTTTTCATGTAAATTTCTTGCTGATGATCGTCCTCGTCTTCAACGCCAGAATCTTAAAGATAACATTTATCAAACTACTAAATCGCTTGAATTATATCTGAGCGGTCAATCAGCTCGATCATATGTCATACCGAGGTCTCGCTCATCCGGCGCAGTTGCTTGCTGCCAATCAGTTTCACGCTCTTCGGAGGAAAATGCGGTGTTATCTTCCTGAAAAAATAGGCGTGAAATATTTCTATGAAAAGCGCACAAACCTCTGACGGTCCGCGCGCAACTTCTTCCGCGTCCCGAAGGCCCAACTGCTTGAGTATATCAACCTTGCACTGGGGACACGTGCCCTTTTCCATCAGCCATGGATCGATACATTTCTTGTGATAAAGATGACAACAAGTCAAGTGTCTAACGACGTCCTTTGCCTCAAAGTTGTCTATACAAATCGCACAACATGTTTCGTCTGAATTTTTGACAATTTCAGAACTGCTCGTCAGAATTTCAACTTTGAGAGCATCGAGAGCTTTTCGCATCAGTTGCTCTTGTTTCTTTTGGTCCTGAGAAAGAAGATTTAGCAATGAGTGTGAACGACTACTTTGACTTACCCGGTATTGTTGATGGAGGACTCGAAATCGCTGCACATAATAGAAAATAACCCAGGCAAGTGATATTGTCAACAAGACCAAAAATGCCAAGCATATCACGATGACAATGATTTTTTCGAACCCAACAGTCGGGGTCTGAATTTTAATTTGACTTGACATTTGCGTTGCTGATTTTATTAATATTTATCAATCATAGAATGGTCTTGAATCGAGCATCATTATTATTCAATAAATCGAATTTTGATTTAATTTAAGAATCGTTCAATTTTGAATTTCAAAATGATTTATATCTTGTTTATAAAAAAAGTATAAGGGTTTGATAGGAAAATAAAGATTATCTACCCCTTTTGATATTTTCAAGAAGACGTTTTCGTATGTTTCTTTTTCTTTCAACTCTTGAAGAATTTGATAGCCACTCTTATTTGTAATCATCAATGAAATGACGTTTTTTTCCTTTGCTTCTAAGCGATTATGATTATCTAATCAGCACATTTAAAGTTTAACTTACTTCCGATGGACATTGTAATGACACCTTCAGGATTGTTGTTAACAATGACAACGACCTCTGCACCAGCTTCGGCGGCAAGCGTGACTTTTTCTTCAAATTTACAGATTCCTCTGTAAAGAAATGCTACCTTCCCCGTAAAGTTGCTGCTCCCATAATCTTCTTCTTTGCAGCCGTAGATTCCATCCTAGGGTAAACCATTCGATGAGTATTTCGATAAGAGGTTTACCGGATTGTCAGGGTTTTCGAAAATTCCTGTTCCAACAAGAACGACTTCACCAAATGCCGGTTCTCCAGGAACAACTGATCCGCGGGCGAACTGACCTTGATCGAGGGGATCCCATTCCGATGGACTCGTCTCCAAAAAGTTTTTGACCATCGCAACGTCCGCTTGCTACATTTATCATTGATAACACTGCACACAATATTATGTCGTCCTTGACATAAACTTATAGTGCTAGAATAAAACTTACAGAGATGCCATCGTTATATTCAGGGTCATTTTCTGTCTCTTCCGCATAAAGCGACGGTAATAATGGCAGTAACCACCAGGCCGAAAACATGCTCTTCGCTTGAGGCTGATATTTTATCTAGCTCTTGGTTTGGTATCGTTAATTTCTTAAAAACATGAATAATCTTTTCGCGAAAACTCTGTCGACGCAAACATTTGCAGATAAATGACAAAATCTGTTTGCTCGGAGCGCGCCAGTGTTAAGGTTACCTAGCTAACATTGGAAAAAATGGCACGCGAGCGGTGAAAACGACGTGCCGTGTCTCGTTCTCGGTTCTAGTGAATGCCCCCAAAGCACTTTCTAGTGGCCTCAGAAAATACTCGAACTTGTAACCGCTTAGATCTCTCTGCGCACTAAAATTTCAAAGGAAATAACTGTGCAGATTTTCGGGAGTAGGTTGTTTATCAGATACTGGACTCAGACAAAGACCTTTCAAGTTTACGAGTAGTCAAATGCTATATCGCGCGTGACTTAAAATGGGGAGCGCTAATTCCTTTCCACAGAAGAAGTGTAAGGTGCACCCATTGTTAGCGAAATGCACAATTATCATAAAAGGAGGAAGTTAATGTTATTTAACTACTGCTTAGAAAGTCGTACTATATATAACGTAATATTTTAAAACTAATCACTTGGAATTTATTTTCCGCAAAATGCGGCTATTTACCACGAGTTTATCACCTTCTGACAGTCTCTATGGCTCTGACAATCGCAGATATTTTTCTTCTCTTTTTAACGATTTCTTAGAAATGGTTCTTGATCAAACGTTACTCGTCGTACTCAAGAACAAGGTATCGTAAAGTGGCCGAGAACGTAAAAAATGTCGCTGACCTACATTTAGTGGTGACCCTTCAATCAGACAAACGTATTCAAGACCAGTTATCTACCATAAGAAAAACTTACCAACAACGGATCAGATTATTTCGCTATCTTCTGAAAGGAATACCTCGACGGTTACGAATATCTTGTTAAATGGAAGGCGCTCGATAGATTTCAGCTTCTAATTTCTGAAATTACACGGCTCACCGCGCATGATATGGCTCGACAAAATAATTATAATAACTTAAAATTGGTTTCTTCCTACATTTGATTTTGTCTTTTCGTCTTGTTTTATTTGCATATCTACTGCGATGCTTCTACAAGCTATCGTAATTATTAATTGACAATCTTTGATTGCGCTGGTAATGGAAATCATGGAAGACAAATGTATCAACAAATTAATTGAAGTCGCGTAAGCAGAACGTAACCGATCGACAGTTCAGTTCTTTGCTAGTCGAAATTGGGTCATGAATATTTATTATGAAATATTATATCGATTTATACAAAAAAAACTTCCAACATAGCTAAAGTGTTATGCAGTATTCTTCTCATAGTGAGAGCGCAGATCATCATTGAAATAAATGTGAATTGCTGGGATCCACTGCTCGGGATCCATGCCGAGCTCTTCAAGTTCGAAGTCTTCGTCAAGAATTCCATTTTCCTCTGAAAATCATTTAAACCATTCTTATATTGAAAAGTAACTTACCCAAGGTTTTTGTTTTGTCTAGTTCTTCTCCTTTATATTTCCATGTGTAAGACTCTGCGTGAGAATTATAACAAATATATCTGAAAAGTGGATATTTATTATCCGTTTATACATTGTATTATAAGAAGTACCTGGCAAGAATTTCAAGCATAGTTTCTTCAGAGCAAACTTCGATGATGTGCTGCTGGCTGGTAAGCGTGTTAACGATTCTTAGTTTTCGCGGCTTTTTTGTAAGGGTTCCAACCTAGTATTCCATGGGAGCAAATGAATAATAATTCATTGTACCTCATATCTTCGATCCTTCCACCATGGGCGGCCAAAATCATTATTGTAGTCGGATCTTGGTTCAGAAGGTGGGATATGAAGCAGGTCTCCGTGTGGGGTATAGTATCGGACGATGCCCTAGAAGACAAAGTCGATCGACTTTAAATTATTTTTTACCTTTTCGGCGTCAACATACGTTTTCAGATCTCCAGTAACTTGATTAAACCAGTGCGAAATGTCCTTATTTTAAAACTTGATATAAATAATACGATCATGCCTACGTTTCCAGCCATGGCAAGAATAGGTGAGGTGAGGTCCCTTTTTCCTCCTTTGTGTTGATTTATCAAGTTCGTCAGGTCGTACACTTTTCCGAGGAAGGAAATCCAACAGTCTGCGCTGGTATTGTGCAGGGCCACCTGCGATTAAACTCTTTTCCTTCTAATGAATTAATTTTACCTCATTGGGCGTATAATATTTTGAGCGGCCTTCTTGCACTTCGCCCATACTGAACTATCCGAAATGTTTTCTTCTTTGCACAAATAGATTGCTCTTTCTATGTTCTAGAATGTTAATTATAGTATGAACTGAAATTGCTTAAATGCGAATCAATCCCTGCTCCCATGGCAACAACGAGTCATCGTGTGTAGATCTCCACTATTAGAATTTCGAGTCTTCTTTCGCCGCATTTTTTAGCTCCCTCTCTGACCTTATCACGCTGGACATCTTACAGAGAAAGTCAATGCAATCCTCCTGCATCAATTATCTTTCAAGCGATTGATTCGCAATGTTTCAAAATATTGCGATTCTTTGAATTTCGTGGGATAGTCTTGTAGTTTATTTTTCAGTCTCGTTTGAACTATCAGTAAATAGAGATAAAAATATTATGTTATTGAAGAATACAGTGAAGAAGATATTATGTAAGGACAAAATGATAGGTATACTTATAGGAGAGTTGTGCCGCTTGAAATAATAAATTCTTCGTTGCTTTTATACTCAATTTGTGAAGAAGAAATATGCAGCATATTTCTTCGTTGGAAATAGGTTTTTAAATAGAAAATTTACAGCTAGAAATTATATTTAAGATTAACCCTAAAAGAAAGCGGCAAAACGACTGTATTCTTCAATACTTGCTCAATAATTTTTAGCCCTGCAGAAAGTGAACTTGTATCAGTAGGCAGGAATGGTGTGAGCATTTAGTTTTATTCGGCGCGAGTGGGGTCCTTCATTTTGAGGAACTGAAAGATGTCACCAAACTGTTTGCGGAGACCTTTCTGATCGTCAGAGAGGCCCTGGGGAGTGAGGAAGATGACTTGGGCGCCCGGATTAGTTTCTGCGTAGCGGCATAAGATCTAATTTTGAAGTTAGCATTAAAAAATATCTTGGTTCATACGTGAGTCGCCATATGTTTGTGGTGGGCATCCATGTAAACATCGAACTCATCGATGCATCGAAATGGCGAGCTTGTGGCGTGCCAAATCGCGATGAGAAGGATGACCGTGCTGATGCTTCGCTCCCCTCCGGAGAGAGTCGCTGTGTTGCCCTTATTCTTGCCCATTTCTGAGAGGGCTTCCATGTCAATCTTTTGGTCACCGACGATCTTTGACATGTTGATGGTGATCGCTGAATTATTTTTAGCAATCGAGAATCAACAATTTGATCCTTTTATCAAATAGAACTCACTTCCTTGGCTTTGGCTTTTAGCGTTGAGGTCGAATTTCTCTGGGATGATTTTACACTCGCCCTCGTATTTGTTTCCTCGGCAGATGTGGCTAAAGAAGTGGGAGACTCGTTGAGCTTGATCCTCAACAAGGCTATTGAGCTCCGAGAGGCGAATTCTCACTGCAGCTTCTATCTTCCCAGTGGCCTGAAATTTATAAATAGTAAGAGTTAAAAAATTAAACTAACGATTTGACGAGCCTTGAGATTCGTCTTTTTCTTCTTGTAGGTCTCGGCTGCTTCCTCCGCGGCTCGCTTGATGTCTTCGTAATCCTTGTCGGAGCTCTTGACATTGATTTTCAAGTCACGAGAGATCTTCTCCCGCTCGTCAGTCAGCAGCTTTTTCGTAAGCGGTTTGGTTGGGCGCTCGCAGTGGCTTTCCGCGATTCGAACGGCGTTTTCAGCTTCCTTCTTCCATTTCTCCACGTCAGCCTTTTTCGCGACGATCTTATCTTCGACATCTTTCTTCGCCAGCTTGATCTCCTTCAGTTCCTTCTCGATTTTCCTGGCGTCATTTTCCCTGCGAAGTTTTCGTGCTTCTAGGGCCTCAAGCTCTTGCATGCGTTTGTCGAGCATTTCTCCCTCACGAGCGCAAACTTCTTTCTTTTCATCAATCTTGCGTTCCGCGTATTCCATTCTTTCTTCGATGCCTACAAGCTGATCTTTCTTCGCATCGATCTCTGCCTGGCTGTGCTGGATCTCGGTCATCAACTGCGCATGACGGCCGTCAGTATTGACAACGAGTTCTCGGAGCTGCTTCTCAAAATGCTCATCTTTCCTCATGCATCCCTTGATCAGATTATCTAAGTTTGCACGAATCTGCTCCTTCTTTCTTATAACGTCCTTCTTTTCGCCAGCTCTTTTCTGCCATTTTTTGAAATCATTCTGATAGGCCTCGTGCTCCCGTTTCGCTTGTCCAAGATCCTAAAAATATCATGTTAGAGCAGTTGTTAGTCGAGTACTGATTGGTAATAGACAAACTAAAAAAGACAAATTACCCTTGCATTCTGGTCGGTGATACTCTGGAAATCGTTGGACTCGCACAGATAACGCGCGACGAGATCGTTACTTCCTCCACTGACACCAGAACGGTACTTGAACTCGCCGCCTTTCGTGGTTAGCACACTCGGGTAGTTCGATCCACCGGGGTTACTTACTTCGGACTGAGCAATGTCCTGAGCAGCCTCTTCATCGTCGCAGAGCAAGAAGTAGTTCAACTGGCTCCAAGAGATGATCAGATTCTCCACAGCGAGATGATTAATTTTCAAGACTTTGAGTCCCGAAGGGTATCGCGTATGATACGCCTCCTTGAAACTTCGTCGGTTGCGAAAGGAGTCCGACACAAAGTCCTGCTGGTAGATGCTGGGCACGTTGTTGGTGATGCTCTTGATGATCGCAGCTTAAGAACACATTAGAGAGTATTTTTGATCTCATCACTAAACAGGCTGGTTGACACATTATAGTTTTACTATATTTAAAAGTAGACTTACTCAGTTTCATCTTGTCCTCCAGAGTGAATACGATGTATCCATGGAGAGTGGCGGCAAGTTGTTTCTCGATAACACCGGCGTATTTTTGGTAGCTATCGTGAATATCAATGTGATTGCCAATCGGGCCAACAGGCTCCTTAATCCACCGAGCAGTTGCAATCTTCCGGGCAATCTCCCCGGCGTAAGGACCAAACTTATTTTCTTTCGCCGAGGATCGTCGTCGGATCTCGTCCCTTTCCCGCTCTAACTCTTGAATGCGCTTCTCGCCTTGATGGATGGCAGCCCTGGCTCCGTCGATATTCGAGACAATTATCTCCAATTGCTCTCTAGCTTCTTTCATGGTAGGCTCTACTTCCTCAACCAACTTGAGTTTTTTCTCTTCCATTAGTTCACGATTAGCAAGACGCGCTTCCTCCAATTGAGCCTGTTTCTCGACGACAGGGTTGTCCTTGTAAGACTTCAGCTGACGCTTGCAGTTGGTGATCTTTCGTTCAGCGTGAGTAATATCATCCTCCAGCTTTGACTTGAGGCGAAGGTCTTTGTTTTGCTCGGCCTCCTGCTTCTTCTGCTCCTTTTCCAACGCGCTCACTTTGTCCTTAAAGTCCTTTAACTCCGCCCTTAAAAATTAAATCAACAAAAAGAGTCAATAAAGAAGTAAGGAAAAATACTTACTGGATTCTAACACGGTCTCGTTCATCCACTCCATCATCCTGGTTATTAAGGAGTGCCTGTTTATCTTTCTCTCGATCCTCGACCTGTTCCAAAAGGTTCTCGTAGTCGGCAACCTTTTTCGTGGCTTTCTTTAACTGTGCCTCAGCAAGAGGCACTTCCGTCCACTTTTCCAAACTGTCGAGTTGGAGTTGTCTGGCTTGAGCGCTTCGCTTTCTTTCGCAAAGCTTAAGCTTTCCAACGGCCTCTTCCTTCAATTTTTTTTGCTCTTTCAGGTCTGTCACTCGCCTTTGCTGTTTCGCCTTCTGCTCCTCCCAATTATCGCGCATTTCGTTGTAGCTGCTCTTGAGCTCGTCGATGCTCGTACCGCGGGAGAAGTGCTCGTAAAGCTTCTTCGGGTTTCCCTTCATGAAGTTCTTGATCGTTTCTTGTGTCATGATCGTGAAGGGATTCGTCGCCTGGTAGTTTCAAGTTAGAATTTCGTCTTTACTAACAGAATTACCTGAATCTTGAAGTAGTTGGCGATGAGCTTGATCTGCGCGGCGGTAACTTTTTCGCGTCGGCTGTTTGTGCCCGTCAAGTAGTAGCTCGAATATGAGGCCGTGATCTGCCGCTCGAAAGTGATGTCGCTTCCGTAAGTTTCATACTTGTACGGATTAGGGCCCTCATTGCTGATCGTAATTTTGATGGTTGCCTTCTGCTGGCGCCCGCTAGGACCTCTACGAATCCAACCAACGACGGAGCCTTTCTTTCCCGTATCAGTCTGTTTTCCACCAAATACTGCCGTGAGCGCATTCATTGTCGCACTTTTCCCTAAATTCAGATTGTTTCCTGATGAAGCTTCGATAATGGCTTACCGCTGCCGTTCTTTCCAGTGATGAAAGTAATTCGATCGCCAAAGTCGAGTTCCAACATGCGATGACACATGAAGTTCTGCAGAACCATCTAAAAGGTCAAGTAAGTATAACCGAAAATCAAACATGCTTCGACAATAGTGGTTTTTTCATATATTTCTGAGCTACCTTCTTTAGTTTATGGGCTCCTTGGTGAACGATCTCGTCCTCTCCGCCTTCCTCAGACTCATCGCCACTATCTGAATCACCAGGGGGTGGAGGGGGAGAATCAGGTACTTCGTTGTCTTCTTCTTCTTCGTCCTCTTCTTGCTCCTTCCGCCGCTTTGGGTTCTTGCCCGACAGAGAAGCCGGGGAAGTGGAACGCCGCTTCGTCCCTTCGCCCATTTCTAAAAAGTGTCTCTGTTAGTTTCTCTATTTGAAAATCTATGCAGAATTAGGCTGAGTCGAGGGAGATGGCTCAACTTTGCCTTCTTGGAGGAATGGAGAGGATTCCGACCAACCACGGCAAGCCGGAGATTTTTGCGTAGGCCGATCAAAAATCAAGGAGGAAGCTTATTTATTGCACATTGTTGGAAGGAAGAATCGCCAATCACGAGTAAGCGAAGAATTCACGATAAATGATGAGTCATTGTTTTTGGGGTGAAAACGGTATTCGTGACGACTTGAATATCTACATTGAATTTGCCTTCCAGGTTTTTGATCTGCTTCGCTTCTGCAAATGTCAGACCGCCGATGACAACAACGAGTATCCTTGAGAAGTCTAAAACAATCATTGTTAGAAATTGAAAAATAGCATTTCTGACCTTTAGGATGCGAGGGTTTCGCCGACCCATTTCCACCAAAGAAGCCAAATCCCGACGATAACTTTCCAAGGAGCCCGTCTTCAATTTTCTCGATGAAGTTCGGGACAGGCATGCCTATGAGTAGTGTCTCTAGGATTTGGGCCGAGCCATATGTGCCGTACCGCTTATTGCACATTGCTAGGTCCGCTTTCATTTGACCAAAACGCTGCTCCACCCTTGATCTGATTTCATCCAGCGTTGCTGAATCAATGAGTTTTTTTCGTTGATGCCCGTCAACACTTACGATTTGGCGGAAGAAAAAACATTGGGAAAGCTTTCATTCTTTGGTTGGGTGTACATTTGTTCAAATATAAAGCAAAAGATGCTTCCAGAATTTGAAACTCTTCTCTCTTCTCTGGCGACACGCGTGTCAGGTCGAAAGTCGAAAGGTAGTGAAGATAGTCAGCCACGAGAAGCTCGACGGGAGCATCCTCTGGATAGCTTGAAATTTTAGTTTTCAAACTGCCAAAATCCATCGAAACAGAGGCCAAGTTTCCCGATAACAATTGTGCGGCGGAGAAAAGACCTTCATTCTCAAGACAAAACGATTTTTTCTTTTTCAGTTTTTCAACCATTTCGCGCAAGTCGCCGTTAATATTCGCTTTCATCGAAATTATACTCTCAACCACCTTCTTCGAGTATTCAAGGCTCTCCGTTTTCAGCGCATCAAATAGCTTCACGTCGTCAGAATTTCTCGGAAAGAGTAGACTCGATCCAAGATCGGCGCCTCCTTCTTTGATAGGGAGTAACGGGTTACTGGCAGCAAAGATGAGATCAGCCGCTGTTGGCTCGAGTTTATCTTTCCCGAACTCTACTAGCCGGTCAAAAAGAAGCACTGCTTGCTGATTGAGCTCTGATTTACTATTTGTCTGCAGGAGACGCTCAGCAACAATTTTCGAGATTTCGCCCGCTGCCCACAGGGACATTTCGACACCACTTTGCATTTCAGCCAGGACGGCGGAGAAGGACAAAATCTCGATTTGGTCTTGCTTCGGAAGATTGTGGAATGAGAAACCGGGAACATTGGGAGAGCCTATGCGATGAATTTGGCTCTGGAAGAGAGGACGGATCTGCGATTGAATGAGCTCGATGGAGTCGTTGGAAAATTTGTTCGAAAACGAAAGATTTCGAAGGGCAGGAATCGCCTTCGTCAAGACCTTTTGGAGGGATGGATTGGATTCCCGCAACTTGTCGGAGAACTGCTGGTAAAAGGCACTCTCCGAGACTGTCACCGATCCGTAAAGGTGAAAGTGAGTAGACGTTGATACGCTTGTGTAGACGAAAGCGTTTTTCCAATCTTGACTGGAGACGGTCCTCTTAATGAGATCGACTGTCTCTCCGATAAGCGGCCTAAAATTCGACTTGATCCGATCGTCTTCCATAGAATAAGTTAAACACACTACGATTCTATTTTCTCTACCTGGAGACGAGAACCACGACACTGCGTCCAAACTTTGTCACCGGGCTGAAAATGGACTGGACGGACTGTCCATCAGCCGAGGTGACGAATTCTAACCCCCCTCGGAAAAGCAAGGGCTGGACGATTCCATTGTCGAGGATGATGTCTCAATAACGGTTCGGAGGAAGGACGAGAGCTTATTTAGTCACAGTTAATTATAAAAGCGAACGAAGCCATCAAAATGATAAGAACCGGGCCAGCGTCGGCGAAATCCGGAAGCAATTGTTCCCAGGGATCAGAGAGCATTGCTCTGAAATAATTCTTTTTTTCTTTCAGACTTTGAGAATTTGAACTTTTTGTATTAGTGGCAGAGTAGGAAAATGAATGAATGCGAATAAATACAGATTTGAAAAGCACGACTATATGCAGCGAAAGGGGCCATTTCAGCGCAGTTTGATATAAATCGTGAGCAAAATAAAGAAGACGAGCCCGGCGACAATAGAATAAAGAATCACACGATTTTGAAGAGCTCTCCTGATCATGCCGCTGAGAATACGCGAAGATTCGCCAAGATTGAACTCTGTATCCCTTGAAATCACTTTAACTCACTGGAAAAGAGACTAGTTGCGTTGGATACCTAACACGAGCTCTTGTGCGGTTGATGGTCTCTCTGTCTTTTTGCAAGTTGCTGAGAATGTCAGCTCCAATCTGTTCGGACTCAATAGCAACTCTGTTTGCCTCTTGAAGCCGCCTCGTGCCTCGTTCGATGCGATCTACACTTTCAAGCAGCGCCGAGTTTTCCGTGTCGTCGTACATTTCGGCCGCCACAGTAGCCCCGATCAACTCATGCCGAGATTTGATTTGCTGCACTGTGTCCATGGCAGATTGGAACTCTCCTTCTACCTTCTTCATTTCTCCTTGATACGCCTTCAATTTGCTTTGATACTTCTGTCGACCTAAAAATTTTCCTATCAGCTCTGAATCGAGATATTGATCCGGAGCAAGTTAGCATCAAAGTTCGATTCCGACTTTACAAACTGCAAACTTACTCTCTTTGGGTATTTCTCGAACTTCGAGCTCGAATTGCTCCAAGATTTCTTTGGCTTCTTTCATATCATCGTGGATTTGGCGTTTTATGTTTGCGATTTCGGCCGACGCGTTCGGCGTTTCACGACCAGTCCGAAGTAAAGAAGCAATCTTTGCCGTTGCATCTGCTGTCGAGTTGCTTTTTGTCGGGATAGAAATGTTGCAAGCGCTTGAATTGATTCTAGCGAAAGGCAATCAAAAGAACAATTTATCCCTCGCCAAACTGTTGTTCGTATGTCTTCAGCAGACTCATAATAAGAGGCTTTTTCTCGTGCGTTCCGAACCGTTTTTGCCGTTCTATAAAACACATAATTTTATTACCTACTATCATTGAAAATAACAATATTCGATTTTCGATGCAAAGTTAACTTCAAATTTCTTGTAGAGATTCTCTACTAGAGCGAATGTCCGAGCATAATTCTACGAAAGGAGAGATTTAAAAAAGAACCGGAATCGATGTGGCGCAGCGCAACTTCTCTTCCAGCGAAGATCTGAACCAATCAGCTCGGCGGCGCCTGCTCCCAGCAGCAGCAACAGCCTTCGAGTGGGGATCATCCAGCCAACTGGACAAGTCGCGGCGGCCCCATTTTTTCACAATACTTACAATACAACAAAAAACAACCAGTTTCACTTTTGACAAGAGTTATTGAAAAAATACAATCGTATTATTTTTTGGTCTACTAGAGAGCTTTGCTGAACGAAGAAAACTGTATTTTTCTTTATATTTCTTACTATTTTGTTCTATTTATAATGTATTTGTAAGAGTCGTAGACATTATCATCCTCTAAAACTATAATTGATTAAAACCATAATTTGGTGAATGGGTCTGATTCAGATCAATCCGCCTTTATTCACTAATATTTATTGTCGCGAAATCTTTGGGAAAAAAGTGTTTCCAATTATTATAGAAATATTGTCCCCTTTACTTAATTAACCCGGCCTAATGACTTATCCGCAAATGAGTACATGTAGTACTGCAGCAGTCTGCTACTAAAAGTAGCAGTGGACGACTGTAGTGACTTCGATCCGAGTTGAACGAGGTTGTCAACAAGTGCTGGAATAGGTTAATATTTCATTGCCGCTTTATAGGAAATATGCCAAGATTCGCTATCCCAAATAGCTCTAGCTCGTGCCTTATTCCCCAATCAATATTCTTAGAAAGTATCAATGTCACTAAATTCCTTTCTGAGCGAGTATTTCTCCCTTTTCTTTTCTCAATCGAAAGAGAAAATGCAAACGCTTTCGTCGCCCATGGGAAGTAGAAAGTGGTTCTTTCAATATTCAAGAAATTAATGTGTGGATATGTAAATGAAGGGCTGTCCGATGACATACACACACTCGCATCAAACTCAATCGATCTTTTCGGATAAGTCTATTTTTAAAATAAGGAAAAGCGCCCTAATCGGGATTATTTGTCTGCTCCCTCTCTCTGTTTTCTTATTCACACGGCTACTTTCGCCGTGATTTATTTATGCAAATTGATAAGTTTTTAAAAGACTGTCATTTATTGCCAAAACGAGAAAGAAAGAGAGTGAGCGCGCCTGTAGTGGCAGTACAGTGCATGGCGAGTAGAGAAAGCGGAGATTATTATTTTTTTGACTACCAAAAGAAATATTTTTTGTTTCATTCCTTATTGAAGCGCTTCTGAGTAGACTTGAGGTAAGTCACTTTCAACAAAATATTTATTCGAGAGTGATGAATCTTTAATTGCGACAAGAAAAAGACCTCCTTCTCTCGCCAAGGCACCTTTTCCCTCAAGAGTACGAGAACTTGCCAAACGAAAATAATGATTCTATCAATAATAGAAATCTTTGTTTTATATCGTCTGTTGAGCCTTTTGCTTTCTCGTCGATCACTTCTTCTTTCAACTGGGGGCAATTAAGAACCCGCCTCCGCCGCTAGAATCTTTCAACTTTGAGTTTCTGAAATCGCTTAGCTTTGTTGACTGTATATTGATTTCGGGGCATGTCCGGTTTACGCTCATCATTTTACACTGGTCGCTAAATGCCGATCGATACCTCCCCCGCTCATAGTTTTCTCGCCGTTTTCTTTAGTCATCCCAGACAAGCGCCTTAGTTACTATACCCCCCACTCTGTTTTTGCTACGATCGTACGCTCTTTGTGCCCATGACTAGGTTTGAGAAAAGCTTGAGTGTCCTGCGTTTACCTTTTTTCTTCACTAGTGCAAGTCTAAGCCTATCATCTTTTGAAAGAATGTCGCGAGACAAAGAGCGGGCGCTTGATGAGCAGATCGCCCAGCTCCAACGCGAAGTTCTGGACTTAGACCATCGGCTCCGACATGAGCGAGAAAAGCTGGCAGATATAGAGCTGTTCATCGCTGGTGGAACTCTAGGAAATGGTTTGCCGAGATAATGAACGTTTCCTCTCAGAGAGACACAGAGAAAAAACCTGCTTAACAGATCCGATGCGCCCCGCCAGCTACAGACTCGTCCGGGTGATGAAGAGGCATCAAGACAAAGTCCTGTGTTGCGCGTGGGGCACTAATTCAAGAAGAATTGTTTCCAGCTCAAAAGAAGGCGCAGTGGTATGTCGCCGCATTTTGAAACGTTTCTGTATTAAGAATTCAAGGTCGTCTGGGAAGCTGGCCTTGACAAAAGAATTGATACAGTGGTGTTGCCTACTACGTGGGTGAATTCATGTGCCTTGTCCCCTTCGGGGGAACTGATCGCCGCTGGCGGCATGGACAATAAATGTGCCCTGTTCCGCGTGCGAGAGGGCGACGGCGAACGAGAGAAGAGGTAATGACAGCGTTGCCCGCGCTCGTCCCTTCAAGATTGATTACAGTTTAATTTAATAGTCATAGCCACAGTTCTCTCGGCTCCGTGCTTCTGGAAACAGGCATTCGGGAGCCGCCACTCCCTAGTCCAACTGCACACACCAAAAAAGTATGCTCCCTTTATACGCATTAGCTTGCATTTGTTAAGGTCGTCGCTATACATACGTCTTTTTTATCATTTTGTACTTTTCTTCACTCCGAACATCAACTTATTACTGCCTCGGGCGATGGCACGACCGCCTTATGGGATGTTGAGTCCACATCCATGATTCAAGTGAGAACAGCCACTCTCCTTCTTTTCTACTGATCTAATAGGCCTTCCATTCACCGGATGCTATTTTGGGCGTAGATGTCCCTCAAGACGATTCAAACTTACTGGCTTCTGCTGGATGTGACCAAGTGATTCGAATATGGGATGTTCGATCGGATCAGTGCGTCCAAACTTTCAGAGGCCACACAGGTAATCTGCCTCTGCTGATTTCTTTATAACGTCAATTGAGACGACGTGAACGACGTCCGCTGGTCTCCGACGGGAGATGCCATCGCTTCCGCCTCGGACGATTCGACAATTCGCCTATTCGATCTTCGGGCCGACGCTGAACTGGGCTGCTACCAAAGAAAACCTGTTATGTTTAGCTGCAATTCTATAGACTTTTCGGTGAGAGCCCCGATCTCACTTACAACTTGTTGACGAGTGTTTCAGATATCAGGGAGGCTCATCTTCGGCGGGTACAACGACTACTTGATTCATTTATGGGACTCGATGCAAGGAATCAAGGTCGGCTGCGTGTTCGCTCATGAAAATCGCGTGACAGCTTTACGCCGCTGCCCCGACGGAACTTCTTTCGCCACTGCCAGCTGGGATAATACCGTCAAAGTTTGGGCTTAATTATTATGCACCAGCAGTTATATTCTGGCCTATTCAACAACCGAAACAATGTACAACTCATTTAAAACCTAAACCGTTGTGTTTTATAAAAATTGTATTTATGTTTGCATGAATGCTTCACACTCTTCTATCCTTGAATCCTCAAACAAAACTTGGAGAACCGCTCATCGTTCTCTGGCTCGCTGTACATGAAAAACTGCTTCTAGTTTGTAAAGATTAACTCGTTCCAAATATACTGACTTATACATACAGATCATTTCATCTCTTAGAAATTATATGATATTATATTAATATTGCAGTGTGTTATATTAAAGATGAAGACAAGTTCTTTTTACCTCAGAAAAAGCATCGTCGATAAAGTTGCATTAGCAGTTTCGTACGAATCAGCCCCGCGCTTTTGCGAATTTTGAATATTGCCTAGAATTAACAAATAATACTTCAATTCCAGTTTCTTTTCGAACGTTCAAGATCTACCCTCGCCCTCTACTTATTCCTCGTCCTGAATCGCTTCACTGTCTTGTATTCTTCAAACTCGTTCGCACGTTCTATTTGGATTTTGGTGAAATTCTTGAGTTTCTTTCTTTTAGACACCAACGATGCGTTATGAGTGAGAGAGATCCCAACTATCATGTACCCTACTATGAACCGACCTCGAATCAATCAACCGACGCCTGGCAGAGACCTTATGCACAAGTAGAAACAGATCACTGGCAAAGTGAATGCAATCCTCATCTTGCTCGACAATCTATTGGAAGAATACCGCCGACCGTCACATCTCACGTTTCTCTTAATTAATATTACCTCTATTCACTTTCATGTTTAGTCACATCACGAAAGAATCGCTATGCCAAAAGTGAATGAAGACATGCCTATTTCCCCGCCGATGGGAATGAATTACCGCGCTCAACTTCCGAGGGAGCATGCTATGCCATGGAAAGCACCACAAATGGCACACTCTGTTGGTTATCAGCCAGAGTCGTATCATATGGGTATGTAATGTGTAAACGTCTTTAAGAAAGAACTTTTTATAAGCTCACTCGTATGGCCCATCTGAAACCGATTTGCGGAGATTGTTGACGCTTGAAAGACGGGTTGAGCGTCTTGAGAATGAAAACGATGGCCTGAATATCGAAAATGCCAAATTGAAGAGTCAATACATGTGCACACTGGATAGAATCGCCTCTCATATAGCAAGCAGCTTCGTAAAACAGCAACTAGTCTGTGATCAAGCAGTTTTCGCTCAATCGTCTCCGCAGAGTAATTATGGCTCAAATGAGCGCTGTAATGGCGGAATACTCAAGGCATCGCAAAACGGAAAAGGCTTTCCAGACTTCACAGCAG